GTACAAAGAAAGAGGGCTCTTAAGTACACATAGCCCCTAACGCACAGGCCAGATAGCTAACGTTTCAGGCAACCTAATTCAGCCGTACGCGTGTACGGACACAGCTGTACTTACGTACGGACAGTATTCCTATTTAACTCTGCACCTTCGGCTTCAGTTCCTTCTTCGCTGCACCGTAGCACCTAGTCTCTATCCCCTCCTCTTCCACATCTGTTTTAAAAATCCCGCTAACTCTAGTACCAGGTCACTACACTATAGGTGGCGATCTTGGCCGTGATCTGTTTGTCTCCCCCGGTGATCCACCGTTCTACCTCCACCACGGAATGATTGGCCGAGTATGGTGGAGTTGGGAACTGTTCAATAGGACGACGCGAACCGGGACAGAAGGGATCTTCGGCACAGGAACCTTCCTAAATGTACCTCCGTCCCAAAATATCACCCTTGACAACCCCATGGATTTGGGATTTGGGTTAGGTCCCTCTACTACGATGAAAGATCTTATGAGCACGACCAATGGGCCTTTTTGCCACATCCATCTATGCAAAGTTTATTCACCTGCAGGTTCAGCTTCTGGACCCGAGAATACCCCAGTGCTGCATTATCTGATTGTTCGAGCGGTTTAGCATGACTGTATAGAAATCTCCAATACTCTCTTTATACCTTTAATATATTCTACTCTCTCCTGGAACGTTGTTTTCCTTCGCCTGGTATATTCTTTCGAGCAGCTACTATTTTACATACCAGTAAGACGATCTCCAGAAGACCTAGCTTAGTTAACTACTGTACTATTTCAAACTAGCGCATATCGTGGAATGTTAACAAGTGTTTGATCTGCGTGACGTGATGCTAGGCTTCGAGAGAGGGCCCAGGGAATGTAATTATCTGTGGTAACATACAAGTCGAGACTCACAATATATGGTGGTGTGATGTAAATTATTTGCTTGAATGCACTGCTAAAGCATTCGTCACATGATAATTCTCACCTAGTTCCAAAGCTATACCTGCAGCTATTATAACCACCGCTGACCATCCATCGTATTCATGCGTCCACCTGGGGAATTCACGTCTCAAGTGCCCCAAAATCCTTTCTCTCATCTCTTAGTCCAACAAAAACCCCAATTTTTGGCTGCTATTCTTCTATGCACTTTGAGTCTGCAAAGCCGCAAAACCCGTGGACCACACCCACGCACCTCCGCCACATCCATTTCCAATCATAGCTAAACAAGACAATTATGCTAATATGTATATTTACTACAACTACCCACAGAGGTCTAAAGACTATAAAGGAGCGCCGATGCCCATCTATGCAATAATACATATATATGCGCCTGAGTGTTCACCCAAAGAGGAAATCGAGAAGCCTTGGCAAGAAACAGCACGGCTAGTACAAAAACAGGCAAAGGAAAAGATTTGGAACGGGGATGCATCCAAGAAGTCAAGTCTTAGATTGTGTGCCCTCGAGCAAAGTCGATATCTATATAACCCGTACCGGCATTTGGTTGTCGAGACGGGCAAATACTGACCTTTCCTCCTCCTCTATTATCGCTTCTCCACTAAGAGTAGATGCATAGCGAGATACGCCAAGATGACAAAAGCGCCACCGAAGGCGGCGAGACCAATGCAATCTCTCCATAGCGCTAAGACGTTGAAGCCGAAGGAACTGAGGATGGCGGAGCCGGGGACTTCGATGTCGAGGCCGTACTTGTGGTCTACGAGGCTGAGGTAGTGAACTTCGTTGACGATGAGGCCTTCGAAGGCGTAGTGGAAGATGGAGAGCTGGAGAAATTGTCAGCAAATACACCTTCATGATTGAGGAAGTTTGTGAAAACTCACCGACTGAAGCCACTTAGCGGCTGCCGGGATGCTTTCCTTATTCAAAAAGAAGCCCGAGAATAGCAAGCTGAACAGCATCACAAGGACACCAATTAGATTTGCCACTCCATTATTCCTAAACACGATGCCGATGAACAAGAAAATGGCGGCGGCGGCCAGATTGAACAAGACCAAGAAAAGAATAAACTTCAAGAACTCGTGCCAGGCTGGGACGAGGCCGGTCATAGGATAGACAATGACGCCGAGAATGATTGGAGGAATAAGGCGAAGGGGAACGATGTCGAAGATAACCTTGGCCGCGAAATACGAGATCGGCGAGTAGTACCCCTTCGCACGTTCTCTGGTGAACAGAAGACGCTCAGGTGCAAAGACTGTGAGAATGGTCAAGGTACTGAATCCAAAGAGGGCGAGGACGAAGAAAAATAGACCGAGGCGGTTTTGGAAACCCTTGATGTCGTCTGTGAGACCATAGAAAAGGAAGCCTAGGAAAACGGCGAGGACAATCGCGATGGCGTAGTGTGTGAGCATAAGCATGGGGTTTCGGTACAAGTTCCGCCAGGTTCGCTTGGACAGAATTATGAACTGGCCAATCCATCCGACCTTCCTGAAGCCTTTCAACTTCCCTGCTGCTACGAATCCATTCGCTTCACCACCGTTTGGAGTACCGTTAGCTTCGTTCGCGCTTGTAATAGCTTTGTCGATGTCTTCGTGGAGAGCACCTGCAACTTCTGAGGTAGCATAGGCGGAGACAAGAGTGTCCAGATTCGTTCCAGTCCCACCATCCGCGGGGGGAGGCAGTTCATCCGGATCATCCATGATCTGGGGAGGTGGTAGACCTTGTTGACGGGAAAGTTTTAGCCACTGAGCATTACTGCCATCTCGGCGATCATGTGGGGAGAATTCATCGTCAGTTTTTGGGGTCACCGTACCATCTGCAGGAGCTGAGCTCTTCTTCCTTGTAAAAAGTTCGCGCTCTTGTTGCTGTCGGATGGATGTTCTCCGCTTGTTCTTAGGACGAAGACTGGAAGAAGTGCCAGGGCTGCCTGTAACTCCCTGGTTCGTGCTCATGTTAGAAACGCTGGGGATCGACTTGACCGCAATCGCACTGCTTGCGCTCGTCCGCAATGGATCTCGGTCGAACATCGAACTATCCTCGTCAATACGCTGACGGGTGGTGCTCGCGTGCATGGTAAGATCGACGAGATAGTCCGCAATGTTGAAGCCTGGAGGACAGGTGTATCCAATGTTGTCAAAGTATGCCTGACAGCTTTCAAACGCACCAGAATAGACTGTCCTCCCCTTTGCCAGAAGGATGAGCTGATCGAAAAGTGCTACAATATTGGATCGCGGCTGGTGAATGGTAAAGACGACCGTCCTGTTGTAGTTTTTGACGAGATTGACAAGACATTCGACGACGTTGAAGGCGTTGAATGCATCCAACCCACTGGTGGGTTCATCAAGAAAAAGAATACTAGGAGATGTGACAAGCTCACAGGCAATACCTACGCGGCGTTTCTCTCCTCCAGAAATCCCGCGACCACTCTCCTCCGAGCCAATGGTCTGATGGCGGATGTGGTAGATTCCGAGTTGTCGCTCAACGTCTTCTACCTTTTGCTCTTTTGATGCACGGCTCATTTCTTTCGGAAGTCTTAGCAAGGCGGAGTCGAGAATAGTCTCGTGAACAGTAAGGGTGGGTAGCATGGTGTCGTCCTGGTCCACGAATCCAATAACATTCCTGAACTCATCGTCGCGGACCTTCTCTCCGTTTAGATAGAAGTCTCCTCCGGTAAGGCCAGCCTTGTTCTTTCGAGCAAGAATGTCGAGGAACGTAGTCTTACCAGCCCCTGAGGCTCCCATAATGGCAAGCAACTCACCCGGGTGCACAGCACCGGTGATCCCCGAAAGGATCTGCTTGCCATTGAGCTGGTAAGAAACATTCGAAAACGACAACGCTGCGGGTTTGTGGTCCGCCAACAGCTTTGCATTTTCGTCCTCCTCGTCATCGGAGAGGTGAATGGCGCCCCATTTTTTCCTCTCTGCCCTTCGAGCAAGATACCAGACGATCAGGACGAAGGCAACAACGAACAGAGCACACCCAGCAATGACGCCTGCAATCAATGGAGTGTTGATCTTCTTGATGGGTCTTTCGTAACCCGGAACTTCGGTCTGATACAGACATTCTCCAGCGTTGCATTTTAAGAAGATGCTTTCGTCTCCAAAGATGCTGGAGATGAGGTTGTTCATCTCAGGCTCATCGAAAACACTGCCACTATCTTTTCCGCTCACTGTTGAGACGGACCTAAACTCGGCCGGACCCTTGATCATCTGTTCGAGAAAGTCCCCAATGTCGACTGAGCCATCCTCTCCGCAGAGCATTCGGTTGGGAATGCATTTACACTTGATATTGTCACATCGGTACTTGGTGACGTTGCGGTCGGGCTCGGCAATAAAGTTCGAGGAGCAGGTATCGAGGGCGCAGTAGAATGATTCCTTTTGATCAACCCAAACTAGTACTGATCAGCCACTGATGTTGGGATTGGATAGGTGAGACACGTACACTGGAAATTACACTTCTCTGTCTCCTTATTGCAGGAAAAGGTTGCCTGGGGTTTCTGATCCTTTAGCTGGTCTAGGATCTTCCGGTTCGTAATGTCACACATCTGGAAATTCTCCTTGACCAGCTGTCCCTCTCTAAAACAGACACCACCCTCGCCCTCAGGCATCATAGCATTACAGGCATCATTGGTCTGGCACACATTGCAGTTGATGCCTTCCCAACCCTCCTTACACTGGCACGATGCCTCCCCTCCTCTTGGTGCTCGGTCTCGTCCATCTGGCAGGGCGCCACAGAGTGGTTCTGAACAGTCCTCCCCACCATAACCGGGGGGGCAAATGCATTTCCCATTAGCTTTGCTACAGTTGGCGAACTGCTGGCACGCGAAGTCCTCGAGGTTGCAGTTGAAACAAGGCGGACAGTCGTCGCCGCGGTCACCGTAGATGGAGAACAGAGAAACTTGAGGTTCGGCGACGGTGTAATTGCCGAAGGTCTTTTGAGCTCCAGATGGCCGTGTGAGCGCCAGCGATGCCAGGAGTGAGGCAGTCCATCGTGTGCGGCGCATATCGGTGCCTCGTCAAGCGACGAAGCTCTCAGAGCTCCGTGGCAAGGAGCAGTTGCCTGGTAACTGAAGTTGATGGGGATGTGGAAGGGGGTGTAGATGAGCTCTAGAAGCTCGTAAAGGAGGCGCGATAATGAAATAGTGTTGAGTGAGTGTAGACAGATCAGGACATGTATCTGTATTGGACAAAAAGCATGTTGACTTGCGGGGGCTGGTGGAGGATGAATGATGCCGCCTTGCCAAGAGCCGCTGGGGCTGTGACCGACGAGCCGAGGTGTCTAATCCCTATTCGGAAGGTGAGCGAATGGTCATTAAGTTTTGTCGCAATCATCATCTAATCCAAAATTCGTGCTCAAGACATCGTCAAGCAGCTGTTCGGCGATGGAATGTTGAAGTGCGGAAAGATGTGGCGGTGGTTTTGTGGCTGGCCCTAAGTACACACTAGTTTTTGACATGCCTCACGCCCACCCACAGCGCCCTATCACTTGACATGACCTCTATATCTTCCACTCTTTCTGGTCAAATATCCGCATGCCGCACTTTACTTTGAAATATCTGAAATAGATTTCTTCCTCTTTTGGTATCAACCTCCAAGGTTTCAAAATGGTTCAGATTGAAACATTCTCTGTTGAATCAGTAGGTCCTTTCGCCCGTCGTTTGCACACCAATTTTCCACCTTGAGATTTTGATAATACTGTTTGGTATTTCGGATCTCTCTCTATCCTGTGTTCTATCTTTGCTTTTACGTTCTCTGCTCTGTTAATCTTAGCCTCAACCCCCTTCAAGCATCGACACTTCACTTCTAACTCGTTCTAGTGGATGGACGAACACGAAACAAAATGCACCCACAACATAGCCGAAACATGCTGCGCTTCTATTTCAATCGATCAACTGCGTGAGCTCTCTGAGGACAAGGACAGGCAAATCTTCCAAACCTCCAAAGCCTTAACCTATGGTGCAATCCGTGGCTCTGAGGACCTTCGATCGAATCTTGCCCGACTTTACTCTGCAAGGTCGACGCCTCTTCCGCTAGAGAATATTCTTAGTACCCCGGGAGCTATTCAGGCGAATTTCCTCTGTGCGTATGCACTAGTGGGACGGGGGGATCATGTGATATGCCACTATCCTACTTGTACATGCTACATCAGTATCCTACTTCAACATCTGTTCAAAGTACTAATCATCAGGCAGACCAATCCCTCTACGAAGTCCCCAAACAACTTGGGGCCTCAGTATCACTCTGGAATGCGAAACCCGAAAATGCTTGGACGCCCTCCATCCCCGACCTCAAATCCCTTATCCAACCCAACACCAAACTCATCATCATAAACAATCCCAACAACCCTACCGGCGCTGTTCTTAAAAAGTCGCTCCTCCAGGAAATCATCGCCGTAGCCTCCGAGCACGAAATCTCAATTCTCTCCGATGAAGTCTACCGCCCAATCTTCCACAGCATCAGTCCAGTAGATCCCGAATTCCCACCATCCCTTTTGTCGATGGGTTACAAGAACACCATAGTCACAGGGTCCATGTCGAAAGCATACGCACTAGCCGGTATCCGTGTAGGTTGGATAGCATCACGCTCCTCCTCGATCATTGAAAAGATTGTAGAAGCGCGGCACTATACCACGATATCCGTCAGTCAGCTTGACGAACAAGTCGCCGCGTACGCCTTGCATCAAAACACCATTCACAGCCTTCTATCTCGCAACATTCAGCTTGCTAAAGCGAATCTTGCGGTGCTGGAGAAATTCGTGGATAAGAATGATGAGACATGTGAGTGGGTGAAGCCCCTGGCAGGCACGACTGCGTTTGTCAAGTTCCATATTGAGGGGAAGCCGGTGGATTCGGTGGATTTTTGCAAACGGTTGATTGAGAAGACGGGAGTGCTGTTTGTGCCAGGAAGTGAGTGCTTTGGGAAAGAGTTTAAGGGGTATGTAAGGATTGGGTTTGTGAATAACACTGAAGTTGTGGAAGAGGGGATGAAGAAGGTGACACAGTTTTTGAGGAAGGAATTCGATGGGGTAAAGCTTGCAGAATAGAACAGGGATAATGACACGTGCGGGGACTGGAAAGTCGGGTTATTGAGCAAGAAACGTGCAGTTGACTGGGTCGAGATTTGAAGTACTTGAGAATAGTCATGCATTCAGAGTACTGGACCGAGAATTATTGCCCCAACGCCTGCCTGGAGACTGAGTCGAGAAACGCGGCTACGAAGCCACTTAAACCCATGCTCTTCCGCTCCATTCATTCCACCTCTGTACATTCCATGTCATCTCAACAATCCTGAAGCCGTCGCAGGAAGTATCCAAAGCCGACCTTATCCCTTATTCCTGTTCACCGCGTTCATTATTCAACGCTTCCGCTCAAAGTATGATGACGAGGAGAAGACAGCGACGCTCTGGTCCATAGTCCATTCGCCGACCCAGAGGTAGTTGTCGATCCATTTCTTAAGTCCGGGGGTTTCTGTGAGAGTCTCTGATTTTACGCTGGGGCTGTCCGGTCCCCGAGCGGGGAGCGGGGGAATGTTAGCGCGAATTGTTGATGATGCGAGGGAGTGTCGAGGAGCGATGGGGGTTGAGTAGGAATGAACCTGCTCCACGGCCGGGGCGACCGCGAGAGGCATTTACGATGTGGAGAGATATTCGCGCGTGGGGGAACCTACGTTAGGCCAGTGGAGCGTCGTACTCCGGCGAGGAAGGCAGATACTGTACATGTTAAAGGGGTGTATATGAGGCTGAGAGAGTGAGAACTCACATAGCACCGCATCAAAGGCGTAGTGGGCGACCCGGCCGAGCTGCAAGAGGTGAGCGGTTTGGATTTGCGACTCGTGGTACCTGTCATGCGGCTCACGAGGCGAGCGAAGCGAATTACGTACAACCATACTGGGAAGAAGTGTAGTTTGACAGAGCTGTTGGAAAAGCGAATTGTCAGGGCAGGCGGTCAGGAGTACGCTATGTCTGAGGGTGCTTGTTCTTTGGATCAAAGGTCAGTGTCGCTTGAGCGGTGAAGTCGTGAGTGGCTGGGACGGCGGCTTAGTCACGCGAATGCGACATGTGAAAAGACACCCTCGGGGTTCATCAGCCCTATGGCGATGCGGATGTCGGGTGCAGCAGGAAGAAGTCGATCCTCGGGGACTGGTATAAATCTCCATGCGTCTCCTGACAGCCTGCCATCCTCCCTCATGATCAAGCCCTCATCCTCCGTCCAAGCCAGTACATCTCACCTGCCCCCAGGGCCGCGGCGTGCAAAGTCCATCACAGGCCAGACTGACGGGGGCTCAGAAGAAAGAAACTGCGGTGCGGAGGGTTGCATCCCGGCCGTAGAGGATCAAATTTTCAATTGGAATGCAAAAAACTGCGGAGGGGTGGCCGCGCTGGGCTTATCGCGGGATGGCTTGGCACAGTGACGGAGAATGGTGGGGTGTTATGCTGAAGAGCATGCACAAGGACGTCAAACTCTCATTGCTTCTGCGACGTTCATCTGCCCCGGCCAACAGTCTATAAGAGCTGCCTGTATCTACCAGCAGCTGCTTCAGGCTGTTCACTCACAGTATTTCCCTGTCTTGCGTCAGTCTCGCAACCCATAGCCTCGTCTCACAAATATCACGCCCAGCTAATTTGGGAGTTGCGTACTGTTCGCTTCCCGACCACGCCTCGACAACTCAACGTTCGACAGGCCGGAGTTGTAAGTTCAAAAGAAAATTAGCCCGCTGCCCGCTGCCCGTGCCTGCAGCTTGCTGACTTTCGCTGGCACCTCAACAGCCCGCCAACAATAAAGTCCCTCGACAACTTTCCTCTCCATTGCCGCTCCACGCTCCTCTCACAAACCGCAACACAACACACACCGTCGCAGCCATGGCCAACGCCCTCGACCACCTAAATGCCGGCCGCACGCGCATTGAATGGCTCTCGCAGCTGAACACCGAATACCACCCCGCCAAAGAGTATCGCCGGACCTCCATCATCTGCACAATTGGTGAGCCGAGGGCTTCGAGGGCAGAGTGGAGCTGAACGGCTGGCTAAGTTGAGAATACAGGTCCCAAGACGAACTCCGCCGAGAAGATTAATATGCTCCGCAAAGGTAGGAAACCCGCCCAGACGGTGGCACTCGAGGCTTACACATGATAGTCGGTCTCAACGTCGTTCGCATGAATTTCTCTCACGGCACGTACGAGGTGAGACCTTCGGGCCTACGAGTCATTGAATACCGCCGCTGACACCTGATACTAGTACCACCAATCCGTCATTGACAATGCCCGCAAAGCCGAGAAGGAGATGCCAGGCAGGCCCCTTGCAATTGCTCTCGATACCGTACGTGCTATCGCTGCTTCTACCGTATCATTTTAAGTTGACGGGCATTTGCGTCTAGAAAGGTCCAGAAATCCGGACGGGCAACACCGTCGGCGATGCGGATATCCCAATTAGCGCTGGGGACGTCCTCAACATCACTACCGATGAGGCGTACGCCACGAAGAGCGACAACCATAATATGTGAGGCTCTTTGAGGACAAAGGCGTTCATGCGACTTACATGGATATAGGTATGTCGACTACAAGAACATCACCAAGGTGATCGAAGCCGGCCGCACCATCTACGTCGACGATGGTGTCCTTTCCTTCGAGGTGCTCGAGGTTGTGGATGAAAAGACTCTGAAGTGCAAGTGCGTCAACAACGGCAAGATATCCTCCAAGAAGGGTGTCAACCTCCCTAAGACTGACGTGGATCTTCCCCCACTCTCCGAGAAGGATAAGGCTGATCTCCGGTTCGGTGTTAAGAACGGAGTCGACATGATCTTTGCTTCTTTCATCCGCCGCGGAAGCGATATTACTGCCATCCGAGAAGTCCTCGGAGAAGACGGAAAGGATATCCAAATCATTGCCAAGATTGAAAACCAGCAGGGTGTGAACAACTTTGACGAGATTCTCAAGGAGACGGACGGTGTCATGGTTGCTCGAGGTGATCTTGGAATCGAAATTCCCCCAAGCCAGGTCTTCATCGCCCAGAAGATGATGATCACGAAGTGCAACATTGCAGGCAAGCCCGCGATTTGCGCTACTCAGATGTTGGAATCCATGACCTACAATCCCCGTCCTACCCGTGCTGAAGTCAGCGATGTTGGTAACGCTGTCTTGGACGGCGCGGACTGCGTCATGTTGTCTGGTGAGACGGCTAAGGGCAACTACCCCGTTGAAGCTGTGACTATGATGCACGAGACGTGCTTGTTGGCTGAAGTTGCTATCCCGTACGTTAGCGCATTCGACGAGCTCAGGAAACTGGCTCCAGTCCCCGTCCCCACGACCGAGACCTGCGCCATGGCAGCCGTTAGCGCTAGTTTAGAACAGAACGCTGGCGCTATCCTGGTTTTAACTACTAGGTAGGTTTTTCTGTTTCACAACTTAGAACGTCGAGATACTGATAACTTACAGCGGAACTACTGCCCGCCTAGTCTCCAAGTATCGACCCGTCTGCCCTATTATCATGGTTACTCGTAATGCAATGGCGGCCCGGGTGAGTTCGCTTATAGACCATTGTTGCCATATAGATTAGTTAACATTGGACAGTACTCTCACCTGTACCGTGGAGTCTACCCATTCTACTTCCCCGAAGAGAAGCCCGACTTTAGCAAGGCTCCGTGGCAGGAGGACGTTGATCGTCGTCTGAAATGGGGTATCATGAACGCCGTCAAGCTTGGTGTCCTCAACAAGGGCGACGCCGTCGTCTGCGTTCAAGGATGGAGAGGTGGAATGGGTCACACCAACACGCTGCGCATCGTCCCTGCTACCGAAGATCTGGGGCTGGACCAGGAAGCTTGAATGTGAGAATCTCCACTAATGCAATGCTACGTACGGCAGGCCGTGAAAGGCGATTGCCAGGATACAGTACGATAGGATAGTAGTTCGTCGGCGTAAAGGGAGCAAAATTAAGGGAGGCCAGACGCACATGTACTGAGTAGCCACAGACAAGACTGATGAACATGAGATCAATGCAAAGGCCAACTAACTTCGAGAGCTCTTTTTGGAGTGCTCGTGTTGCCTCGAACTCTTTTGCTCCCCTGGCCTGCTTCATTTCTCTCCTTTCTTATCTTGACATTCGGTTGGAATTTAGTGACTGTTAGTGGTGTTTATCGGCCCGTGTGTATGCGACCAGGTGCAATGTAAGGCGGCCAAATACAGACTTTTGAGCTAGGCTGTGTGTTGCGATAGTCTTTAAGTGAGATTGCCGGAAACAGAGGGCTTTAGTCATCAAACGCGGAACAACATTCACCCGTTGTCTCTTTCACCTTCACGTTGCGACAGCATAAGCTAATCATCATCACACCGCCAACATGAATATCAACGCGCTACTCATAAACCCAGCGCCGGAGGCGCCACGCGTATCACCTTCGAATCCGCCTTTTATACCCGCGCCCAGCCCCTCCACGTCTGCCGCGAAGCTCCCAACACCACCATTGTCCACCAGCAAACCAATGACACACAAACGCAAACGACACGATCCCAAACCCATCTGGGCTGTCCGAGAAGATGAGGTTATGGATGACCAACCTTTACAGCCCCCTCAACCTCCTCAATCTCTTCAACCGCTGCAGCAATCTCGACCACAGCCTCCCCCGGCCGTGCAACGAAATGGCACACAACCCCAAACCTCGCGCGAGCTGCAAGGCTACGAGCGCCCGATCACCAATGATCCGCGAATGTATGACGAAATCTCGCGCAAGGTCTGCGACTTTCTTTGGGACAATGTGGTGGAAAATGCACTTGTCCGAAATGCGATTGCCGAATCCCCCGCAACACAGGTCGAGATAGAAGCGCGATGGGGTCAAATTCAGGAAAGGCATGGCGGAGGGCGCCTTCGGGGCATGCACGATACAGAGTGCATCATACGGAAAGACGTTTTGGAGCAGATGAAGTTCGAGAGCACCATGTCGCTTGAACAGCATCAGAAGATGAACAAGTTTCTGAATAATCAGGTCCAGCTTTCGAAACATCCTAACGCTCTGCGAGCGGAAATTAACTACAAGCACACGAGGGAAGTGGACATGTTCTATCAACTTGATCAAGATGGCTTTAGCTTACTCCCTCACCACACCAAAGAAATGATAGCCCAGTCAAATGCCCGGCAGAGAATCAGAGTTACTCGAGATGCGAGGACGGAGGGAGTCCTTGCCAAAGTCATTAAACTACGGATAGCCAACCTCGAGATCAGCTCTCCGCAGACCGAGTGGGATTACCGGATCGGCATCAACCTGGAAATAAATTTCCCTGGTCCCGTTGAAGGTCTCAGCCCCGCGACCGAGCATGGACGGAATGCTGAAAGCCTCGAACGGCGAAAAGATCGCGTATCGTACTCGTGGCTCAATGCATACCAAATCGACCTTACCCAAGTCAGCCAAGCCCAAGGCAAGAATCACGAGTTGGAACTCGAACTTGACTCAAAAGTGCTCATTAATGCGGCGGAAAAAGTCAAACGTGGCGAAGAAAATGATTTCGAGAATCTGGTGTCGGGGATGATGAACAACCTAAGAATCCTGTCACGCGAAGTCACTCCCGCCGGTGTGAAAGCGTTACCATAGTGCGCTCTAAGCCCCGGGCAGTCTTCTTTTTTTAGATGATCATTTCAGCTACCGTCGTCGCAGTATTATCAAAAGTGGAAAACGCGTTCAATGGGCTCTATTTGGTCAAGAGGACAGCCAACAGGATGCCGTTGGCTGGCCTTGCTGGACGTGTGTAATTGTAGATCGTGGCGTTCTGGTTATGGCTTCGGTGGAGAGTTTATCGGTCTTGGGGTTGGGAACACTAGGCCATTAACGGCATTATAGCTGAGTCCTAGCATCTGGTACGGAGTTTGATGTTTTTCAGTGGGCAAAATCAAGATACCCCTTTTGGTTGCATTCCTAGCATGCAATTGGCGCATTCCTGTTGTGCAGAGTGAATGTTGGCGGAGATGGGCTACATACTGCGTACCATGCAGTCTCAAAAAGCTCTTCTCACAAACACAGTGGGCACTCACTAGATTACGAGGCACGAGGGTGCCTATTTTATGTCATCCCGAAACTGGCGCTTTGACCAAGCTGCACATGGGCCTTGGCGTTCGGTGACTGACGATGAGCGAAGCTTCGCGCGTGTTGTCTGGCTGCCCTGAACATCGCAGCTCAACATCCGCGAACCACCCACGGCTCTCTGCCATCTCCATCACCCTCTTAGTGTCTTCTTCTTGACTCTCCTTCACTGCGCAAGTCGTACGGACCGTCTTGCACCACATTCCGCCCGAAATTCCGTTCCGACAGCATCTAGCCTTCCCGGCGCCACGCACTCCCATCTCCTTCCGCCATCTCTTCCCTTTCCTCTTCCACCATCTCGGATCTAGCTCCTGCGGCATCGAACTAGCTTGCAGCTGCGCGAGTCCGTTCTACGATGGTCGGCCTCACCTCTGCTGCCGGCGTCGTCGGCTTTCTTGCAGAACCTGATCCCGCCCTGCGCTCCTTCGCCTTGCACCGGTTGAACGAGGAGATCGATCTCCTATGGCCGGAGGTCGCTGGATCGGTCAGTCAAATGTAAGGCGCCTTCGTATCACCAGACTCTGCAGCCCCGGAGCTTGTGTCGCTAACCCGTGTGCTCGTCATAGTGAGGCGCTGTACGAAGATGAATCGTTTCCAGAACGAGAGCTTGCGGCTCTTGTCGCGGCGAAGGTGTACTATCAACTACAGGAATACAATGAGAGCATGGTATTTGCGCTCGGAGCAGGCAAGCTCTTCGATATCCATCACTCCGGAGAGTTTGAAGAGACGATTCTCGGTAAGATATGAACCCCGAGCCACGCACAAGCACGCAATGAGCATCCATCATAAAACTGGAAGCAGCCTGGGGTGGCCCGCTGTAGTCCTGTCGTTATCCTTCTGTACAGTGGAGCTAACCCTGATTTCTCTCAGCAAAATGTCTAGACACGTATATCGCTCTCTCCGCGATGCACCACCCCCATACCCCGGTGGCCACGACAAACCAAGCGCCTCCACAATTGATCACGTCCTTCACGGCGAATACGGCCGGTGGAGCCAGCACATCGGCAAGCATGACCTCGCCAACAACACCCTTCTCGCAATCCACCCTTCCCTCAAAGTCTCTTCTGTCCCGACAAGATTCATCAACATTCGATCCTACACTCCCCGGCGGGGGCAACGCAGGCGTCGCCGGAGCGCACCCTACCCCGTTAGTACTGCAAAGGAGTGTGCAGAAGAATCTCCAGGCCACGATACGGCGCATTTTCGAAAGCTGCTACGAAGTAGGCGCGTACAAGCAGGTCGTCGGAATTGCAATCGAGGCGCGAAATCTCGATGTTCTCCGAGAGTCTTTCCTCCGAGCAAGTCAGGATGAGAAGAAACAAGGCAAGAAGCCTGCCAGCAGCTCATCTCCGAAGAGTGAGGAGCTGATGGAGTACGTGCTCGATATCTGCATGAATGTTGTGCAGGAGAGAGGTTTGAGAAATGAGGTGAGCTTCTACCCACTTGCCGGGTAGAAACAAATGCTAATCCTGAGATAGATCCTGAAACTTATCCTGGACCTGCTGAACGATATCCCTAATCCGGATTATTTCTCCATCGCGAAATGCGTCGTCTATCTCAACCAACATTCTTTGGCCTCGACTCTTATCCGCCAACTCGTCCAACGAGGCGACGGAAAATCCCTGGCAATTGCGTACCAGATCTCCTTCGACCTTTACGAGAACGGTACTCAGGAGTTTTTGGCAAAGATTATAGAGGAATTGCCAGATACAGATGGGAAGGCTGAGGACAAGCCGGCTGCTAATGGGGATGCGTCACACAAGCCGCGGGGTGAAGATGCAGGAGAGTCCGATGGCCTGCTTTCCAACATGGACTCAAGCAACGATGCCCCTACAATATCAACCGTTGTCTCCCGCACCAAACAGAAGTCTCCAACGGAAGAAGAACTGAAAGTCTACAGTTCAGTTCGCGATGTCCTTCGAGGGACCAAGACCATTGAATTGAACCTCGAATTCTTGTACAGGAATAATCACGCGGACAAAAACATCTTGAACAAGGTCAAGGACAGTCTGGAAGCAAGAAACTCGATCTTCCATACCGGTGTTACGTTTGCGAATGCCTTCATGAACGCTGGTACTACGAATGACACCTTCTTCAGAGAGAATTTAGAGTGGCTAGGAAAAGCAGTGAACTGGTCAAAGTTTACTGCCACAGCAGCTCTTGGTGTCATCCATCGTGGCAACATCACCCAAGGCCAGAAACTTCTGGAACCCTACCTTCCTAAGGAGGGTCTCACATCTAACTCCCACTATGAACAGGGTGGCTCTCTCTTTGCCTTGGGAATGATTTACACCAACCATGGAACTCATGTCTTGGAATTTTTAGTCAAGCAGTTCAAGGATGCCACAGAGGAAGTAATCCAACACGGCGGTGCCCTCGGCCTGGGCGTTGCTGGCATGGCAACGGGGTCGGAGGATATCTTTGAAGCCTTCAAGCAAGTATTGTACACCGACTCTGCCATCAATGGTGAGGCTGTGGGACTCTCAATGGGACTCGTGATGCTCGGCACCGGCAATATCAAGGCTTTGGAGGATATGATCCAGTATGCCCACGATACGCAACACGAGAAGATCGTCCGTGGGCTCGCCATGGGCATGGCTCTCATCATGTATGCTCGACAAGAGGCTGCTGACGAGCTTATCAACGGCCTTCTAGACGACCCGGACCCTACCCTTCGCTATGGAGGCATCATGACGATTGCATTGGCGTACTGCGGTACAGGAAGCAACAAGGCCGTGCGAAGGGTCCTTCACGTTGCTGTTAGCGATGTTAGCGATGATGTCCGAAGGGTGGCCGTCATGAGCTTGGGCTTCATCCTCTTCCGGAAACCCGGCAGCGTTCCTCGTATGGTCGAGCTCCTCGCAGAGTCCTATAACCCGCATGTCCGATATGGCGCTACTATGGCCCTCGGTATTGCCTGCGCAGGTACTGGTCTTGATGAGGCCATCGACCTGCTGGAGCCCATGATGAAGGACTCGACCGACTTTGTCCGACAGGGTGCTCTAATTTCGCTAGCTATGATCATGGTCCAGCAAAATGAGGCTATGAACCCCAAAGTCGCCACAATCAGGAAGACCTTGGCGAAGATCGTGGCAGACCGCCACGAAGACGCCATGGCTAAGTTTGGTTGTGCTCTCGCTCTTGGTATCATCGACGCCGGCGGCCGCAACTGTACCATTGGCCTTCAGACACAGACGGGAAATCTCAACATGACCGCTATCGTTGGCATGGCTGTCTTCACCCAATATTGGTACTGGTTCCCACTAACACACTTTTTGTCTCTCAGCTTCACGCCAACAGCAATCATTGGTGTCGATCAGGATCTTGAGATTCCATCATTCAAGTTCCACAGCAATACCAAACCAAGCATGTTCGATTATCCGCCTGAGCAAGAGGTGAAGACCGAGGAGGCACCAGAGAAAGTCAAAACTGCAGTTCTATCAACGACTGCGCAAGACAAGCGCCGAAAGCTGGTCAAGGCCCGCCAACGAAGGCGTGAGAGCATGGATGTTGATCAGACTCCAACAACACCAAAAATATCCGCAGCAGACGAGGACAAAATGGATCTCGATGAAGAGCCAAAGAAAGACGAGAAGGCGGAGGGTGAGGAGAGCACGCCTTCAAGTGACATATCCAAGAAGAAGGCGGAAAAGGAGAAGGTTGGCTACGATTTGGAAAACATGTCGCGCGTGCTGCCAGCTCAGGTTAAGTATATAAGCTTCCCTGAGGAGCGATATGTTCCAGTCAAGAAGGTCAGTAACCTGGTGGCAAAGCCCGCATGACAAAACTAACATCATTCAGCCAACTGGTGGTGTTATCCTCCTCACAGACACCGAGCCCTCGGAGCCGAAGAAGCTGCTTGAACTCAAAGTCAAGAAAGCAGCACCAGCTCCAACACCTAGTGCAGCAGGCCCATCAGGAGACCAAGCTCCTGAGGGAGTGACTGCGCCTGCGTCTGCTGCTCCAGTGAGCGGCAATGTAGTGGATGAAGGGGAGGATGAAGCAGAGCTACCTGGCGAATTTGAGTATCTCTCGGACGGAGGCGAGGGAGACGATGATTGAGGGGTTAATCAATGGCAATGAGGGAATTCTATGTACCATTAGTTTGGCCTTTATGCAGGCGGGGAACGCAGACTAGCATTGATTCAGGCGTAGGGAGGCAAGAGGAGCGTCAACCAGCTCGCCTAGACTTTGCTTCAGCAATGTATAATAACCGATGCGGCTTACTGCACATTTATACATATACTCGTATGCTAGAATATATCATGGCACTAGGCGTGTGTGTGTTTGTGTGTGTACTGACGGATTTGGAGTGACGGGAACTAGTCGGACCGGGTGATGCCGAAGCTTGGCAGAGGCTGGTTCATCAAATGATCTCGCGGATGTTGCAAAAAGTTCGAGCTCGACTTCAATCCCGCAATGACCCTTCGACCGCCGATACCACGAGCGATTTCGATTCAGGATACGAATACCCTCTGTCTGCGATGTTGGAGGAGACTCTCGCGCACCTCTCCACCCCCGAGACATTCCTTCACCACGGTCCCATCTGCAAGGCATGGTGCGGTAGCTGTGGGAAAGAGCCGGAATTCGTTCAGCAAGGACTACTTCTGGGCAAATCCAACGCTTAAGGAGTCATTAGGAAATTCATTGGCGCGGTCGAAGCGCGAATTGCAGAGCTCAGTCGCGAGTGCCAAAGCGGGAGCATCAGCTGATGCCACATCTGATGAAATCCTTCCCCATCGCCGGAAGAAGAAGAAGACACAAGAGCAAGCTGCGGGAAGTGCAGAGACAGACTTCCCAATTCCTCCAGATGCGTCCTCCAAGTTAACAACGCTGTCATCCAATCTGCCCACCCAGTCTATTCGGCGACTGCTGGCAACGTACCTGTCCCTGGCAAAGCCTCGACTGAGTTTCCTCGTGGTTCTCACAGCAACTGCCGCGTACTCGTTATACCCTGTCCCAGGACTGCTGGCTCCAGCAGCAACAGCTACACCATCACTATCTACCCTCACATTGCTATTCCTCACAACAGGTACCGCACTATGTTCGTCTTCCGCGAACGCCTTCAACATGCTCCTCGAGCCCACCCACGATGCTAAAATGAGCCGAACTCGTAACCGGCCCCTCGTGCGAAAACTCATTAGCCCGAAAGGAGCTTTGATTTTTGCCATTGGTTGTGGGGTGGCTGGTACTGGCGCTCTCTTCTATGGCGTCAATCCAACCACTGCCTTCCTCGGTGCCGCGAATATACTTCTCTACGCCGGCATATATACCCCCATGAAGCGCATGTCTGTCATAAATACCTGGGTTGGAGCAATAGTTGGTGGCATACCACCGCTGATGGGCTGGACAGCGGCGGCGGGACAATGTGCGCACGAAGGGACATGGCAAGAATTGTTGTTTGGAGAGAGCTCTGCAGGGGGCTGGTTATGTGCAGCGCTGCTCTTCGCATGGCAGTTTCCACACTTTAATTCATTGAGCTGGGCGATTCGGGATGAGTACAAGCATGCCGGTTATCGCATGCTGTGTTGGGTGAATACAGCGCAGAATGGGCGCGTAGCATTACGATATGCGCTCCTCATGTTTCCGGTTTGTTTTGGTTTGTCTTTTTTCGGTGTCACAGATTGGGGTTTCGTGGCCACAAGCAGTGCGGCGAATGGGTGGATGGCGTGGAAAGCGTACGAGTTTTGGCGAGAAAAGGGTCATAAAGGGACGGCAAGAGGGCTTTTCTGGGCTAGCGTGTGGCATCTACCCATCGTCATGGTACTCGCCATGGCACAGAAGAAGGGGCTGATGGAAAGAGTTTGGAGAAGCATTGTGGGATACCCAGAGGAAGACGATCTGTACTATGACGTCGAAGAGGAGTTGGGTTCAGAAAAGGAGACGCCTGATGCACTAGTTGGCGAGAGAGGCGTATCATAACCTCTTCGAGGCACCTTGTTCCCCCATAGTAAGTGGACTATATCTGTCTTGGCTTCATACTTGGCTTTAAGGAACGGGCGGCGGCTTCCTGCAAAGTTTCCTGGTTTCCGGATCGTGGCTGATCAGAGCTTTGCAGGCACCTGTCTCAATACATACATGTAGTATATGTCATCAACACGAATCTAGACAATCATACTCAAGCGTGATCGAAACAAATCTACCATTTCTAGTCGCCTAGGCTCTGGTCATTCCAATCGCAATGATTCTACTTCATTCCTGTGCTCCTTCAAACGGGATAGTATTATGGTGGTTGCATGGCGCATCAATTAGTCGCTGGAGCTGATGTATTTTTGGTACTAGGGTGCAATGGGCAACGCGCTTGCTAGTTGCTGGGCTTGTTTAATATGCATCTGGGTCACAAGGTTGAGATTGAATATCTGAGAAGAACCATCTGACGCAAAGCTGAAATCCGCCAGGAGAACCTGAAGATTCTGGGCAAACACCGTCTCCATCCATCCAATACGAGGTACATTTCTTTGAGGTAAGTTTCAAGTCTCTTCCCATCGCGAGACTCAAATAACATGTATCGTCCGGATTCAGCGATGCCCAGTCCACCCAATCTAAACCCCAGATCACGCGTTTCAGCTACTGGCACCTACACACGGATAAACACCCGGTCGCCAGGGACGAAACAGAGTCTCTTCATATAAACACCATCAAATATTTGTTTAATTCTCTTGCCGCAATACTCGGCATCCGCGTGCCTTTTACCCGCCGGCTTCATTTCGCCAGGTGTGGGCTTGACTACGTGCAGAAATCGCGGCGTACCACACATATCGCAGTATGGGGTGCATATTAAAATTTTCCTGACATTGTGGGGAGTAGGTAGATGACTGGAGTGGCTGATAGACGAATGCTATGTCGTGGCCAAGTATATAACGCTATCCTACGCTTCTTCATTTTTCTGTTTCTCTGTCTCTCTCTAGGACCAACCTCTGAATCCAAACCCAGCTTCCCTCTCCACCACAGATCGAAGACCAGGCCAACCACCACATACACCGCCCACGATGAAATTCCTCCTCCCCAGCCTTGCCCTCCTCTCCGCCACCACCTCCGCGCACTACACCTTCCCGGCCCTCATCGCCAATGGCGCCACAACCTCCTCCTGGCAATACGTGCGCAAAACCACAAACTACCAATCCAATGGGCCTGTCACCGACGTCACATCCACTCAAATCCGATGCTACGAGCTCGCACCCGGAACAGCCTCCCAGACCATGACGGTGAAAGCGGGAGATACTCTGGGGTTCACAGCTCAAAGTAGTATCAGTCACCCAGGCCCACTAATGTTTTATATGGCAAAGGTGCCAAGTGGCAAGACGGCGGCGACGTGGGACGGTAGTGGGGAAGTGTGGTTTAAGATTTTCGAACAGGGGGCCACTATTACAAGTGCGGGGATGAGTTGGGCGAGTCAAGGTATGGATCTTTTTTTTTTCTTTTGTAGATCGACCCCGTTGCCTCCTCGTTTCCACTCAGAACAAACCGGGTAATAGCACTAACCCCCTATCCCAGGCGCCAAACAAGCCACCGTCACAATCCCCAAATCCCTCCCGTCAGGCGACTACCTTTTCCGTATCGAACACATCGGCTTGCACTCTGCAGGCTCTGCTGGTGGGGCTCAATTCTATATTTCATGTGCCCAAATTACGGTTACGGATGGTGGCAGTGGGAGTCCAAGCCCGCTGGTCAGCTTCCCTGGCGCGTATAAGGCGTCGGATCCGGGGATTATGCTTAATATTTATTATCCCGTGCCGAAGAGTTACACTTGCCCCGGGCCGAAGGTTTGGTCTGGGTAGAGTGGGGGATAGGGGAAGGGGAGATGAAGGGAGAAGGGGGTGAGGGGTTGAATCTGATTTAGAGATTTGGCTGAGTAAAGTACTTGACCTTGTTATGTTGTGTTTGTGCTTTGAGAACCTATCATTCGAACACTCTAGAGTGTTAAGAAGACAGTGAAGGAGACTGGTATTAAGTTCTGAGCACGTAAAGAACCCCAAGAAAACAGGTTCAGAAATCCTCTTTCAAGTTTTTAACCACCTAGCTTGCGTATCGACCTATACCATTTTCAATATCTCTACCTACTAGAATGCAATAGGTGGGATTGCGAATTGAGCCTTCGGCATTGTAGTTTATCTCCTCCTCCTGAACCGGAACCCAGTTTCCTCCTCATCGCTATCTTCATCCCTCTTGGTGACCTTACTTCTCTTACTCGGACCCGCGGCTACAACCGCTGGGCCTCTCTTCCTTGCTCCTTTCCGCGTCTGCGTCTGCGTCTCTTCAATCTGCGTCTCTTGAACACGCTGTGTTCTCCCACTCCCCGGTGTCTCCTCCAGCGCCTCTTCATCATCCAACCCACTATCTGAAATATGAATAACGTCCGATTGCTGCGGCTGCTGCTGCTGCTGCTGCTGCTGCTGCTGTTTCCTCTTCCTCCTCGTAAACCCTGGTTCCGGCTCCGAGCTATCGTCACGGGGTCGCCCAATCCTACGAGCAAGCCTCCTCTCATCCTCCTTAGACCTTGTCTTCTGCTCTTCCTCAAGGAAAAACGCATCCCCTAAGACCCCGCCTTTCTTCTGTGGCACCTCTTCAAACGGCACGATAACCTTCTGCATCTCAGGTCCCCTCGCCGCGCCACGTTGACGGAACTTCTTGAAGTTCTTGCGTCCGTTCCACTCCTCATTCCAGCGGTCACTTCGTACCTTGTTTTGTTGAAGTTGTTGGTGTGACCGTCGGCCGCCACGTGAGCGAGGCAACACGTCCATTTCCTCGATTTGCACGAGATTACGGATTTCAGAGATATCAACACCATCAAGCATTTCGCGGAGGCTTTCTTCGTCGGCGCGCTGCCGTTCTTCTTCTTCTTGGATACGCTGTCGTGCTTGCTCACGCACGTCGATAACCTTGGTGACGTTCTTTAATTTGTGGACGTTGTCAAGCATCTTTGGTCGACGGGGGTCGGTAAGCGTCGCCTCTGGCTCTAGGGGTACCGAGGGCCCGCGTGTAGCAAGCCGTCGCTTTCTTATAGCCGCAGCAGTAGGGAAAAGTGTGTGGAGTTGGTCGTTTTCTTCGATGGTTTCGCGAACGGGAGATGGGCACTTCCGACCGATAGGAATGGAGCGAGATTGGGTGTCTTGGAAGGAATCTTGAACAGGATTGAGTTCCTGAATGCCTTCCTTGGGAGCGTTGTTCATCTTTCGAGATTTGATAGGAGGTTCGTAGTCGTCAAAGCCGGTGAATCGGCTTTGTGTTATAGCTCGACGGATGGGGCGTTTGCGAGGGATGGTCTTGGGAAGTTCTTCGGGGACTGGAGTGGTTTCGAGGACTTGGGATGGTGCTCTAGTTCGGGCGACTGGAGTTCGGTCGCGCATTGAGGATTCGGGCGCTGTGGTTGCTGGCATGCTGGAAGCTACTTCTAGCTTGGATGGCGGTTTCTGGAGGGAAGAGGTGTCCTTCGTGATGATAGCATCAAGAAATTCATTCTGGAGGATGGAGCGCTGATTCAGTGCTTGGTCGACACCAGTCACAAAGTTCATAGCCCACTCATCCATCCCTTCTGGCCAATTTGAAAGCCGGACTGTGACAACGGGCAGGCGATCATTTGATTTAGCCCGCCTCTTTTGACCAGCAGTGTTCTTCACAAACTCGACGTACTCGTCCACAGTAGTCTCACCTGGACGCACATGAAACAGAAGTGCCTTCCCTCCGCCTCCTGCAATGGGCTCATGTAAGCTGTTGTACTGACCTTCATCAAGGAAGACGAAGGAAAGCCCATGGAAGACTTCGGCCCTGCCCAGGTCTGGCTCCAACATCTCATCTGACCGCTCAATCGGTTCTGCACTTACTGGGGGAATAAATTTCTTTTCATTCGGCCAGCACCTATCAAAGTCCTCCTCAAGCTTTGAAGGCAGATACTTCTCTGGATCCTCATTCTGGGGAGCAGCGACTTGTATTATAGCGTCGAGAAACTTGCTCGTCACAATAGGAGTACCTGTCACGAGAGCTTGTAGTACTTTTGGAAGGTTTCGTTTGGTGGACACGACGTGGGTGGTCCTACCGTAGACGAAGTCGGATGAGGTCTTGATATCGAGGGCATGCAGGAGAGCCTTAGTTTCCTTAGCTTCCTTCGAGGCATACGTGATGACCACTTGAAACCATTTAATTCTTTCCTTGTGGTTAGCTAGTGTTCGTGAGGAAAATAACCGGCAACCACATACGTAAATGGAGGATATGTGAATCCCAATTTGATAACATGCTCCGTCCCCGAGAGAAACATGCTGCGCTGTTCCCCCTCCTTATTCGTCAATTTAGTGCCATCCACAAAGGTCCCCGAATTGCCACTCAGGTCGGTGATCTCAACCTGAGTCCTCGAATGCAAGTTCGTACCATCTCTTGGCGAGACCTCCGAAACCTTGAGCATCATATGTTTCCGCGACACTCGTTTGCTGTCGATGAAGCAGGCTTTCCCTTCGCCTGCACCGGTTTTGCCTGGGTTTGTCCGACCGTAGAGGAGCTGCGTGCCTGGTCGCAGCCAGACTCGCCTCCCTCCAAAGAGGCTTTCGTGCTCGAGGATCCACATGAGGTTGTGTGGTGGTGAGAATCGGCTCAACTATGGAATGTTCGGATGAGACTGGGACATGGTGCTCCAGCTTGGAGGCACCTGTTCGCCGTCGCGAGGTTGCATGGAGGCTCGTGAGGGAGAGTGATTAGGCGGCAAGCGCGGTTGCCAAGACTTTCACGTGCTCACGTGCTGTCCGCATCACCTTGGTTTCTACACCCTCAGGCTCCTGTTTCACGTCCGTGAATCCTCCCAAGACAATGAGCAGTCGCACCACAGTTGCCCGCATCTCTATCATTCAAAGCTCCGCTCATCGCACCTTTAGCTCCACCTCCTTGTCTGGATCCCCCGCCAGATTCCCAAGCTTGAGTCCCAAGCTTGAAAACGGACCGCCATTATTCCACACGTCTTAATTCAGCAACATTCTCGGTACCATTTCTATATATCAGCGAACAGTCTCCTCTGAAAATTCTCGGAGCCCATTCACATAGCTAAGTGAAGTCAGGGTGATTGGCATTCGGGTAGTTGACTAAAAAGGCCCCCAGATTGAGAGTCCGGAAGCTTTACTAGCCAGCATCTCGCCGAAAACCAAACAGGGCTCACTGGTGGCCAAAGTTAAAGCATTTTACAACTGAACCCCACGGCTTACACGTGGAGAAGAATCGCCGATGCGTTTCGTAAGGCTCCTTACCTTTCACACCATCTCCTGGTTGAGCCAAGGTCAGCAAAAAGAGGAGCTCTAATTAGTCTCCATTTCGGAGCGGCAACTGCCGGGCCTGCCAATCTCAAATGTCAGACTTTAGTCAGAACTGTATATATAGTGGGATGTAAGCGTAAAACTGACACCTCCATTCCTGCACATTGCTTAATTTCCCACAACAACAGGCTTTCAGCTTCAGCTTAGAGAGCTTATGCAGTTTACTCATATTTACACTGATCGGAAGGCGTCCCGTGTCTTTGCACTCAAAAGAGGATAGTCTGGCGAGCCTGCAGTAATTCTATCCCGGATCGAGATAACCTGCATGCAATCGAGGACTTAGGTTCCACCCAAACCTTGGAGAAGCTGACATTTACTCGCACTTTGTGGCTAGGTGAGGCAAACCTATTGGATCAGCATGCGTGCCCAAGTATTTGGATAGACGCCCTAGTTCGCCCTGATCCTACCTTCGTGTGACCAAGTGGGATCAGCAAATAAGCATATAAAGGTTCTAGGTCGCTCTAATCTGAATTATAAACTCAATACATCAGTTTCTCATCCATCACAGTCTCACATTTGACCTCCATTACTTCACTATGTCTGCAGAAGACTTCGTCCAGAAATCTTACGACTACGTTATTTGCGGAGGCGGGACAGCAGGTCTCGTGCTCGCAGCTCGCCTCAGTGAAGACCCGAATATCACTGTTGGCGTTTTGGAAGCTGGAGAAAATCGATTGAATGATCCCTTGATTGACGCTCCCGCTCTTTACATTCAAACATGGGAGAAGCCGGAGTATGACTGGTGTTTCAAGACAGTGCCTCAAGCAAGTAACCACCAATCATCTCTAGTCTGATTCTATATGCTGATGTCTTGTGCAGAAAGGGACTGCGAATCGTGTTCATGGATGGGCTCGAGGGAAGGTCCTTGGAGGATCATCGGCCATCAACTACAACATGTTCTCGATGGCCTCTAGACAGGATCTCGACAATTGGGCCGAGCTAGGGAACAAGGGATGGTGGGTGTTGGTCCTTTAGCAGGCGCAGAGGTACTCACATGTTCAAGGGGTTTCAATGATATGGCTCCGTACTACCGCAAATTCGAGACGTATAATCCACCATCTAAGATTCTGTCCTCCAAGATTAACGATAGATATGTCGACCCGCTTCTTCGGGGAACGAGCGGTCCGATTCAGGTGTGTGCCGTAAGCTATCAGTAAATGTCCAAAACTCATGTTTTCAGATTTCATTCTGCGAGGCCGACTTCCAATGGGCCCAAGAAGCATGGCCAGAGACATGCATCAATGCAGGGTATGATTTAGCTTTGGATTAGTTCATTTCTTCGGCCTCTAATTCTCACAGGTATCCGGCTCCAAAAGATCCACGTAGTGGTTCCGCTATCGGGGGGTTTAATCAACTCACCACTGTTAATCCTAAGACGATGCAGAGAAGGCTAGTTTCCCAGGGCAGATTATTTCATATTCGCTAAATTTTCTTAGTTACTCTGCGAGAGATTACTATGAACCCAATGCCGGCCGACGAAATCTCTCCGTACTGACCGAAGCACTGGTCGCTAAAATTGAGTTTGAGAAGGGTGGTTCTGGCAACGCCATAGCAACGGGAGTGAAATTCTTTGCAAGTGGCGCTGAGCACACAGTTAAGGCAAACAAGGAAGTCATTGTGTGTGGTGGAGTCATCTGTTCTCCCCAGATCCTGGAACTCTCTGGCATCGGTTCTGCCAGTCGTCTTCAGAATGTCGGCATTGAGATTGTAGTTGACAATCCCAATGTTGGCGAGAATCTTAATGAACATTCTGCCACAGGCATCTCCCTGGCAAGTGATATCCCCTTACAATGGCTATATTTCTATACTTACAATCTTTCAGGCAGTCAAGGACGAATACCCCACAGCAGAAGTCCTCCTTCGCAATCCCGAGATCGCACAGCAAGCCATGGAGGCATACATTACTCACAAAGCTGGCCCATTTGCGAATGCTCCAACAACTACCGGATTCGTGTCCCTGTCACTTGCCGACCCGAACCTCGCGGACCCAGAAAAGCACATTAACACCCTCATATCAGATTTCCAGAAAGCCAATCCCGATGCGGACCCGGCCGGGCGTGCACCACTACTCGGACGTCAAATTCTTGACCCCAAAGAAGCCATTGCACAAGTAGTCTTGCTTTCAGTCGGCGCAGATATTCGTAACTCGGATTCTGCTGCAAAGCTCTTCATGCACGATGCACCTGGAAATTGGATTACATTAGGGGTGTGCAGCACGCGGTCTCTTTCTCGCGGTAGCGTACACATTGAATCACCCGACCCTAAGAAACACCCAGTCATTGATCCTGCATACTACTCGCATCCTCTTGACCTTGATCTGGCTGCCCGTGGTATCCTGCACGCTATTTCTCTCACTCAGTACGAGCCCCTGCACTCCAAGATGAAGCGGGATGAGAAGGGCGGTCTAATCCTGCCTCCATGGATACCAGCGATTCCCACGACTTTGGAAGAGGCGAAAGAAGTTGCTTCTAGTAATACAGTGACTGAATATCACCCAATTGGTACCTGTGCAATGCTACCGAAGGAGAAAGGAGGTGTTGTAGATAGCGATTGTAAGGTCTACGGAACGAGTAATGTTCGGGTTGTGGATGCTAGTATCTTCCCTACAAATGTGCAAGGAAACATTATTTCCCTCATCTATGCTGTTGCGGAGAAGGCAGCGGATATCATTAAAGGGAAGACGTCAGATGAGGTGAACGGGCATTAGGCAGAGATTCCGCTCCTCCCTACCCACTACCCGGATCCAGCTAGCGGAGATAAATTTAAGGTCTACAATTCCCATTGGCGTTCTGTCCAGTGGTGTCAGGATTCCCTCTTTGAGTACGTGATGTGACTTGGAGGCGGTCAGCTACTGAAAGACCTCCTTTACTCAAGTCTATTTTGCCTGACAGCTTGGCCGACCTAGAACAACAGCACTACCAACCAAACACACTCTCTCGTATTGATATCACCATACATTCCTCGAAGCCGAATCCACATTCCGCGTCGAGAGCGTAATTGAGGCCCTGGAGGTTTGAAAGCAAGGAACTTCACCGCCTACAGGACTAACTTAAGCGCTCAAACCCTACCAAATATGCATTCAAAGCTCAGCCTACGACTCTGAGAGAAGTAGGACTCCTCAGAAAGCCCACGTAAAGCCCACCAACTAGAGAGCAGAGGTTGTCCCGCGGTACGTATCTAATATCAATATTCACCACGTACCCTGAATCCTGGACGCCTAGATTAGAAGATACTGGTTGGTAGATCTTCCTGCTATTTTGCACTACGTATTAATATAACTGGCACTGGATGAAACTCGGAACACTTTAAAATTCAATTGTGGACTTCACAACTCCAAGAAGTGGGTTGTGTGTAGGTGAGGAGGTCTTTGAGCAACTCTAGCGCTAGTACTCCAAGAATGGCAAGACCTTTCGACTCTTGGATCTCCCTGAGGAACTCTGCTTGGAGATATATGGGTTGGTACGGCTAGACGATATCTATCCACGCGTGAGCGAGGTGAGTCCGGGGAGGAATTGTGTAGCTTTGAGTACGTCCACATCCCGAGGCCCCGGTGGCGCTGTTGGATGGTATGCATGATGCAGCGGACGAGATCCTGCAACTACCAACCGCACTTAGGTACCTGGGAAATATCTTCTGCCCAATCTCTGACGACTTGGTAGGATGTTCTGCTTTCTGCTCGACGTGCTGGGACCTACTCACCTCATCTTGGACAATAGAGATGGGAGACAATGCGCAACACGCAGACCAAATTCACTCTACGTTTCAAGAGAAGACCACCAAGCTGATACTGACCTTTGCTATGGAACACGTGCCCCATATTCCAGAGGCTGACTTCGAGGGATACATTAAGGTAAGTACAAAGGTGAAATTTGACCTCTACTCTTGTAAAACCTTAAGAGAACCCAGATGCGGCTGAGTCTACGAAGAACGTCGAGGATCTGGGTGAGAATGATTTGCAATTCTTAAAAGCAGTGTTTAGGATTGAACTGCCGCTTTATCTTTATTTTACAGGCCGCCAGAATACGAATGCACTTACAAGTCCGGATTTTGGGGTGTTGGAAGGATGTACCCGCAGGTATAATAAACCGGAGCCACGTACGCTTTTCGAAAATTATAAGTTTAGTTATAACGATTAAGCTATGAGCGAGGGCAGAGTATGTCGAACGCATTGTTCCTGCATCACCGCGAGGACAATGCTTGAGATGAGAGACAACGATACGTATAAGGCCCACGTGGATTGACAATGGGATAGTGCCAAAGGTCCTTTGAGGGACTCCCTAGTTACTTACTAGAGGGAAGGATTTTCTCGACTTCCAATACACTCCAGAATAATCAAAGATCACTCTGTAAAATTTGCTTACCTGAAGTGAGGATCTAAGGCATTTTCATCAATAAGCGTTGGATTCTCACACGTCCATACCCTTCCTTGCACCATCCAGCCTCGGCAACTTTCCAGAACATCCTCGATCGCCCCAAACATGGCCTGAATTCACATGGGTTTTTATTTCCAGTGGACTGACACTGAAGAGGCGTCGTCTTGTCGACCCACTGAAATCAGGCCATGCAGCCAAGCCATCTTACCCTCTCCGGCAAGGCGCATCCTGGGGCTGATGTCTGTGGGGAGCACCAACTCGGCAATCATTATCAGGACCGAGGCACGATGCTGCATTATTTGATCGGTGTCCCTGCGCGGATACGATATGTTTTACTACATATACTTTGATCTGAGCTAACCTCTGCACTTACCTACAGCTTCTAGAGGACTAGATAGACATCATGCCGACTGCGTCAAAGAGGATTCCTGCAGTCGTACGGCCGCTGGTGAGTGAGCGTGCGGCGAAGACTCTTGATCTTGTAAGTTATCGTAGCTTTGCCTCAATACCTTCTGTATATATTCTGATGATGGTAACTAGGTCGAGAAATTCGTGAACGAAGAATGCCTCCCCGCCGATCCCGTTTACCACGCCCAGCTCGGCGAAGGCCCGGGTCGTTGGGATTACCCGCCTATAATGGACGACCTGAAGGCGAAAGCGCGAGCCCTTGGCCTCTGGAACATGTTCCTCGCAAAAGGGCATTATAAAGAGGGCGCAGGCTTCACCAACCTCGAATACGGCTTGATGTGCGAACAGCTCGGCAGATCGAGGGTTGCGTCAGAAGCAATGAATAATTCTGCACCAGATACCGGTAATATGGAAGTGCTGGCGAAGTATGGATCGGAAGCGCTGAAGAAGAGGTGGTTGGAGCCGCTGTTGAATGGAGAGATTAGGAGTTGTTATGTTATGACGGAGCCAGGGGTCGCGTCGAGTGATGCAACGAATGTTAGTTTAAGTATTAAGAGGGATGGGGACTCGTACGTGCTCAATGGCCAGGTTAGTCTTCCTCTGATACAGCTCTTATATGATTCTAATTTGTGGTAGAAATGGTGGATTTCAGGAGCTGGTGACCCTAGGTGCAAGGTCTACGTAATCATTGGGAAGACAAATCCAAATCACCCCGACAAGTATAAACAGCAGTCGATTATTGTTGTTCCAACAGATACTCCAGGTATTGAGGTCAAGCGCATGCTCTCAGTCTACGGCTACGATGATGCTCCACATGGCCATGCGCATATAATCTTCAGGGATGTACGGGTCCCGGCAGAGAATATTGTGTTGGGTGAAGGAAGAGGCTTTGAGGTTATGCAAGGGCGTATGGGTCCAGGCCGTATCCACCACGCTATGCGAAGTATTGGAGCTGTGAGTACTCAAAAGACATAACACGTCGATCTAACATTGACGACTTCAAGGCCGAAGAAGCTCTGAACTGGCTCCTGAAACGAGCAAACGATGAAAAGAAGAAGCCCTTTGGCAAACTCCTCTCCCAACAAGGTGTCATCCTTCAGTGGATAGCCAAGTCGCGTATTGAGGTCGATGCAGCACGCCTCATTGTTCTCAACGCCGCTGCAGCTATCGACTCCGGTGATGCTAAGACAGCCTTGATGGAAATCGCGCAGGCAAAGATTCTCGTCCCGACCATGGCTTTGACCGTGATCGATCGGGCTGTGCAGACGTATGGTGCGGAAGGTGTCTGCCAAGACACGCCTCTGGCCTATATGTGGGCTCAAGTTAGGACAGTAAGGATTGCAGATGGACCGGATGAGGCGCATTTGGAGCAGCTGGGAAGGAGAGAGAATAAGAGGGCTAAGGAGGCGAGCGATTTGATTCAAAAACAGTCGGAAATTACGGATGCATTGATGCGGAAGTGGGGGGCTAAGGAAGTTGGACCTTGCCCAAGATTGTAAAAGTGGGTTCATCTCTGTTGAGCGTTGGTCTGTATGCTATTTAATCTGAATGTTTTCGAGCGATTCTTGATTGGTGATATCGCACCTCAAGAATTTCTGTTTTGGGATGATGAATCAATACCGAGGGATATGTATTGCAGCTGTAGTAGTATGCAAGCGTCAGTTGACCTCTACATGCAAGCTAAGCACTCCATGTTCTCCACATTCTTGAAAGAAACATCAGGGTTTCAGTCTTGCTCCGACTTTTCAGCTGCTCTTACTAACCTGCTTGTGAATGACGACCGTCTACAATAATCCAGATAAGGTGAGCTGCACGTCCCAAAACTACTAAAAATTAGAAAAACAGGATCTTGATATCTCAAAAACGGCACAATAATGAAACCAAAATAATAATTAGCTTTGTATACAGATTTTGTGGCTCATATCTGACTCTAAATGTAATTTATTAAATAATTCTCGAGGTAGTTTTAGCAATTCAGCTTAAAATTAGAGGCCAAACCTTGATACTTTCTTAACGTCTAAACTCATTACCCACGACCTTTAACAGCAGTCATAAAATTTCTCAAAGCAGGTATCAAAAGCTATACTATATAGATATTTAGAACTAATTATCAAGTCGTTTATCAGATATCAAGATATCTGTTTTCTGATTTTTGGTCGATCTTGGGGCGCACAGCTCACTAGTAGAACAGGATACAGAAAACTCTTGGGTCTCCGGAGGACCCGCCCGCTGTGACATCCTGAACACCCCCAAGGTCCCGTCTCGAGGGAAGAGCATCTCCCTAGATCTATATACGACGTAACACTGGTGATAGCGAAAATGGCGAGGAATACAATTGTAAGGCGATTTCCATTAAACCTCCCAGCTGTGATATGGCGCATGCTGAGCTAAAATTGGTCAAGTATCTCCTAATCCTCGCACTTGTTGGGCCATACTTGTACGATCGGTACCTCGCCTATTGGCCCATGGTCGCAAATTTACCAAGTCGGATGAAGCCTATATACACATTTAGATCTCACGAACTGAAATTTCAAGACCGAATAAGGAATTGCGAGGATGTTGTGCTGGACGAGGGCATGGGGTTGGCGATTCTGAGTTGCGATGCGGGGAGAGATAGGTGGAATACTGTTATGGTGAGAAAATTTCTATGGCATCCGTTCAGCTTCATTGAGCTCTTTATCTCAACTTAGAAACGATGGAGTGTGTTGAGTCAACAACAGGCATCTTTCCATCCCGAAAAGGGTATCATAAGCGGTGGCCTCTATCTCTATGACTACTCAACCTCCAATCTCCCAGATTCAGACGCCCTAAAGCCGCTGACACTTAAAAACTTCGACACCACCGACTTCCACCCCCTAGGCATAGACTTTGACGCCGCGACGTCCACACTCTACGTCGTCAACCACGCGCAATCCGGCTCCGCAATCGAAGTCTTCAACCTCTCTGTCAAATCCGCAATCGCGACCCACGTCCAGACTTTCAAGCACCAACTCTTGCACTCCCCAAATGCCATCCAAGTCCTAGGCAAAGGGAAAATCTTGTTCACAAACGACCACTACATCCGCGCCTCATTGTCACCTTTCTTGTCTCAAGTCGAAACCTGGGGTGGGATCCCGGGTGGCAGCGTGATATATGTTGATCTCGCGGACCCGCTGGCTGCAAAGACGGTTGCGTGGGTGCCGTTTGCAAATGGTATTGTGATGTTGAATCAAACCACCTTAGCGGTAGCCAGTAGTTCGAAGCCCGGGGTGCTATTCTACACCGTGACGCCGCAGTATGATCTCCAGTACAAAGGCTTCATCCGCACGCCTTCGACAGTCGATAACATCTCCGTCGACGGCAAAGGTAAGCTCTTGATAGCCGGGCATCCATTCCCTCCTACGTTATTCACAGTCGCGAAGAACCGTTGGCGGTGTGATTTGGAGAGTGAGGAGGCGGATGAGAAGGAGGCTTGTCGATGTAATGCGCCGAGTTGGACCGCGGAGTGGAGTGAGGGGGATGGGCTTAGGGATTTGTATAAAGGGTTTGAGATTTGTAGTAGTAGCAGTGTGGTTAGGGATACGGGGAGGGGGGTGGGGATTATTAGTGGGCTGTATGAGAGGGGGATTATGGTGTTTAAGGACTAGGTGATGGGGAAATGAATGGATTCTGTGGATTTGTATATACCGGTAGGGATTCCCGGTGCTACTCACGATCTTCTTGAATTCCAAACGTGATCTAGCAAGGGAGTAAAGAGGACACTGCTATGCTATCAAGATTCCGTGGTGGGTCATAGTATCGCCTCAACCTACCTACGGCCAAGGCCTAATGCTGCACAGATAACGTATGTAATATATATCTCAATAAGTAAAAGGGGGTATATTCTTAACTAATGTCATCTGATCCCAAGGAGCCAACTAATGCAAATACTGAAGGGCGCAACAACTCCCGCTGAGCGTTCAAGAACGAAAAGGTTGGAAACGCTGCAAATCCAGTATGCAAATCGGCCCAAACGCCTACACCAACAACCATGCGATATAGCTAAGAAGAAAGAATGAAAGAGAGGGAAATGATGAAGAAAGGAGCTCGAGGGCCAAACTAGCCAATTACAACAAATTAGGCATGACGTCGTGAATAAATCCAATCAAAGGAGAGAAGAAGTGTTTACTTTCTTTCACGTACGTCTCCATCTCCGTCTACCTTCGCGCCGGTGCTACCTTCTAGAGGCGGAATCTTCTCGATATCTTTCTCACTGTTCTTGCGCTCCCCTAGACCCTCGCTCGGAGTCATAGGTGGAAGACCACTTTCCATACCCGGCGAACTCTGCCATTTTGCGACATCTTGTTTAAGTGCTTCCAACTCTTTCTGGAAACGCTTTCCAAACACGTCGATGTAGTATGTGGCGCCATTGTAGATACTCCACATGAAGACTACGGCTAGGAATCCGCCGCTGAACCATCGATACCAGAACCAGAGGGGACAGGGAATCATTGTCAAGCAGGCGTAAAAATACTGTATCATCATGAAGGCGGGTTCCTGAAGAAACTCGGGTAGAGAAAGAACAAATCTTCCGATCCAAGTTTTGGCATATGATTTTCGGAGCCAGGTGAACGAGGTAGGACGACCCGCGGCGATCTTCTCCCGACGGCGGACAGTTATCATGAAGTGGTAGGAAAGCTGCCATATGGCGTACGGGATGGTGGCCCAGAGCATCATTTGCGGAAGGCTGTAGTGCCCTGGAGAGTCAGGCGCTGAAGTACGGATGTTGTAGATGGCTGGATAGCGCTGCTGCTGATAGTCGAGTGGAAGGAGGTGGACGAGACAGTGTAGCGTCACACACGGCATAATGTGGATGAAGAGACTAGCATAATCAGCGGGGCTATTGTCCACAGGGGAATACAAACTGACCTGACTACTTTGTCCATGGAATGGAAGACGAGGGAGTTGCGCCACATGGCGATGGCGACGGCGTTGTTCCCGAAAGCTAGACAATAAGTGGAGATGAAGAGTCGCTTCGAGCCCGGGAAGACCCAGATGCTAAGGAGGGCTAGGACGTTGACGAAATAGCAAAGATCTGCCAGAAAGTAGTGGTAACCTTTCTTGTGGTACGTGTAGAAGCGGATAGGCATAAAGTAGAGTAGTTGGACCGAGTACCATATAGGGAAGAATTCGGGCCGGGCTCCAACCAGATAGCCAGAAACGAAGACATTCATGACGCCAGCGATGAATGAGGCCTTTTCTCGAGCAGTCACAGCACTGGCGTCATTCCAGCGAGTGTTCAGCCGGTCGACAGAATGGCGCACCCGCTTCTTGTACTTGTCCAGCTGCTCGTCGGGGGTAGGAATCCTCCGACGCCATTCCTCCACGACGCGATCCTTTGTGCTCAGGCCTTGTTTCCTGAGACGAGCCTGGTGGCGCTTGACTTTTTCCGCTTGGGCTTGCCAGGTAGTCTGGAGCTTCTCAATGCGCTGGGGGAGGGCCAAGTTCTCGATGAAGTCGAACATGGTGAGGCGCTCGACGGGCGGGAAGAAGGAAGCATCTTCGGCGTCTGAACCCTCGTCCTGGTAGGAAGAGCTGTTGGAGAAGGAGTTGGTGCGCGAGAGGCCGGGGGTGGGTGTGGGCGAAGTGCAGATGGAGTTGTTACCGAGCAGCGCCGAGCCGCCGTGGGTAGAATCGCCAGGTAGGGGGAGAGCAGAGAGCTCTGAAGCTCCCCCGAGGTCTGGCTCCGATTTGGACTTGGGGGACATGACGGGGGGGGGTTGGTCGGCCAGGGCAGGAGTCTCCTCTTGGACCACGGCGAGTGCGGAGGAAGTGCGGCGGTGGGAGGGGCCTTTTAAATATCGTGGAGGAGAGCCTACAGCCATGGTAAGTGGATCGCTTCAGTGCAGTGTTGTGTGCCATCCATTTCTTTTGGCGCAGGGTTGATACAGGTAGGAGGCGAAAGTGGAAAGCACATACTGAGTAATTATGTGGGGTGGCAGGACCCTGGATGTGTTCTCATGACAGGGAAGCGACGACGGCTTGTGATGCGCGCAGCAACGGGGGGAGGAGAGGGAGGGCGGAGCTGGAGAGGACGTGGTGGAACTGGCGATGTTGATTGGGAGTCCAAGCCTTACGCTGGGAGCGTCATTGTGCAGCAGGCCCAGAGAACGAGGGTTGAGCGCGACGAGGAGTCACGAGAGCAGGCGATGAGTCGAAGTCTGCTGAAGCTCCGACGAGAGTGAAGATAGAAGTCAGAACAGTGGAAAGTGGGCAGTAGGCAGTGAATGCGGTGAGAATGCGGTGAAGTCCCGTCCAGCCTGGCACTCTTGTCTCGGCGATCCAGAGATCCTCTTCTGTCACGAGCGTGCGCGCTTGGCACTGCACAGGCCGCCTTCGACGCGATCTGGCGGCCGACGCGATATATCGCAACCCTCACCACCATTCACGGCCTTCACGGCTTGCACTACCGCATATCCACCCCCCCTTCCCCTCCCTCCCTCCTGGTCCTCTACTGCCCATACTTTCTTTGCAGCGCACCACGCCCATCTCGAGTCGCGCGCATTTCAACCGCCAACATGGGGAAGCTGGTGCAGTTGGAGGTCAACAGTAAGCATTTCGCTTCCGCAGTCTATCAGTACTCTGACCCGCTGTATTAGATTTCAAGTCGTACCGCGGCCATCATGTCTTGCTCTTCGGCGACTCGTATTTCACTTCTGTCATCGGCCCCAATGGCTCTGGCAAGTCCAACTCGTACGCTCCACCGCCCCCCACCACCCTCCCCCATTCGGAAAGCGCGACTGACCAAATCCCAGCATGGACGCCATTTCCTTTGTCCTTGGTATCAAGTCGTCTCACCTGCGCTCAACCCATCTACGAGACCTGATCTATCGCGGACGTGTCATTCGGACCTCCAAGATCAATGCCGACGGAACGGCGACCGAGGCTAATGGTGAGGCTGATAACCAGACCCAGCAGATTCGCGACACTCAAAATGGCGAATCCCAGACGAGCAGCCAGCGCCATGATCCCCAATCTGCCTGGGTGATGGCTGTCTACGAAGACGATGCCGACCAGATACACAAGTGGAAGCGTACCATTACCAGCGCAGGGCAGAGCGAGTATAGGATCAACGGTCGCCTTGTCAGCGCGAAGCAGTACAACGAGGCGCTCGAGGAGCAGAGCATTCTCATCAAGGCCCGGAACTTTCTCGTCTTCCAGGGCGATGTCGAACAAGTCGCGTCACAAAACCCCAAGGACCTTACACGTCTGATCGAGCAGATATCCGGCAGCCTGGACTACAAAGCCGACTACGAGAGGCTGAAGTCTGAGTCCGACCAGGCCACGGACAACCAGACTTCACAGCTCACGGCCCGTCGCCAGATCAATGCCGAAATCAAGACATACCAGGAGCAGAAGGCCGAGGCCGAAGAATACCAGAAACGAGTGGCTGAGCGAGACCAGGCCATCGTTACACACGTCTTGTGGAAGCTGTTTCATTTCCAGCAGACCATGCAGGAGTCGAGCGACGAGATTGCGCGGCATCAGGAAGAGCTAAAAGAGCACAAGCGCGGGGTTGAAAAGTACCACCAAAACCTCGAGCAGGCGCGGCAGGCCCAAGCCAAGGTTACCCGCGAGGTCAACAAGACGGAAAAGGCTATTAAGGGCAAGGAAAAGGAAATCGAGGATGCCCAAAATAGTCTAGTGCCTATCGACGAGAAGATCAGGATTTCTACTCAAGATTTGCAAAAGTACGAAGACCGTGTCGCGTCGCTCACCAAAGAGCGCGATACACAGATCCAACTCATTAACAGGTACGAAAAGGACCTGAAGACGGTGCAGAAGGCCCAGCAGAAGTGGGAGGATGAGTTCACGGCTGCCGCCCAGCAGGAAGGCCGCGAGCTATCTGCGCAAGATCTCCAGGAATACACCCGATTACGTGGTGAGGTCACTAAACAGACTCAAGCCAATCAAATCGAAGTCAACAGACTCAACCGCGAGGTCAAAACAGAAGCAGACCACTCTAATAGCCTAAAGAGCAAATATGAGACGTTCAAGGCCCAAGTGCAGAAGCTTGAACAGGAAATTAGTGAGCTTCAGGACCAACAACAAGAGCGTAAATCTCAAGCGAAGGAAATGGAGAAAGACAAGGCTACTAAGCAGCAGGCTTTCAAGAAGCTCCAGGCCGATCGCCAACAAGTGATCCGGCAGCAGACAGAACTGAACGAGCAGCTCCAGGAAACGCTCCGCAAGCTCCACGAGGCTGAGAGTGGACGTCGCCAGAGTGAAAAGGAGACAAGGACTCGTGAAGCTGTCACCCAGATGAAGCGCATCTTTGGCGCTGGTGTCCATGGAAGATACTCGGAGCTATGCCGACCGAAACAGAAAAAATACGAGACTGCCGTGAGCACCTTGCTCGGGTGGCATTTAGACGCTATCATTGTCGACACTGACAAAACTGCCAAGGATTGCATCCAATATCTCAAGGACCAGAAAATCGGTCAATTCAATTTCATTCCGCTAGATACCATAACAATCAAGGCGGTCAATCCCAACTTGAAGGGTATGCACCCAAAGATGCGCTTGGGGATTGATTGCATCGACTACGACAGCTGTCTTGAACGGGCCATGGCTTCTGCTTGCGGTAACTCTATCATCTGTGACGATACCGAGACTGCTAGGTATCTTTGTTTTAATAAAGGGGTCGACGCCAAGGCTGTGACCTTAGAGGGTACCGTCATTTCCAAGGGAGGTACCATGACTGGTGGACGCCTTGGATCTGATAAAGGCAGCCAGCGATGGAACGATGCCACATTCGACAATCTCTCCAAACTCAGAGACAAATATTTGGCCAGCCTGGCTGCACTTCCAAAGGTCGACCGTCGTGGTCAGGAGGAAGAGACTCTTCAAGCCGATATTGCAGAGCTGGAGCACCGATCTCGACTCGTCCAAGAAGAATTCAAAGCTCTAGACCGTAATATCCAGAGCAAGAAGAAAGAGTTCGCATACAACAAGACACAGCTGAAGGATATACAGCCCAAGTATCAAGATCAAGCTCAGAACCTACAGAACTTGGAGAATGAGCTCAAGAGCTATCAAGATGCCGTCAATCAGGTTGCCGATCAAGTCTTTGCAACATTCTGTCAGCGCCTAGGCTACACTTCCATCCGCGATTATGAATCGCAGCAGGGCACCGTCCAGGCTGAAGCTGCAGAGAAACGAGTCGCCTTCACTAGGCAGCGCAGCCGCCTAGAAAACCAGATCCAGTTCCACAAAAACCAACTGAACTCGGCGAATGACCGTCTCCAAGCGTTGCAAGACAAATCTCAACGAGACAGGGATCTGATTGAGAGCTTCAATGAGGAAAAGGAAGAATTGCAGAACAGTATCGACGTCCTGCAAGCCGAACTAGAGCAATTCCAGGAGACAGTCGAGAGTCTCAAAGACAAACTCTCGGAGCGTGCGACTACTGTCAATGAAGCTCGCCGCGAGCTCGACAAGCGCAACGGCGCGGTAAAGGAAGTGATGAAGCAAGTCGACCTTCTCGAAGCACGCATCAAACGCACCGCCGCATCTCGCTACGCGCTACTGCGCAAATGCAGGGTCGATGAAATCAAGATCCCCTTGGCCGAGGGATCGGCGAGCCTGAACACGCTGCCCATGGGTGACCTAGCCCGGGGTCCTGATCCGGATGCCATGGATGTTGATGAAGATCCCGATACAACCCAGATTCATCAGCCGGAAGTGGATGATTATGGGATTGACGTTGATTTCGACGAGCTCGATGAAGATCTGAAAGAGGTAAAGCATTCCGTTCCCCTTTCACAATCATAACTCTTTCCGACAACTAACCAATCACAGGACAATTCTGCCGCCTGCGACACCAAACTCACCGAAACAATACAAACGCTCACCTCCGAAATCGAAAAATCCAACCCCAACATGCGCGCCTTCGAGCGCCTCGACACAACACAAAAGAAGCTCAAAGACACCGAAAAAGTCTTTGAAGCCGCACGTAAATCCGCCGCAAAAGCCCGCAAGGACTTCGAAGACGTCAAGCAAAACCGGCTCGACCTCTTCGAAAAAGCCTTCAAGCACATCTCGGAAAATATCGCCGGCACCTACAAAGACCTCACCAAGTCCCCGCAATTCCCGATGGGCGGGCAAGCTTATCTCGACCAGGAAGATTCGTCCGAACCGTATTTGGCAGGGTTGAAGTACCATGCTATGCCTCCACTCAAGCGGTTCAGAGATATGGAGCATTTGTCTGGCGGCGAGAAGACGATTGCGGCGTTGGCGTTGCTATTCGCGATCCATAGCTATCAGCCCAGTCCTTTTTTTGTGCTAGATGAGGTGGACGCCGCACTGGATAATGTTAATGTGGGGCGCGTGGCGAAGTATGTCAAGGAACATGCCAGTCCTGGCATGCAGTTTATTGTGATCTCGCTCAAGGCGGGATTGTTTCAGGAGAGTGAGTCGTTGGTCGGGGTTATGCGTGACCAGGCGAAGATGAGTAGTAGGGTTGTGAGTTTGGATGTAAGTTTCCCCAATTCATTGGCTTTTGAAGTGTAGGGGATTGCTAATGGAGTTGCTAGCTGCGGAAGTATCAACCCTCATAAACCATGCGTGCACGCCAGCCCCCCAGCAAAGATATCTCGAAAGGATGGATGCAAGCAACATAGCGCTAGGGTTTCGCTGGTTAGCACACAGACGTGGAATAATGCAAAGTGAAACTACCATATTCCCGATTCGATTCGAGTTTATTCTGTTATACTTCTTTCTTTGCTCGGAAATTTTTCTCATCTTCGGGATTCCGCATTGCTGATTGAGAGACGAAGCCCACGGATCAATGACCAGGGTGTTGTCTGTCTGTATACGTGTGCATGCGTATGTATTTGTATGCGATTTGGAAATTAGGTCGCTTTTCTCTTTTCAAAAGTGCTTATGATTTGATCATACTGCGATGTCGTAGTAAATGTTCAGATGATGGGCAGCGGACTCCCGTGATGTGCCTTCGTGTGTACAGTGCATTTCGTTTGACCGTCGGATTGTTATTATGTTGAGGACCAGGACCAGCAACTGTGGGCCCGTCCGTGTCTGTCTGATATAAAGCTGACTACGGCAAATCACAGTAGCAAAGGAGACTACGTAAGACGTAGCGCAGCGCAGGGGAAGGATGATCTACTACCACCTTCGTGCTGCATACCTAACCATGCTGTGTTATTTTTCTACTCTGTTCACATGCTTGTCTAAGGCATTCCTTCCTCGACTTTAGGTAATTGTGAGTGAGGGAGTAAACATATGCCTAAATGTAAGTAACTTCGTTAAAGTAAAGAAAATACGTAAATAGGCATAAGTGAGGGGGGTGGACGAAGGTAAGGGAACGAATTAGTCAGTGAGAGTGGGATAGGGAGTGAGTGTATGTGAGCCTCGCGAGATTATACTTGGAACCTGTGATACAGAACCTAGATACAAGCGTATGGGTGTCTCACTCCTAGTTATTAATCTTGTCAGTATAGTTCTACGAAGGCAAGATACTAGACGAGCTAGAACATACATACACCACATAGACACGGGAGAAACTGTCGGATATCGGTAGTAATCGGCACAGTCGGCGAGTTGGGTTGGTAGGCAAAGGTACAGTTAAAACTATCCCGCTATGTCGGCGTCGACGCTAGGCTCTGCCTAATATCTGTTTGCAAGTATGTAATCGGGGACAGTATGGGTTAATGCTGGATGGATGGAGGATTTGAAGGAGAGTATTAAAGGAGTTAGTGGATGTTCATTTGCTTTTAGTAGGACGAAATTTAGGTTTGCAGTAGGTTCACCCTGTCTTCGTTGTTAACACGATGTATGAAGAACTGCGAGAACTATTCCACATCGAGACGTAATCGTTTAACTTTCTGCATGTTCCCTAGAAGCCATGCAACGGAACTTCGAGTCAGTGGCGAAATCACATCACTTAACAAATCTCGTTGAATCCCTAGGAAATACAAGGATCACTGCTCATCCTGAAAGTACCATCTTCTTTAGGTATGCTTACAAGACTAAGTCATTACCACAAAGTCCTTGCTACAATGGGGCGTTGGCAATAGCCGTTGCACCACTCCCCGGGATCTCTATGTGGGTCCTACTGCATATGTCAGCTTAGTTAGAAATGGGTGCAATCAACCCCAAATAATATGTCGATGACATGTCCAGTCCAGGAAGTCTCCAATGGCAGCAGTGGTAGCAATCGGGCCGAAGGGATGCGTCTTTTGGGCAGACACATGGATCTAGGTCTAGCAATCGCCAGAACAACCCACTCGCTATATGTCCAGCAAAGAAGGGATTCTCGTGCATGCACATATGTGACGTGACGTCTGGTCTGATGAGTCAGCGCCGCTAGGCTGAGGCCTCGGGCTTGGGGCCTCAGGCTCAAGGATTATTCGTGCCCACAATGAAAGACAAACTCCTTGTGCTATAGCGACCGTACTCAGTTCGCCGAATGCGAAGTCTAGAAAACGAAAGACCGGTTGTGTCAGTGAGTAAAGGCTACACGAGAGATCTACACTAAAGCAATCTGAGTCCGATCCCCAGCACCGGAAAGGCTATAAGCAAGCATGCAAGCCATTTTCCTAAAAGACCGTCCGTTGGCCATCTTAAAGTAATGATATGCCGTGGAAGCCCATATGCCTCCTAAAGTAGAAATTGGATATTAGAGGTTCGTCTAGAAATGCCTGCTACGTGCAACATGAAAGCGCATGAGGAATTGGCAACCAATGCCCACACTCAGCGCCAAGGCTCGGAATGACATTTGATAAAAAATGAGATGAGAAGAGGGGTTTACAGAAAGATATCTGTTATATGCTCCCCACAGTGGTAAAACGCCAACAGTGTTTGTGATGGGCCAACTTGTGTAGTCCAACGATTTGAAAATTGAATAATAGAAAATCAAAATCAAAATCAAAATCAAAATCAAAATCAAAATCAAAACAGAAACAGGCTGTTGCATCCGGTATTATGCAAAGAACATAAATCCGAGAAATAGTAATACGAAAAGGCAACATAAGGGGTATCTAGGATCAGAGTAGTGACGTGGACACCGAAAACCACCGGAGGAGAAAGAGATTGGTTGACAGGATGACGAACGAGGTGAAAGCCAAAATTGGTTTGGTCTTGGCGTGGCGGAATATCTGGGGTAGGCCGCGTCGCCTTGTCGTGGCGACCTAACAGTCCGGATGGCCGGGATGAAGCAGAGATGAATGCAATGGGTCCTCGAGCTTTATGAAGACCTTTGTCAGGCTTATGTATGCGTTCTGTGAAACAGGCTGTGACCATATGAAGGTGACAATGCTTCGTGACATGTGGCGAATTACAGATCCTATAGTTGCACTGGCGTAACTCTCATCCCGCTCGGCCGGTTTTATGGGATTTCTCTTTCTATCATTACAGATCCTACGATCTGAAATCTCGACTCAGGAGTGAAGTGGCTGCCAAAAAATCGGCCGAAAATCTCCAGTGGTTGACCGAGCTGTTGTTTTCCCCCTCATCATCCACCAATCGCCCCCTGCGAAGCCTTCTCGATCTTGCCACCTGACTCAACTAGTTTTCGGGCAGCAGCCTGAATGGAGATACTCTCTTCCCTCAGCGTCTGCAGTGCATGCTCTAATGTTTGTGTTCTAGTCCGAAGCCTTCCGATTTCGCTCCGAAGGACATTGATTGTCTCAGCTGGCGATGTAGGAGCTGATGAACTTAACTCTGGATTATGAGCGATGATTATCGAAGGTGGAGGGTCAGAGGCTGAAGCGGCTCCTGCCTGATTAGTCGGTCGATCGCTGCCAGTCACCATCGCCTCTTCTAAGACTCTGATTCTTTGTTCCAGCTCTAGCTTCTCTGCTTCCCACCGTTTCTTATCGTCAGCACTCTGAGTCTGCAACCTGTTTGCCATTTCCATGATTCGCATGTACTGTGCGCCATTAGCCACCAATTGGCGACGAGCCTCATCCCTGCTTTCTTGCAATTCCTCAACTTGGTGCTCGAGCGTGGCAACCTGCGCTTGCAATTTTTCCTTTTCGTCCGTAAGGCTGTTGATCTCGACATCACTGACTTCGAATTTCTTTTCTAGTGTGGCGCACTTGGTCCGTTGACGCTCTAACTTCTGGAGAAGACTATCGTACTCGCGCTGAAGGGTCTGAAATGCCAAGGTCTTGATACTGACTTGGTGTTGGAGATCCTGTAAATGAGCCGCTTGGGCAGAGGTCTGAAGTGACGAAGAAGGGGGTGATATAGGCGGCAAATTCGGTAGGTTCGGGAAGTTCATAGACGACGGTGAAGGAAGCATTCCGGATCGTGATGGTTGTGGGGCCTGCATCGGAGATTGCGGAGGCATGAAAATTGAACCAGAAGACGAGGCTGTGTGATGTGGGGAGTTAGCCATTGGGGCTATATCACTACTGTAGGGATTTCGTCGACTGTCCTCAAGTATGGCGGGTGGGTGGGTAAACCCAGAGTATCCCTGATGGGGGCCAGGAAGTTGTCTTGATGGGGGCGATTGCTCCTCGCGATCGAGGTGATATTGTCCTCTCCGCATGGCTGGGGAATCTGCATGAGATGGGCTCTGAACAGGACTGCGGGAGGTCGATGAAACTATAAGTGTTCGAAGTTTGAAATTATTCCATTGCACGAGATCAAGGGCCCATTGAAGGGAATCCCTAGTGCTAATGTTCTCGATCTCAGGTAGCTGAACGTGCAAGTTAGTGCCGTAAATTGGCAGGTCGGATGCCTCTGCAACTCTGCGGCGATGATAATGTTAAAAAAGAAGGGGGAACGTACTTCGCTTGATAGGTGGTGGTCTTTTGGTAGTATGGATCTCACCTTGGTGTCCAGGTCTATCAGCTCGGAAGCAAGTTTGCGCATTAAAGTGCGGGTGCTTGAACATGGTTGACCTTCGCAATTGGACGGACAACAAATCAATGCCCCCACTGCATGAGGCGCTGGATCGGTGTCGAAATGAGGACGGTGGGGGTCGTTACCGATAGGTGGGAGAGATCGATCCAAGCCAAGCGCTCCAGGAAAGGCTTTTGTGTGTTCTGTAATCCGATTTAGCGGCTGATACGAACTCCTTTAGATCAGAAAACTCATATGTAATCACTCCTCAGAAAGAGAAAAGTAATACGGCACGACTAATAGCAAGATGTAGCATTGGCAGATACACCAAGGGAAGCGAGTCATGAGCTAAATTGAATGTTTTCCCCACCTGAGTCGATATCCTGCCCTTGCCGTGTAGGCTGCTGGAAGACATCAAAAAGAGATTGTGATCTGGGTCTTGGTTTGCCAAGTTCCGGCGCTGCCTGAACCAGGGGAGGCGCTCGTAATGAACTCGACGCGAGCTGTTCTGCTGATGCGCTGCAGGAGGGTGTATACAGCGGAGGTAGCGTTCGATGGTCCGGGGTCTGGCTGTCACGAGAATAGTGGCCGGCAGGTTGCGGGAGCGGGGGAGGACGGCGCTCGCCAGTGTTTGTACTCGAACCCCGGCGCTTGAATTGGAAGTCGATTGGGTTGTCTTCCTCCCATGGCCTTTTCCTTCCTGTCCAAGAGTCCATGAGTTAGGTCCGCCCTTGAAAAACAATAGCTGCTCCTCCGGTACGCCATGCGTTTCGATGAGGCGTCGTCAGGGTGGCATTAGCAATTTCAACTGATCTAGATGGCCACGCCCGAAGCCCGAGGGAAAGACCGTAAATGCTGAGGGATTACTAATGAGCCGGGAGTGGTGTGGAGAGGCGAGGAATACCTACGGAAAGGCTTGGCGGAGAGGGTGGGATTATTTAAGATTTGAAGAGTCAAGAGAGGGAGCGAGACAAAATTGAATGTGGGGAGGACCACAGCGGCGTAAATGATGTGTTGATTGGATTAATCGAGGAGTGACAGATTCGAAAACGCCCGGTTCAGCAGAGTTGAGTGGATGTCAGTGCGTCATAGTAGTCCGGATACAGAGAAAGTTGGTGTCAGCACCACTGCCGTTGCGGTTCCTCTCATATGCGGCTTCTGTGCCGGCCTTACACATTAAGGACGGACAGTTCCTAACTCAAAGAAAGTCTCAGCAAGGAGGTAGACAAGGGCAATGCGTTAAATGAGCAATCACCGGAATCGGAAAACGTGAACGCGAAATGCCAGCTACAGGGATGGGAAATCGAGGTCAAACGGTCGGAAAAACCAACAACAGGGAGCGTGTTTGGAAAGAGAGGCTGCAGAAGGTCAAAGCCTTGCGCAAAGTCGGAGCAACATTGAAGCCAACTCGAGGGAGGAGGCTGCTGAGTAATACTGAGGATGACGCTTGGTAACAAATTTGTGGTGTCAGAGTTGCTGATGATGCATAAGACCTTCTGATCTCGGACTCGCGTCCTTCTTGTCATGACCGCCCCGTCGTCATATATCCTAAAGTTCTGCGCAGAGGGCAGAAGAGGGTCTGCTTTGCTTGAAGGGGCAGTTGTCCTCGCTGCACGGCGCTGTGGTTCTCATGATGGGTCAGGTACAAACGCAGCGGCGGCGAGGTGCCAAGCACTTAAAGCCGCCCTATCTCCGCTTCCTAGTGAATCACATCTCATCCACCAACCTGCCATTATTAGTTCAAGAGACGCTGGGGCTGGCTCTGGAGCCGAAATTTCTGCGACTGGGCATCAATCGAAAAAGTCGGAAACCTTTATGATTTGAGAAAGGCATGCCCATGGATGCCATCCCCTGTCCGGAAAGGTACCCACATTGTACGAATAAGGGCATCAAGCAGAAGTTCACGTGGGGAACCTAGCGCTTATCACACAGACCTGTGCGAGGGCATGGGAAATTATCATCATGAAATCCACGAGAGGTTCTCATCGGGCATTAAACATCCCGGCGAGAGATCATGAGTTGATTCCATCATCGGCGTTGTCCCTGATTCTCTGCAGACAAGTTGCAGGCCCCTAGCAATCCTAATCCTTAAAGAACACATGAGGTGATTATATCCGCCAGGCCGCGTTTCCCTCGCTTGTAGGTACGAGGTGTGTCTCAATATCCTGGGCTATCGCCTTCAGCCGACCCTCCACCCAGTCCTTCTCCTTCGCTACGACGCCCGTCTCGATGGTCTGCATGGTCCGGAGTTCACCCAACATTCCCGTAAGCAGCTCCTTACAGGTGGAAACGATGGATGCTATGCTTGAGCCGGGAGCTGGCTGAGTCAACCTATCTAAGTCACGTAAAAAGCCCGTTACCTTGCGTGTCAACGCCGCATTTTCTGCCCTCCAGGAACCCCCCAAGCCTTCAGTAGAGCCAAGACCGACACCCTGCTCTTTGGCGGTTCCTTTCCTTGTCGCCCATATATCCTCTACCCACGCTATCCATCGAGTGAATTCGTCCACAAGACGTGTAAAACGACCACTAGGATCAATAAGTGTTGGAAGATCATGAAGCGGGCCCGAGAGAAGTTGGATGTGCTCCACCAGCCCGAACGAGGAATTGGCGCTACTCCACTCACGCAATGCCTGGATATTTGTCTGCTCCTGACCTTGGCGTTCATTGTCACGCATAACCTGGTACAAGCTAGCAACCTCATCGAACTTGCTGTGCAATTTCCTCCTTGCACTGACCTCCCAGTGTCTATTCGTCCGCGCCGATGCTTCATGCAGAATATGGAGTTGCAGTAGCTCCGCTTGAATACAAATGATCTCAGGAGGCAGGGCACACACGCTAGGGTCAGAGGCGGGAGGGTGAAGAAAAGACGACGTAGGTGCTTTCCCGGTCTTTCTAGGGGTGAAATGTTGCTGCAGCGTAGAGAACGCAGGCCGTGCTTGCTTTTTGGATTCCTCTTTTATAGGCTCGCGGCGTCGTCCATTGTTCGTGGGAAATTGTACGTCACAGTCGGGACCTGCGGAATCGGAGCTATCCGTGGCTTCCGGCTTACTTCTAGTACTCGCGGTGCGCTTCAAGGCTGCAAGCCGAGCGGAACTTTTTGTACCATGAGAAGCATCGTCTACAGAAACGCTGTTGGCCGCGATCGTACGCTGGCTTGGTGCTACGAACAGAGACTTTGGCCTTTCCACAAGGGTCCTAGGGTGCGAGCTCTCCTTCCGACTGCCTATCACAGTGCTTGTAGATAGAGTCCTTGAATGGCCACGAGAGTTGGTGGACTGTGCTGATTGCATCGGTATGCCTAGTTTGCGTAATGATTGCGAGCGATCTAACCCCGTCGGTTGTGATACTGAAGCCTTTCTTCCTGCATCTGGAGGACGTGTACTGCGTGACGGGCGTAGTCCGCTCTCCTCTGTTTCCTGCGTGGTATGAATGGAGCTCGTCTGATACATTGATTGTGGTCTCGAACGGACTTGTTTCAGACCCTGCATGCTGGCTATTTGTGAAGATGTCGTGGATGCAGATATTCTCGATGAATCGACAAGGTCTTGAGAATGTTGTTCGGGATCTCTTGGTGGTATCGACGCATTGCTCGGTCCATTCTTGCGCAGAACTGGCTTCATATCCCCTCGCTGGGGAAGAAAGCTCCGCCGCTTCACCCCCTCTGCAGCGTTCGGGTGTGGTATTGAAGAGGACTGTGGGTGTCGCGTTAATGGATGGGCAATTATGCTCGCTTCCAAGTCTTTGCGCACCAAGTGTTCCGCATGTGGGAGTCTAGAGGACTAATGTGGAAAGGTTAACCAAACTTTCACGAAGGGATGGTGGTGGGGCCCTCAAATCCTACCTCAGCAGTGGGTGGCGCATCTTTGGCCTTGCTAATCTGGCCTCGAGGCTTCAGAGATGAAGCGAGAGAGGGAATAGGCATTTCGTATGTTGCAGTGCATCGAGTGGGTGCATTTTCGTGGTGGGTGGAATTGACGGCACCAAAACAAACACTCGAGGTTGAAGGCGGTGACGACGGCGTTAATTCGGATCCATCTGAAAGATCACTTGGCGTTGTCACATGATGTGTGAAATTGAATCTGGTCTTGAACCTTGGTACTGCCTAACTACTTAGGTAATTTTCTGATGCTGAAGCCAATGACACCTTTGAGGCCCTAAGAGGATACTTGTATTCTATAGCTAGAGATCCCGTCTAAGCGAAAGATCCGGTGCTTACTTCGAGATAACAACCGTCCAAAACCTGGTGGATATCCATCGCGAAAGCACAAAGAAAATGTCGACCCACTATCCCACGTTCCATCGCCACATTGAATTTTAGAGGCTGCCGCGGCGTGCTGGGAATGAGACACCTTCGATTGCTGGGTAGTCCACAAACCAGCTGACTCTCTCTTGCGCGAACGTGTTGATTAGGCCACACGGCAGCTGTCTTCCTTCTTCAGTGTCAAAGATCTGCTTCATAATATCCTTCTTTCCCCCGCCGGTTGCAACAAACCCAATCCTGATTCCGTGCGATGCAACCGGTAGCGATAGAGTGATGCGTTTTGGTGGAGGCTTAGGGGAATCGGAGATGGAGAGAACCCAGGCATCAGTCTCTCGTAAGAGGGGAGAGCCCGGGAACAGGCTGCAGGTATGGCCATCGGGACCACAGCCGAGCAGGAGCAAATCAAACATCGGAACTCTGACGCTATCCCTAGCGGCAAAGACGCTGACCAGGGTTTGCTCATACTGGTCTGCCATTTCCTGCACATCATCCAGATACTTGACGTCGATGGGATAGACAGTGGGCTTGCCAAGCTCGGCGGGAATCTTGTCCAAGAGTTCTTCCTTCACCAGCCTGTAGTTGCTGTCTTCGTGATCAAGCGGTACCGCACGCTCATCTGCAAAGAAGATCTCCCATTTGTCGAACTGGACTTTCGCCTCGCCATTGGTTGCCTCTAAGAGCGCCTTTCCTAGGACTTTGGGGAGCGAGCCACCGGAGACTCCCACTCGAAAGACGTTGTGTCGGTCGAGGGCGTTGTTCTGCGCATCGAGGATGAAGGTGCGGAAGCTCGGCGCAAGCTCGTCGGCGCCCTGGAAGGCGTATAGATTCGGCGGCTTGCCCATGATAGCGAGGGTGAGAGAGGGAGAATGGGTGTAGTGTCCGGGGGGCGGGGTGGGGCACCGCGGAATGAAGCCTGGTAGTGGCCTGTTTGATTGCGGTGAGGCTGGCGGTGCCAAGTCAGCAAAGACAAGATGAGCAATACAACGACTGTTTCGACCACGAAGAGCGACGCAAGGCGTAATGTTTTATCGCGATAACGATGGTAAAGGAGGATGACGCCGAACCACTTTAGGTCAGCATGCGGCAGCTTGATTGCACCATGGCCATATTTCGCTTGCCCGCCTCATGCGCTCTCAATTCCAGACTCGGCCTTGTGCAGCGCAAACAGTGAAAGCATGCCACTGCAAGGTGACTCGAGGAAAGAGCACTCACCACACGAGGATTGTACCCGAATCAAATATCCCTTTCTTATGTGCCCCCAGCTAAAACTGTGAGCAGCGCATGATCACTTGCGGCTTGCAAGGCGGATGGGTGAATGACGACAGCTCATGATGCGGAAACCATCGGCGACTGGTGCAGAGCCGATTGGCCGGGGCGTGGGCGCGCTGGTGATAAAACGTCGGCGGGACTCCGCCAAGCTCCCGCCCTTAGATTCCCAGCCATGTACTGTGTCGTGGTCATTCCGATGACTGTAGCAACTAAAAGGCGGCAAGCGGACTTGAATTCAACACCCAGAACAAGCCTTTTTCCGATCTACACCTACGGTTTGTAACACATCCCGTGACCGAGAGCACCATCAAACCACCCACATATGGAGGCCTCTCTGTTACGATACTTGCCAACGCTTCCAAAAACCAAAAAGAGTAGAGACTGAGTTGCAGACTCGGAATCTAAACAGAGCCGAAGTCTGTAGATTTCCAAGAAAATATAGAACAGGAACCGCGTTAGACATGAGTACACATGAATTCTCATATAGTAAGGCTCGCTCCACTTTTGAATCGGGTTGCTGCTTGTCCCGTGTCAGTCAGTGATGTGCTCTCCCTTGAATCACGAATTTGAGGGAGCGCAAGGCACAGGTATCATGCTTCCTTCCCGTCAGTTCCTGTTTGTCTCTCTCACCACGATGTTGGGTCCAGGTTGAGAAAGCCGCGCTTCGGTCAGACCGACATTGCCCATTCTGAGGGGACGCACAAAGACGCCAGTCTCGAACATAAAGAGTCTATCATAGCGACGTCGCGTAGCCATCCACTGCATTTCGCTCAGCAGTTCGCCGAAGCAATTCGATTTCCGCCTCCTTGGCTATCCTGCCGTAATTACGCACGGATATCTTGCGATAGGAAGGCTAAGACCGCGTTCACATTTTAGGAACGCCATATGTAGAAATCGTACGATTCTTCCGGCGTGCTGCATCACTATCCCGAACCCCACGTCATGGTAACCTACGATAATTGGCGGTAGAGAGGAAATCAAAGGCGACTACTTGCTCTTCTCTGGTCGACTCTTGGCGCGTCAGTGCGGAGGAGTATTCGGATCCGTATGCAGAAAGAATGACCAGGCACGCCACAAAAAGCGTGGTGTTGGGGTGAAGACGCCTCAGGCGAATTTCACTGGGATCTGAGAATCCACCAGGCCTCAGGGCGTATTATGTCAACCTAGAAGATACCGACGAGACCTGCTGTTGTGGACAAGAATTCGCAAGAGATACACGTAAGTTAGTGGAAATCAGGGTCTCAGCTTCAGAGGATGATTCGTTAGCATCTGTATGGAAATGGTCAATATATCTAGATCTCAGTCATGCGGAGCGGCCCGCAGAGAAAGGACAGCGTTTCTGCACGCTTGAGCTGTCAGATGCGAGCTGTCAGATGAGAGCTATCAGATGAAGCTGAAAAAAAGAAACACCAAACCCAAGTGGCTGTTTTCGTGGCATGTCGACATCAGACTAACTTAGTTGCTGGGGAAAGAGCTGCTGGTCGTGTAGAGGTTGTGCATATGGCTTAGCTCCTTCAGGCTACTCCAGAGTATCTTCCTAAGACAGCTCAAGCATGGACAGCTCAAGCGTAAGCAGCCGCTCTGTCTGACAAGACATTATCGCGCAGTACGTAGTCAACCGGGACTTTGCTGTTTGGTGCAAGTCGAGCATCGTGAGTCTTGGCACCTCGCACATCGACTGCCTTCTAGTAGGAGCGAAATCGCTCGATGTCATGCGTCGAGGACGCACTCCCAAGATTGTCAGCGCGGAAGGGCGCGGCGACTGGCGACGTGACGACATGTGCATGCGGTAATCGGAAATGCAAGTGGCAAAAGCATAATCAGACGGAAGAGTTGAGATCTTGATATTTCGGCCTGTGATTGCAGAGTTAGGCTAGGTAATTAGGCAATCAGCCCAGCGCTCAATGGCCTTGCAGGGCCGCGACACAAGAGCACTCGACAAACAGCCAAGATCGAACTGTCCGAAGCACGATCGAAGAGCCCGCCTTCCTGACGTTCGTAGGTCTGGTGGCAGAGCACTACGAAAGTTCCTGGCCGACACCTAATTCCAGCCAATTGCAACCTGAAATACCCGGGCTGCGCGTCATTGACTGATCCCAGCACACTTTGTTTACCCAGGCTTAGATGCATCTCTCGATGAAACTCAGGCTCCTAATCCACCTTGCCGAGCTATATCAGAAAGTGCTCCGCCCGCTGCACCAGTTTCCGGCACAAGCATCCTACTGATCTCTCAGTTTTATACTGCCGCCTTTGTCCATTTTCCTAGAATAAACAAAACTGCCCATGGCCTCCCACTTAAATTCGCCAAGTTCCCCTTACACTTCCAATTCCTGCTGTTCCTTTCATATCCACTCTTCATCGACACACTCATACTACTCATTGGAAACCCTGGGCACCACTCCCGTTTCACCACACTATCCGGACACATTGTCTGAACCATCAAACCCACTCCTGGCCTTGAAAGAATCACGGCTTCACTATCACTCATCGCCAGCCATGGATGCTTCCAAACTTCTGCAATTGCAAACTGCTGCGGCTCATTCTCACTCTATTCCCAAACCACTTCAGCAGAGTGCATCCTCAAGCAAATCCAACGACAGCGCCTCTTCTAAAACTGCCACTCCGTCGCCACCAGTCCTCTGCTGCTCCCGATGCCGCCGTACCTCGACTGGATCCAGTGGCATGGTCTCGTTCGGCACGAACTTGTTCTACTGCTCACACTGCGCCAGCATGGTTGGCTACAACCACACTGGCTGAATGGAATTTGGACACTAACATTTCCGGTCCTCAAAATTATAAAAGTTTGGCAACTTTCGTACAACTCGCCAGGCGCCGAGCATTCTTTCGACATATCGATTGCATTTCGAGGGTGACACGACGCCCTCCTCCGTGGAACCCACCAGATGCGCCACTTTGTCTTCACGAATCTTTCAAGTTAGTTTTATTCGCTGAATATTCCGACGAAGCACTGCTAGAATTTCTCCTTTGGAAAAATGATGCAGACAGCGCTCAGCGACGGAAAAGCTAGTAGTGGTGTGTGAGTAATTGGGCGCCACCGCATCAGATCCCAGTCTGCAAGCCTGTCCAACAAAGTATCGGTATCAGGTAATTTCTCTTTGTGTGTAGCAAAGAGGGCCTGTGGCTTTAAATGATTGGAACGATTCAGAAAGAAGAAGGCTCGAATGACGATAATGATTATGACTTTCCTGAGGTGGAGAAACAGGGTTTCCACTCAACTAGCAGGAGTTTCTGGTAGCGAAACTAAATACGATACCCCACCTTTAATTACAGCTAAGCAAGTGCATCACTTGTCTACCTCCATCCTGCGTGATTTGCAAAACTTGTGAGATCGGGGCTCGCACGATTGTATTCGACGTTTGCTATTCAATTCGGCCACGCGTACAAAGCCCCTCGCGTATCTCATCGCCAAGGTCCCCAGTTGACAGGTTCGTCGATCGAAATCATCCGATATTCGCTTCTCGGTGTTGCACTTTCCTCGGATGCATGTAACTCTTGCCTGAGAGTAGCGAGATTCAGCAAGCCCGAAGGCGGACACACCATTGTCAAGGTAATTCTGCGAGAGTGGCTTACGCTAATTGGAGATTCATCTTGGATGTTGCACAGTGTTGCCTTTTTTTTTGGAGATAGTATCAACTTTACACTAGTGTGTTGTAGCGCCGTGAAATTTCGGTGATTCCTGGCTTACGACGCCGCTGTGAGAGATGTAGATGAAATGTTGAAGACAATACATGATGTATGTATTGTAATGCTCACGTTGCTCCCAATCTGTTCAAGGGTGTGCCGTGTAATAGCATGATTCTAGGTACAAAAGGCTTAGAATTTATGCGTCGAACAGGGTGCTCGGGACGTTTTTCCCTCTCCAAGTTCTTAGGTATTTTTGCAATAAACTCTTTTCCACGCAACAGCCTGAACAGATGAGGAACACGAATACAAAACCTGAAATGCAAATTCCATGCGACGTGGTGAAATTTTCATGCGCAGAAAGCCCGATTTAACACTCTATCATCTGAGAATTAGATCAAAAGCAGCCGTCATCTGACGTCTTCCACTTTCCATCGCCGAACAGCTCCGTGTTCAGCCTCCATCCACCATGCACCGCATGCAAGCCCCTAACGCCATGATTCGATCTCTCAGATCTAACACCTGCACGATCTGAAGTTTCAACGGATCCACCGTATTTAGTTACGCGAAAAGGTACTAAGGGCAGAGTCGCTCATCGACAATCAGTTCGCAGGAAACGAGAAATGTGCTTGTTAAGGATAATTCCCTTATTTTGATCATTAACTTTTCTGATATTGCGATATTCGATGGCGATCTCCCAGACAGCTCTGTAGCTGCGCGAGGACGTGATCATCGACACTGGATGATTTCCATAGCAGCCTATCCAAACGCCATCCGAAGGCGCACACCGAACGGATCGAGCAGGCGGGTTTCATGTCTCTTGGTGAGCGAAATTCGACGTGTGAAACAAGGGGCTAATATAGGGTTGTCAGTAATCTAAGCAATTGCTATCCATAAACTATCGATATCAGATATTGGAGACCCTTTTCACTAACCTCCATAGCCTTCCCTAAATTCTCGGGTGCCCGCCTCATCTCAAACGCCGAGCCTACACCAGGCCAATAGTGAACCTTAGCTGCATCTGGGTGCGGTCGCGTTGGCACCGCTCCTTCGACGGCGCTTCTCTGCGGCAACTCGTTGGCCCACATTCCGCACTTCTTCTCCCTGTCGCAAACCCACAAAAGGGGGTGCATGGATCGTTGATCTCCCGGATTGTGGAGTATGACAGACGCGCTCGGGAGGACATTGATTGGCCTGTCGGGTGTGACAAGGCTGCGGGTCTTATATGACATGTGATCAAAAAGTGACCACTTCTTCGTTTTAGAAGGCGAATTGCTCTCTTGAGACGTGGAGGATTTTGTTTCATTGCACCGCGCATTAATAGTATGAAGGTGTTCACGTCTGCGTTTCGTGTCTCAATCTTACACTGACTCACTATAATAACAGAGCCGAGGGTAAACCAACGCTAGAGATTGATTGCGAGTTTGCAATTAAGTTTGCACGAGATTTAATACCGACTAATACAAAGCAAATAAACCTCTGGAGGCTTCCGTATTGAACAGCCAGACAGTTACGCTGCAGTGAACTGCCTTCACATTTCTTGCTCATATACGAGTCAAAGGATTCGCACAACCAAACGGACCTATTCTCACAACTACACTTGATAGCAAAAACAGTCTGTAGGTAGAACTGGAGTGGTCATACATTGTTCATCTACTTTTCTTCATGGATTTCCTTTCCACATTACGTATTGGTAAGCCCGAGGGCTCTACCATGAGCTACCCAATCAGCCTTGGGTTTAGCGCCCCACAATAGATATATATCATATAGCTCCTCAGTCCACAATACATGACTTCTCTCATAACTCATGCCCCTTTCAAGGATATATTATTCCAGGAAAAGGACCATTTCGCTAGCCATCGTATAGAAATGATTCGGGTCGGAGACACGGGAGGCTCTTCTTCCTGATCTTCTTCAAAGAAACGGGCTGCTCATCGGTGATGTCTGTCCCGTCAGCATCAGAGCCGACTTGTTTTGTCCTTAGTGTTCGCGATATACTGCATCTTGTCCCCTAGTGTGGAACATGACAGCATATTTGGGGATGAAACTTCCTTCTCTCCAGCAAGATGTCTAACAGACCGGCTCCACTTTGGTCATATTCGCATTCTGCGGCAATATGCTGTATCTTTAGTCTGAACTTTGTCATGTTTTGTTCAATCTGCCTACATGCAGTGCAATCTCATTTGTAAGCTGGAAATGGTCTAGTAAACTACTTTGAAAGTGTACAAAGTCTTCAGGAGACAACTAATCACCCTCAATGAAGATAAACGAGCCAGTCACAGGGAAGCTGGATCTGGATACTCACCCTACACCGAGGTTGAGTAGTGTTCAGCACATCGAAGCGTGCCTTCAGTTTTATATCAGACGAGCCCAAAATGGGCGAGTCGCAGCCTTGATTAGATCTAAGACTGCCTCTCCAAACAAAATCCTTCATCTCTTCGTTGATTTTTGCACAGCATCCACTACCGATACACAACCCCGCCAACATATCCAATCCTTGGTGTTGGAGTTTCCGCCCCCGTCTGAAGTCCTGTATGCGTCGGATGCGGTGACGGGATCGACCGATCGGGTGCGCAGGATCAGCAATCATGCTGTTGAACAAGGGGCCGTTATCGAAACGATTAAAAGGCACACACTTCCCACTTAGGCGTCTTTTACACTTACACCTCACAATGCAACAATCATGGCTGAAGCATTCGGGATCTTCGCAGGTGCGGTTAACATTGCGCAGGCTTTTACGACCTGCGTTGACTGCTTCGGCTACATACAAATGGGACGCCACTTCGGACGAGATTTTCAAACAAGCTTGCTGACCTTGAGGCTGCTCGGGATCCGTCTCTCGCGCTGGGGAGCAGCCGTTCAAATCTACGATGACCCCAAACTCGGAGATCCTCAGGCGACCGAACACGAACTAGCTGTCGCAAAGGACACTATCTTTCAGATTCTAGTCCTCTTCTCTGAGTCGGAGAAGAAGTCGAAGAAATTTCGTTTAAAAGCCTCTCCCGGCGTCGATCTTGCGGCCTACCCGATCACCGACTTTCAGCTAGCTTCCCTAGACAACAAAATGCGCGCGCTCGCTGCGAAACGCCAGAAGGGCACGAGCCTATTGGGGAAGCTTAGCTGGGCCTGCTACGAGAAGGAAAGTTTTTCGATGCTCATTGAAGGGATCACGACTCTGGTGGATCTTTTGGAAAACCTCTTTCCCGCCCCGGAAGCTGAAGCCAAACTGGCTGATCAAGAAATCAAAGAAGTTGAGGATCATGCTATGTTGCAATGTCTACAAGACCTAGCGACTAAAGTGGATATTGTTTTGAAGAGCAAAGCGACAGAGGCCATGACAATCCACGCTTCTGGAACCGTGTCATTTGAAGGCAGCCAGATAGGCAGCCAGATAATTAACGGAGACGTAAACGTGCACATCCAAAATGTGTTCAACACAACACGACGGTCGACAACTTTCGGATCTAAGACCCGGAATGCGATTTTGAATTGGCTTTCTCCTCTTGCCTTCAACCGGACCCATATGAGGATTAAAGAGAAGGCTTCGCTGCAAGACCAGGCTACTGAATCGCTCAGCGGTGATTCGACCGGTAATTGGCTGTTAGAAGACGACGCTTTCGACGACTGGCGATCAAGAAAGCTCCCCTATCTGTGGTATTATGGAATGCGTAAGTTTTAGTCATTCATGACAACATTTGCATGTACTAATACATCGAAATGGAATAGCTGGAGCCGGCAAAACTGTTCTTGCGTAAGTGTGCCTCAAATGCTAGATGAACCAGAATGATCTTGCTTATGGACTTAAGGTCAATCATAATAGATCATATGTTAGAGCTTGAAAAAAGCCTGAAACCGAGCCGTAGCAACGGAAAAGTTACTTACATGTACCTAGAATATGAGGATGCACAGTCTCTTGAGCACCTTCTAGGTAGTATCGTCCGACAAATTGTGCAGGACGAGGATCCACTACCCGAACCTGTCGTCACTGCTTATTCAACTCATCACAAAAGAGATAACGAGGCTCCCTCACAATGCTTATCCAAGTTGCTCTTCGAGCTGTCTACACAACAGCCTGTTTACATCATCGTAGATGCTCTTGATGAGTGCTCAGGCCCAATTCGTAAACGACTGCTCAAACTTCTTAAACCGAAGACAAATGACGACACGTACAGGCCTATTAATATACTCATTACCTCAAGGCTTCTCGATGAATTCAGTGACCTTTCTGAGGATTTTCACCGCGTAAATATTACTGCCAATCCTAGAGACATCAACATGTTCGTGGAACATGAGTTCAGAAACAATGGCCGCCTGAAACGATTCGCAGAGCAGGATCGTGAGCTTCTTAGTGATGTCAAATTCACGATACGCCAGAGGTGTAATGGGATGTAAGTGCTGATACTCTCATATCTACTCTAGGTTATTACATGACGTGGAACATGACTAGAGCGGGGCCAGCCGGTTAAACCTCTTCCTAGAATTAAGGACAACGTTAGCAAGATGCTAATTTCTTTCCTGAATCATCCTCTTATAATGCTCCACGATCGGCAATAGGAGGCTGAAGCTCACTGTTTCTCTATTGTGTACAGTGACTAACCTTATGTGTTCAGGTTTCTCCTCGCTAGTTTGCACATGAAATCATTAACTGAGCAATATCTGTTAGCGGAAGTACGTGAGAAGCTCAAGAGACTCCCCAATGGAGTTGATGGTACTTACGATCATACTTTGGAGCGCATTCGAAAGCAACCGGAGGAACAGAGAGCCCTTGCTTGGAAAACTCTCGCGTGGGTTGTCCTCAGCAAGCGGCGTTTAACAGCAATAGAGCTACAACACGCACTCGCTTGCGTATCAGGCACCCGAGGGTTTGACCCTGAAAGGATTTACCAAGAAGATGATATTCGAGATGTTTGTTTAGGATTAGTAACACTGTCCCACGGACTTGTTACTTTAGTCCACTATACAGCCCAAACATATCTGACGTTGAGAGCGGGAAGTCTGTTTGCCGGATTCGACGCTAAAATTGCGCAAACATGCGCCAGATATCTCGGTCTGAAAGTGCTGGAGCAACCTGATAATTTCCAGGCCGGTATCTCATACGCAGATGATCTGTATAGCGATCTACCTCATTTAAAAACATTTGATCTGCACAAGAATTACAACAGCCCTCACGACAATCCGAGCAATGTTAGAGACACGTACCAAACATCCAGTTCCGGGTCGCAGAAAAGGCTCACATACAGTACAAAGTGTCAAGAGTTTCCCTTTGTAAAATACGCGGCCAGATACCTCGGACATCACCTCCGTCAAATCCCTGCGACCCAAAATCCGGAGCCGATCATGGATCTCATCGTACCCCTTCTTGAGGAACGCCCAAAGAGGAACTTCATCTGTCGGATGTTCCATGAATTGGGCCTTCTCACTAACATTTACAAGCTGAAGTTTTACGATGTCGACGATGATTTCTCAACATCTGACCTATCGGGATCTCTAAGTTCAGATCACGATTCTGGGTCCGATGACGGTACTGACCCATCAGAAATGACTTACTACGTGGAGATGCTATTCGAGTCAATTCTCGAGAAGCTAGAAACTGACCGCGATGCAGGAGCAGTGGACGGTCAATCGGGTTCCTCGGAGAGTGGGAACGAAACTACTCCTCCAGACTCACCAGATCATCGAGCTGTCGAACTCGCTCCGTACACACCAAAAACTATGAAACCCGAACCTGAAATCACGCCTGTCCACTTGGCTGCACTCCTTGGGTGGGAACCGCTGGTCATGAAACTGGCCACAGGCTCGCCGAGTATCAATGCCGTAGATCAATATGGCCAAACTCCAATCTCTCTCGCTTCGGAACTAGCCTATTTCGATGTCGTGGAAGCTCTCCTGAATTTAGGAGCTACTATTGACCTTACAACCTCTGAGGGGCTAGCTATCATGTTTTACCTAGCGGAAAGCAATCAGCGTTCGATCATCCGCAACATCATCTCTCATGCCTTCGATCTACGCGTTGAGCATCACCAAACAAATAAGTTGGAATTCCTGAGTTGTCTTTTTCATTTCCTTATATATGTCGCTCTGGTTCTTCCAAAATACTTTCCCCTTGTCGAGCGTTTAGTCTCCAACAACTTCTACCACTTGGACCTAAACACAAGAAAAGAACCAACCTCTTCACTCAATGGCGGGAACCCCAAAGGCTCATTTTCATCACACCTAGAACTCCTAGTAGCAGCGGAATCTGGAGATGTCGATACAATCTCAAGTCTATCGCATGACGGCAAGATTGACCTTAAAATGGAGAGCTCAAGATTTCACGCGGCAGCTCTCTTCCTTGCCGTCGCTTTCAATCAATTACGTGCTGCAGAGGCCCTAATTGAGGGGGGTGTTGATGTCAATACACGAGGTCTCGAAGGTCGAACAGTCCTTCATCTTGCGGCATCACGGAAATCTCCCGACATGGTTCGAATGCTTCTCAGTAAAGGCGCAAGTACCCAAATCCGAGATTCTAGTGGTTTTACGGCATGGTCAGGAAACGTTGATAATGATTACCCAGAACGTATGTTCCTCCCTTGCTACTATACTCAGTGACGCACTAACATATTACAGTCATGGATCTTTTAATCAAGGCAGGTACCGACCTCAACTCGGTGAACGCAGAAGGCATGTCGACTCTTTATCAATCGGCTGCCGGTGGGCACATAGACATCGTACGGTTTCTCCTGAATAGTGGCGCTAACCCCTCGATTCAAACAATGTTCGGTTGGGCACCTCTTCATTGGGCGGCTGCTAACGGTCATCTGGCTTGTGTAAGAGCTTTATTAACCGCCGGCGCCGACCTCAACCCTATGTCAGACACATCAAAAACCCCTTTTGATATGGCGACAAGTAGTGGGCAAGAAGAAATCGCTCACATTCTGCGCCAAGCTGGGGCGAAGACAGCTGAAGAAGTGCTTGAAGCGACCGCCACGAAAAACCAGAGTGATACTTTCACATCCCAGAAGTCCCTTGACAACGGCGAGGACGAGACAAATAGCAACGTGTCTTCTAGCGAGGATGATGAATTTAGATTTGTCAGTATGCTTACGGCTGCGGTGAATAGCCTTGAGGGCTGGTCATTTCCTTCAATGCACATCAAGAAGAAAGTTGCCGTGTTTCTAGATCGAGATCTTGATGAAGTGATGAGAGATTTGGATATTGAAGAATTCGTCACTGATGAGGACAGAAATACTTGGAAAGCCAGCCTGGAGCAGGCTAAGATGACCGAGGGGATATCGGCTTTATTGAAGGACTCTGTGGGCTTGGAGGGCTCTGTCGGAGAGAGGAAGGACGTTGAAGATGGAAACGTAGCTATGTGATTCTTTGCGAAATTTCCTATTGATACTCTTTGCATCTCTGAACGAACTACTGCATATTATTGCATAACGTAGAACATGAGGATAGTTAGGGTCTGTCTATTAAATCTCTTGCTAGAATTAGAGAGATCATGAACAGGATACTTATTTCCATCCCAAATTACTCTCCTGTCATGTCCCATGCTAGGTTATTATCTGGAGTACATTCTCCCTCCTCGGTCTCCCCAAACCAATTGAGCCTGAAGATATTGATATTGACTTTCTGTGCACGCCATCCCCCTCGCAGCTAAGATCGTAGCCACGAAGACCTGCGGCATTGTGCTTCGTTTGAAAACGTTCTGTCCAGTTGCCTTCAGCAACATATACATGGTCGTACATATAATTCGGCTCTTCGGCTTCAAAAACTTTCCCAAAGTCCTCAACGCGCTAACCTCGAATTGCACTGAACTGACTCAGGGGACGCACTGAGCTTCCTTCGATGCGGGGTGCTCTAGGACAGAAAGGAAAGGTACAGGGGACCGGTCCGTACCCACCTGTTCACGAAATCGGAGAAAGGGACCTTCAGGCAGGGCCTTCGAACTATTCGCCGGCACAAGCCACGTTTCCGGGCAACGGGATCCGGGGCAGCTCGATCGCCAGGTCCCTGTTTCTCAAACTCATTCGTGAAACTCGTAAGACTTTCACGAGGATCAAGTCCTGGACTTTCTTCTCTTCCCCGCACCGCATCCTGCCAGGCGCGCTGTTACCCTTGTTCGGGGTGGCCGAAGGGAGAAAATATTGGTGTGGCGCTTAGTGATATGAGTGGCAATGAGTCCGTCCACTACGCGAGACTCACGTCCACGTTTGAAGGCGTTCCATATGGAGACATCCTTGTGTTCCCCAGATAACTTTATTTCTTAGGCGTCCCACTTTAGCGGGGGGCTTACCTTTGACAAATGAGGGCAAAGCTTATCTGACTTCAATCTTTGAGCTTTGAATTGGATCGTCCTCCGCTTTTGATGCCCACATTTAGTTAAGATACGCGAACGATGTTCGTGTTTGGTGTGTCGAAGGTCTTCGGTAGCATGTGATAGAGCAGAGACATCGGTTCGGTTCCGGCGCCATGGGACCGGTGGGAGATGGGAGGCGACGTGGAATTTATTGAGTCAATAGGACGCTAAGACATTAAAATATTCCACATTTGACGTGTAGTCTTTCAGCCCTCGATCATCAGTTCGGAAAAAGGAGAGTCAAAAAGGGGTGAGAGGTGCGACGGTAAGGAATACGATGGCAACAACAAGGGGTGCAGAATACCACACACAGCCATCTCTTTCGCTGTGCCAGTGCTGCTCGAGCTTGCCGCCACCGCAGTCCCTGACGCTACAATAGCGTACAGTTGAATTCAGCATCGCAGATGATCTTGTTGGAACACTGTTATTCAACGGCGTACTTCTCCAGCGCAATCCAATCCCGTTCCCATCAATCCCATTGACTTCCAGGAGCGAACTATTCCCTAATACCGCTCTCCGCAAGCGCTTCGGCGAAAATGAACGGTTGGTATATTGGCGATGCTCACCGCGATTCGAATCTATTTTTAGATACATTTCCCATAAGTGCAAATCCCCTTCGTTATTCATACTGTCCCAGAACCGTCCTTGCGGGACTTCGGTCGCATCATCCTAGTTAACATTTGCGATGAGCGGCGTCGTGATATTTTCTGATTGCATGGGCGCTGCAAGCGTGGGTTTGTCCAGCGAGCACCCAGTTGTTCGAATAAGCTCTGTAGTTCAGTGCTGTAGATCTGTATTGCACGAACCAAACCGCGTCGCCTGTGGTGTGGGTTTTTAAGATTGCAAGCACAGATTGTCAACTGTGGAAGACTCCCCCATTGGCGAATATCTGCATGTTTCCTTCGTATCTGGTTAGAACGCTGCGTGGGCAGCATTGGGAGAGGACAGTTGCCGTTTTGGCGTTTGGGTTTAGCGAGATGACCATCCGGAGGAGTCGCGGGTGGTTTTGTTGAGGCCATTTCCGCCATTATCGAAGAGGGATATGATTGTATGTCGTTTACTAGCATGAAGCGGGCATGTATTGGAAGGGGAAGTTGAAATTGTTTTGGAACGAGAATGTGTTATTTATCTGCAGCGCCGCTACTTCGGGTCTAGATGATACTTCCATTGCTACCGTCGATGAGATAAATTGAAGAAAAATGCCGAGCAGAAACTAGCTAGCACCTTGTGGCATAGCTCTCGTTGATAGAGGTAATGTGAAAGAAGTCCCATGGTGATTGGGAAGCTGTTCCACTTCCAGAGACTTCCGATTCGCCCGAGAAAAATGGCAAGCGAAAAGTGATACGTGGTCGGTGCAATACCATTGGACAATGACTTCGCTGCTTAACATATTGGCTTCCCGGAACACGCCTTGCTGAAGCCATTAAGGGTTGGACGAGACACAGTAAGCGGAAAGATCGTACTGTAGGCCGTCGTATGAGGTGAGAAGGGCGATTCCACCGTCGTTGATGAGGATCATTTCGTGGAAGTCATTTTAAGGCGCACTATTTCTAGTGGAAACATACTGCACAATCTGGTAATGTTGATTCATAATTACCCCTTAACTGCGACAGTTGTCCTGCCGTTGTATTTCCTGCGCCTCCTTTAGCGAAATCTATTAAATTGGTCGAGCATAGATCCATACTCTTGACCAGACATGTTGTCAGCCTTGGTTAAGTATATGGACGAATTTGATGCGTGTTGATGCTCACTTCGGAGGTGTCGTCACCCGAGCAAACCAAATTCTATTCACGTAAGCTGCGTTTGAATACATAATTCCTTCGGCTATGAACCCAAAATCATAGTGGATGTATAGCCCAGTTTGCGTGCCCTGAGATGAACAAAAAGTAGGTATCTAGGTCGACAGCTATTTTCTGGATCGGGTTTTTGAGTCAAGACATCGCCTCGCCGTAGCAGAGATAGGCGAACAGTACGAGGACTTGCATGCTGCGATACGTAGGAAGTGCAGCGATATATGATCGCAGATAGCAATGAGTATCAAGCACTTAAACAAACCGGACCCAAGATTCCACAATCTCTTATAGTGACGAAATTGATGGTCACATTAGAACGATAGAGGTTCAAGGCCACTGAGCCAACCACAACAATCGCCCACGACTCACAAATAGCTGACGGCTTAAAAGAGGGACCTGAGAGGCCTCAGACGCTACTATCCAGACACGAAACTGATCGTAAGAAGACAACAACGGAAAAGAGCAGCAAAACTTATCCAAGGAATGCGAAAATCAACGAAAAATGCCTGCCGTCTGTCAATGCCCAGGAGGAAGATTCGTGGTATTATGGGTCCCTTGAAGTACCGATCGAAAAGACAGCAGAATGAGACATTGGAAATGGACCGTTGGCGAGAATATAGACTGACATGGGACGAGCGATGCGAAGATCCGGTCTCAAGACCTTGGCAGCTGTAAAACCTGGAAAGACCAAGTATGTAGTTTCCAAAGTTAGAGTTGCGAGGCATGGGAAAGAAAGTAGGTAGAATCGCGCTCAACACGGTGACTGGGTTTACTGAGAGCAAGGAGGCTCTTGGGTGGCCGGAGAGATTCATGTTAACGTAGAGTCAGCCGTTAAGGATAGATCGTAGTACAGATATACATAGCTGCATATCAATTATGGCCTGGGCTAAAAAGTGAGGGTTTGGAGGATGTTCAAGCTCCACTGGTCAGTTATGATGCAGGACTCTTTCAGGCCTACCACTTAAGGCAGGCGAGGACGGTAACTATTATGCCCATCTGAAGCAAATAGCCAATCCGAAGTGGGCGAGAATGGAGAACAAACGAAAACAAGAAAAGAGACGAGGTGAGGTGAGGTGAGGTGGAGCTTAGAACAGAGCCAGCAAAGGCCCATAGGTTAAGGCACGTGATTGAGTCGCTTATGTCATCATTTCGCGTTGAGCGCGATCTACTTGCACTTGCGACCGACGACTTTCCGCAATCGCAGCGTCACATGTTGGATAACCTGTGCACCGTCTTGACTGCATAATTCTACTCAAACGGACTTGCACGGCTTCAGTGTCAAGATGTAAGTATCATATGCCACGGAAGTTTTTGGGGTTGCTTGGCTAATCCTAGCTCCCCGACGTGACTCCTGAAGCTAACTTCTCCCCAGGGAGGCGTTCAACGACATCTACCTCAATTTATCCAAGAAACACGGTGTCACTCGGTTTGCAGAATCTGGGTGGGGTTGGAAGCCCTCTAGCGGAGGCGATACCTTCACCCTGGACCAGTCTCAGATCGTCCAGGCGCAATGGAGTCGAGCAGCACGAGGCTACGAAGTGAAACTGCTCTCACGGGCAGATGGCATCATTCAACTGGATGGTTTCAAACAAGAGGTGCGGAGGAACAAGCCGAGCGTATGAGACACTGACTGACCCTTCCCAGGACTTTGAGCGCGTTTCGAAGCTGTTCAAGGTTTGGTATGGTATCAACTTGGACAATCGAGAGCATGCCTTGCGTGGCTGGAATTGGGGAAAGGCCGAGTTCGGAAAGGCCGAGCTGTCCTTCAACGTTGCCAACCGGCCCGCCTTCGAAGTGCCCTACACCGAGATTTCGAACACAAACTTGGCAGGCAAGAATGAGGTGGCCGTGGATTTCTCCATGCCCGCGGACGGCAATGATACTGGTACAAACGGTCATCTTGGAGGAGCTCGGGCTCGGGGGAAGAAGTCTGGTGGTGCAAAAGACCAGCTGGTCGAGATGCGCTTCTACATTCCCGGTACTGCATCGAAAAAGGAGAAGAAGGAAGATGGCGAAGATGTCACCGACGGTGAAGAAGGAGAGGAGCAGAACGCAGCTAACCTCTTCTATGAGACACTCATGGAGAAGGCTGAGATTGGCGAGGTTGCTGGCGATACCTTCGCCACCTTCCTGGACATCCTACACTTGACCCCTAGGTTTGTTTTAAACCCCGGGGGAAATCGCTGTCGCACTAACGATAGAGCAGAGGTCGCTTCGACATCGACATGTACGAAAAATCGTTCCGCTTACGAGGCAAGACATACGACTATAAGATCCAGTACGATGCGGTCAAGAAGTTTATGGTCCTTCCAAAGCCCGACGACATGCATACACTCATTACGGTTGGCCTGGACCCCCCACTGAGGCAAGGCCAGACGCGGTATCCCTTTCTTGTCATGCAGTTCAAACGGGATGAAGAAGTAAATCTCGACTTGAACATGAAAGAGGATCTGCTGGAATCCCAATACAAAGACAAATTGCAATCGCACTACGAAGCCCCTATCTCAGTTGTCGTGTCAGAAATTTTTCGAGGCCTAACCGGTAAACGGATCACCAAGCCATCACAGGCATTCACTAGCCACCACGAGCAAGCAGGCGTCAAGTGCTCAATCAAAGCTAACGAAGGTCATTTGTTCTGCCTTGACAAGGCGTTCATGTTCGTCCCCAAGCCCGCTACATACATTAGCATGGACAACATTGCATCGGTAACCATGTCCCGTGTTGGCGGAGCGATGGCTGCAAGCCGCACATTTGACATCACATTCACCATGAAAGGAGGGCTTGCCGAGCACCAGTTCAGCAATATTAATCGGTGAGTCAGCTGGTCTTAACTGCGGACCTTGCCTAACTAACCACAACACTATAGCGAGGAGCAGCAGCCACTAGAAAACTTTTTTCGAGCAAAGGGCATCAAGACGAAGAACGAGATGGCTGATGATGTAAGTGCCTTCGTCCCTTCACACCTGACTACGCTGATAACACGCTCCAGTCGGGCGCAATCCTTGCAGCAGCCCTCCAGGACGATGACCTTGCATCGAGCGATGACGGAGCCGCAAATCGCGGCAGTGCAGACGAGGACGATGAGAGCATTGACGAGGATTTCCAGGCAGATTCGGAGTCAGATGTGGCCGAGGAATTTGATGAAGATCATAAGAGCAGCGGATCCGATAGTGATTCTGACATGGCTGACGCAGATAGCGACGCCGCTCCTGAAGAGAAGATGGTGGAGCGGCCGAAGAAAAAGCAAAAGACGTCAAAATGATCGGCCCGCAGTGAAGGTGGCCGCAAGGAAAGGGGGAGGGAGAAGGGTGGCGGTGAGACAGAAGAAGAAGCGGTGACGAGTGTTTCTATGCCGAAGCCTCTCCGATACTTCCATTTTCTGCGATTTCGATGCATGGACGTTGGATGTGTGTGAAGCGTCACGAGCTCTGGAAGCGTGGAGTTGCTTCCGGACGGTCTGGTTGATGTATGGCACTGGTCGAAACACTACTTTAGGTGGCGATGCAGGTCACAAAAGGGGGGGGCGGATACGTCTGAGACAGGCCAAGTCTTCTGGAATAACAGCAAGGGAGAAACAGGAAAAATGGCAGTCTTAGCGGCGATATTGCGGGCAGATTCCACGTGTGCGGGATCCGTTAGACCGTGATGTGCATGTCGTGCGGCGGCCATGATTCGGATGCGCATGCACGGTTGTCTCGCCTGGACGACTCGCGCCATTTGTGAGCCGCTGTACAGGTACCAGCCCCTCTCGTATCTTATGAAGCTTGATCTGTATCTGTTACCCCAGATCTGGCTGCTGGCCTGCGATTCAGGGTGATGCAGCTCTCGGCGCAGCTAGGACGAAGAAAAGCCCTCTGTTACGCCCTCGCGAAGAATGTGAGAAAGCGGGCCCACTTGGCGTGAACCATGCAAACCCCGCATTGGAGGGTCCATCAGAGGGCTGCAACCACGTCCACCATGTTTACTCACATATAACTCGCGTGCGCCGCAGAGCGCGATTCCTGCTGCGTCAGAGACCTGACCCTATACATGGCCACTCGTCGCTTGCAACGGTACACTCCAACCGCCAGCCACTGAGGATGCGATCACGAACAGGATGGCAAGTGAACCGGCCCTCTCCTTAGCTCAAGCATTCTAACTTCTGTTATGTAGCTTGACCTGCCGTCACAGGAAGCTGAAGTGTGATGAGAAGAAACCAATTTGCGGCCAATGCTGCAAGGCTTCAAGGGAATGTGTCCCAAGCTCCGGCCTTGTGTTTCGGCACCAGCACAATGCCTCAATGAACGGCGATGACTCCCCGGATGAGAACACGCTGAAGGGCTTTTATGCGTACAAGAACACCTTCGACGACGAGACTGTGTGGCTCGACATCCCCAAGCAAGGTGAGCTTCTAGTATGCTAATTGCTCTTGCCTTTGGCTTCTGATTTCGCACGTGGCAGTCACGTTCATCAACACCTCGAATCCATATCTGGACCCTCTTACCCCAGACTATGACAACATGTCTGCTACTTCAATAGACTCTCCGGGCTCGTTTGAGCCTCGACTGAACACCTCCTGGCCTACGAGCACGCCATCCAGCACTTGTCTTGATCCACTTCCACTTCCAGTCACAAGTGGGAACCTCCCATTTCATCTATCTGACACTACTTCACAACCTGATACCTCTCCTTCTCTAGAAAGGAGCTCAATACTTCAGTCACCACCGACCTCCTCGACCGGGACGCCAATTTCGACTCCGGTATCGGTCAGCAATCACCATCTCCACTCAATTATTCATCAGTCGATGACTCCTCCACCCATCGAACCTGGACTGAATTCTCCTTTTGATTCAGCACAGGGCCATATTCCCCGTTCAATATCGTCCTCTCGGCCGTCATGTGCCGGAATCGACACCATGGCAGAGCAAGACCACGAGATAGCTTTCCTTCTTCGTTGGTTCTCTGAAGGGCCTGGGTACTGGATGGACCTTTTCGACCTAGGTACATACTTTGCTTCATACGTTCCGGTGAAAGCATGTGAAAACGCGCTCCTCAAGTATGCAGCTGTCGCCTATGCTGCCAAAGCTCTTGCACGTGTGCAAGGGAGAAAGCCTATTATGGGCGGTAGTGTGACACGCCAGGCACTGATGGAACTCTATCCAGAAACCCACTCTGTCGATTGGTACCACAAAGCTACTCAATACTATGATACTGCCGTCTCTCTCTTGCTTCAAGCTCTGAAGAATGATGCCACCATCACCCCCGATTCAGAATCAGACTGTGAGCCAAGGTTGCATGGTCTTGACACGACACGCAATGACCACATTCCAGTATGCAAGCGCCGTCGCACATCTAGTAGTACAACCTCCAAATCCAATACCGACGAACTCCTCGCTGCAACGGCTATCTTGTGCGTCTACGAGTTCTTAGATGCATCAGTTCCGGAGTGGGCAAAGCACTTGAACGGTGCGAAGTCTCTGCTGGTCATTGCACAGGAGCGCATGATGCCTTTGCAGATGCCTTCGCCGGGTTCGACATTCTCTTCTACCAACCTGGGATATATATCTAAGGCCCGACGGGCCACTTTCTGGAACATTGCACGGCAGGACATGTTAGCAGCTTGTAGGCTCACTCTTTAATCCAGGTAGACTAAGCTAATAACCCCACTATAGTCATCAACAAGAACCACACGCGTCTAGATACAGAAGACCTGTCACTCTGGAAGGAGGCTGGCCTCCTGATCGACGAGAATGGATTCATACTCCCTAGTAATACCACCGAAAGCGGCTACCCCGAAGGTGACGGGATGATGAAAGAAGACCTCATCTGCAACGCCCTTGTATGGCTCATGGCCAAGCTCGTGAACTTCATGGCTGCTGGTGACGACCTACCGGTAGAGCTTGGAGGGTCCTGGGCGGGTGTCCCACAACGGACATTGCTGGATTACTGGTACCATCTTAAGCAACAATTCCAGACATGGTACGAGGGTCTCCCCGTCACTTTCAGGGCTTCTGCCAGGATTGAACCTAACCGCATACCTGGACGACTGCTTCAAGACGGCAATGAACCACTATTCCCTGAAATCTGGTACAGCATTCCTATGTGTGCTTCGACCATGCAATGCTATCACATGGGTCAGATCCAGTTGCTCATGAACAAGCCGCATGAATCGACCCAGGGCCGCACAACAGTCTTTGCGCGGATGAACTCGTACCATTCCGTCCTTGCCGCCTCCCAAGTCCACAGCCGCGAGATTGTTGGTATTTCTCTAGCCCGTTCGGATGAAGCTGTGCGAATTCACTCCGTGCAGCCTCTCTACACTGCCGCTCAATGTCTCCATGATCCGAAGGAGCGCAATGTGGTCTTGAATCTCCTCCGTGACATCGAGACGGACATTGGCTGGGCTACCGACTATAGAGTGAGACAGCTTGTCCAGCAATGGCAATGGGAGGAACATGAAGAGCCGCATGTTCCTTGAATAACATATTACTCTCCGAACCGATGAAAGACATCAACCAGCAAACATGTCTCTTATACTTGAGTCTTATAGTAATCTTGCAGGTGGTGTTAAAACAAACAAAAGCGGTCGGTTCCATGTCTTAGACACTGTCCAACACCTTAGTCCGGCTCTCGGCCATATAAATCTACATAAAACATCCCCAGAACCACGTCGACACGAGAACAGCCTTGCAGTTTTCGGAATGAAGACTCTCCGCCATGTATTCGGCTTAGGCCCAAACCGCCCTATCGGAAGTCAAGCGACGGTCAAGAAACACGCTAGCACCCACAAGCACATAGTCAAGAAAGGCCCCTCGCCCGAATCTCACTCATCTACGTCTTCCAGTGATGAAGCCTCTTCAGCCAACCATCCTTGCGCAGGGCGCCAGGGCAAGACTCAGACCCGTCGTGCAACCACAAGGAATCCTCGAGCACCCAGCCGACCTTTACGAGAACTTTACATCCTCGACCAACTCTCAGAACTCTCAGATGCGATCGAAAATAACACACGAGCTACGCTCTCCCGCCACAATCAACTACTTCGACTAGTCGAACGGCTCCGTACAAAGGTTGAATTGGGTTACATTTCCGAGTCTTCGGAGTCATCATTGCCTTCGACCCGGGGCTGGTCGCCGCCGCCTGCTGCTGCTGAAGGCCCTGACCAACAGTCTGGCGATAACTCCAAAATAAGGCCCAACGCGGAGACTCTTTTAAATACAACCCAGTCACCACTAAACACGCAAGAGGTCCCCAAATTCCCAAGTGGCTTTCCACAAGCGACCGGACCTCCAGCTCAAGCCCTAGCCGCCCTCTTCGTTCCACAAGACAATCAACTAAGGCCAGGAGATAGTCGAGCACCTCACGAGCTACCTGGCGTATCGGAAGACTTCTAGCATTCAGGTTGGGAAAAGAGTAACTGTTTGTTCAGCATAGCATTGGGTTGGGCAATATTGACAAGCTCAAGACTGTATCACATAACTCATCTACATTCACACAAAACTGATCATGGTAATACTCTTAAACAATAGATACACCTCATAGTCTAGACATTCAGTATCACTCCTACGTACCATCGCCTCATAATCTAGTTAGACCCTTGTACTAGCCTGCGAATTCGAGATCGATGTCATACATGAAAAATATGTACAGTACATATATATATCCGAGGATTAGCCTTTCAGAAACGTCTTCCTGATACCACGTAGAGGAAAGCCTCACTCGCTGCCCAGTACTAAGCTACGCGAGTGGGACGCTCCCGAATGTTCAGACTCGTTTTTCAAGGGTACTGGGCCTAACCTTGGTGAAACGATGATTACCGATGTCACTCCCTGAAAGAACATGTGGGCCCCTTCCACCTGTTCGTTGTTCAATGTTCTAGGTTGATCCCTTTGACCCCAAACCTGCCTGACTCACTGTCGTCTAGCCTACCGCATTTGTGAGGCAGGATCGAAGACACGAGTGTATTTAATCTATCTTGTCGGTATGCCAACCGGATTGAATTCCGGATTGGAAGCTATCTCTTGGAACTAAGGTAAAGCGGGTTGGGCGAATTCCTGGGAGGAAATATCAGTGTGGTTTGAAGGAGCGAGAGCGGTGAGCAAAGACTGGTTTTGCGTGGTGTGGATTTATCGATCACCAAGCTTCGTGGAAAGAGGAGTAGTTTTATGGTCACACGACATACTACTTCGTTGCTCCAGTTCTCCATTCTCATCGATCGATTGGGAAACTCTATTTGGCTAGCGCATCCCCAGATGCGAGCCTCCATCGAATCGTTCTTAGTGTCAATTGGGCACCGTGATGGGATGATGCGACAGCCGGGAGATGTGTGGTCCGCCCTCCGTCTGGCGATCGAAAGGCAGACAGACCTAAAGAAACGTACGGCAGGGGAATGCGGGACTTAGAAAGAGGGCGGGACGAGAACGTTAGCTCGTTCAAGTCTCTCCTCCATGTACCGTGCAAGGGCAGGGTCTAATAAGCAAATTGCGGATCCGAAAACTACCGTCCTTAGCGTTACTTCCGATGAAGCTAGAAAGCTAGGCAAAATCATTGTTGCTTTCTTGCTATTGGGTCCTGAGCATGGGGTCTGCAGACGCAATCTAAAGGAGACGAAAATTCGTGATCTGAGAATGCACTAGTCATGATACTGGCATGCGTAAAAGTAGAGTGTTTATAAGTCAGGGGAGCCATGTGGGAAAAGCATGGTTGAAGCAATGCTTCTGTTGGGGATGCGCGATACGAGATGACGATATGTACTCACCGACGCGGTCTTCTTTCGGAGAGAAGGGTATGCCAAGGACGAAGGGAAGGAATGCCCCTGAAAAGATTGGGCGAAGGGAATAGTGGGAACAACACCAAAGTTCTCACTACAGAAGGGTGTTTGGTCATCAAAGAGATTCTGGACGCTAGTGAAACAGGCGAAATATAGACCGAACGATGCACACTAAGGAAACAAAGGTCTTTTAGAAAAAGTGATCAGCAAATTCACGATGCGGTTAGTCCGTTCTCGCTTCGGAGCGTACTAGGCTTATGAGGGAAGGTTGGGTGATTGTTGCTGAGAGCACATGCTTCGACTCTTCGAACGCGATTACGGTATTAAGAGGTCAACCAAGGCACGCGTCTCGTCTAATTTCATCTCAATCATCTCCACCATATAAAATTCCGCCATCACACTCTAACTTCCTTGCATTTACCAGCTCGCACCAACAGCCATGGCTCCGAACACTGGCAAACGAGCAAGAGAGGCCCTCAAGATAGACCAGGAATACTCAGTCAACATCACCAAGCTATCGTCCATAGTCCACAGAACTTCCAATTGCCCTAGCTCTAGGCTCACTTCTCAATTCGAAAATCCTCTTCAAGGACACTATCATGAATCACAGCGATGTTGCAGATAGCGTTGCTATTAGTCCTGATACTACCATGGACAAGCGTAACGGCAAGGCTACGCCAGAGAACTCTAATGTGAACACAAAGCAGGCCTAAAAAATCTAAGGATTTCATCAAGTATATCGACAAACGCTCAAGATGGCGGATGATCCCTTTCGTCAAAGGTATCAGCGTACTCTCCTCGTCACCCCTTTCTCCTCACTCTTTACGTCGGGGATCATGCTTACGGAGATATTAACTGTGGACCGAAACCCGCCAGATATTGCGATACCAAGGGTTCATCCTTTCATGGTAATGGACAAGCGTCTGCTCAGCATCATCGACCAGCGCATAGAATCCAATCATCCGATATTTGGTGCAGAAGATGACCCTAGCAAGACGGGGCGACCCCTAGAGAACGAGTTGCTGGCTTTTAAATCGCTCTTGGAACGAAAGCCGAGGAACAAGAAGGCATGTGCGGAATATGGCAAGTGGAGGAGGTTCGACCTCAACGATAAAAATCAATGCATGAAACTGCGGAGGGAGGTGGCGGTGGACTGGATCAGCAACGCACTATAGAGCATTGCAAAGGCAAGAGGAAACATCGAGGATTTCGGCATCGGCGATTGCTTCTTTGCGGATTACATTAAGTAGCTGAAATTGAGCAACGATGCCTCAAGCGAATGACACTGGCCTCGGGGTCTGCTAGTCTAGTTTTATGCTCCTCCATCTAAGCCCGTCCCCATATGCTTTTCCTCGCTTTCCCGCTCCACGTAATCCCTAATCTTAACATGTCCTTCGAAGGTGTAGGCATTCCAAACCCCGCTTCCATATAGACCGACTAGATACAACCTTTTATGTCTTCTAAGATATAGAAGTTCAACAAGCAGAGGCATGAAAACAGCCGCGGATACAATTTGGCCAAACGTCCACTGTCCGTCAAGAAATTTCCCTCCAGACGCCCTCGTCATGTCCTTGTGCTTCATATCCACCACTAAAAATAACATGCGGTAGATGACAACTAAGAAGAGAAATAGCCACGATAGCACCCCAAAGGCAGCCATTGTGCTCTCTTCGCTAGATGTCAAGGGATCGACATCACGGAAGCAGACTTCCTCGATCTTACCCTTGTCAATGGTCGATATGACCGCACTTGATCCATTTCCTATTTGGCTCATTCCTGCGTCTACTTCAGCTCTCGATATTCATAGTTCTTCTAAGTGATGCATCTTACCGAATGTACCCAACATTCTAGAGAAGAAGGGATAGACCGACAAAGCCAGCATATAACGAACAGAAAGAAACGCAGTCTGTCTCTGGCCTCAAGCTTCCTTTCCCGCGTACCCTGCGCTTGCCTATTTACACTCTCTTGTTGGCTGTGGTTACGCACCACCCCGCTAGTCCTAACTGTAATCAAGATAACCTGGGGAATGTCTATATCCAAGTTGAACCCCCCCCTGAGATGGCATATACCTCTCCCATTCCTACTCTTTCGTTGATACCCTAGCCCTTGAAAGTTGCTGTAACTCAACCCAAGGATAATACCTGTGGCTACACCAATGGTATATCTGTGTCTGCAGTCACTTGCACGGCATCCAAATATGCATGCTTCACCAACGACAGTAGCGGCGCTCATGGCTGCTGTAACACGCTGTCTCCTCCTTCAGAGTGCTTTCTTCCAACCTCCTGTGTTCCTTCATCCTCTCTAGACCAATGTACTGGAACGTGCTCAAGCGACTCTTATGTTACCAGATGCACTAATTCATTCTTTGCTGAGTGCTACGAGGCGATCTTCATCTACAGTACAATGTGGATGACTGAGTTCGGATGTGCATCGACACCCTATACCATCACGGCTGAGCAGATCTACAGCGCTTCGTCCCCTTTGTGCAAGACAAGTGCGCTCAAATCGATCAATCCGAGTGCTTCTCCACTACTAATAGGAACCAACGGCCTCAACACCCAGTTGGCCATATTAACCGGTAGGGATTGTCAGGGAAACATGTTTATATTCAATAGCTAAGAGCTGTGTAGATTTTAGCGTCGGGGCTATGGTTTGTTGTATTGTTGGAGGTTTGGTCGCCGTAAGCATGGTGGTGTATTGGTACGTTCTCTGGCCAAAAAAGAAATTGATGCTAATTTTATGTAGGCTTTAGACAAAGTACTGGAGGCCCAGAAAAGGTTACGCTGCTAAATCTCCACTAGAAGCAAATACAGGAAACAAAAAAAGGCCGCCTCAAGGACTCAAACGACGGGAATGAGCTTTGTCACTGAAGGCTCTGTCGCTGTGGTTAGACAACAGATCAAGAGAGAGAGTATGGAATATATTTAAACTATATTGAGAAGCCATACTAGTGACCGCCACCATGGACACAGCTTCTAATTTCTACTACCACTACCCACTCCTGCCTCACGACCCAAGCTTCTCCTTCAACTCATTTTTCCTCTTCAAGGCCCACGCCTTAAATGGGTCCCCACACTCAGGTCCCTCCTCAACTTCACAACCCGATCCTCCCCATTTGGCGCTAAAGCCGCTTCCACACAGCATTCAACTTCGGAAATTTGGTTAATTCGATGCCAGACCACAGAGCAGAGCACACCCAGGGAAATGCGCCGATATCGGCTACACTATACTTGCCGCCGTTCTTGCCAACGATATATTGTCGACCTGTCGGGTCGTTGAGGCACGCTTCGAGCACAGAGTACGGACTCTTGGTTCATTTTAGTAGTGGCCAATCCCGTATTGAATTTATTGGGTACATAACGGAAGGAGTGCTGATTGTCCTTCATGATGACAGCACGTTTAACCTGCTTTGGCCGGGGATGCGAACATCCTCTAAATGCGGATGAGGATGTGGATACTGCCCTTCGTTTTGCTAGTTCATCGGCTCAACCGTAGATGTTATCGGCTCCTCTATGTGAGAGATGCATACTAGCGAACGCCGGACAAGTAGAAATACATGCGCTAGGATATCACACTTATTAGACGCTTCGCTTAGATTTCGGTGGTCTAGAACTCTAATTCAACATCTAGGATGGTGATGAAGAGGCAATAAGTATGTCCCGATTACTGATCTTCGGCATCCCGCGCTTACTTTCAGTCCCTAGGATAGAAATAAAATAGGCCTGAATACATCCGCAAAGACGTGATGGCTACTATTATCCAATGTGGAGGGTCTTAGGATTCCGCTGGCGATGTTGATAGGAAGCTAGGGTATGTGTTTAATAGGTGCAAGATACAAAAATGCAAGGCATTGAAGGTATAAACAACGGAAAGAAATCCCCGACAGTCAGATGAAACATTAAAACTTCGAACGGTCCCCACAACCATCTAAATTGGTCCCAAAATGGCGGAGACAAGGGTTAAGATTAGCGAGAGGAAGTCCATCCCACGCACGCAACACGTCAATCACTCCTGCATGTGAGGGTCGAATAATAGCAACATCCACACCATCCATTTCCGGAAACTTACAGCCCCGTCGACAGCGCCCCATCATCCCCACGGCCCGTCCCGCAGAATCTCGTGTCCTGCAGTAAAGGCGATTCGACGTGTGTCTAATCAGGTGCTGCTGGAACCGCACTCGCTCCTTTCACTTCACCGCAAAGGCTGCTTGATAAGGTTAGCTTACGACGTCTTCCTGTCGTCATCAGCCATTCGGAACATTTCCCGGCCAACAACTACCTGGAAAGAGCCACGGCAATCTGACTGGACACCCTATTGCGCCGGAGCTGAGACCGAGAATGGTAGAGGTAGACGGCCTGTCGGCTCGGGCCGGAGAAGCAAATGGAGTTCCAGACTATATAAGATGTGGCGCATGCAACAGACTACTAGGCTCGACGTCGCCTGACGGAGGATTAGCCCCTGCCGCTACGGAACCAGCAACGGAAACAAAAGGCCAAGACTGCAACACGTGCCATCCGTTTCGGGAACTCTACGACGCGATGACTGTTGCGGATATGGAATATGCTTCACATCAAGACCGCCGACCGACTTTTGGACCGCGGCAGAAAGCCCTGGAAGCTAAGAAAGAGGCCCATAGGAACTATGCGAACCTTATCTTGAAGCTGGAGGAGGCCCATCGCAAGTTTCATGAAGAACGACAACTACAGCGCCAACCACGGCAACAGCAAGACCAAGAGCAGCAAAATGTAGAAACTCTCGGGAGCGCAAAACGTCCACGAAGCCCATCCACACCCTCATTCCCAGAAATATCCTGCCCAGCAAAACGCCTCTGCATATCCGGCCAGCCTAAAAAAGTCACATTCGACGCATCTGTCGCTTTCCGCAACGAGAAAGAGTACAGGATGGCTCAGGCCTTCCAGCGTTCAGACGAACGCTATGTTCGTGGGAGGAACGCGGCGCCGGAGGGTAGTGAGTATCTGGATACCAGTGGCCATCAGCAAGACTTCAAGAGCTTTTTTCGAGAGAAATGGAAGGGGCGGAAATGGGTTGCTTCGTCTGAGCCGAAGGTCGAAGACAGTTTGGGGGAGTTCACGGAAGCAGACGACAGTGTTGGAGGCGCTGAGAATGAGCCAGACGCGAATGTCCACAATCAGGTGGTTCTGTTAGTCAAGGAAGAAGCAGCAGAAAGCTCGTATCCAACTATTTTGCCTCCAGAGGAGCGAGGTAGAGAAACGAAAGGGGTCTAGGACGATGCCGAAGGGCGCACATATTCAATTACCCCATATATTAGGACACGGTTGAGTCCGATCCTACGTCGCATTCCCTGACGAGACCCAAGGGTCTAGTTCCGCCTCGACTGAAGGAATTATCGCACACATCAGTGCAGCCCCAGCTACTACCATCAAGAGCTGACAGAACAACCAAATCACGTCAAGAGCAACAAAAATACATGTCGTAAATGGAGCCTCTTCTGATGGTTGAGTAACTCTCAAACGCGTAATGGAATATTTAAAGATAATAGAATAAATAAGAGCATCACATGCCCAGTGAGAGCCTTGAGCTATTCATTCCCAAACTTTGAACGACCCAAAAGTCTCCTAGTCTGATAGCTTTCCATTAATGAGTCTCTCGATCTTCTTTACTATCTTGTCGACGTGAAAATTCATGAGATCTACGGAAGAAATCCAAATTTTGACATCCATCAAGTGTCCCAAGTAATTACGTGTACCATTATAAATATAGGTGTCTTCTCTGGATAAGACCTAGTAGAAAAGATACCATTCAGAAAATGAGGACGAGCCTCTCCTCTGGAACATAGCAGAGGCAATTTAGGACATAAATATACACTATATTGGCGTTCTCCCTTATCCCAGCAAATGTTCAACAGTTAGACTCTGAGAACGTGTAGCAAAACAACGAGAACCTCGGTGCATGGATAGCTGTAAATTGACATCAATCCCAGAATGATTGCTGCTGGTCAGGCTCGTTTAACATTTCTTGATCCCCATCTATGGTGGTGGCGAATGGAAGAGGATTCTGTTCATCATGAGTCGTAGTGAATAGATGCGTGAATATTGAATACAGAGGTCCTGTATTCGCTAAGAAGTCTTGAAAAGCAGCAGGTGTATCAGCCTGCCTGGAGAATCCTTCTTTAGCCTGAGGGATGCCCGGGCGGTTCGTTGTTTCGTATTCACATGGGTTCATCGTGATGTCGTGTGGGTGAATGCTAAAATTCTTCCCAGCACCACTCTTCAACCACTCCGATGATTCTTCTGCTAAGACCGGAGATTTCCTTGCGCTAAAGCTCGATGCTTGGGGTTCAAATGTTGGCGTATACTTGGTATCATTTCTTAGTAGCTCAGCAATTTCTGGCTTGACGTTTTTGATGACCTTCTGGACGAGCCCGAGTACTACGCTGTAGGCACGTTTTGCGGTGGCGTTGTTTTGAGCCATGGCCTTTAACCACCGCATGAGCTTGTGCAGTGATGAGGCAATTTGCTGACAATCCTGGATTGTTTGATATTCCTGAGTAGAATGGGTGACCTCATAGGAGAGTTCCAGGAGCAGGATTGCGAGACCCTGCATGAGACTGTGAACAACAGACCACCATGGACCCATCTGATAGAGCTTTGCGGGTTCGATCTTATCTGGGAAAAGCTGTGCTACTGATATTGCTGCGCTGATGCAAGACTGGGCAGTTCTTTTGTTGAAATTGTTGGATCCCTCACTTTGATTCTCAATGCGGCGGTCGAGTCTACACAAGCAGGATCGGGTAATGAGAATCCTCGTGCTTTGATAATACATTTCGAGTATCAGCCGCTCACGCCGGAAAATCTGGTCGCTGTTGGGTAGTGAAAAGTTGAAACCGGGCGGTAGATTTGACGCCCAGGTTTCAAGTTCCTGGCTGAGCTCCACAATGATTTTCTGCACATCTTCCCAAGATTTGCTGACAAGTCTTGCAGAGTACAAGCCGATGATGGTGTTATGCGTGATCATACCGAGCTTAGCCCAGCTATTAAGAAATGACCCTGAATTTGACGGCTCACTGAGGGACCAAGCGGGAATAGAGGAGCCTTTCCTTGAGGATGTTGTTGAGCCCGTTCCTGAATAGGCCAGGTCATGCGATCCGGGTTTTCTGGCCCGGCTGTCGAGATGAGCGACTACGGTTGCCTCGTCCATCTCTTCGGTAGAGAGCGGTAGCGGCAGTGGCACTGAGCAATACACCTCGTGCACAACACTTGGGCGGCCAGAGACGGCGGACAGAACTCGTTCCAGAGAATAAAGACCCCACCACATTCGTACTAGAGTCTCTTTCCTCACTGCGGAAGTCGATCGATCTTCATTTCGTACATGTAATCCAAGCGCATAGGCAAGCCGTACCGAGATGCCAATGACAACCCAAGCCCTATCATTATAGTTAACATACTGGGCTAATGGGTTAGGACCTACATAGGTACCTAGAATTGATATGTAGGAGGAGAATGAGAAGCGACGTTCTAAGTACTTATTAATGTGCCCAATAGCAAGGTAATATAGAGATAGAAGTCCAATTATCTGCATTTGCAAGAGATCGGGATTGGACACCCAAGAAGGGTCTCTGAGGCCTAAGATACTTGCACGTGAGTGATATATCACATGGTCTCGCTCTAGAGTGTGTTAGTCGCCAGCTCATACAGGAAATTGTTCGGTCTTACCATCGCCACGCCAGTTCGCTTCCGTCAAATGAGAGTAGACAGCGCCGACGGCAAAAACTAGGTTCAATATCGCCTGCCACTTTTCGGGCAAATTGATGGGTGTCCCCCGGCCTACCGAAGCGTAGAAGTGATAGAACTGGTTCCTGAAAATTCTTTCGGCAAGGATCGGGAAGGAGGTTTGCACGGATTGCATGTAACAATTGAAGAGTTTCTCCGCTATCGCAAATGGTGGTAGTTCGAGAGGATCAACCATCGAATCTGTCTCGAGCTTTTCGTCGTCCAAATAAAAGTTGAAATTGCTCAGTTGCGACGGAGGTCCTGAGTCTTTGGCCTGACGACGTTTCATCGCATCCATACGCTGTGCAGCTGCATTAGGGTTGTCTCCTGGTGGGCCGTATGGACCCTCGTACTTATCACCATCCTCAGCTGGGCGGTCTACGTCATGGTGCAAGCGACGGAACCATTGAATCTCAGAATTCTTGCCTATGAACCCTGTTGCTCGTGATTGCTCGCTACTGAGCAAGTCCTCGTCAAGGAGATCCAGATCCTCATTTGATCTACCAAGGTGAAAGAACGATTAGCATGAGCTCTGCTTGAAGTGGACTGGAAAGGGGAAGTGGTACCACCAGATGATAATGATATGCGCATTGTCAGCTGGAATGCCACTCAAGTAGCGCCTCCAAAGGACTTTGTCAGTATCAAAATAAGGTCTGATACTTGTACCGAGGGTTTAGTACCCAACTTCTGCACTAGCCAAAGCTTCCCCCCTTTCCTCTTCCTGATCGGGGAATCTTTTTGTTTCGGGGGACTTTTGGATTGACAAGGCGGCATCCGCGACATCTTCAACAACCTAAATTATTATTAAACTCGGGGAACCTGGATGACGACGTAGATGTTGGGGACATACACCTGCTAGCACACTCTCAATTCTTTTCCTATCCACAGTTCCAACTCGTTCAAGTAGGTCTTTCAATATCTTAATCATATCTTGATTCTGGTTTGTGGCCCTAATATTTGTTAGCCTCTCCGTGAACACAAAGGGGCTCGTCACTTACGTTCTGAGCCGATCTTTTCGACTTGATATATAAACACATGCCGTGTCGTTGTCACGACAATTTTGGCAGGGTTGGACTCCATTGCATTTCACTTTCCGCGTCCGGCATGTCACACAGGCTCGCTGGACTCTGTGTCTGTTGGTTCCGCTATGCCTGTAGCTTGTTTCGCCAGGTCTTTCAAGCCGAGGGATTGCGACCTTGGACGGAGGGCCCATTCCGGACCCAAGGTTCTGCCCAAACGACATATCGATCCAAGGATGTTCCAACCGCAGTGAAGATTGCGATTCGAAAGCGGTGTCGACGCTCACGAGGAGATCGAGAATTTACCATTGAATCCAGCCATATCAATAACACATGACGAAATCACGGGCCGTGGGAAGAAGGGTGAAGGCGTTAGCTGTGTCGCCACCGCTCTCCGCGGGGAAACATGTCGAACAAAACAGCCTGACCCCGAAGCGTGGCGGGCGCTCAGATTGGACGGTGCCTTCGGGATTTGTTCCCAGCGAATGACGGCTCTCAGATGCGACCCCATCTTGACGCTCTGAGAGGACAAGCTCCATCTGACCTGTTTTCTCACGGCTACTTTGAACCCCTGGACGATCTGCGCACTACAGAATCACGTGGCTAGGTATATGGATATCGTCGTGGGAGGGTCATCGGCGATGGCGCGCAGAAGTTGGGGATAAGTCAGGCCATGACCATGGTGCTCGATATGAGAGTGGGAGCAGTCCTCGGTCGCAGCAGAGGATTAGATGAGAGCTTGCCCTGAGGTATTAGTAAAGCGTCGACGAACAGATTAGGGGAATGCAGTGATGGGCGAAGAAAGCAGCTGTCGTCGTTCGATTAGAGCTCCGAAGTCCTAAGGCAAAACAAGACGACATCAAGCATCGCGACACAGAGGAGCGGTCACTTCAAATATTTTCTCGTCATCCGTGGAACGCACAGCCATCGTGAGATCGAAAGATTAGATCGACGATGAAGTCTGTGGGCTTCACGCGACATCGACGCCATCGGGGATGAAAGTGACAGTAACCACGTGACTTTATGATACCGAGTATGTATGCACGCCAAGACCGAGGACATGCCGGGTCACCACACCACCCCCACTATAGTTGCTACAAAAGTATGGATCATGTCCTCTGCTTTCTCCATGAAACTGCAAACTTGCTGCCGCCATGACAAGCAGTATTGAGGCAGACGAGAGCCATTACTTCACCAACAACCCTCCACCAAAGGACCTTAAGGGAAACGTTACTCTTGCTCGTGAGTTCATCGGTCGCCATGCAGACGAGGGACGCCGCGTTGTGCTAGTAACCTCGGGGGGTACCACAGTGCCCCTAGAGGCCCAGACAGTACGATACATCGACAACTTCTCTGCCGGAACCCGTGGCGCCACCAGTGCCGAGTACTTTCTCGAAAATGGATACGCCGTCATCTTCCTCCACCGCCAATTCTCGCTCCTGCCTTACTCACGACACTATTCGCACAACACACGGTCGTTCTTGGACTTCATGAAAGAAGAGAATGGACGCGTCACCGTGGACGAGCAGCATCAAGAAGAGATGCTCCGAGTGCTCCGGCAGTACATGGAGGTGAAAAGAGAGGGCAGGCTGTTAATCTTATCCTTTGTGACCATTACCGAGTATCTATGGGACTTGCGAGAAGTGGCAAAGTTGATGCAGCCCTTAGGGCCCAGGGCCATGTTCTACCTTGCCGCAGCCGTCTCTGATTTCTTTGTTCCCCACGACCGCATGGTTGAGCACAAGATCCAGTCGTCCGAGGAGTTCAGCCAAGGCGCAGACGGCCCGAACGGGGCCAGCAACGGGAAGCCGCCCGCAGCCCGGACCGAAGGCCGAAGCTTGATCATTGACCTCGAGCCGGTGCCGAAATTCCTTAAAGCACTCGTGGATGGGTGGGCGCCCGAGGGCATCATCGTTAGTTTTAAACTTGAGACCGACCCATCCATGTTGGTAAAGAAGGCACAATACTCGATGAACAAATATGGACACCACCTGGTCATTGGGAACCTACTTTTGACTCGGAAATGGGAAGTTGTCTTCGTCTCCACTGCTGGTGAGAAGTGGATTCGGGTGCCCCGTAACCGGAGGACGAAAAGTTTCTCTGGGGTGGAATCTCTTGTCGGTGCCGCGGATCTCCTAGCAAAGAAGGAGGTGAGCGATCACTCAGTCAGCACAAAATACGCAATTCCACATGGTGAACCTGCCGTCGAGATCGAATCTATCATCATCCCCGAAGTTGCAGAAATGCACACTAAACTGATAGAAGGCGCGCGACAGCGGACAATATAATCCGGGCCATGATGGTATGGGTGCCACCAGGCTGGCAAGACATGTCGTGTCTGTTATTACTTTTGTACATACTTGGCTGGCCCTTTTGGTCCAGCGCATTGGGTCAATAGAAATCCAACCTGTGATTTCAGATTTCCTATTCTCGTCATCCTCTTCCTCAATTCCTTAGTCATTCCAACTTGTCATCTCCGCCGGCACATGTTCCAGTTCACCCGTTTTATAGATTTCACAGGATGATTCGCCACTGCGCCGTTATATGTCGAAGTCTAGCACCAAACATAATCAAAGTGATCGCACCAATTCCAACCACTCCCACGAAGATACCAGCCAGGGTTCCAAAGCAATCACGGTATCCTACCTTTTCTACCCATGGCACGATGCCGTAAAGAAACCCAAAAGCGACAATATTTTTTAATCCATTAACAAGTAACAATGCGTCTGAATTAACCGGGAGAGCACAGTCACTGACATAAGCCATCGTAATTGTGGGAGTCTGTAGGTATGTTAGCACCTTTCATTGTGTTGTGTGGAATTGTTACATACCGCTGCAAGTGCAACGCTTATCATTCCATACCCGAAAAATAGCGCTACCCAAGAAAGGCTGCGTTCCACGCCATAGCCAAACACGATGCAGCCAGCAGGGGTGATCAAGAACGGGATGATGAGCATATAGAGTCGAGATTCGGGCTCGTATATTCCGTTATTCTTCTTAGTACGCCATGCACAGAACCAGTCAACAATATTGCCTAATATAATCGTCTTCAGTCAGCTGATCAAAGCCATGAAAACACAATTGACCTACCTCCAGCCCATGCTCCGAATAGATTTCCAAGCAGGCCCGGGATGTTAAGTAACCCCACGATCTGTGGCCGAAAATTATAAGGGGGGGCCTGTAACACAAAAGATTGCAGGATGTTGACGGCTACGACTACAACGAGGGAGATGGAGTAGCAAAGAAACGAGAAAATGACCGCAGGGTACACGATCATAGGGAGCGGCCTAATTGCCATAAGAACAAGATTTGTTTTCGGAGTTCCCGACCAGAGACTAAGTTCTTGGAGGAAGGTCTTCTTGGGAACCTGGGGGACCGGAAAACTGGACGGTTGGCGTGCGACCTCTTTAACACTGGATGATTTGATTTTCTCAACGCTGAATCCTTCTTCCGAAACCGAGGCCAAGCCGGACGTGCTAGCATCGAGTCTTGACTTTCCCAGGTCTCGATTGTAACGGGTCTCAGGCACGAACAAAAGCACTGCGACAAAGTTGATCGCTAGAGACAATCAGCACTCCCCCCATACTCTCTCATAAGTGGAGTAAAATACTAACCAGTGAATATCACGGCTATCCACTTATGCCAGCGCCATCCCAGACTCTGCACGATAAACCCGCAAATCAAAGGCCCGATTGTGTTCCCCCCAGAAATTGCGTTCATGTAAATGCCCATTTTGGCGCCACGTTCGTGAAGGAAGTACAAGTCCTAGACAATGTCTCAGTCAATGTTTGGAAAAATGCCACCCTATCCGACAACTTGAAGTTCTCGGCAGTCCCAGGAGCCAGGTAAGAGCACACGCTCCAAACTTACGTTTACCATTGAGGCACCTAGAGCTTCGGTTGAGGACCCAGCGAATGCTGCAATGATGTTGGACCACATGAGGCTTTCGAAAGACTGTGCAGTAGCTCCCCACACGTAGCAGAGACAGAGGAGGAGCGAGGCGAAGACGAAAATAGGGCGCTTCCCGAAGTAGTTGGCTAGGGGCACCCAGAAGAAGTTGAACACGCCAAGGACGAGGATTGGCCAGAGAAGCAGATTGCTTGTTTCGGTCATCGACTTGTTGAACTCGAGATGTAGGCCGAAGAATGCGGGTGCGAGACCACCAATCGCATAGTTGGTGAGGAAAGTGAATGCACAGCTTGTGGTCGTTAGGTCACATACTCTCGTGTGTTTCCAGGTAATCCAATATACATTGATGTAAAAGCAACATGTTTCTTCCACAGAGGCCAACATAGTGGGTCATTTGGGTCCGTCTTTGAGGGAGCTGGGACAAGAACGATCTCAGCACCATTCTCGCCTCTCTCTGTGCCCAGCATTAGCAACTAAGATGCCGATAAAATACATCCGAACTGTACCTTGCTGCAGTTTGACCGTTCCCTCTGACTGGTCCAATTCTTTGAGAGATGTGAGACGCATCGTAGGGTTTTTTTTTCCACCGGCCTCAATTAGAATATAAAATTGATACCCAAGACCAAAACCAGGTTGTATCACTGGACTTATCTTGCGGCGGGTTCATCGAGTTGGCTATGGAGGAGAAGGGATCCGAGATGATAAGCTCTCTCAAGCACTCGAAGGCCTTAACCCGAAAACGCTAGCGGAAGTGACAGGATTAGATATCTTCTCATGGCCGGCATTCATTATTTATATCTACCTTGTATCTCGTCGCTAATCTATCTGATCTTCGGGTTGACGGACGTCCTAGTAGGTTCCGACATGGATTGGATCTCCCATGCCGGCCCCGCAGTGCCGAGGGCAGAACAGGGGACTTTGCGAGCCATCGTTGCGTTGTTCGGATGGGATGCGCTCTTCCGCTGCGTGTGGAAACGGTTAGACAAATGATGCCCTTAGGAGCATATTAAGTGAGCTTACTGCTCTTAGACACCGGGAAGGGATGCAATGAACGGCGATGTTAAGGCCTTTACGAGTTCTGCGATGAATTCTCAGTTTAAGAGCATCATGGCTTGTCTTCCTGCCACTTCGACGACCCAGTACAATCATGCAGAACCGATCTTATCGATACTGGTCTGCCGGGGTGGCGAACCTCCCGCCAACAGTCATGGAGGTGGCTGAGACGACGACGCGCTGTGGAAGGCACCGATTCCGACGATGCAACCTGCTGGTCGCTTCACGACTCCGATATCGTGCCTCGCATTCAGCCCTCGCATCACCCTCAGAGCCCGACTGGTTGTGCTCACGGCTCCATGCGTAAGATGTGTCCAGGACTCTTTCCTAGTTTGCATTGTCTCCTTAACTTCTGATATCTCTATTTTTTCCCCGCCATCTTGTTCTGTCATCAAACGACGGCTCGCATTTCTATCCTGGCTTGCATCTGTAGTAACTGGTGTGCCAACACGATTCATCTCTATTGTTATTTGTGTTTTGGTTTATCACCTCTACCAAAAAAAAATGGGGATAGTTACATTCTAGCGATGCTGTACGCCACTACGTGCCATTCGATCCCTCGCTTCTCGGGCACAAAGAAGGCCTTGCGTCACCACAGCCTTCCTCTAGCTGCGTCCGCGGATGTAGCCCCATCTTCTTCCGACATTCGGTGGCGTTTCGGTTCTTTCTGAGATGCATGAATGCCTTGTTATCGCCTGCCGGAAGGATGATGTGCATGGCCAGGAGATGCCATCGTTTGAGAGCGTATCTCGACAGACGCCATCAACCAGCCATCAAGGGATTAGGCAATTGACAACACAGCCATCCCTTGCTTAACTCTTCTCAACAGTGGTCTTCTCTATCAGGCTACGACTGACGCCTTTCCGCGCGGCACCGACTGCCTATTGGACAACGCAATCAGTACGACGTCTTTTAGCTGGTCGAACAGGGAAATCACACAGCGAGATCTTTTGTTGCGATCAATAAAGCTCACCAACAAATCCGGGGAACAGGTTCGATGTAACGCGAACCCTTGCAACTTCAGATTTCCCCCCAAAACCAACCTCCAATTCTGGCCAGAGTGGTTACTTGATAAACAATGTCTCACCCCTTGGGTCCAGCAGACGGGATTGCGCATGTATATATCGTGGTTGCTTGCCTATCGCTGTTATCAAGGTTATCGTGTTCTGATAGCCCTCTTGTCTACCCACATTCGTTTGTGTCTATCACCGTCGACCATCTAATCACTACACTCTCCTTTCGTTATTCTCATCACACTTGAACATGACTTCGACAATGACTTCAAACTGCACATTCGTTCCACATCCATCATCTCCACTCGCTAGAACAGCATCCCCTTTCAAGCATCCACGAACCCCACCTTGTACACCACGAAATACCGCCAAACTCTGGGATGAGTACGAGAAACGCGCCGTCGAGAACGCGAGGAGACGAGAAACCACATTCTCAAACACTCTGCTACGGGCTCCAGAATCGCAACTCTTGTCAAGTGGAACTGTCCTCGACATTATTAGAAGTTCTGATCCTCATCCTTCACCTAGAATACCAGCTCCATCTCCCAACCCATCAGCAACTGCGAGTCCGCAGTTCGACTTTGGCTTTCAAATGGCTCCTCAGCAGACAAGACATTCAGACCCAACATCATCTACCACTGTCGCTATTTGCAAAATCTGTAAAAAATCTATCCTGCCGACCTCAGGCATCTGCGAGAGATGCAAAAAGACTATAATACTTCCGTCTCAATCCGGCGAATCAACTCCCCCTCTCAGCCCTTCTCGCCGCAACTTTGGTTCAACGAACCTCTCAAAACTCCACAAGGAGTCTACTTCAGGAAACACGACTCCGAAGTTCTCGTCTCCTAAGTGCAGATCAGCTCACCCGTCATTAAGCCATCTCAGCGAACTCCCTATTCGGCTCTCATCACTCCTTCCACCGCCGACAACAGCAACAACAACAGCAACAATGACTACCGACACCACCATCAGCGCTCTCCGGCCCCAGCGCGAGTGCAAACCCTCCATGGCTGATCCGCACGAGCCTTTCCTCCGTCTCCAAATCGCCCGCAAACCCATCCCAGGTCCTCCCGCAACCGTAATCCCCATCCCTCCTTCAGGCATGCTACCCTCATCCCCAACCACCCCACCCTCAAGCTCCCACTCCAAATCTTCTCATTCGCATCCCCAAACCCGTCCCCCTTCCCTCGCAAACATCACAACACCACCTCAATATGCAACCTACAGCTACAGCTACAGCCGCCATGCCAGCGCCACTCCCTCCGAACTTAGCACACTGTACCCCTACATCTCCAACTCTAACTCAGCCTCCACAACTATAACTACGCCGAGTGTATGTCGCGCGAGCTACACACTACAGAACACGATGAGCGCGTGGGATTGGGACAGTGATGATGATGAGGAGGAGAAGGCGGGATTGGTAGGGTATTGGCGGGCTAAGAAGTGGAGGGGGAGTCGAGGGAGTTTGGCAGATAGGAGTGGTAGTGGTGGTGGTGGCCTGAGGGAGAGGGAGAGGAGTGATAGCTCTGCGAAGGAAGATGGAAAGGCGGAGGGGAAGAAGAAGAAGAGGGGCTTTGTGAGGGTTATTAGTTGTGGGTGCGGGGATCGGGAGTAATTAGTATCCCAAGTTCAAGACAGAACGAAGAGATGAGCTAGATGAGGTGGCAGAAGATGGTCATAGACCGAAAGGGGAGATAGCAGATTTCGGTTTTCGTTTTCCTTCCGACAGTAAAAAGCGTTGGGTGGAGTATAGGCAGGCGACAAACGATTGCACGAATGATGAAAAACACGAAAAGTTGTAACAATTTGGGAACGGCCGACACACGCTTAGTTTCGTACTTTCTTTACACCCTTTAGTCTATTTCCCTCGGCCTTCTTTATTCTCCTTTTGCTGGATTCAAAATTTTATGTTAATATTCAGTATACTCTATTTGAGGGTGGTTTAGGTGAAAAGCGGAAGAAAGGGGGGACGCACGAGGGGAGATGTTAAGATATTGGTAATTACTAATCTAACATGATTTTCGTATTAAACGTGTATCTCTTCGAAAGAAGTCTTCACTCTCTGTAAACGCTAGTCATTGGAGCCCTCTCCTCCCTCTCCAGCCCCTACTTTAACTCCTTTCTCAACGTAACCTACCCAAGCTCCTACGCACAGCCATGCAGTCCCAAAACCCAAGTCACCTCCAACTTACCGTGCCGTAACTTGTCATTAAACCGCCACCTAGCTAGTTATCTCCCAACCACTTCACTCACCGATCACACACCTTCCTAAGTACCACAAATCATGCCATGCCATTCCATTCCGCTCACAGCAATCTAACAAAAGCATGCACACGCCCGCTGCTTCCCGCGCTTCATGAAGACACCCGCCTGCTTCCTTGATGCAGTCCCTGGTCCTGCTCACCGGGCCGTTGAGAGCCGTGTCATAGGGCAGACATGCATAAGGGGGAGGTGAGAATGATATGCTGGTCTGCAGATGGAATTTGTGCGGTGTGCATGTATGCCGAGATCTACGACCAGGGGTTGCGTAGTAGAGAATGGTGGTTTGTGTGATGGGATGTCACATGGGACAATAGGAAGTGGCAGGGAATAAAGCTATCCATCCTGTTTGAGGTTCCAGGACAGGAGGAGAAATTTGGAAAGACGGGAATTGATTTCGCACTGAAAGAGGGTCGGAAGCGGACTTGGTTGGAGGGCAATGCGATCAGACCGAAGCCTGGTTCAATGTATGCGGGCGCGGGTGCGAAAGTGGATGGATGGATCGTCTGGCGAGAGAAGAGAACCGGTGCTGTGCAGTGAAGCGAAGCATCATTACGTATATTGGACTGCATTGCATCTGTCTCATGGCATGGATGCCGTCCCATACTGTCCTCCACCCCGCCACTGGCTACTTTCCCCAGCCTCGTGTGACCTAACCCACTATTTCTAAAAGCCGCCTCAATTCTTCACTCCATGCACAGCACCCGACTCCCGGTCCATACATAGGCGAGCGTCACACAGCATTCATCAAGCCCGCGAAATTTACTCACATTCTCAGCGCCGATGCTGAATTTTCCGACTTGCATATGCATTATTGGACGGGAAGATTTCTGCCTCAACCACCACTCTTTCCGAAACGAGTTTGATCGACGCGTCATTCAGAAGTCTTTCTTAGAGATATCTCGTGTATGTGGGATGAAGGGTGTACGGCAGGTCGGCTGAAGAGAGGCTCGGCGGTGCAGGCTGGAAGTGGCGGTGTGCAAATGCCCGGTTGTGGAGGTATGTATCTATGTAGCGTGCTTCTAGTGAAAACGTGTCTTGTCAGTGTCATGTGGGTGGTGCTACATTGTTTCAGGAGGGAAGTGGCAGTGGGGAGGCATGCTTTTGGTATAAATGACATAAGAGGCTCTGGAGGTTGGTGGCTGTCATGGGAGAAGTAAGTACGTGAGATGATAGGAACGATGACTAGAGCAAAGAAAGGGTTCATCGTCAACCTAAGCAGTGCTCATCCCCTCTTCAATTTCCGACTCTTTTTGCAGTCGAGAGACCTTTGAGACTTCTTCATCATTCCTATGGGTTTTGGTATGAGAGTATGCCGCTGGCTCCTTTCATGAACACGTTTTCACCGTAGTTCCGTTTCCCGTTTCCTTCACGCTATTGGGGTTAAATTTGCGTCGAGATGGGAAGCTGCAGGATTTCGGTGGAAAACCAGAGGCGGTGAAGACTGGTTAAAGCCTTAAAAAAGGGATATATACAGATGATCTGAGACATCTTCTACTTAGCTTCAGTACACTATCGGCTCAACGAAGATACCTAAGATGTGTCACTGGACCTTGCGAGTGGTGAGTCTTCTACTGGTTCCTAAACGCCTCAACTGATGTGTGGTCTAGTGGAAATGTGGGGATAGCTTCTTCACAAAATGTTCGAGTTGCAGTGTGGACCGCGCAGCTCACGATCCAGCGAGCCTCAACCCGCTGCATCCGTCAATCACACCCATTGGTTTAGAGGGCCCCGCGACTACAGAAACGCACGACCTGACTCCCTCGGCTAGGAAAGGTTCAGAATACCGGATCACGAATAACACTACTCCCAGCAAGCCCAAGCCTCGGCCCGCCGTGCCAGTCGTTGACCTCTTGTCGCCAGGCCACCCCCAAACCAACCCGGTTGGCAACGGATCAACCGGTGTCGTTTACCCTCGAGATGTGAAGACGGGTGAGGCCATCATGGTAGCCCTGTCAGAAATCGGCAAGGCATCACGGTTCGGTGACAAAACGCTGGGAGGCACTGGGAAGTGTCGAGTCTTCGAAGTGGTGCTGCAGCAGAACGAACCCACAATGTGTCCCGCATGTATAAGAAGCCCAAAGAGAGCCAGGTTGCCAGCTCATGCCAGAGGCTGTTTTGGGCTGAGTTGAATGTTGTTTGTTGGCGCCGCCCTCGAAGCAGGGATATGAAGGATTTCCTCTGTCAAATCACGTGCTAGATTCAGTGTCAAAAGTGTGGAGAGTTACGTTCTGAAGTGGAGCCAATGACCCGACGAAGGTGTCAGCACACAATTGAAGAGGCTGAGGAGTTCTTGTGGTAATCTCATAAAGGGGGTTTGGTGGTGAAACAGTGAAACTCTAGTAACAGTTGTTCTTTTCATGGCATTGAAGTGCGGTTCAGTAGGGTGGGCGCATCCATCAATGGGTGTGGTGGCAATGAGGACTTGCATCAGAGGTTCATCCTTGCTCAATCCGGCCACAGTCGCATCGTGGCAACGTGAAAGGGGATTTGACGATGCGACGACGACGAAAAAGTGGAGAAGAAGAAGAAGAAGAAGAAGAAGAAGAAGAAGGAGGAGGAAGAGGAGGTAAAGATAAAGGTAAGGGAAACACCCACCTACTGTTCATGCTCTTTAGTTGCTCGTTGAAGATCTATTTCCATGCCGCCTGCTCTACCAGGAACACGTGGCAGTGCCTTCGTCATGGAGTCCGTCGCTAATCAACTTGCGGACCTCGAGGTGCAGATACGAGCTGTTAAGAGGGTTGCTTCGGGCCCCGGATGGCATTTCACTCAGCCTCCTTCATAGGTTCCTCACTTCCCTATTGCCGGGCATAGCATTAACTGCACGACTCACTTTTAAATCTCTTGGGGCATGAATCTTTGACGTAACATGAAGAAATCAGGGCTCGTGTTCAGGATGGCGTTCAGCTTTTCGGTCAGATGAAGCTGGAGTGCCCCTGACAGTTCGGCGCACTACTCCCGTTCCTGGCGAATTGTAGGGTCAAGGCGTCCAAAAGCGCAAAATGCCGCCCGAAGCCCCCTGAATCAGACAGGGCTGGCGCGGGAAGGACTTCTTCATGAGTCCAACACAAATCCGTTGCTTGACACCCTTACAAGCTTTTTCTACAGGGCTCCGGCATTGGCGATGATATCCTTTCACAGTTATCACGGCTGCTTTCTGGTAGTCGCTGAACGACAGGCTCTTCCGCGCCGCTGTGTTCAATGACTCTCTTGTACGTCGTGACAACAAAGAACACCATCGCCCGGGACGGACGGCTTCGCGTCGGCTTCGCGTAGGCTACGAGCTCCTCTTGCTTATTCGCCCCAGGGCGAAGGCGATGTGACGGCGTCGTCCCGTTTCTCGTGTCGATGGCCAGGAATGTCATTGACCAACTCTTATGCCCAGGAATAGAAAAAGACAGACTGAAGATCCCCTGCGGAGATCTGACTAGCATTGGCCGCGCCTCAGATTAAATTGCCGCTGATCAAAGCTTCAGCTTCAGTTCCTCCTGCGATTGGCTGCCTGTGTCTAAACGGACTGCAGGTTCGTCAAGGTCCCGGTTTGAGAGAGCGAAGAGGGCTTGTCCCATGCTCCACCACGTCGCGATACTTGAGCCACAGTGCTCCCTCACTCTCAGGACTTACCTCCCTCCGCTGTTGGCAGCTGTAAAATTCCCTTGCCTCCAGCATTCTTTTGTTTTCTCCCTGTCACCCTTCGTTACAGCCGTCACTCGTTCCGGCTTGTGTTGACATTTTATCCACCTCTTTTGTTGCGAACACCTTTTTCCGGGATTTGCAATACACTCGTTCAGAAGTTTGCTATAAGCATATTAATTACTATTGCCAATAAACATCTCGTCTCCTGATATCCTGACACCGACATTACTATTCAACGGCTTGGTTTCTGGGCAATCAAATTTCCTAAACTAAACCTGAGAAACCGCGCCCACATACGGTCTCTGACCCAATTTTCAAAGGGTATGTATTCACACTTCATCTGTTGGGACCACTCCCAGAATGCGGCTTCCCAAGCCTTTGGCGTGGTTGGTCCTTGGGTTCTTCTTTCGTCAACAAAGTCACAAGCATCTTTCAACAACCCAGCCTTTCCGCGATATCCGTACCAACACCTTCCGTCTCTACTGTGCCATACACCACCCACATCTCGTTCTGCTTCTTATTAGCGTCCGAATCGTCTGGACTGGGTCTGGAATTCTACCCTCTAACAGGAGCTTACATTCGCTGTCTAGATCTTAGTGTCGACTATGAGGACCGCGCTCTTGTCCTTTGGCGCATTCGCCGGGTTCGCCGCGGCAAATATCGATTTTACCTGGGTCCAACCGACCTGCGATTTTAATTCCGTTGGGAAACACCCTTGCCTGCGAGGCCAACAATGCACCGAGAAGAATATGTACGTCAATTGGTATGGATGTAGCTTTGTATTCTGACTCGACATAGTTGCGAAGCAAACATCAGCAATGATGATCTCTACCCCAGGTCATTCCGACGCAATGTCCCAGAGAAGAGGCAGACCAAGTACTCGACCGACGGGACTTGTGGGCCAAACAACGGAAATACGCTCTGTGACCCCAACAGCACAGTTTACACTGGTTCCTGCTGCAGCTCTTATGGATGGGTATGTCAAATTTGACTCATGGATGTACATGACAACTGAATTCTGGTTAGTGTGGTAACACGCCTGCACATTGCGGCACCGGTTGTATATCAGGATGCAACACAGGCGCAGTGTCCTCCGCCTCCGCGGCTGCAACTCCCCCAGCTGCATCCGGAACCGCTCCCCGGAGCGATGGGAGGTGTGGAAAGGACTTCGCTGGAGCCACTTGCGACCCCAACGGCGCCTACGGTGGGTGCTGTAGTTCCTATGGTTATTGTGGATCTACAGAAGGTCACTGCTTGCCCGCAAATGGCTGCCAAAACGGCTGCAGCTCTCCAGCTGCCTCGTCGAGCGCAGGCCCCCAACCCACTTCGACTGCCCCACGTTCAGACGGCCGATGCGGTAAAGATTTTGCAGGCGCTACCTGTGATCCTAAGGGCGCGTATGGAGGTTGCTGCTCCTCTTACGGGTATGTCTGGTATTATTTTTATCCTGTTGTGGCTAACTCATCTGTTTAGATATTGCGGAAGCACAGACACCCATTGCTTGCCTGCAAATGGATGCCAGAATGGCTGCAGCGGAGGAAGCTCATCTAGCTCAGCACCGGCTCAACCAACTTCTTCCGGAACGAGACCACCTTCTATAACTACATCTGGTGAACCAGTCCTTGGCAAGCCTTCTAGCGTAAGCAGTGCAGTCGCAAGCCCTACGGGTAAGCCCACTACCGATGGAAGCTGTGGGTCAAACTTTGGAGGAACCATCTGTGGAAACTGGCCGCAGGGTTCCTGCTGTTCGATGTACGGATACTGTGGGAATTCCACTTCCCACTGTGGGGAAGGGTGTCAATCAGGGCCTTGTCTCGGCGCACCTGTTGTGCCTGCACCTGGCCCTAGCCCTGCTCCCGCTGCTGCGAAGCCTGGTTCCATTGCCATCGTTGGTCGTTCCGGTGTTCCCGCTATGCACGCCGGTCTCATGCCTAACGGTCGTGTGGTTTTCCTGGACAAGGTAGAGAACTACACTGAGCTTAAGCTTCCGAATGGCCAGTATGCCTACTCTTCCGAGTACGATCCAGCTACGAACAAGGTCGTCCCTCTTTCTTACAAGACAAATGCTTTCTGCTCTGGTGGTATCTTCCTTGCTGACGGCCAGTTCGTTTCACTCGGTGGTAATGCCCCATTGGACTTCATCGACCCAACTGTTGGTGACGGATTCAAGGGTATTCGTCTCCTCAAACGATCTGACACTGACGCCTCCTTGAACGGCCAAGCCTGGAATGAGCCTGGAGGCCAACTTTCGACTGCTCGGTGGTACCCATCTGTTCAGATCATGCCTGATGGCAAGCTCTTCGTTGCATCCGGCTCCCTCAATGGCCTCGACCCGTCAAAGCCCGAGAACAACAACCCGACCTATGAGATTCTGAACGCTGATGGCACTCCTCAGGGCAAGAGTATCACCATGTCCATTCTCTCCAAGAACCAGCCTTACTACATGTATCCATTCATGCATCTCATGAGGGACGGAAACGTTTTCGTCTTCGTCTCCAAGTCTTCTGAGGTCTTCAATGTCGACACTGGCAGCACCGTTCGCACTTTTGCCGATCTGCCCGGAGACTACCGCACTTACCCCAACACTGGTGGATCCGTCCTCCTCCCCCTCTCCAGCGCAAGCAACTGGGATCCTGATGTCATCATCTGTGGTGGTGGTCCTTATCAAGATGTCACCGCCCCTACGGACGCCTCTTGTGGTCGCATCCAACCCCTCTCCACCAACCCTGGTTGGGAATTGGACAGCATGCCCGAGGGACGATGCATGGTGGAAGGCACTCTCCTCCCAGATGGCACAGTCATCTGGCTGAACGGCGGCAACCACGGCGCTCAAGGCTTTGGCATTGCCCGTGATCCCACGATGGAAGTCCTGATCTATGACCCTGTCCAGCCTCTTGGAAAGCGCTGGACCACCGGGCCTACCTCGACGATTGCCCGCCTATACCACAGCGTCGCTGTCCTTCTTTTGGACGGTACGTTGTTGATCACGGGTTCCAACCCCGTTGAGCAGCCAATCCTCACGCCCACAACAAAGGATCCATACGTCACCGAGTTCCGCGTCGAAATCTACACGCCGCCATATCTCCAAGACAACCCCACCCGTCCTTCTAATGTCGCGTTGTCCAGCAAAGCTCTTAAAGCCGATGGATCCACTTTCACCATCAAATTCAACTGCCCATCAGGCTCCAAGGCAGTCAAAGTCTCTCTCTACTACGGTGGCTTTGTCACACATTCTGTGCACATGGGTCACCGGATGGCATTCCTGGACACGAATGGCTTTGCAACTGGCAGCACGAACCAAACAATCACCGTCACGATGCCGCCCAACAAGAGCGTCGCTCCTCCCGGGCCGTACGTTGTGTACGTGCTTGTGGACGGCGTGCCTGCTATTGGGCAGTTTGTGCAGGTCTCGTAAGTTTTCTCACCGCGAGAGAATTTCACGGCCGGCTACCCCTTCCCCTTTGCTTTCCTTGAGTCTTCTTGTCATTCATACCATAGATATTGTACGTGTTTGCGGCAGCGTGCTGAGTTGGATAATAAGGAATGCGATATCGACCAAAACCGGCAACCCCTCGGCATCAACGAAGAAGGGCGGGGGGGCGAGAAACCTATCTGTTAGCTGGACGGGGTTTCTTCCAGTGTTCTGTGTTGTCATTGCCATTGCATCATCCTTTCCTGAGTTGTCTGTTTGAATACTATAATATCTATCTGGGGTGCATACACGGCAGACTCGCCCCTGGATGCATCCTGTGTGGTACTTATTAGAAGGGATAACATTTTGCGGAGGATGGATTCGGTAACGACATGGTGGTAGCTTTGGAGTAGTATAAGCGGGAAAGCGTGCATACATAATACACTGGTTTACGCACTTCAATTTCCTGCACCATGCCATGAGGAGGATACTGGGATCTTTATCTCTAATGCAACCCTGACTTTTCAATCCCATTCCCAATTTCTAATTAGTGGTGACCAGAGTCGTCAGCCTTATCCCTATCCCCAGCCCTGCCCAAGCGAACGGAGTCTCGGCCCCGGCCCCAGAAACCTCCGTCGGAGCTCGCTCAATTGCTTCTTCCGTTCTTCGAAGGACGCTAATTGGTCAATCGGTATGACACGCCACTGGATGTTCTCCGCAACGACCGGCCAAATTCACCTTCACGGAGCCCGTGTTTTACGCGAAGGATTGTGACGCTAGTTTAATGGTTTGATGGTTTGATGGTTTGATGGACGCGTACCTAGTGGGATTTAGAAACGAATTATGTTGGGGATAATCAAGAGTACTGGTCGGTCTGGGGTTGATTTAAAGCCACTATCACTCTCGCTTTCCTATACACACCACTCACCAACTCAACCATCCCAAACCACAACCAACACCTCAAAATGACGACCTCCACAGCCCTGACCCTCTACCGACCCTCCGACCCGATTCCCTCGTCAACCCTAACTACCACCCCCCGCGCCAATAGCCTCATTTCCTCGCGTCTCTTCAGCCAACAAACTGGTACAGCGATCGCAACCGAGCTCCTCTACCGCATTCTCATCGAGCTGTTGAACCGACTCTTCTGTACCCTCCAACGTTTTGCTTCAGAGCGCCTGGACAAACTCTCCAGCTTCCTTGAACAGCGGGCACAGGAAAGGCGAGAGGCGAGAGTGGTGGCTGCTGAGGCTGCGAAGATGGAGAAAGGTGCGATAGGTGGTGGCGGGGGAGGAGGGTTAGGCATCGTTGAGGAAATCAACAAACTCTCATCTTCCCGTGGCGAGGGTTTTGGCTTTGGGCCGGGAGTGGCGTGTCCGATTACTACAAGTGGAAGCGCTGGAACAAATGGGAAGGAGCTACCGAAGTGGATGAAGAAGCGGGGCATAAATGAACCACCAAAGCCTCCGAGGTGGGTTAAGAGTGTTTTTGAAGGGATTGGAGAGGGGCGGTTGGAGGTGAGCGATTTTTGGATGAACACTCATATGGGGTGATGAGATGATGGTTGTTGCATAGAAAATATATTAAAAGACGACGGGAGATGGAAGCCGCTCTAGGATGTAGAGGCTACAGTCGGCCTTCTTAGGTGTCTGGCATTGCGAAGCCGTCTCCGGGCTAGCGTTGCGCCTGACTAGGAGAAAGCGGTGGTTGTATGGTAGAAGAGGCGATAGAATTTGGCGTGGTACACGAAGGGGCATGATAGTGTCTGGTTTAGGATAGAGGTTCATACCCTCCTGATACTCTCCTCAGTTCTAGCAATAGGGTTGAAGGATCGAAGTCAAAGTTTCGGACCCGGTGTCACTATGTATTAGATGGTTAGCAGGGTCGACTTTAAATAGGAGGCTTCTTGACGTGGCATCATTCTTTTGGAGAAAGATAGGAAGTAGGGCACTTTACGTTTGTAAATTCAGAGCGTGTCACGCATTCAATAATGAATTAAGGGAGTTTGGAGGAAGATACAGTCATATTTCCATGCCATAGTCCTCCTATGAATATTTATGTCCTTCGGTCACTCGTATCCGTTTGAAAGCGTCGAGCCGATCATTCCTCCTCCATCTTCCTCATCAGATTCGTGCATCTAAACGCCAGTGGAAATTATCATCACCACACCCGGATTCATGAACCCCGACGAACGCCTGCAAATGCCTCCATTATGATTCCGCGAAAGCAGCCAGCACCAAGAGTGCCTCTCAGAAGCCCATTCGAGAACCCAAACCCCTCAGACTAGCACCGAGGCCGCCGTCCGCTGCAAAGCGGGGGTCGAGGCCCTCTTTGTTCTGGGACTTGTCGGGAGTGACGGATAAACCTGCACTCATTAAATTGAGGCGGGTCAATCGCAGGCGAAGAGTGTGATCATATTTCTCGGCCATGGCGAGGGCGTCTGTGTGAACGTCGTAGCGGGGATTTGTGGGAGGTGATATGAGGAGGCGATCGACAAGGTCAATTCTAGCGTTCAAAATGCCGGCGTTGATCATGTCCTCGAGCTCTTCCTCAATGCTGCCAAAGTCGCCAGTGGGTTGGAATTTTTTGGCCATTTCCTCCAGTGTAACACAACTGAACGGGATGAAATACTGGACGATGCTCTTGGTTCGGACATTGTTGTAGATGACCGAGAGAACCCTCGACAGATACACATCCAGCAGGTAATCTGTCCGATAACCTTCCAGTACCTCCAGACAGGCGCTATATTTTGAGTTACAGAAGAGACTGATAGCGCGCCGGATATGAGGTTCGAGCTCAAGGAAGTTGCGAAAGTCGCCGTTTGCGAGGACCTTTGTTTGCAAGTCGCTACGGTCCATAGATCCGAGGGCACAGAGACCACCGTATACAGCTATATCGTTTCCTGATAAGACCTCCTTCTGCCACACGATTCCGGCAGCCGGTTCCAGGGTGAGGAATTGTGGGGAGGTGTGGATGAAGTTGTTCGCCGCTTCTCGAAGGTTGCCGGTGCACATATGGGCGAGGCCCGAGCATGCCGAAACGATGGGTTCCAACTTGTTCTTCTCGTCGCCCTTTAATTGTGATGCGTCAACCTTCACCAACTGTGATTGCACGCCTAACCACGCCCTCTGAGCAATGCTAACGTATACTAGACGGAGAGTCATGTCAGCCAGGTGTTTGTTGGAAGTGCAGTGTTCCCGCATGCGCCAATAGGCTTTGTGGGCATTGGTGTAGTCCCCACATGCATAGTAGAAATGGCCGAGGTCTTCGTTACCCATCTGTAATTCTCAATCAGCTATGTTTGAACAAGTATATCAATAAAGCCAGCATCAAACGCACCCGAATAGATTCCTTGATTAGGTTGTTCTTGTAAGATTTGAGCTCATGCTCCAGCTTGTCCTGATCCTGCTTGACGTCTCGATTCCTCTTCTCCACCCAAGCTGTATCCACTAATGCCAAGGAATCATCCGGAGAAATTTTATTGAAATCGTCGGTTAGGGCGAGGTAAAATTTAACGTTCCTGCCCAGCTTTGCCTCCGTAATGGCCATGCGATAGGCATCGAGAGCGAGGTAGGTCGAGCTGGCGCCGATGTGGTGTAGCCGTTCTAGACGGGTTGCACCTGATAACTAGTTAGATACTATGAAGGCATATGGGAAGTGTCTCAGGCATTGTACCGTCATAATTGGCGATGTAGGAATCCAGATCGAATTTTGGAGGATCTAGTAGGCATGAGCGGGTGAGGAGGTTACACACGCTGGAAACCATAAAATACCTTTGACGACAATAGCGCCTTTTGCCCTCGCCTGCTGGAAGAATGGAGACTGCTCCACGCTGGAGGCCATGGTTGCGTCGGCGAGGTGGGTTAGAAGCTTGGAGACTCAGAGAGGTCTCTCGAAGCTCAAGCTTGCCTGCGCTGATGCCTATCACCGCGGGGTTCTGACTAAGCAGGCAACCAATCAGCGTCATTCACTGCACTTATTGGACTTCTACGGCTCACCGCGCATGTTTGAGACATTCTCAAGACAGCTGAAAACCAGGTAACGTAAGACCAGGTAATTTCCTCTAGCATAACTTTAAGTAGTCCGTATTTCTAGCGGGAGTTGGAGGCAGAGTGAAAGCTGAAATCAACAGCGAATCACAATGCTTCACAGTAAACGAATCAGAGCGCGTTATTCATTCGGCGTGACCACGCATCGTCCGCGTGTCTGGCCCGCCCGCGCGTTCGCTTCTCTTCCGGGTCACTGACTTCGGAAATATATTAGCACTTCGTTCTTGGAAGACATCGTCACCCACTTCAGCGCTGTCTCTCTAATTTGCTCGGTTTTGTGCGCTCTCTCTGGCTCCTCCCATACCCCTATCGATGGATGAGCTGTATGACCTGCCCATCCCATCCCATCCACCCTTATCCCGCCTGCCACAACCCATTATTAAGAAGCCCAACGTATAATACACGGGCAGAACTTAGTGCATGTGTAGCTCATTGATGCGGACTCTCGGTACGTGTTTTTGAAGGCAAGTGGTATTCGCGCTGTGCCCGCAACAACGGCGCAGGGACGCGTCGGACGTATCCGTTCATTCGCATTCTCTCTGGAAAAGCGAGCAGCGCGGGTTCGCAGTGCCCCTGATTGGGAAAAAGTGTGGCCTTCTTTCTTGCCCGCCGAAACCACTAAACGGTCGGCCAGTATCGAGTTAGGAAGACGGGAAGGCCAAAGGGCAGCTCTCCCGGTCAGACGAGAAGCAGACGAGGTGAATGATGAAATCACTGAGTCCTAGCCCAGTCGTCGCCATCAGTGCATGTATGTTCAGCTTTTCTTATGTGTGGTCCAACTCTGTTGCTCTCTTCCAGAGTATCAGCTAAGGATCAAACTACGATTATCAACGTGTGGAGTTTGATCATTTCACCTTATCGCTAACTTCTCCGCAGTCTTACCGTCACAATCAAATAGCCAAGACAACTTCTCAACCTCCCCACATATCTACTGCACCATCACCTAAGACATTCGGTTACCCACCCCTTCCACCTATAGCTACATCAAAGCAAACGCCATTAGCTTTACGTACCTGAACCCGATCATCCCATACCCCAATCAACGAAACCTTGAATTTGAACAGGAAAGAGATAGCCGGAGGCAGGTTCTCAAACACATGTCGGCTCAAGCTCCAAAGAAGAACTTTCCTATGGCTTATGAGGTCAACGGTGAATTGATAAGGGAGTCTAGGAAGAGGGCCCAAGTGGAAGAAAACTCCGCAACAGCTGATTATCGCTCGGTCTCCAAGCGATATCAAGTGTGTGGCGGGCAACCAGAGTTTCATGGGATGACTGCAGTGGCGCCTCATAATTATCAGGAAACCCCGCTAGTAACTACACTTCAGCCAGCCTCTCAGACCCCCAGACAACCCATCGAAATCATCAACCTAATTGACGACGATACTCTGCCTGAGCGACCCATGGAACCGGAGATGCAAGTCGCAATTTCACCCATTCAGGCGCAACCCTTCTCGACCGATCCATATTCCGAATACCACTGGTCTTTTTATAACTCTAGACCATCTCAAGAGAGTCAGAACCATTCATCCCCAGACTTGTACTGGCCTTTCTATAGCAAGCCCTCGGGATCATCTCAAGGTACGAAGACCAACCCATATGAGATCCCGTCAAGCCCTTCGGCGCCTGCAGTCGCAGATGTGAGGAGTGAGCAGTCGAATGAAAAGCCCAAAAAGGACCAAAAAGCGCCGAAATTTCTAGGTCCACCCTCTGCATGTGAGATAGTCGGTCTTGCCCAAGATTCTATACCAAATGACTCTCTAGAATCTCAGAGTATTCCCATGCCGATCCCAGTTGTAGAGGTTCCGAAGTTCCCTGCTCCTCCAGAACTCGGCCTGCCAACCTCAAACAACCCTTTGGACGTTGCACCTATCATCGAACCAACTGCGGATACTTCGAAGTTCCCAACCCTTCCGGAGCTTCCCCTGCCAGCCTCAGCCCACCCTTCGAACGATGTTATACCCATTGCTGAACCGGTTCTATGTAAAGAGCAAAATGATTTAGTCAACCTCATTGCTAGTGGCCGAAATGTGTTTTACACAGGCTCAGCTGGTTGCGGCAAATCCACAGTACTCAAAGCTTTTGTGAAGATTTTCCGGGAACGAAACAAGCGTGTCAAAATTGTAGCGCCTACGGGACGTGCAGCGCTGGATATCAACGGCTCTACTACATGGACGTACATGGGGTGGAGACCAGAGCATATGAAAAAACCATTGCAGGCCTTGAAGAAGGATGCGCATGGCAAGCTTGTTCGCCCGCGGTTTCAGGAGACTGATGTTCTTGTCATCGATGAGATCAGCATGGTCGAGAACCTGCATTTTGAACGTATGGTATGTTTAATTTAATCGGCACCACGGGTGATTTCTCGGGATATTGACTGTACAAACCTACAGAATGCCGTCATGAAAGAAGCGAGAGACGATGAGAGAGCGTTCGGTGGAGTTCAGGTTATTGTAACAGGAGACGTAAGCGAATGCAGTTCCCATTCTCCACGCCTGCTAATACATACCAGTTTTGTCAACTTCCTCCTGTTAAGCCGTTCCAGTACTGCATCACCTGCGGCGAGGACCTTACAGCGAACGCACCAGGTACAGAATATAAGTGTCGTCTAGGATGTCCTCCAGACGGAAAATATTACGACGTCGACAAATGGGCTTTTCGAAGCGATGCTTGGAAGGTAAGCTAAAGTAAGTAATAAACCGTTCCCTTTACTAACTAGGCAAGGAATGCAATTTCAAACATGTAAACTTGACGAATATACACCGCCAGAACGACAAAGTCTTCATCGATATTCTACAGAAGCTGCGATTGGGGCGTCCTTTGCCACCACGGGACATAGACGTTCTCCTCAATCACGATTCACAAACACGTAATGCCATCCAGCTGTTCGCTACCCGTGAAGAAGTGAAGCGCGTAAATGATCGGAGGTTCGCCGCCTTGAATTCGTCACCTCGTCCCTACAGAGGCTTAGATTATTTCTGGTGGAATCCTGAGGACGAGAAGGTTAAGCAAAAAGGCCGGAGAATCGAAGATGGGTCATTGAAGGAATTGGTGAGCCCTCGATCGGGCAAACGCCTTTGAAGTCACACTAATCGTGACTAAATAGAGAGACCATCGCTTCGATTACCAGATTCAACTGAAAAAGGGCATGCTAGTGGTCCTCCTTGTGAATCTTGATATCAGCAAAGGCCTTGTGAACGGGTCGCAGGGCGTCATTCAAGGTTTCAAAGAATGCGATCCTACGGAAATGCCCGTAGCATCCGAAGCTTCACGAAGAAATCGAGCTCTAGAGAACGAGGTTCCAGCAGGTGACGCTCCTATTCTTACTGGCGACCACGCGATACTCCGTGAACAGCAAATTAAACAGTTCATTCTTGAGGCTAAGTTCAAGGTCTGGCCGATTGTTAGATTTCACAATGGTGTACTTCGCACGATCTTCGCCGATTGTACTGTGAATGAATATGGGGATAAAAAGCCCCATACTTTGTTAGCAAGGACTCAGATCCCGCTTATGGCAGCTTGGGCGATAACAACGCATAAAAGTCAGGTAAGACATTCCAGTGCCACGATTATTTGCGAACATTTCTGATGCTCTCTTATAGGGAATGACTCTAAACCGTGTAGTGGTGGACCTAGCTAGATCGTTCGAGCAAGGCCAGGCGTATGTGGCATGTAAGTGTTGCTCGTTATCATTTTAGATTCGGTCACTAACTGCTTTGTAGTGAGTAGAGCGCGATCTCTCGAAGGGTTAAAGGTCGAATCATTTCCCCCTAGTGCGCAAGGCTCTGGGAACGAGCAAGTCAAAGAGTTCTTACGTGATAAATTCGGCATTGAGTAGGCTCAATATTTGAAGGTAAAATCGGTTGACAAGACAAACTTTTCTTTGGCTTTTCGAACTTGGATGGGAAAGCCCCACGTTGGAACACTAGCATTCTCGATTTTTTCAAAAGAGCACTAAAATTCATGTACGGCTGTGCAGAATGGATACCCCAGTTTTTGGTAGCGAGCTATTGGGTTTTGCTTTGTAAATCTATCCTATAAGGAGAAGATTGATACAGTGGGGTCCGGAGTCACCTTTGGATATGTTCGGTTTCAGTGGAACGGGCTTAAGTTATCGGACAATGGAGTTGACAGTTTGACGCTTACCTACGCATAACTTCCTCTGAACAAGGGCCTTTCACTAGACTCTTTCGGGTCATCAATGGAGGACACATTCCTCGCGCATTTAACAGCCAAGGCTTCTCTTTAGGATAAAAGCCTCCATGCAAGCGCTCTCGAAAACCTCTCAAAGTCCAGCAAAATATTTAACTGATTAAGTCCTCGTCACTGTTTTGTAGAAGGCGGAAACTTCCATGTGAATACCAGATGCTCTCTCGCAACAAGCACTCAATATTATGTTTCTAAGTGCTTCGTGTAAGAGCATCACTCCATACTCAAGCCTTCGGACTCCGGCTCGGCTGTGGCGCGTCGCATGAGTAGAAGCTTAGATTTCCTCCGGTAGCCTGAGGCTGACTTTATGAGGTATAGACTTTAATGCGACGGAGTCCCTGAATCCTTTGGGTTGGATCCTTTTGGTACTGCTATTCCTTCTCTAGCAATTACAAGCTCAGCTAAGCTTATCAGCCAAACTACAGTTACTCACAGAGAACTGTACAACGTATACTTGGCTTATATGGAAAAGAGAACCTCAATTCTTCTGGCACAGCGTTGAACAGGGCATCGTTCCACAAAAAGTTCACCTCTAGCCGAGAAACCCTTCTCAATCCATCAGTCGAGCACCACGCCGGCCATGAAACGAATCCACCTACACAGTAAAGCCCAAATCCTTCTCGAAAGCCAAGGCGATACCTGTTTCATTGAAACGCTATGGTAATTAGCAGGATGTTTTGAAATAAGCACGGGCATTCGGAGAACGTGGCACCGTGGTCATCCCCAGGGGCTATATTCGTTACTAGCAATCAAATATTGCATGCAGCGCTAAACAGTCGGCAGTTAGATAGATAATTTGTTTGGAGGAACCGAACTTGAGATGGTAAAGATGACGCAGAGGACGCGGTAAGAGTGCGCTTAGAAGTGTGGAGGGCGTAGGAGTATTTTTTAATACCGAGAGGTTTAATAAGAGGAACCCAGAATAGGCAGGAGTGTCTGTGCGGATCAGAGGTTGGTGGTCCGAGCGAATGCGCAACGACATCCTTTCATCAGATCCTTTGCCGGCGCTTCTTGCGCTCGCCTCAGCCTCCGCTCACCTGCCTGTTTATAATATCGAAACAAGCTCTCATTCGCTTACATCGGACCTTTTTACGGGCCAGGCACGCTAGTTTGCCTTGCTGTGTAAGGAAACATGCATTTCTCCACATGGGATCTCCCGACATTGGGCGCCTCCTTCGCGCTGTGATCACCAACATCGGGTCTCCGTGCCTCCTCAATGCATTACCAAATCTCCAGGAGAAGGAGGAAGCTATCGCCGGATGTTCGCCTTTATATTCGGTGTACAGCCGCCTCTAATTTTGCCCTCATCGCGCTCTAGCAGTTGCTTCCACTCCTTTGATTGAAGTCTGATTCTCACACTGGTTGAACCAGGTACTTGCATCGCATTGCATTTTGCACTTCCAGTCTATCTGGGTGTACTATCATTCATTTCACACACGCATTTGATATACAACCTCGACACGAAACATTATGTATCTTTCCACAGCCCTTGTTCTTGCCAGCGGTGCTGGGTTAGCTACTGCTCATCCCCTAAGTCTCTTCTCTCGCGGCGTTGCTACATTTGCCGCTGGTAGCTCATGGGATATCCTTCTCAGCAAGGGAGACGGCGTCAGTAACGTTAAGCAAGCCATCAGCGAGAACTTCCAAGTGATCGACATCGATCTGTTCGACACAGACGCAGCGACAATTGGGGATCTCAAGGCGAACAAGAAAGTCATCTGCTACTTCAGTGCTGGTTCCAAAGAGGGTTGGCGCTCCGACGCCGGAGACTTCAAGGATGGCGACACTGGGAAAGGTCTTGATGGCTGGCCGGATGAGACCTGGGTCAATGTCAAGAGCGAGAACGTTCGCAACATTATGAAGAAGCGGATTCAGAAGGCTGCGGATAGTGGTTGTACTGCCATTGATCCAGATAACGTTGATGGATTTGTAAGTACCTAGTCCCCTTTTCTTCAACATGAACTGACATCACTACTTCAGGACGGAGGCCAAGACGGCTTCGGATACGACAAGAGCGCGTACGTCGACTATGTGAAATTCATGGCCCAGGAAGCCGCGAGCCACAACCTCGCCATCGGACTCAAGAACGCCGTCGACATGATCCCAGATGTTGTTGATGTCGTCCAGTTCGCCGTCAATGAACAGTGCCACCAGTATTCAGGCGAGTGTGAGAAGTATAAGCCGTTCACGGATGCAAACAAGGCTGTCTTCAACATTGAGTACGGTGGGGACAATTGCGCATCTCCTAGCGGCGTTACGCTTTCCACGCTTATAAAGCCTGAGGATCAGGGCTTAAACACTTTGGGTGGAGCTTGCTCTGGATCGACGACGGGGGCAACTCCAACGAATGAAGGTAACTCTCCCTCGGCTGCACCGTCGCAAACAGACACAGAGGAAGAGGCAGTCTCATCGGCACCAACCCAGGCCGTTGAGGAGAAAGAGACGCCATCCTTCACCCTCGAAGTCCCCCAACCAACATCCACGGGTACCGACGGCGAAGAAGGCGAAGAGCCAATATCAGTTCCTACAGCGCTCCCTACGGGCCACCCAAGTAGGACAATTACCTTTAGCGGCAGCCACCCCACTGGTTTCCCTAGACCCTCCGGCGGCTTCCCCCACCACTCTCACAATGGAACCCATCACACAATCATGCCTCACCCCACGGCCGTTGCAACAGCTTTTCCTCAGGGAGGACGCAATCCTTCGAGGACTATATCCGCCTTGCCGACAACTACTGATACGGAGGGACCGAATGAAAATGAGCAGTCTCCTGAGGAGCAAGAAGGCCAAGAGCCTGAGGAACAAGATCCCGAAGATGAGGAGGAGTAGGAGGAAGAGGAGTGAGCAAGTCTTATTCTCAAGCGCTGTGTGCTCACTACGAGACCTCCGTTTCAATTTACTTCTACATGTACAATACTATTTTATATAAACAGAGCATAGATATCTGTGTTTTTTGAATATGCTTTTTAAACTTAGTTGAGTAAGGTATTTATTGCGTCGCCTGGTGAACGCGCCCTCACGTGACTCACTTCTCGCCTTAAGTTAGATACCTTCTGAAGCTTCCACCCTCGTTCTCCTTTCTCAACATCAGCCTCTGACAGCGCTATACGAACGCTATGAACAATATGCCTTCATGGTCCAAAGGAAGAACGCGGTATCCAGTGTAATCCAAGCCATCTTAACAAGCCATCTTACAGACTGCTGGCATCACAGAGCCGGGTCACACCAACCGTTCCAGCATTCTGACTTTATCTTTCTCAGCACATCTCCCCACCCCTACTCTGTCACCAGGTTTAACTTTGCCGCCGTTTCACAGAGCTAGTCGAGAGAAACATTAGACGCTAATTTCTTCATGAATCTGCCTTTTGCTCAACCAAGTTCAACCTTTTCTTATCGAGTCACAACGCCACTTGTTTTACATATCGACAGCAATCATTTCCTGTTCCTCTCCAGCCCATGACCTTCGCAGGGCTTATTACTTTCTACCTTCCTGATGCAGCAATCGTCTTCCCCGCCATTTAATCAAGCTTGATGAAACGGTCTTCTCTGATTCGCTCGAAATGAATTCCCCGACATGGGTAGCTTGAAGCTTTGATGAACAAACTTCATGCAATTCCCCGAAGCTCTATGATAAAGTCACTGCAACTGCTATATAGGGACAAGATGAGCAACATGATGACGGTGCACATCGGACTCAGGTTTCCGGGTATGTGGTACACATAGGCGCCTAGTCTTGGTTGAACAGGGGCACCATAGATTTATTATGATGAGCTCCCAGGTGTAATTTTGAGAGTTTCCGTCGGTCCCCTTCTCCCCCAGTCATGATGCTGTTCATTGCTTCTGTCGCGGGCTTTTCTTTCGCTTCGATTGCGTTGGCGACACCTTTTCATCTCAATACTCGCCAGAATGCGTCTTCGCCTTGTGCATTGGTGAGCGCATCTGCTGCTGCACAAACGGCGGCCGCTGTGCCAACCGTTCCCGCTCAGTTGGCGTACGATTGTATCACGAGCGTGCCTTTCAACAAGAGTGCGGCATTGAGCTTGCTAGACGCAATCGTTCCTTATTTCCGGTGGCAATCGACAACGGCGTTCCTCAAAGATCCTCCAGAGGAGTACATCGAGAAGATCCAGGATGCTGTTGATGTCTGGGGAGGACTAGAGAGCATCAAGTCAAAAGTCGAGGGCAGTTCGTATGCGAATGAATTCGAGGTATGCTCCATTCTAGCCTCAATCATTCGCCGAGCAATTGCTGGTTAATTTCTTTGAGTGATTGAAGTGCATGTGTTAACAATCCTGCAGTTTGGCTGGGCACTTTACAGATTATTGCAAAGCACGCATGACGGCCACTTCGTTTTCATACCCGACGTAATCGGCACAGTCTTCAATTGGGCACGACCAATCCCGCTCGTATCCGTCTCTGAAGATGGGAAAGCGTTGCCCAAGCCTTATGTGTATCCTGACGTATTAGCTTCTTCTCTTGGGAACGCCTCCTTCACGCCTTCTGCTATCTCGACTATCAATGGTCAGAATGCAAAAGAGTATCTAGAGAATTGGGCCCAGTACGGGTCACTCCAGGATCGAGATGCTCTGTATAACAATGTCTTCTATGAGCTGGCCGTCGTTTCGTTGGGTCCATCTGGAGCGGGGATGGGGAGTTTCACGGGTGGTGGGAGAGGGAGATGGGTAAGTACAAACCGCCAATTCCTTTGCCAATTGGATCTTATACTTACCATTCCAACCAAGGTCTATCCGGGGCCGACGACGGAACTCGGTTTCGAAAATGGTACAACGACCACATACAACAACTACGCCAAAGTGCTAGTTTCATTTGCAGGAGTCACGGATGGCGAAAGTCTCTATAAGAAATGGTTCACTGCGAACAAACCAACCACCACCACCCCAGCCTCTTCTAATTCTTCTACACCAACACCGTCCGCCACGCCTACTAGTACCCCCGCACCAGGTTATCCACCACCCATTTTCAAGGAGTCGCACAACCTCATCGGAGGGTATTACTTGGAAGGTGACTACTCCGACGTAGCAGTACTCTCCGTACCTTCTTTCGTTTCTCTAGACTCCGCCGAAATCCCCTTCCAGCAGGTCAGCGAGCAATTCCTCGCGGCAGCAAGAGCAGCGGGCAAGAAAAAATTGATCGTAGATGTTTCAGCGAATGGCGGTGGCACCATTCTCCAAGGCTACGATCTCTATAAACAGCTATTCCCTGCTCTTATTGGCTATGCCGCTGGCGACCGATTCAGAGCCTTCGAATCTACTAATATAATCGGAAAAAAGTTCTCCAATGTTGCTGAGGGACTTCCCCGAGTCCTCGAAACTAGCAACGACACCTTACTTGAACTAGAATACGACGTCGTATCCTCCGTCTTCAACTACCAAACCGACATGACGACCGACGGGAAGAACTTCCCCGACTGGCCCGCCAAATTCGGTCCAGTGCACCAACACGGCGATAACTATACCAACCTTTTTCGATGGAATTTGTCGGATATCTTGACCCCGTTGAACTCAGGTGGCATATATGTCCACGGCTACAGCAACATAACCAACTCCACCCAGCCGTTCCCCGCCAAGGACGTTGTCGTCGTCACAGATGGTTACTGCGCATCAACCTGCACCATTTTCTCCGAACTCATGCGGCAGCGCGCAGGCGTAAAGTACATTTCGCTCGGTGGGCGTTCGAAACCCGGCATTACACAAGCCGTCGGCGGTGTCAAGGGCACAAACAACTTTCCCTGGGATTACATCCAATATCTGGCTCAATACACTGTAACCAACATCTCCACTGCCGCTGAAGGTGCAGAACTCAATGCCACTGAACTCGGCCAGTATTGGAGCAATGTCCCCTTCGACCGCATGGCCATCGGCAGCGCCATCAATGTCAATTTCCGCGACGGTATTCGCGACGGCGATGACACAAATACGCCGCTGCAGTTCGTTTACGAACCCGCAGACTGTCGGATTTTGTATACAAAGGAAATGACGGTGGATGTTACTGCGATTTGGAAAGCGGTTGCAGATTCGGCGTGGGGTGCGACGAATCGTTGTGTTGCTGGGGACCTCGGTGGGTATGGGAAGAGGGAATTGAGGAGGGGGTTCAGGGAGAAGAGGTGGGAGGATAGGGCGTTGGAGAGGAGGATGGAGGTTTGGAGGAGAGGGTTGAGTGTCAAGGATTATCCGTTGGATGTTTTTACGGACCCGAGGCAGACTTTGAATGGGAATGGGATCATGTATCCTTAGAGCTGGTATGGAGGGTTAGTGAGGTAGGGACAGTGGCATGAATGACATGTAACAGAAATAGAACTGTGAAGAGAGAATCACGGTGCGCAATCAGTAAGCCTCTGTAAACAAGTCCGATAAAAAAAGACCTTAATATCTCATCCTGGGCTTCTTTCCGTCTCGGTTTCTCTCTTCCCTCTCCAAACATCATCCCGTGCATATAGCACTCCCCAATGAAACTTCAACTCCCATACTCCCTCTCCCTCAAGACATACAGCACACTTCCCCCATACAGCACGACAACCAGATCTCCAACCCTCGTGCCTCGAGGACAGACACCCATATGCCCGTCCCTGGGTCATAAAGAACTTCCGCTCATGGTAGCCTTTCCCCATAAGCACGGTGAACTGACCCGCGTCTCCTTGTTTCGCAAGCTGTGCTAAGTCTCCAACGGTGGCAGCAGGGAAACTTGAGAACAAAAGTTCGGTTTGGGACCAATATGCTACAAAGTCCGCAATCAGAGAGGGTACTTGATGCGATGGGATCACTTTCGCAAGGGGGTACCCTGGGAACTCGTTTGGAAATGCGAAGCCTACGGCTGTGACTGTGTGGGTGTCATTTATTAGTAAAGGGAAGCTGCCGTGCGTGTTGGGAGAGGTGGCACGAGGTATGTGTGCCGTAATTTGTGGATTTCACCGGGTATATCCCCAATATAGACTTGTAAGTCTTTTCGGAGGTTGATGATATCGTCAGCGAGGTGTTCAACTACGTCGAGTCTGAAGCCTGAGGTGTTCAGGATTTTACGACCAGCTTTTGGAAGATCTGCCTATTGGGCAGCAGTCGTAGAGTATTTTGCGTTGTATTTTCTAGGAAATCCCAGCCCTCGCATTGTTGCGATTGAAACATCGAGATCGAGCATCCAGGAGGGGTATTCGATGCTGCGACTTCGCTCCATGAAAGTATCGACTGCAGATAGGATATCTAGGTTTCCATGAAGTAGGATGAGATCCCTAGCGAAATTGCACCACACTTGATGCTTGGGTATGGTGTAGTTGGGGTGTAATCCCGCAGACGAGTTCCAACGGAGCCAAGATCATTTGCAACACCAAGGAGGGCAAAGACTTTGTCTCTTAGGTCCATAGCTTGAAAGCCTTGGGCTCGGTAGGCGAGTTCAAGTATGGATAGGGCCTCTCGGTGATCTGGAATGCAATAGTTAGAGCTAGGGTTCAGGTAGATATTCTTGATTCGAAGGAGCGATGTTTCTGCTGTCGTGGGGGCTTGCGGTGTAGTCTCGTGCTAGGAATGTTTGTCAGAGCGCAGTCATAACTACCGAGCCCCATGACAAGGCTTAGGCACAGAGGCGAACCGTGACGGATGTGTGAGTGAAAGCCTCCTGCAGTACCTGTGTCCAGTTAGGATAAATTCTCTTTGAAATATAGATTGTCCTCTTTCCAACGGGAATTGGATCTAGGTTCACGTCCCAAACTCCCCTAAACCAATGAAACGAGGAAAACGTTGCAACATGTTCATATGCCTCCTTTATCGGAGTACCGCTTATGTCATTATTCCTGTAAGTCTTCAAAACCTGAAGTTCTTCCGCACACGTTTGGGGCCTAGTCAATCCCAGCACCTGCTCCGGCTGATGGGAGGTGTTGGATGTGAAGCGATTCCATATTGCTGTGATGGTAGAAACAGCTAAAGAGGTTTCAGGAGAGGTCTCACCGAGCCAAATAACAACGCTAGCGGCGTGGTTGTAAATCTCTTTCATGAATCCCACTTGCGCCGGTCGCTCATGAAGGTCATTTTGATTGATACAAATTGCATGTATCCACAGCCACACATATTCATGCGTACTTCGAAGCCTTCAAAGGGCGCTCTCCAGATTGATAGTCACAGGGAAGGAGTGATACCGGAGTATTCGGTCTTCGGACGTTCTGAGTAGTATTATTCTGGACTTGGTGGGTTATCCCCAGCGGTATGAAAGGCATTCGTACTGCAAGTAGTTCGCCCATGGTTGTTCGGAAATTAGAGTGCATCGAATCTTATCATCAGTATGGGAATCCCGACGTGGCTCAATGCGAATAAGGCGCAAGTGACCATTCACATTTTCCTCCAATGGGGGATAGACGAAATCCTCGTGCGTGGTGTGCTCTTCTACCGGGTGTTCTACTGTCGGCCTTTTCGTGAGTTATTGTGAGCAGTTGGGGAAACACTCCAGAAAAATGGGTTATTTTTATGTTTCTCAAAATCAAAGGAGCTTTCTAGTGGTACCTCCGTCTTGTTGTCTGGTAAAGGTATTAATCCTAAACCCTGACCCACAAATCGGAAATTGGATTTATGGTCGTAGTAGCCATCTCTTCCCGAGTAACCACCCCTTCCCAAGTAACCATATCCTCCGACGAACCATTCCTTCCGGAGTAGCCATCTCTTCGCTGAAGCAATCTTTTCTAGAACGGTTAACGTTGATACTGGAAAGGAATTGTGTGCTGGAACCGGCAGCGTTGTATCCACCGCGGCCACTAAAAGAAGAAGAGTAATTTTCATCAGGAGACTGCGCTGGGCTGCAAAAATCAAAATGGTCCCGTCGTTGAAAATCTTATAATCGCGAGATAGAACTCTTCTCCATGTCCTTTCCATATTCTCCAACCGTAGAAGACTAATCTGAATAGAATTGAGGATAAATGCCTCCACTGCTGTCAAGCCAAACCTCCATTGGTTGCTCGTATTGGTGCTCTGCAGATGTTCTGTCCTGGGGTGATTGCAGATCAGACGGCGGCATAATAGGGGCGGGACTTGCATTGCCTGGATTGATACTCTCACTCAAGGTTTTTGTTCCATTAAGGAGACCTTTATTTAGAAACTGTGCGTTGGAAACCTGAGAATTTACTGCAGGAGTGACGGATCGGAAAGAACTATTGCTGGATGGTTGCTGTGGTTGTATTTGATTAGATGGTAGTTGTGAATGTGAGGAATACCCTTTAATGCGTAGTTTTTGTTTTATCTCAGAGATCTTTACCTGGGAAATGTATGTTGGCAATATAGGAATTGTTTGCCAACCTAGGAATGAAATTTCTTGCTTCTTTTTCATTGGGGGAAGCTTTTTCGCGGGGTAGCATGCCTTTCGGGAGAAACCGTACGTTCCCTTGGGATGCTTTCAGCACTGCTGATAGGAAAGAAACATTGCCGGTCGCCTGCCATGACTGCTGATAAAATAGCCGTTGTGGTAGTGGAAAATAGGCTCTAGGGAGAAACTGTACATTAGCAGCCGGAGCCGCGCCGGGTAGCCAGTCTGAGAGGAGTTCGGAGGGACGTTCCTCGTTCCTCGTTCGTGGGATAATATAGCAGAGGATGGAGTTCAGAGCCTTTAGCGAAGGATTCCTGATTGACTTGATGAACTTAATCTGTAGTATGGGCTTCTGAACGTTGTGGGCTAGATACTCTTTATCTGTTCCATATGATCAACTATCTTACTGTGGGGACTTGGTTGTTCACCCGGGATGTCCGAGACACCTGAAGGGGGTGCATAGTGAGGTAGTAGAATTGATTGTGGGCTAGGAGAGAGTCGAAAATTCGCGGTTCATCTCATAGCGGACCATGAGAAGTGAACATCAGCACGACCACCCCTCCTTCCTATTGCATGGACCCTAGTAATTGGCTGAGTGTCTGCCCCAACCTCTGAAAGGCCTCAATAGGTTCTCGCTCTTTTGCCTTTGAATTACAATACTATTTGATACCCCCCTCAGAAACAGAATATCAAGAGTAGTATATTGAGTGCTGATTGTCGCCGGAAAAGTGAGGGAGTAATAAACCGTTGCTAACCGTCGTCGGTTTGAGTCACTTTTGGGAATGCCGTGATCCAGCCTTCGAAGCTCAATAGCTAGATACCGAGTGCAGAATTAACCTTGGAGGGTGACACATGGCCGAACAAGCAGAAATAGCACATTGTGCCACAAAGAAGCGAGATGGTATTGCTGAGATGGTTGTTGAATTAAGGATTCTCACTGAGGGCGTCGCGACGGCGATAGTGACAAAAGCGGTAAGAACCCCGAGGTGTTACTTCCTTACTCAACAAGCCTTCCAACAACTTATATGACCGCTTAATTGCTATTTTTAAACGCGATTTCTGCTTAAGCCTATATTAACAACCACGACATATTTGAACGGTAACTATCTGACATTTTGAAGAGCCATGGTTTGAGCACTGCGCCTGATGGAAGGCGCAATAAGAAAGAGGAGGGAAACTGTGGTAGTGGGATGCATGTGCACATGGAGGCGGGGAGGTTGGCAGTAATTTCTCTCTTCACCAGCAGGCATGGGACAGCTTGAAACGTTCAAAGCAGAAGAATGGTGGCGCCTCGCTCACCCCTCTTTGCTCTGTGCATTGGCTACAAGGTTCCTCCTAGCCTGTTCCGAGCGTCGCCATTGATTTAGATTCCGGGGATTCAAAGAGTGTCCTGGTGGCCTGACGAACTCGCAGTCTAGCCAGATCGACAGACGGCGCATGCGAAAAGGGAGATCGACAGCGCAACAATTCAGTGCTACATGCACAAGGTAAGGTTTGGGAATTATCACAATGGCGTTCTCTGCAGAATCGACGTGGGCGAGACGCCGGACCCCCGCCACAGCTATCAATTCTGTTGATATGGATCTTTCCGTGGAGGATCTGGCGAGTGAAGGCAAGGCAAGTGCTTTTGAAGCACATCCTGCAGAACGGGGGTTGGCGAGGAGCACGGCCAGAAGCAGAATGCATGCGGGAGTGGTGGGCGAATGGTGGAAAGGCGATGACCAACGTTCGTCAAGGTCGAGAAGGCTGTTGCTCGAATGGGGATGCTGGATGCTCCTGGTCTGCCAATCAAGCAAGTCACATGGCGTAGAAGTTGGCTCAGGCTTGGGCGGTTTCCCCTCGGGACCTGGCTATCAAGGCTTGGCCTTTCGATTCTTTCCCTCTGCCCATCTCGAATTCTCTTCACGGATGATGCCGTTACAGGGCTTGTAATCGTGATGGTGCAACAAATGGGGAGCATCGACGATGCTGTGATCCCGGCAACGCGCTTTGCGGTCATGCGCATCCCCCGAGTCCAACAATGCCGTCGGGCCACCAGCCTTCCCGAAAGCTCGACTCGTCAGAACACCTCTCGCGACCATGTGTCTGCTGCAATCCAAGAGAGGAAAGGTGATTTGCTGGCTCATCTCTTTTCGATCAGGGTCCTTGGGGAGCGTGTCCTTGACTAAAAGCTTGTTTGATTGCTCTGCACCCTCTTACCGTGGAAAGGAAGATGATGGGCGTCCTCTGGTCGGTCAAGGCTAGCCAATGAAGCCCCGGGGACGGAACATGGCGCGGGACATGAGGCTCTGAGAGGAAAGGTCAGACCACCTTCGAAAACAAAGTCTGGAAGAAGAAACATCAATTTTTAGGCACCGCAAGCCTTGCTGCTATTTCACACGCCCAAGATCCCGTTTGCGCATCGGTCCTCCACTATCCACCTCCTGATTCGGCAAAGGCAGTCCCGTCAGGTGCTGAGCAGGGGCGGGAAGGATCTGTCCAATCCACTCGGCCGGCACGCTAACATTCTCGATTGGGGACGCTTGGGCTGCCAGTCAGCGTCTTTGCGGGGTGCTGCTCCCAGGCGAGGCCGAAGCTTGCGGCCAAACCCTCCACCAACCCCAAGTGTGAGCGGCGAGGCCGACTCACGGCGGTGGTTCACTGGCCTGGTGCTTGAAAAGGCCCAGCAACCATGCTCGTTTGGACACACGGGAAATCCAACGACGGAATGGCTGTCTGAGGACGAGGGTATGGGGCATTTTGTTCTGCAAACCACTCCAAATTTGGCTCTGCGCACAGGACTCTCACATTTGCTGGGTGCACAGCACTATCGGTCGAAGGCATATTGTATTTCACAGGGAGCACGCCAGCTGTCAGTCATGTCCCCACGACCACTCATATGGTACGGAGCGCCCAAGTGCCGCTTTCTTGAAAGAAATGTCGCAACACCATTGGCATGCCCAGCTTGTTCCGGGCCCCAACCCGTAATATTGGTACCCTCCAGCAGGCATTCCTCTGCGGATCACCCGTCTCTGTGGCTTTGGGCGCTCCATGCGCTTTGCACCACCATCTCCTGTCGCACGCTTCTTTTCTGTGGTCTTCCAGAATCGGGTTGTGCGTGACAAGATGCTCGACATCGTCCAGTCTGTCCAAAGCTATCATCGGCGACGGGACTGGAGATGGCGGGTTTGAAAGCGTGAACAAGGTGAAGCGAGGACCGGGCATTAGCATTGCCAAAGAAGGGCCGGGACCAGAGTATTCAGGCTTGGACAGTGTTTCTTGATGCAGGAGACATGCGTGGCATCTCACCCTCCAATGCCTCCTGTCTGATACTATCTCTTGTCTCAAAAGTGGCCTTCACCACAATTTGAACCCCTGAGTTGGATGGTGGTTAACGGGTGGGGGTTGCTCTTGACTTGTGATGGTTGGGTGCGGCGGAATGCCCTCCCGATCTTACTGTTAAGATTGGCCACTTCTCCAACGCCCTCAACGATTCCTGGCGCATCCGTTAATAGCAACGCTTGGGTAACTGGTGCCAATCACAGTGAGCATCGCGAGTGACATTTACACGAGACGAGACATCTCCTGCATAACTTCGAGGAATTCCGGTCAGGCACAATCACGACAGAGTCGCGAAAAGCACCTCTAGTGATTTCCCGGCTGCAGCCGGACCCTGCCAGGAAGCTCGAAAGCGAGCTTGGACAGGGCAGATGCCGGCGGCCAAGGATTCTGAACACTATTGACCGTGTGGCCGTGCAACGCCTATCTCAGATTCTGAGATCACGCACATCAGACACGTTCCAAGAGCCTGTGGTTTGGATGCTGATTTGCTAACAGGCGAGTTTCTGCTGGCCCATTCCCTAAAATTAGCACCGCCGCAGGTGCTGCCACACTCTGGTACACGAGCTTGTGGCGGTGTCGCAGCCACAGTTTCGTATGGACATTACACCTTCTTACTGCAGTCTCTATTGCGGGTTTCAATATTATTGCATCTCTCTAGGAAGCAGGAACACCCGGCCATCGAGCATTTCTGACGAATATCAATTGCGTACTCAAAACGAGCACCCCACGGGTCCAGATTCGCTTGTGATAGCTTTCGCGGGCCAGAAACGCGGATGAAGACCAAAATAGTCTACCAGTTCGCATCGCCATTCCCCCTCAACACCCAAAGCTCCGATTCGGACGGCGAGCAAGATATCCTCTCACGGAAAGTTTACTCTAGCGCCGTCCCGGAGAGTGCTGCCGGACTGAGGTCGCAACCCTTATTCTCCATCACCTGGTCACTGCGCCCGAAATAGCCATCCATGGGACGATGTGGTAACGCTTTCCCCAGAAATCAGCTCCATGAATGGTCTGCTATAGCGAGCGTCTGAGACCCTCAACGTGATGTCTCCACAACTCAAACTTCCGCCACACCTCTTCACAGCCTCCATCTGCCACCGCTTTCCACGATCTATTCGCCTTCACGTGAAGTGCACCCCTGGCTTGCGCCTTCCCGCGGCACAGGAAATTATTGGCGCTATTTGACTGTGTAAGATCTTGTCCGATCTCAAGTTCCGTTTGGGTTGGAATGAGGCGTTACATTGGCAAGTTGTTCGAAGAAAATTCCCGTGGTACAGTAGTACACAGGCAATATTCATGCACCAAAGCAACCGGGTTACACCGCAGGCCCGCGGTCTTGATTGAAGGGTTGGGCATGGGCATGATAGGTTATGTTGTTCCAGTGTGAGGCCATTCAGCGTGGTCGACATGCTCTTCATCAACCTTATCCGTTGCAACGGGCCAAAGGATTCTCAGGGTCCACGAGAGTGCGAGACATGATGATTACCCGGACCCGGCTGGCTGTGTGAGTGCGGGACGAAAAGCCCGAGTCTTACGGTCAACACCATTTGGTCAAATTTCGACGACAAATTTGTTGCCGACAAGCTTGCCTATCGTGCTCTGCCCCAGGAGGCAACGGAGCAGAGGGGTGCGAAATTGCTGGCTCTTTAGGTGCCCCCACACTGCGGTCATCATCATGAAACCGAATCGAGAGTCTCTTTCGAGCTGCCGATTCACAACACTGGTCTCATGTGTCGGTTTTATTGGCGCACACGATGGGTGCCCCTATTTCGAACCAAACCACAGCGCGTCGAGGTCTCAACCGTCAACGGTTGTGGAGGCGCGACGGCAGCCCACTAAGCCAGGCAGATCAATCGCCAGTCTTCCACCTCCACCACGGTGCTGCCTTGCTGTCGGCGGTGAGGCTGCAAGCATGACGCACCGCAACATTGGCCGGTTTAGTCATTGATTGAGGTTGACGATGGCCAGCGTCAGAACAGCATGGTTCAAAGAGCGCGGTGTTCAGGGCGCGCTGGGGAAACTCGGTGTGGTCAGAAGCTTGGCTGCTCTTGAGTCGGTGACTGCGCCCGCCGTGGGGCTCGAGAGGGGGCTCGAGAGGGGCTCGTGATCCCCAAACGGGGAAATGGTGTATATTTAGACCCTCTGAGACGAGGGGAGAGATGAAGACAACCAGTCAGCGTCGCAGGCCGAAGACACAGCCACGGACATGAGAGTGGTGAGCCACGTTTCTGCACCAACAAGCACACTAGTCCCGGCGAAAGCGAGGCGATCGCGAATCAGGACCCGCTGGTGTGTCCAGGACACTGGATGGTGCTGGGATGGGCCAGCGACAGAAGAGATGGTCAGGGTTGCACATCTTCTGGATTCAGCCAAATCCGCTTCTGTTCGCCTGTTCGGGCATCGAGCGCTCCCCACGCCCGCCTTTTCACTCGCCGGCCGTCGCCCGCCCTTCTCAATTCAAGGGAGGGCCAGGAGGCTGCGACCTGCAGGCCGAGAGGATGTGGTGGATGGCGGACTGGCGTGCAGCACTGTGGCAGGCTTGGTGCAGCAGCCTGCAGACGCGCTCACCGCAAAACCAGGAGGCTCGTCTTACCATGATGCGGTCGGGGCGCGCGATCGAGGCGGAGATGCAAATTGCTGGCGGACGGTACCCCAAGCACAGTTCTCTTTCTTATTTCTCCTAGCGTATTCACCGTCTGCACTACTGCCACTCATGCCACACGGCCAAGCAGTGGCCGTAGGGCAGTTTACCGACCAGGGTCGGGATGCCGGGGGGCTCAAGTGGCTTCTGTGCGCAGCCCTGGGGGCCATCGAGACACTGACTGAGGGCTTTATACATAACTCTTCTTCGCCCCCCAAGGCACCAACTCAAATCCAGGCCCCCGATCAGCATAAACGTCTGCCATTTCCAGCCTGTCCCTCAGCCAAAGTGAACACTCCCGCCGTCCATCCGGCCCTTCCTACTACGGCACCATTCCCGACTCTAACATCGCTAACGAGTCGCCGGCCTCTCGACTTTCAACATCATCATCCTTTCGGGAAATACACGCTATCACTACCGCAGGAAAACGATAGCATATCCAAAACAGACACATATCGAGCTGTCGCGTTCGGCCGTGCGACCGCTCCAGGCTCTAAGCAGCCGCGGGTGATCCATCGTTTCAAGGTAAGCTTTCCCCTGCCCAGCATCTTATAAGATCCGCCAGGCCCACCTACTACAACCCCCTCGCCGGGACACTAATGTTTACTGCTTATGCTAACCTTTGAGGAAAAAGGACTGATAATCATTCATTCCTCTTTTAAATCTGCCCACTCCCCCTTCCTCTAATTCTAAAAATGGTTGATTACGCTCAATATCCCACCATGCCTCACGACTTCCAGCTTTATTCAAACCAGGAGCAGCCACTGGACTTTATTGCACCCCAACCCTTCCTGCCCTCGTCAACCTACTCCATGGAGCCACAATTTAGCGCATCCTATGAGCCGATGCCAATGCCTGCGCTGTCAGAAGCTCCCAGACTGCAGGACCTCCAGTACCACTACGACGGCATCGCACAGGGAGTGAAGCCTCAATTTCAGTATAGCCCAACTGGATCTCCCCACTCCACCTCACATTCTTTCGATAACCAGCCACCAATCCTCTCTGCCTCGTCCGAGTCTGGCGCATCAGTTTCGTCGTCCAACATTGGCTCACCATCTCTTCACCCACAGTACAACGACTCGTGGAATCAGAACGGGCTTGGATTTGCTCCGGGCATCGTTCAGAGCACCCCTGGGTTTGAGTATGACGGGATGGCCGTGGCGGACAAGGTAACGGGATGTGTTGGTGAGTCTACGAAAGTTCCTTCGACCTCTGATTCTTCCTCATCTATCGCATTCTCTTCATCTCCTCCCGAGACTCCCAAATTCCCGTCGTCGTCTTGGTCGGAGAGTTCGCAGAGCAATGTATTTAAGTCGCCTGTCACGCCCGCTTCAGCGAAGTGGTCGAGCCCTGCATACATGCGCCACTCTCCACCCAGAGCTGGCCCCTACGCACGGAGAAACTCTCTACTCTCCCATGAAATTCGGCCAAGCGACATCCCCGAAGCTAATGCGGATGTCTCTCCTTCAAGTCCTTCAAATTCATCTGAACATCTCTTTAAAATTCAATCCAACTTCATTCCTCTGGAATCATCTTGTCGGTTTCCTTCTGTCTCTCTTTTGCAATCATATGGTGTCGAGAACAAGGAGCTGACAGCTTCAGGGGTAGATCCTACTCTAATCCAACCATATGGAAACTCGATGCAGTTTCCCCAATCGCCGTATCCAGACATGCGAACAGCGGCGCCTTCTCCATACTTACCCCTTATTGAACACCCGCCTTCCCCAACTCTTTCCCATATTTCTGCAAACAGCCGGCGTCCCGGATCAAGGACCTTTAAGCAAGGTAGCACGTCACCTTTCCTCCACACACAACAGTTCCAGCCATACCCCACTGGCTTTAATGGTGCGAGGCGGCGATCAGACGCATCGATACATTCGCACCACTCTCAGACAAGTCGTAAGAGTGGATCTAGCTACGAGCTTGACGACGAGACAAGAGATAAGGGTCTCTGCCCTCTTCCAGAATGTGGACGCGCCTTCAAGGATCTCAAGGCACACATGTTGACCCACCAGAACGAGCGACCAGAGAAGTGCCCAATTACCACGTGTGAATATCATCTCAAGGGCTTCGCACGAAAGTACGATAAGAACCGACATACACTTACCCACTACAAAGGCACGATGGTCTGCGGCTTTTGTCCTGGGTCTGGGTCGGCCGCCGAGAAGTCTTTCAACCGCGCTGATGTCTTCAAGCGCCATTTAACATCGGTCCACGGCGTTGAGCAGAACCCACCCAACAGCCGCAAGAAGTCGCCGAGTGGAAGGAAGGCCTACTCAGGCCAACAGAACCTAGCTGGCACTTGCTCGACCTGCTCTGTGACTTTCGCCAACGCGCAGGAATTCTACGAGCATTTGGATGACTGCGTGCTTCGTGTTGTCCAGCAGGCCGACCCCAGTGAGGCCATCAACCAGAAGCTCCTGACTTCCGTCGCGGAGGACAAAGATGTCGCTGAGACGCTCGATCGGAATGGACTTCCCAACAGCGTCGAGTACACCGTGCCCAGCTACGAGGAGGATGAGGAAGAGGAAGAGGAAGAAGAGGTCGACAATGATGACCACAACGATGACACGTACGGTGTGCGCCGCTCGCGGTCCGGCAAAGGGTCTTTAAAATCCACCAAGTCGCATTGACAATCAACACACTCCCGGGGTGTCGCTTCATCGCACGCCGGGGGTGGCAACCCTTCCAAAGTTACGAAGACCTCTGGTGGGAGGGGTCCTCGGGCCGGGCTGACCTTCTCAAAAGGCGGCGTGGCAATCACGGGTTCCGGTCGCAAGAAGCGGAAAAACTATCCTGTGTCCTGGGGGTGTCCGACGGACAAGATGAAGATGAAGAAGCGCGTCTTGTGCGTATATGATGGTGCGCGCCGGCTGTGGAAAGACGATATGATGCTAGATCAGGATTTCGAAGTTCGCATGAAGCTGCCCGATGGCAGGTCGTATGTTACCGACTTGGATGTGCAGACGATGAAGAGAGCCGAGGCGATACATGGCTCTACACCTGATGAACGGGGTCCGTGGATTCCCGATAATGTTATCGGTGCCGGCGAGATCGAAGAGTTTATGGTTCCGGCCAGATGATACGAAACCAAACCAAAAGTTTAATTCAGCTTTGGGGCAACGAACAAACCAAACATACACTGAGATGCGACAAAGAGAGATACCACTTACCAATTACCAATTACCAACTAAACATTCGTACCATACCCTTGTTGTACTTTTATATCTTTCTTCAACCCCCCTTTTATTGCTTTACTTTTTTTCACCTCTTGGTTTTTGTGGCGAGAGGGTTCGATTTAGAGCCCGATTTGTTTACAATTTCCCTTCTTTCCTTTTTGGGCGATCTCGCTTTTGCGTTTTATTCTCCGAGCGTCATCGTCGTTCGAGGCTCGTTCGACCCTCGCTTTTCCTCCCTTTCTCTCTAAATCGATACGATACCACTGTTGGCGGGTGGACTGGCGTTTAGGCTGTTCATGGATTGGATTTTGGTTTTAATGGTCAGTCGCTATCGACAATGCTTTACGACCTGGGTTTTTTTTTGGTTTCCTTAATGTTTGTATGATGGGTCGGATTGTGTCGATGGGAATGGACACTTATATGGATGGATGGCTCGCCGGTGCTGGGCGCGGGAGCAGGCTGGATGTAAGGGTAGTTTTTAAGCTCAAAGCAAGTCGGAAGCGCATTTGTTAAGTCTTTATAAGCTGTTCTTGCTTCCAATCTAGCGTGATATGCATTAATTGGTGGTGACAACTCCAATGCCTACGCAGAACGGTGAATTAATCAACGAGAAGCGTGCGCCTTTTACCAACGAGTACCAGCCTAATGAGACGAGAGTTGTCAATAAAAAGAATAAGAGCTGCTTTCAGCTGTAGGTCTAGAGAGGGCGATGGGCGCCAAAGATCGATGGAAATGGCACGGATGCAAGCTGAATAGACGAGGGCGGCGAAGCTAGTGGGATAGAGACGTGGAAAGAACAAAAATATTTGGAATATCTCGAGAAATACTAGAAGGACAGCACAGTGAAATGACGGGTGGAAATAGAGAAAGTTGTGAGAAGTAGAGTGTTGTAGACGGGCGTATATCAATAGTCAGATTAACGGAGGCAAGGCGAGCTTCGAACTTGGCATCTTCGTAACAGGAAACAAACATCCGGACCATACTTCCCAATTCCTACTCATGCCCCGCGATGAAGGAAGCTTGGTCAGCCACATCAGTTCAGCTTGCCGACCGTTTTAGGACGGTGCTGGCGCCAAGAGCATGACTGAGGGTTGATACATTCCGTCAAGAGCGTCTCGGGCGTAATTCTCTGCAGGGAGCTGAAAGGTTTTGGTGACGGATTGGATGGGAATGGCACCCCGAGCCTATTCTTTCAGGTTGCGGAGCGTCGGAGGTGATGATGATCTGCGAGAAAATGGAGATTTGGGGAGGTGGCGTGGACTAACACGGTAGGGCTGTCAGGCTGATTTTGAGGTGCCTCGTGTTGAAGTGCTACTTTTGGCGCATAGTTGTGGGAGAAGGATTTGTTGGCGGGGATACTCTGGGCCATGATTGGATCGAAGAACTAAGACGTTCTAATTTGGTTGGATGAGGCTTGTTCCAATGTTTGGGGATGTTCGGGTCGGGGTGTTGTGTGTTTGGGGACTCGAGGAGGATTCACTTTTTGAAGGGGGATGTTGGGGCTCAGGGCCGTGTTGCACGGAGTTTGAGAGTGAGTATTGATGGTTTCTATAATTGCTCGAAGGTTGGGAGACTGATAGAAGTGTCTCCAGTTTGGATTGGATGATGCGCTTGTCGCCGGAGCGAGTTGGGGGGAGGGTCAAAGTTAGTCGGCCATGTAGGTTCGCCCCTGCCTTCCTCGTTGTGGAGTAGAAGTCGTTGTAATAGATATCGACAGACGCAGCTGGTAGATGCATTGGTCCGAGCCGAGACGGAAATTCGAGTGTTGACACCTACTTTCGGAAGAACGAGAAGCTCGAGAGCTGCAGAGACTCTTCCAACTACAAAGGTAGGCCGGCTTCCAAGCATGCAAAATCCAGACGAGTGCTCCGCCGATTCGGGGCCATGGTAGCCACGCCGGACTTTGCACAAAGAACTGCAACAAGAAAGCGGCCCATGTCTTGTCTGTTTCATTTTGCTTGCCTATCGCTGCGGAATACAAAAAGCGATGGAGGTCTGATGCTGGTGGTGCAGACTGATGGGGGATGATGATGGTGGCGTTCTCGTTCTGCAATGATGGGCAGCGGCCCCGAAAGGCGGTGAGCAAGTAGTCGCGTATCTAACACCGGCTGCCTCCAGGTTCGACCGACCCTCGTCCTCGAGCGAAGACTCTCTAATCCAGCACACCTGGGCCTTAACACATCTCCGCCATGGAGAGTGCTAGTCCCCCAGCACCCGTCCACAACTACCAGAACGTCCAGGAAGGCATCTGGCCCAACGGTCCCGTGCAGCTGGCGCGTGGCCGCCAGGCAAAGGATCCAAACGCCAAAACCATAAGCTACACCGTCACGTCGCTGGAGGAATTCGAGACGTCCCTTCGCGAATACCTCAGAGAGCCGCCCGAGCAGCCGGAGCACACAGAGTGCCAGTTGTCCTTCTGGATTGGCGCCAGCTTCCTGGTGTCGACCCCCTCGCAGCCGGCGACGCAGAATGCTCAGCGGCCGCACCAGGCTTCACAAGCTCACGCTCTGCACCCTCAAGCACCGCCTGGCTACCAGCCCGCAAACGGCCTGCACCCGCAGTATGGCGCTCCTGCGCTCGCGCCGCACACGTACCAGTCGGTCGCCGACCCTGCCATTGCCCTTACCTTGCCCTCGTACGCGCCTTCCTCGAGTGCATCGGGAAGCAACAACCGTAAGGAAAAAGACCTTGACAACAAGATCAGCCTGAGCATCCTCGAGGCGCTGGCCCCGACGAATGACCCGAAAGAGAAGATGCGGAAGCAGCGTGCTATTGCAAAGTGCTGTGTCGACTCCATCCAGAAATGTGATGGTTATCGGTACAGCTTCCATAATTGCTGGAACAGCCGCGAGGATGACTCCTTCCGGTTCTCCTACTACTGCAATGACTCCTTGCTGAATAAAGATCGCGCCGCCAATGGTAAAGGTGCGAAGCTAGGTCAGTCTGAGTCTGCATCCCTCGATGGTGGTGGGACTGACGTTCAAAAGGCAAGCGGGCGACGAAACCAGTCTACGACTGTCGCGGTGTGCTTGCTGTTAAGTTCTCGGCAAACAAGCAGAGCCTCGATGTCTTCTATAAGCATATACCAATACACAAAACTTACGAGGAGAGGGCTCCCCCACCTCGGAAGGATTCAAAGCGGCGGAAGCATCTGGAGCAGACCGACCCCGAAGCGTAAGCAATGTTCAATTCCCAATCGCTCCCTGCATCGTAGATATAGGCCATTTCCCTATATTTGCTCCGGGTCCCACTACATTTTATCCGTATACGCCGCTTTAGATGCGGATGGCTGACGAAAGCAGTCTAATTAGGATAGCAAACAGACCGAAACCCCCAAAGCCGCCAGAGCAAGGGTCAGCTAATCCCGATGCTCCACCTAGACCCAAGAAGAGGAAGGCGAAACGTGATGACATCCAGAATAAGCAGACTGCGCAAAGTTCAATCGAGAGTGACCTCAGAGCTCAAAGCCTACGGTCACTCCTCGAGCTCATCCAGACAGACCCAGCTCCAGAACCCCTGCAGGGGCAGCAACCTCAACAAAGCCTCAATAGAAATGTTGAAGAAGAACCTCCTCCAAGGCAGCCTCTGCCTCTGCCTCCGCCTCAGCCTCAGCCTCCTGCTCCGCCTCAGCAGTCACGTCGTCGGCCGCGAAACAGCTGCGATGTGTGTAAAACGAAGAAAACTAAGGTGTGCCGTCGCATTCCTTTCCGCCCTAACCGACCCTTATTGCGCTAGACCTGCCTACTGACTTTCTTCAGTGCGACGGCACCCGTCCCGTTTGCCACACTTGTTTGGAGAAGAAGCGACAATGTATATACTCTGAGCCGCCTCCAGACGAGCATCGACAGTCTGCGCCTCATCCTTCACAGCCGGTAGCTTCAAGAGAGCCTGTTCGCCAAGCACAGGCGGCCAGCAGTGAGCTGTCTGAGCTGGAGAAGACGAAGAAGGAACTTGAGGAAGCCAAAGCGCGTATACAACAGCTAGAAGCCGAAAAGACACATGGTTCTACCACACCCTCACAAACGCCTCAGCCTCCTCCATCGCAGCAGATACAGACGCCTCAATATGGCCATTTCAGGAATCATGCAAGTCATGCTTCGTATGGAATGAATAGGTCGATGCAGCCGCAAAGTGCGCCGCATCAGCCGCAGGCAACCCCTCAAATGCACCCTTCTGGTACTGGTACGGATTTTCGTCGTCATAATATTGAACACTTCAGTGACGAATGCAGGTCTAACACCCACACAAGACTCCAGCAACCCATACAGCAACAGTCGTGGGTTTAACTGGGGGGCGACGCCTTATTTTTATGAACAGCCAACAAACATCCATCAGACACCTCAGCAGCATCAGCAAGATCAATGGGCAGCAGCAAGAAGCTCAGGCGTGTTTCGGTAGTTAAAAATGTTCCTTGTTCCTGCATTACGGTTACGGAATTCCATGGTAGGCGCAGAGGGGGCGAACGACATTATACCCTTAGTTATTGTTTTCCATGTTCACGGTTTCAGTAGAATGATGGCAATCCTGGCATCTCGGTTACGATCGACAAATTAGCGATTTGGTGTGCGGTAGATTGATGCACGATTCACAAGAAGGTCTTCGTTCTAATCCATACTTGATTTTCTCTTCGTACGTTCAATACCCTTTATTGCGAGAGGCTGCTTGTGTCCTAATAGGTTTGCGCACCGGCTATTCTCAACTGCATCATCCGGGATCAAGCATTGAGCGATACGGTACGGCCCGAAAGCCTGTTTCAAAATCTGTCTGTTCTCTTCAACTGGTGCTTGAAGGAACTGGTGCTTGTGGGCCGGCTTCCTCGTCCATTTGTTTCTCATCAAACCGGCCAGATGGAATGGGGCGACTCGACCATCCCCAGTACCTATTTTGTCTTGCGCGGTCAAAACGGCCTAATCTTGAAACGCAAAATCTTCGGGTTCCGAAACAGGCAGCACGGGCCTGACACAGATCGTGCGGGCATTTTGGATGAAAGGAAAGTTAGGGATCGTAGTCCATGACCGTGCGTTGATGCGCTAGGATCCTACTGGCCACAACCCTTACCGTTCCCAGCATACCCTTTACTTTCACAACGTATCAACGTAAACAGAGGTCGTCAGATTCGTGTCGACTTGACTTTTAGGGATTATACTGACGACGCGGTGAAGGGTTCCCACGCACAATCAACGAACCTGAGAGGCAGCGGATCGCTAGTGGGTCTTTTGGCCTTACATATCTGATACTTGGAAAATCCTTTTGAATTTCAACAGGGTCTTCTGTGAAAAGCATAGATCGCCCCATCCTCTGATGTCGCCATGGACTAACTTTCAGACTTCAATGTTGTTAGCCAAGCTCGCCCGACTGACGTCCTACATCCCTTTTGCCCAGCTCTGGAAGCTTCGTCGGGAGGATGGGTGAGAAGCAGACGATTGCACTGGCCTCTTGTGCTTTCTTGCTTGGACTAAGTTTAGTCTTTGTTGCTGCGAGGATTTATGTTCGTTGTCGGATGCTAAGGAATGCGGGGAAGGATGATTTGCTTTGCGTTTTGGCCGCTGTAAGTTGAAAGGAATTATTGGTGGTTGCGCGGTTGCTCATAGGATGAAATAGGCCCTCAGCATCGTTGAAACAGTCTTTATGTTCTTTGGTAGGCGATCCTGCATCCAAAAATCCGCCAATGGTACAAATTCTTACCTAGACTTATAGAGGTCAAGTACGGGTCCGGAAAACGGAGATCTCAGCTAAGCTCTGTGGAGCTTGAGAAGCAACGATTCGTAAGTCTACCTCCCAAACGAACGCTTCAATTTGTACAGGCTGATCGCTAACAATCTCCAGACTGTTTTCATGAGCATAATGCCGTACTGTATGTCCTCATCGCTTGACATCCAACTTGTCATTCAACTAACAAGACAGTAATCGGACTTATGTTTGTCAAAATGTCCATCATCTACCAAATGCGGCGCTTCTTCTCCTCATTCTACTCCCCCACCCTCAGCTTTATATGCCATCTCGTTCTTGTCCTCATCATTGCTACAACGATTGCACACCTCTGTGTATCAATCCTGCAATGTCGACCTATTCAAGGATTCTGGAGGGGGTCCTTGAACGCCAAATGTCTAGATCTCGCGAGGATCAACTACGCGTACCTCGCGGTTAACGCCTTCACCGACCTGGTGTTACTAGTGCTGCCGATGCCGACTTTGTATCGCTTGCGACTGCGGAAAGCGGAAAAGAGGGCTGTCGTGGGGATTTTTGCCTTGGGAGGATTGTACGTCTGTTCCATTTTTCTAATTCACAACCTCCCACTCTCCCAGGTCCCCATTCAGTCGGTCCCAGTGCTTGGCTTACCCAAACACAGTGCGGCTCTCACCTCCATCCTCCGCATCCCCTACGTTCTCCTTATGGACCGAGGTGGCGATCCCGTCTATCACGGCTTCGGCATCTTAGTCTGGACACGCGTCGAACTCGGTGTCTCCATAATCTGTGCCTGTCTACCATGCCTACGCGCTCCACTCGCTCAACGCTTCCCACATATTTGGGGCAGCGTGTCCCGCTCTAGCAGCGACTGCTCAGGACCATCCTTCTTCCGGTCCCGAAATCGAGAAAGCATGAAGGGCTTGAGTAGATTAGACAGCAACCGCAAAAGCTACGCCAACAACGGCCCTGCCACATACTACGCACGCTTCGACGACGACCTCGAAACCGAAGATTGTGAAATGAAGAAAATTCTCTCTCAACCTATCGCGCAACCCGAGGACCCAGAACCGGAAATAGTTAAGCTTACCGCACCACAGCCGTATCCGTTTAATCAACTCCAAGCAGAGATGAAATCGCGCAGGAGCGAGGATAACAATAACGGCCTCAATTCTCTGGATCAGAAAATTACAGTTACGACGGTTACGCAGCAAAGGATCTCACATCATGAACCTGGCAGCGTGATTCAGAAACCAAGGGGCGTGTTAGCGAGGGCGTGGAGTGAGAGGAAGAATGAAAGGCAGAAGGAAAGGGAGAGGGAGAGGAGGGAGGGTAGGGAAAGGGCGAGGGCTAGGGCAGACTTTATGGGGGGGATGAATGTTGCGTATTGAGGTGGCAGGGGAAGGGGAAGTGAGAGATATACCAATTTGATGTTTTTAAGTTTTATGCAGTTGTTATCCTTGAGGGCCGTGTGATTCTAGTGAGCTATACCGCAGGAGTTCTCGTGAATGAAACAGAAGCCAGAATGAATGCGGAACTAAAAATCAGAACAGGCAAGTCATAACTAAGAACGACACATAAGTTCCTTAAAATAAAACAAGAAGGCAAGCTGCTAAAACCTAGAAACTAAAGAGTAGACGTGAGCTCGACCGACCCTGCTGGGGCCGGCACTAGTCCCATATTCCACCTCCTATCTCTCTTTCACTGTCTCCGTCTCCCCCTTCATCTCCCTAACCCTTAACAGATACTTTCCTGCCGCTTATTAACCTCCTTCTTACACTTATCTTCTCACCTCCTAAGCTTAGCAACTAGCACCTTAATCCCCTCTCCTCTGCAGCCTCTAGCATAGTCTGCTTCCTACTTAACCGCGCCTTAGAGTTGTGGACAGATTGTAGTTTAGTGGCAAGGGTGCTGGAAGGCGTGGGGAGTCTAGAAACGGAAGAATTGATTGCGGGAGGCGAGGGAGTTGGAGTTGGGTGGGGCTGAGGTGACCTAGTGCTGGACTAATGCTTGCGGGTAATCTGTCTTGAGACAGCCTGGTTCGCGTTGCTTTTGATCTCTCTTCGCCCTACCGCATGTTGTTAGTAATGATTATTAGTGATGGGTTAGAGGGAGATAGTTCTGGTGTTGCGGCGCAACCTAGAGCTAGATAGCGATGGGAGAGAAGTACCTCGCGTTAGTGGGGGTGAGGGGTGCATAGTAAGTGGTAAGCAAGAAGAGGTAAGGGCGAATATTGAGAGGTGAAAACTTTGTTTCCTAACACAGTACCTAGACTACACTTAGCTTGTTCAGGAGAAACTACTTGACTGGCGTGGATAAGAAGAATACGTATGAAAAGCTACATCTTCAGCTACTCGCCCGCGTTCCGTCAACTTATTTCATATCTTCCAGTGATACCCCCAAGTTTCTGTGGTGAATCAGCGAACCACCACCTCTACAGCAACTTCATTGCTCCACCCAGCATTCGAGTTTGTTTCCTTCCAAGCTCTTGCAAGATCAATCTCAAGAACATTATCGCAGACATCGTTAACTTTTACACAATGAGCTGGAATCGGTTTACCAGAAATGAGGGCCATGAAATCGTCCTTCAGCGAGCGCTTGGAGAGGTCGGAAATATACAGCCCTGGAGATGCATTAGTATGGTCTGCTCGTGGCGAAGAAAACTATCATCGTGACAGGGGGCCTACCATAGGTACCCAACGTTTTCAAAGAAGTCCAGATTCTTAGTCTACCTGACGACCTTTCAATATAGCTGTCCATGTTCACAATTGCTGCAGCTCCCGTCATCTTCCCTAGGAGTCCAAGGTTGCTGATGGAGATGTCCGAGGGACCTTTCTCGGGATGGCTGCGCTCAAGTGTGAACGACTGAAGAGGGAATGCGGAGAGGATCTCCCATCCTTGGGTGGGTAGTTCCAGGTATAGAAATGCAGCTTGGTTCTCTGCATCTATTGGATCTGTAACCTGCCCGCTAGTGTGGCTTCTTAGAACATACTTGCCCGTCTCTGCACCAGGGAATTGGTCTAGCCTGATCAACTCTGCGAGAGCGCGCTGAGTGCAGTTGAATATACCGAGGATACTGACGCCGGTCCGTGCCATTCCTACGTACGTTCCCACTTTTAGGAGGACAGGATCGTCGTAGCTGTTATATGCTTGGATACTTTTACCTACGGTATGAGGTCGTAGAATGACTGTATTGCCCCGAGGCGTCTTTCCAGTCATTTGATTGATGAGATCCACATCGTGTTTGCCTGGAACATCAGTAATATAGATCGGACCTCCAGAGATGCAACGAGCGGCCGCGTGAAAAGACGCCCATTCGTGCGATGTCTGGAACATGTCCCAGTCAGGGAGGATGTTGAGGTAAGAATTGAAGATGGAGTTGTGCGCATTGCAGAAAATGTGCCAAGGGTGTGAGGCAGGCACTTCCGGGAAAAAGTCGTCCGAGTTGCGAAGAAGTACGCGGGGTCTGTTGGACGGAAGCTGAGAATGGAAGATGATTTGTGGGGTTTGAGACATGCAAGAAATTGCTTTGGCGGAAAAGTAGCGAAGCTGATTGATGTTCCAGGCGTCCTGATAGGCTCGAATAAGGCTTCTACGGTCCGAGGCGTCGTCGAGCTCATCTAGGAAGAATTGGCCATCTGTTTTGACTGAGTCGATACCGGCAGAGCTGAGAAACTGGTAGAAGTCCTTGTAGAAACGGCCAACATCCTCCTCAGCAACAACCAGCATCTTTCCACCTGAGACACCGTCTTTTTTTTTAACGGAAACAGTCTTGTATTCTTTGGCGATCTTCCCTTCTGGGGCGATACCGCCCCAATAACCAAACTTAGTAATGTTAGCATAGTACTTACGGAAAAGAGTGCGGCGACCGTACTAAAGCGTGCCAGACGGCTACATGCTGAATATTCTGGTGTTTGTTCCGAATATCCTTCACTGTAGCTTGGAGGCCCCTTGGAAAGCCTGTTCTGGTTGCCTCGAACTCCATCCAGGCATTATCGAATTGATATCCCCCTTCATGATTCTGTTGAGTGTGAGCATGCAGAGTGTTCTTTGGGTAGATGGGAGATCATCTTCATACAAGCGATTGCCAGTTGTCGTCGATGATGAGGTTTGTGACTTGTGGAACTTGTCAATAGCACGAAATTGATGAAATGTGGGTAGCCGTCATACTATTGATCTCGTTCTTTTGCAATGAATCCAAGGCATCGAAGATTTTTTGCTCATTAAGGCGTTGCCCTAACCCATTCCAAGTACAGTACGATAAGCCATCGTACCAGTTTTCAAGCCACTGGGGTTTGACGCCCTCCGCTAGTGTTTGCATCTCTGCTGAGATTTCCTCGCAAGTTATTTCGTACTTTGTCACTATCTTGCGGGCATGATACACGGCTGCCGCAATGGCATTCTCTAAAGAGTTGCCTACCGAGATTACGAGCCTTGCGATGCCGTCTTCCTCGCTGTCATTCCGTGAGTTAATCGTAATATTCCCAGCTCCGTCATGGTGAAGGCATGTCAAAACATTGTCCACGCCACTCAAGGCGAGCACGACAAGATGAGTGCCATCCCCTCGCTGGAATGCTGCTAAAACCGCCTCCTGTGTAATTGTTAACCAAATGTTTCTAAGGCAATGCGGGGACGAACCTTGTCTGGTCGGAACTCGTCTCTACCTTGCCGCGGAGCCAGCCAGGGAGACCAAAGGCGTACAAGTGCGAACCACCTCGAAAAGGACGTTGGTTTACCTAATTTGTTATTTGAAAACCCAGACGCTCGACCAGAAGCTGCATTTACAGGACTCCAGACGGACCACAATAGGGTGTCTGGGGTGTCGCTGACTTCTCTTCCGATCTGAAGATATGCAGGAAGGTCACTAATGTAATGGGTCAAATCCTTCTGTTGAAGACCAGCTGACTGATAGATGATCTGGCCATCGGAGGTCGAAAATTGGTCGTTTGCCCATTTCCAGGGTTCATCATTTGACGCACGAAACGTGAAGGTAAACGAGAAGGATGAACTATGCTTTGGGCGCCCAGTGAGGGTGATGGTAAACCACTGATGTTGAATATCGGAAGTTCCGTCATGTGTTAAACGCAGCTTAGGCGGTTTAGCTGATTTTAACGCGCTTGATGACCTTTCGGACATACCACAGAGGGGGGCACTGGAGCTGGCTCGAGACTTAAGCTTGTCCATTTATCTCGGTCTTCGAAGTTATGCCACAAAGAGACGTTCCAAGACTTTTGTGAAGTAATAGAGCTTTCAACGAGTACTGTAATTCTAACCTTTATTTTGAAGTTAGAATTTTGCTTGTGTCGCGTTGTTTCACTTACAGCCTCTTTCCCTGGAGCTATAGTGGTTATCTGGCCTAGAGGAGGGTTACAGGTGAGTCTAGCATACATATTGATGGACTCTGAGCTGGTTGAAGCAGAGGGCTTGCTCAGAGCTGATGGATGGAAGACAATGGAGAGTCACACGAATGGAAGATGGAGCGATGCCAAGTATTATGCAGGCACTCAAAAGACATGCAGCAAAAGTAGAACGCTATGGGTGTTGAAGTTGGCGAGCAATGGGACATGTGAGGTTGAGCAATGACGAGTGAAGAGAAGCCACCTTGGGGAAGCTCCCGTGGCCAGCTGAGCTTCGGCCAATCGGAATCCTTCGAGTCTTGGCACCCGGATCCAAAGTCGGCCCGGGAACGTTTTCTAGACGAGATATGGAGCTTCACAGAATTCGAGCTACTGGCGCCAATGGCACCAATGTTGCCTCTTCGACACCTGCTGCGATCTCGTCCCTACATTTATAATCGATGTGTGCGAACACAATGTGGTCGGCTGCCTGGAGCGCGGCGTTCGATATGGGCGGCTTCCAATGCAAACCAGGAGGAGCTGTGGGGGGAGCAGGCGCGGAAGATTAGGTCAGGAGCACAACAGAGCATGTTGGATATATTGGAAGAGCGAGGATTTGTCAAAGATGTTGCCGGGTAAGATCGGCCAATATACTTTCCTAGAGTAAGTGCTAACAAATCTAGTGGCCGTAAAGCTCTTGACTGGCTGTTGACTGAGAAACCTATAGGCGCATACGTCGGAGTCGACCCCACGGCCCCTTCGCTGCACGTCGGACACCTCCTTCCTCTCATGGTATTATACTGGATGTATCTGCATGGCTTTTATACAATCACCTTGGTAAGTGGTTCATGACGAGGCAGTTTTTCAAAACCCTAACGCTGAGTAGCTCGGCGGTGGCACTGTGCAGATTGGGGATCCTTCCGGGAGAACGAGCGCTCGAACACGACAGTCGAAGGAGGCACAGGATATGAATTGCATAAATATGCGAGCGCAGCTCAAGAAGCTCTGGATCAACGTAAAGGCGCTTGGCATCAAACACAAGTACTCGGAGAAGACTAGCAGGAGGCGAGACGTCATGAACAACATCGTTTGGCTAAACAGCCTTGGCGCTGTACGTTTGATTCAAGACGTAGGCTCTGGCATGAGACTAGGGTCAATGCTCAATCGTGACTCGTGAGTTTCTAGACAAGCATACTCCGCCATTTTTCGTCTCCTGACTTCTTCCAGCGTCAGGGTGCGCATGGAAAGTGGGGACGGTATGGCCCTGTCCGAATTCTGCTACCCTCTCTTTCAAGCGTACGATTGGTGGAAGCTGTATACTAGATACGGCGTCCAACTGCAAGTGGGCGGTTCAGATCAATACGGGAATATCTGTGCAGGAATGGATGCTGTGCACCATATGCAGAAGCTCTACCAGGGAGAGAGCCATGCTAAAACCGAAAACCACCCTTTGACCGCGACCTTTGGGCTCACAACACCACTGTTGACGACTGCATCTGGCGAGAAATTCGGCAAGAGCGCTGGAAATGCGGTCTGGCTGGACAGGCAAATGATGAGCTCATTCGATCTTTACCAGGTTCTTGCACCATTGTCGTTAAGCTTTAACAGTGCTGATGGTTTTTATAGTGCTTCTTACGTACCGCGGACGATGACGTTGAGCGATATCTGAAGCTTTTCACCTTTATACCCCTTGATCACATCGGGTATGTCATGGAGCATCAGAGACAGGATCCTTCAAAGCGCCGTGCTCAGCATCTGCTTGCGAAAGAAATCGTCGAGCTTGCTCATGGTGCTAGGCTTGCGGTGGAGGCTGAGATGGCGCACAAAGAAGCTTTCACTCATGGGACCAATCTCTTCTCTCTCGGTGTTTTGAGACGCTCGCTGCAAGACTTCTCAAGTTCCAAGTCTAGGGAACCGCAGCCCACCAATCCTTGGGAAGAGGAATCCAAACAACTCCGCGCTTACAAGAGAAAGTTCGCTGCATCATTGGTGGCTCAAACGCCTGCCGCAGCCACACCTAATTCAACTACAAGCGACGCGTCTAAGGAAATTGTAGTCCTACCGCGGACACTTCTCCAACTTGGATCGTTTGCTCAGGTATTGCGTGCGGTAGGTCTGGTGTCCTCGAACAGCGAGGGTCACCGATTGGTTCAGAATCAAGGTGCCTATGTAGTACGGCCCAATTCTGGTTCGATTGAGAACCCTAACGGTCTGAAATGGGAACCTGTTGTTCCTCATGCAAATCCGTCGCACTATCTCATCGATTTTGAGGCACTCGTACTGAGGGCCGGCAAGTCGAAGATTAAAATCTGCCATGTTGTTAACGACGAGGTTTTCGAAGCAGACGGGCAGTCCTGTCCAGGCTGGGAGGAGATCAAAGCGAAACGGGCCGAGTCTGAGTCCAACTCTAGAAAGGAACCACAACAGTAAGAAATCAGCGAGCATTTTTTAGCGTTCTGCTGCATGTACGTATGTGCGACTTTATGTAAAAATATTGTAAATCAGAAAGCCCCTCCAAGGCGTTGTAAACTCTTCCGCATATCTCTCCTTCTCAACAACTCTCATTTGACTCTCAGTCGCCACCAAACAAACCTCGACCGGTTCACGAAGACGTTCGACGTTTTATCCGCTATCATCAATGCCCCGAACATGGACGCTCAAATATACGCTATTAGACATTACTACACCGCCTCATCCTCCACCCACAGCCCTTTATTTAATATTCCATCGAGTCCGACCAGTCGTGATGACTACATTAGTCTGGAGTACTCCTTCCGCACTCACACATCCAGGTGCCCCCACAGACCTCCAAGTTCGGCATTACGCTATTCGTGGCATGTGCCCAGACCATCCGGCGGTGTAGACTTACAGATTTCTTGACGATTCAAGAGCTCAAGACAGTGAAACGCAGTGTGCTCTCTACTTCGAGACCGCTCTTCAATGTTCTAATATGCCTCGTACGGTCGGGTACGAACCATCCTCACAGAGACAGCACCCGAAGCTCAGCTTGTATATTGCAACAACGCTCGCATCGACCGAGGTCCAACGTACAAGGATGAAGGGGAAACTAGTTTCCGAAAGGCACGTGGATGGGTGCAGTGAATAGTCCTCATAGCCATTGTCTTTGATGTTAGCGCTTGGGCTCTGGATACGGTAGGTCGAGGAGTCACCTGCCTCACCACTATTGCAGAGGAAAATTTGCTGTTGATGAAGAAAGGCGAAGGGGATTATTATTCTTTGCATGTTATGTAGCAATGTTGTTACGGCCCGGTTTCTACTTAGGACTCAGTTGACACTGCGCTGAAAAACAGGACTAATTGACATCGCTTTGGGTTTCTTTTTCGCCGTTTTGTTGAGAATGGGAAGTGGTAATCTTGCAGATTCTCATAAGGTGTACAGGCGAAGGTTCGTTGCTAGGAACTTCTTAACCCAAGACTCTCGATCAGCTCACTAAATGATTTGAGGTTAATATCCAATCTCCTATCTACGACAATCCGGAGGTTGAACACTGAAAAGAGCAGGCGCCCAAAAAGCGTCAAGAATAATATTCAGCCAATCAGACACCGGAAGCCAGCTCATTCCCTACAACATTTCGCCTTCATAACCATAATATCATACACGCATTAAACCCCTAGTATAATTCTCATTGTATTCAAATCATGTATGTACATCGCGCGTTTCGTCGCCGCAAAAATCGAATTGCAAAGCCGTCCGATCGATAATCGACATGAACACTTTCCAGTATATAATCAGAGATGCCATCTAAGCGTCCGTTGTGGTAACAAGGTTGGTGTGTCGAACGCAGATTTCATGCTACCTCCACTTCCACATTCGAACCGCTTGAGCCCAGTGAAGGGAGAGTGCGAAGGCGGGGAATGGAGGATAGCTCATCTGGTACACGCTGGGCTTTCATCACCTGAACGGTAGTTAGCATGAGTGTTTGTAGTGGAGAAAGTTGGGGTCTTACTTGGTTTAAACTGGAAGGATAGAGAAGAGAAGGTTTGCGCGGACGTCGGAATTTTTTAAAGCTCGGTTCGGCTCAGAACACTTAGTCAGCACTTTGCATCAAGGAAAACCTCGAGCATCGCAACACGATGGCTCACGATGCTTCATCAATTGTGGTCCTGAACCTCTATACATCAGTATGATCCCTAGATTAGCTATGTCGCCTGTAGCGTGTCGCAATTCCTCGCTTCGGAAATCCTACGTCGAAATATCTCGGTTCATCCACTCCCAACGTCACGAGATTTCCCGAACACTCTCCTCCCAATGCCCTCGCAATGGATACAGAAGCTTCTCCTCAAGTGTACTGCGGAGGCAAATCGAACCGAATGATAGCCTACGAAAGACTCTTAATGGCTACAAAGCTACCAGTATTCCTCCTGACCCAGCATCAAAATCCTAAATGCTGACATAATCAGTTCGTGGCTATGACTACCCAGACTCCTCCGAAAAGTACGCAATGTTGGACAAGCACAAGCTAGGCTCCCACATAGAACTCGTCGGTTATCTTGGGTCACGTCGGGATGTGTCCAAAGTGTTGTCTTTCGCCTTGCTTCGAGATGCAGACCAGAGGTTTTGCGTCCAGCTTGTTTCCAGCCCGAAAGAGAGCGTAGAGACGCATCTCCGGCTCCGGAATCTGAAAATCTGGACACCGGTGCTAGTAAAGGGAGTACTACAAGAGCGCCAACCGGCGAAGGATGACTCTGTGGAAGGGATGCGCCTGATCAATGATCGAGAAATTGTATTAGAGTCTATCGAACCTCTGAATGATTTCGCGACCGATATCATTGTCAAGAATGATACTGTCTTTCCACCCGAGCAACGACACCTGCAGATTCGTACCAACAAGGAGCTACGCGAGGCATTAATCTTTCGGGGTCGAGTCACAAAAGAAGCCAGAAAGCGATTGTGTGTCTGCCGCTTTAACGAGATAGAGACCCCTGTATTGTTCAAATCAACACCAGAAGGTGCACGTGAATTTCTTGTACCAACGAGGAACAAGGGGCTTGCGTATGCGCTGCCTCAAAGCCCCCAGCAGTATAAGCAGATTCTCATGGCAAGTGGAATTACGAGATATTTCCAGTTTGCAAGATGCTTTAGAGATGAGGATTTACGGGCTGATCGGCAGCCTGAGTTTACACAGGTAAGCATATTCTATGGTAGGTGGAGGGCGATTTCTGAATACTGATGTGTATCAAGCTTGATCTTGAAATGGCATTTGCAGAGGAACATCAGGTTATGCATGAAATCGAAAAGCTTTTAACAATACTCTGGGACAGGTTCCTTGGCATTAATCTCAAAGGTGCATTTCGGAGAATGCCTTACCAGGAAGCAATGGCCTCTTATGGTTCAGATAAACCAGACCTACGAATAAAGTCGGAAGTATGTTTGCATTTCCACTCACAGACCCACTCGATAAACCTCGTCTAGATAAACACCGTCACAGATCTCTTATCCCAAGATCTCATTAGCAAAATAACCCCCGTCTCCAATCCTGTTGTCGAAGCCTTCACAATGAATCTCCCTACTAAGCCAGAAGAAACCCGCAAATTTGTCTCCTCCTTCCTAGACAGCCCCGAAGGGAAACCCTTCCTCGAGAATCCAGACGGCCAACCCGGAGTGTTCATCAGCGATCATTCTAAACCTCTCAACGGACTCGGCGCGCTGGGTCCACAAGCTGCCATGGAATGGCCTAAAAAGGTCACACCTCCTGATGGCGGATTGCTCATTCTGCAAGCACGCAAGAACGAACCATTCTCAGGAGGGTTCACCGTGCTAGGGAATCTACGACTGGCATTGCATAAAGCGGCGGTAGCTCAAGGCATACTTCCACCTCTCAGAGGATTCCGGTTCCTCTGGATTACTGACTTTCCGCTCTTTTCTCCCTCGAATGACACTGACCCCGGCCAAGGCGGCACCGCAGGACTCTCATCAACACACCACCCTTTCACGGCACCAAAGACGCCGGAAGACGTCGAACTCCTGCTCACAGCACCCGAGAAAGCCATTGCCGCTCACTATGACATCGTTGTCAACGGCGTTGAGCTAGGTGGTGGTAGTCGTCGTATTCACAATGCTGAGATCCAAGAATTCATCTTCCGGGACGTGCTGAAGATGAGCTCTGAGCGCATTGAAGACTTTAGGCATTTACTAGATGTCTTACGATCTGGCTGTCCGCCTCATGCCGGTATTGCGCTAGGATGGGATAGGATGATTGCTGTTATGTTGGGGAAAGAGAGCGTGAGAGATGTTATTGCGTTTCCGAAGAGCGGGAAAGGAGAGGATATGTTGGTAAAGTCGCCTAATGTTTTGACGAAGGGGCAGTTGGATACTTATCATTTAAGGGTGAAGGAGTAATTTAGTGCTTGCATGGATAGCATGTCTCTTTCTTGCACTTTTCTACTCGTGTGCATCTCTTATCCTTCGGTATAACACTCCTCTCGACCTATTTTTTCTCACTGTAACGTAGCTATCTGTACAGATAGACGTGGTATAGCCTTGAGAGGAAGTACGGCCATACAATCTAGTTAGAAGTGCGGCGAAAATGTCCCAGATTGTGATAATTGGAGTGTTGAGACCCATTGGTTTGCTTGTGCTAACAGATAGCAACAAGCGACTTTCGATTGTTCTGTCAATCCACGCCTAAGACCAGTAGGGAAGCCCTTGTAAATGTAATAGAGCACTGCAGCGTCTGAAATGCGACAGAAATCTGGTGCATTTTAGCAACCTCTTTTCTTCAAGCAACCGGTCTAAGGGATCAACTTCACTTTGCGAAGGCTACATGGAAGGGAGGAATAAGCCAAAGAATAGAGGGGTTTTTTGAGCAGTCTGCGGGAGAGCTAATGCATTTAGAGCCGGAGAAGCACAGAATTGATCAGATGGGTCGTCAATAAGTCCGGATAGTCTACTAGATAGGAAGTTTGCCCGAGCTTTTGATGTGAATGGGAGCTTGGACCAGCTGTATCAGATGAGCCTCGGTTCGCAATTCACTCGCGATCTCTAACATCCAGTAGCCGACATTTGCAGTCGCTACTCCCATGCTATCCAAGGTTCCCTCGCTATGATACCCCCTTCCTTTCTTCACTCTTGCCAACGTCTATTTTCTGATTTCCCTCTTCCTTCCGCCTGAGATACCCTAAACGGCCTTTTTTTTTCTTTTTCGAAATGCAGAGTAGGTTTCCACATCCCCACTGTCGCATGACCCTCCACTTACCACTCTCAGCACTTCCATACGTCCTCCCGGCCGCCGCAGCAAGTCTCGCATACCTCAATGGCCGCTTGGCAATCTCATACGATTGGGCGCTTCTTTCATCTTACATCTCCGCCATCACCAGCAGTATCATACATGAATACCGTGACGACATCAACCTCTTCAACATCCTCGAATCGCATGCCCACTCTTCGCGGGCATCTCACCCCTGGATAATCCACCACGGCCGATCATGGACCTACGCGCAAGCCTACGAAATCACCAAAAAGTATGGGAATTGGCTGGTTAGTAAGGGGGTTCAGAAAGATGAGGTTGTTGCAGTGGATTTTATGAATTCGGAGGTTTTTGTTTGGGTTTGGTTTGGGCTTTGGAGTGTGGGGGCGAAGCCGGCGTTTATAAACTATAACTTGACGGGGAAGCCGTTGCTGCATACGATTAGGACATCGAGCGCGAGATTGGTGTTGGTGGATGAGAATGGGAGAGCGAAGTTCAGTGAGGAAGTTATGAAGGAGCATGGGTTTGTGGCTAAGCCGATTGATGCGGATGTTCCCAAAAGGAGACAGGTGCAGTATCGGTTCGACAATGATCCGAATATGGCTCCTCTGGTTTTGAGAAAACATATCAGGTCCACTCCTACCCAGAAGCAGCAGAAGGGAAGCAAGTCCGAACAACAGCCCCGGAAACTAGAAATCCTGTTCTTTGACCAAGGTTTAGAGGATTACATTATGTCCCTGGAATCAACCCGGCCTCCTGACTCTCTCCGTAATGCTCAAAAACTGCACGACATGGCCATGTTAATATACACCTCCGGGACCACAGGTCTCCCCAAACCCGCTGTTATGTCCTGGGGAAAAGCCAATCTGGGCGCCAAATTCGTCGCTAACTGGGTTCCACTAATGAAGACCGACATCATGTACACACCCATGCCCCTCTACCATTCCTCCGCCTCCGTCCTCGGCATCTGCTCCACCCTACGCGCCGGCAGCACTATCCACATCTCCCGCAAATTCTCGCATAAGACCTTCTGGCCCGAAGTCCGCTCCTCAGGCGCCACCATAATCCACTACGTCGGTGAAACATGCCGCTATCTCCTCGCAGCACCCAAATCCCCGCTCGACAAAGCCCACAAGGTGCGCGCTGCCTTCGGTAATGGGCTTCGCCCTGATGTCTGGGAGCCATTCAAGGAACGCTTCGGCATCTCCACGATCTACGAATTTTACGCCGCGACAGAGAGTCCCTCGGGGATATGGAACCGGTCCACAAATGCCTTCAGCGCGGGTGCAATCGGTCGCAACGGCACCCTCGCCACCATCTTAATGGGCCCGAGTCTCGCAATCGTCCGGATGGATCCAGATTCCGAACCGCCGTCCCCTCTGCGCTCCCCCAAATCCGGTCTCTGCCAAATCGCAGCGTACGACGAACCCGGCGAATTGCTCTACAAACTCGACCCATCCAACCCCGGCAGGAAGTTCCAGGGCTACTTTGGAAACGCGTCTGCCACGAATTCTAAGATCCTGCGCGACGTGAAGAGGAAAGGAGACGCGTATTTCCGGACCGGAGATCTGATGCGTTGGGATAAGGAAGGTCGTTGGTGGTTTGTAGATAGGATTGGGGATACGTTTCGCTGGAAAGCGGAGAATGTGTCGACGGCGGAGGTGGCGGATGTATTAGGGAAACACGACACAGTTGAGGAGGCGAATGTGTATGGTGTTTTGGTGCCGAAGCATGATGGGAGGGCGGGTTGTGCCGCTGTAGTGCTGAAATCGTCGACCGAGTCGAAAGCCCGAGCGGAGAAGGATAGAACACCCCACCCTCACCCGCAAACCCTCAAATCCCTAGCCACCCATCTCAAACACTCTCTCCCTTCTTTCGCCGTCCCGCTCTTCCTCCGCATAACTAAGAATATACATACGACGGGCACAAACAAACAACAAAAGCATATCTTCCAAAGCCATGGCATCTCAGTGCCGAAAGTGGAAGAAAGCGGGGATGTACTGTTTTGGTTGAGGGGGGATACATATGAAAAGTTTACTGTGCGGGATTGGGAGAGGATTGAAGGTGGGGGTGTAAAGTTGTAGCTGAGTGGAAGGGGAAGAGGATATGGGTGTTAAGAATACATGTCTGGGGGTTTTGCAAGACACCACGCACCACATACAGTGTGTTGGGGCAACCTATGAAATGTTACGAGCAACGGGTTGGGATTTTAAGGCCCCTAAGAGGATTAAGGAGAGAGCTAAAGAGGATATAAATATGATGACTGGCTTTAAATTAATTCGTTGTTTTGTTCTGTCTGTTTGTCTGCCATGAGTCCTATTAAGGGATGCAAGTACGGTAATTTTAACACGTATCCCAAAAACAACTCTAATTAAATCGCATTAAAAGAATTAGATTTTGAGCCGCTCCACACCAATTCCAACCGTTGGAACGATCGACGAGTACCCTGCCCTTCAGCCCGCTGGTAGCAGGCAAAGCTCCTGCAGCAGCCCTTCCTTTTGGCTAGCAATATTAAATAAAGTTACAAATGCCCTCCTTATCCCTTCTGGTGTCATTCGGAAGAAAGAGTAGAAAAATACTCTTAACGCATATCCATGAAGCATCAGCATCAATCCATCCACTCTCCAATGTACTGCAGCAAGCCTGTCGTGCAGCGTGCTCCGATCTGTGAGCAAACGCTCTAAGTAGGGAAAGGTAAAGTGAAAACCCTAGACAGCAGTCTGACAAACGCCGCGCCACATAAAAAGCAGCCAACCATAGATCTAATAATAAGAAGCGTCTCTCCTCTTCGCGGTAAATGACTGTAGGTGAGATTCTTGATCCCCAAAGTCTCCTTGAATGCAAAACGCTGTATTCATCTCCATCCCCTGCACAATTATATCACGACCACCCAGGCTGGCCCTGCTGCTGCTGTTGCTGCTGTTGTTGCTGCTGCTGACCAGGTCGAGGGAATACGCTCGTAGTCGAAACCTGATCCAAGCTTAAACCTCCAAAGGTGCTCTGGTTCCCCGTGTTTTGCCACCCCTGGCCCGTTTGTGGATTTACGAACGCGCTCTGCCGGAATGGATTAGTACTGCCGGTCGCATGCACCGTGAGGCCTCCTTGCGGTAAAGGTACGTTTTGATGTGGAGATGGACCTCGAGCGAAGGGATTAGTTCCGGCTGGCTGGGTTTGTAGCCCCTGTTGGGGTTGGGGTGCAAAGGGCGAGCCGGATTGTGGGGGTTGTGAAAATGGCGAAGAGGATAGGGTGATGGGAGATTGGGTATTTTGCTGGAACCCAGTGGAGTGTTTGGCGAAGGGGTTGGTGGGTGATCGGCCGAGAGGAGAGGAAATACCTGAGGGGTTGCTGAGGAGTTTTGGTTCTGCGGCGCCAGTTGCAGCGGGAGGGATCACGGATTGCCGGAATGGATTTGTCGATGTGGGCTGCGCTTGCAGTGGTTCGGCGATGATGGGAAGTGGCTGTGTAGGTTGTTGTGAGAAACTGGGAACGCCGTTCTGGGGTATCGACTGGAGCGAAGAATTCTGCGGGCTGAATGGCTGTGGTGTGTAGCCTCCAAAACCAGCACCTGTGAATTGCGTCTGGAGTTGTGATTGCTGCTGCTGCTGTTGCTGCTGTTGCTGTTGTTGCTGTTGTTGTTGTTGTTGTTGTTGTTGGAGCTGAGCAAACGGATTCATTCCTTGTCCTGACTGTTGACTGAAGGCTTGTTCCTGTTGTTGTGGAAAGCCGATAGCTGCCGTTTGCTGTGGAATTTGGAAGTTGGGCTGCTGGAAGCCTGTCTGCTGAGGGTATTGCTGGATCTGTGGTTGTGCCATCGTCTGCTGGTTATCATTGATCGACTCGAAGAAGTCAATTAACGGTGCACTAGGTACGGTAGGCTTAGAAGGTGCTGTAGATGGCTGGGCTGTCGTCGCTGGCTTCGCTGCTGTGGATTTGGACTCGAGAAGCTTGCTAGTACCATTCGTGGATTTGCCGCTACTCTTCTTTGCCTCTCTTTCCGCAAGGTACTGCCTGCGGTTGATCTCAAAGTCTTTGTCATTAAGATACTCCTCTAATGACGCGGCTAGACTGGTAGGTGCGTGCTTAATCTTTGGGATCTCTAGTCTCGTTGAGTGTTCGTGCAGCCTCGCAATACTGAGATACTGTACGACTGCTTCCGTCTGCTTGACGAATGTCCGGTAAATGCCTAGCGCACGTGTTGCGTCAGGGCGTGATAGTTCGAAGTAGTGTTCTGAGTTGGGTTAATTTGGTGACTTGAGTTGTTTCTGTAGTCGAGCCTTACCAAGCACATTGATGGTGCCCTCATTCATGACATGGAAGAGCACCAGTAAATCCATAGTAAGCAACCGGAAGGCGGTCAACGTGATTTCGTTCTCCACCTCCTCGGCAAAGGGCTACAGCTCGTCAATATCACCTAGGTCTTTCCATCCACCACATATCACATACCTCGCATTTCAGCAGATAGCGAATCTGTTCCTGAACGCTCTCTGTTTCCCGAAGCAAGCCCTTATCGATGCTGAGCCGTTTGAGTCGGCCTTCGCCTCCTCGAACGTAATCGACTTTCGTGGCGCCATATTCAATTGCTCGTCGAAGTAGGTACTCCGAGTAGGTGCGGATATTGTGACCCTGCGTTTGGACTGGTATGCCATGCAACGTTAGCACGGCATCAATAAGGTTCCCGGTGCCGAAGACCCCCTCCACAAGGATCCATTAATTTAGGCAAGATTGCCCAGCCTTCCGAGAATACGGAAACAGAGGCCGACATACCCTCGGTGAAGTGATTTATAGCCAGTTTGCGATGTGGATTCTGCGCTAAGAACTTGAGCGTAACTTCGGGCTCTCCCTCCCGTATCATAAGATGCACGATAATAAGGCTCTTGAACACAATCGTCCATGTCGAATCTCGGAGTCGGTTGGTCAAAGCCCGAAAGATCTCTGCGACGCCTGCCTCACCAGCGTGAGTGGCGACGAGGATGTGCTCGACATATTTGGATTTGGGTGCTGCGAGCTGGTTGAAGGGTCCCGGTTAGCCAGCGAGATTTTAATTCATATAGGGAGGCTGGCGGACCTTGATCTTCGTGCCGCCTTTCACCGACTTCTCGAAGGAGCTCGCCATGGGATTTCCGGCGCGCGCGGCCTGTTGGGGAATGTCGTCGTCGCGGGATTATTTGGGCGTCGTATGCAGTGCTGCCGGTGAACGTCTTGTTGGGGTGCGGCTATCGCAGCATGGCGGATGACAATGCTGAAGAAGAATAATAGCTGGGATACAAATGGGACTATTCGGACACGAGAGTCCACGGCAGACAAACGGGCCGTGAAAGGGATCTCTTGAATGAAGGTTAACGCTTTGAGTGCACGTTGGCCCTAGTGGATGACGCTGCTCTTGGCCGCCGTCGATTTGCGGCAGGGAGGGTCGCCGCCCGCCAAAACTAAACATTTCACGTCGTTAACCCCTCTCTGCGTAGACTGCGTGCCACTTAGCCATGCCCGACTCTCCCACCCCTGAGGAGCGCGAAAAGGCTGATGCCGAACTCAAGGCCAAAGAAGCTGCCGAGCAGGCAGCACTGCCGTACAGGTGGACGCAGACGATCAAGGATGTCGATGTAACTATCCCTATCGACTTGAAGTACAAAGGGCGCGACCTCGATGTCAAGCTTTCCAAAACTGGACTGCGTGTCGCTATAAAAGGCCAGGATCCGATCATAGATGTACGAATCCCCCAGTACAGGCAGCAAACTCATTTCTAAGTCCACGTTAGGGCACTCTCCCCCATCCCATCCATGTAGATGAATCCACCTGGACCCTCGAAACGATCCCCTCGGGCAAGGAAATCAGCGTCCACCTCGACAAAGTCAACCAAATGGAGTGGTGGGCCCACGTGATTACCTCGGCCCCGAAGATCGATACCTCCAAGATCCAGCCCGAGAACAGCAAGTTGGGCGATTTGGATGGCGAGACTAGGACCATGGTTGAGAAGATGATGTTTGATCAGCGACAGAAGGAGATGGGAAAGCCTACGAGCGACGAACAGAAGAAGTTGGATTTGCTGGAGCAGTTCAAGAAGCAGCACCCGGAGATGGACTTCTCCAACGTGAAAATGGGTTGAGGAAAAGGTGTAGACGCAGCGAGCGGTAATGAGACAATGACATATGACATACGGGTAATGAAGTCAAAAGCAACAAATCACAGCTAGCCATGCTGGGGTAATGGGTCACTACATCCCGTCCATTTGCCCACATATATCTATTCAAGTCTTCTCTGTCCACTCATTTCTCTCTCTAACCTCGTTGAGTAATAGCTCCCCTTGACCTCATTGTTCCTTAAAGCACTTAAGAGTTTGAAGGTTTAAAAGTTCTTCCCTGCTTAAAATCGTTTCTAAGTATTCTTTCGCGTCATTTTACTACCTGATACCACCGCAACGCTCTCGAAAAGACGACGGTAGCGATAAACACTATCTTTGACAATGTTCTCTCCTGTATCGTGGAGTTATTGGCAGATCGCCACAATCTGCCGCCGAAACTCACCCTTTGTAGACACTCTTCCCAGTGGTCATGCTGGCATGAAATAGCCCCTCCTTGGCCCTCTATCTACAAAGCAGCTCTCACAGCGACCAAATCTGTCATTTGGTTTGATTTACACTACAACATAACAGGTTCAGCCTGCTCAGAGACCCTATAAGCCCCCAGAAGTAAGCGTTGTGTCAAAGTCAGCAGTTGCCAGGTTGATCACACTTACTTTACGGAAGGCATCACGATGCCGTCGTTCTTGGCAGCCTACCTCGAGACTTTGGTGGAGGCAAATTCAGGGAGGGCTTAGGCAACATTTATTTGCTTTTGCTGATGTGAGTAAGCAGCTCCTTCTTGTCAGGTGGCTTGAGGCAAGACTGGATGGTGGGCCGGGCCCTTGCAGCACCCTCCGAGGAACGATGTCGTGAGACCTGCGAACTGCCGCTCGACACCCAATCTGCTGCACTGCCCTTCCTGTGGCTGCTTGTGGCGCGTCATGAGAACCGGCGACTTGAGAAAGGTCTGTTATTTCCGTCCATTAGAGGAGCAGGGTTGATTGGCCTCTGATGTTCCTATGCGCGGGTATCAGTCCGATCAAGCAGCCGATTCAACTTGGAAACGTTTCGTGGCGATCGAGCCAACAAACAAATCGACAAAACTGTCCCAGATTGTCTCTCTCGATAGCACCGCAAAGACCCTCACTCAACACTTCAGTTGCGTCATCTTCTGGTGAAACATCTCATGACGCAAGCTCTGGGCTATGCACCAATGCAACTGGCGATGCGAAGTTCGAGAATACACGTCCACCATTGCGCGGATAGGTATCGGCTCGTTCAAATTGCAAATGCAGGGGCTGATTTGGGCTGCAGGTCGATCGAGGTGATCATGCTTGGGTAAAAAGGTGCAAAAACGGCCCCCAATTGCGACGGTCACCCGCCATTTTCTATCAGTGCCTAGTTGCCTCGTAGTGGCAACAGCACTCTCAGCTTGGATGACCACCCTCCCTGACCCAGCGACATCATCACGAGGTCGACTATTAAGGGAAACCACAGACCTTTTGTGGCCTCTGGCGAAAACCAGGCCGCAGATAGGGAAATGCGGTGAGAACTATCGTTGTCGGAAGACCCCGCAGCCAATAGCAGCACACCATTTCGACGCCCAGCCACACTACCAAGCCACACTGGTGGCGCAGGTTGGGGAGATGGAACTCCACCATGTGTCGGGAGGCGCCCATGCACGCGGGAGGCTCAGCAGCGACTAAAGGAACAGGAGAACAATGTGTCTCTTTGAGGCTTTGAAACATTCTATCTGGCCGGTATAAAGTATTTCACGGGATCCCGTTTGCCCACTCTTCTCTTCTTGCATCCAGAACTCTCCAAACCTCTACCAAAGAACCAAATCATTATTTGTCGATCTAGCACCATTAAACATCATTCGACCTCGACTATTTTCACGAGCACCCCGCATCCTACCAATCAGAGCAAAGTAGCCAAACCAACCACAATGGCCTACGCATACTACCTCTCCAACCACCGCGAGCGTGAACGCTCTTACGACGACGAAGACCCATACTACTCTCGTCCGCTTGTTCGCCGCAACTCCAAGCGCCAGCGCGTCAGTATCTACGACGACGATGACGAGTACGATGACTACCCATACCCGTCTTCCACCAAACCAGCCAAACCCTCTCGCTCCTTGACAATCCGCCAACCAACCCAACTCGAGAAATACAACGTCTGGTCCGAACCCGTATCGCACTCGCGCTCACACTCACGTCATGACCACCACCACGAGTCAGACGACCACAGCCAGTACAAGTATACGCGAAAGACTTATGTAACCCGGCCATCCGAGACTCTGAGCGATGATGAGTCTCGCTTCCAACTCAAAGCCAAGATGACGATTCGCCGGCCGACGAGCTCTCATTCTTCGAAGGAGCTCGCGATGGCTTGGTCTGGGGATATGTTCAAGCGGAAGGAGAAGTGGGTTGATGAGGATTGGGAGAGAAAGGAGAGGGAGCGCAGGGATAGCTTTTGGGATGATGAGCCCAGGTTGAAGGAGAGGACTATTAGGTATAGGAAGGTTAAGAGGACGAGGACTGATGAGTGGAAGCCTTTGAATGGGTTTAGGCACTTTTGAGTGGGTGGAGAAGGGATTTAGAATGTAACACTATGGGTGCATGGATATGGTGCGGAATGGTAGACTGGTAGGATTTGGTTTAGTTTGCTGTCGATCGATTAAGGCGTTTGGGATGTTGTTTTTGTCTGTTCTTATCGTATGCATTGTCCTTTAGCTTTTTATATGGGGAAGGGAGATAACAGATACCCGAGATCGACAGTAACGAATTATAGAAATTGTTATAGCGCACTTTTTGAATAATTCTTTCTATTTGCGAAATGTTGAACGAGTCCAATTTGCGAGCATCCTGAGGGAGAGTGGGATTTTCAAGCTGCTAGCAGAAGAAGACCTAACATTCAATCAAGATAGTAAATAGAGGAAAGGTGCCAAAAGAAAAGGCCCAGAAATGAGTGCAAAAAAAGACCAAAAAGGAAAGGAACTCTCTCGACCCGGAATCGAACCAGGGACCTTTCGGTTACAATTACCCATTACAGCCGAACGTGATCAACCAACTACACCATCGAGAGTTTGCTTTGTTGAAGAAAATCAGTTAATATTCTGTATATATAGCCAGAGAATTATGCTGTTTCCATATAAAGTCAAGTCCGACTTCAACCCCCACCGTTTCCGCGCTAGTTCTAACTAAATTTGCTCTGCTACTAATCCCAATCAAGGAGGTCATCGTCATCGTCAGCTGAAAAGAAGGGTGCAGTCGTTCCAGCACACCCGCTCACCCCGCGGCGCCGCGCTTTCACGAACTCGTCGCGGAGTCACAGGCAGCACTTCCCCTGTCCCCAACACTTCCTCAGATCTCGCCCACCTCCACTGGACTTCTTCTTGTCGATGGACTATGTACCTGACAAGCCACCATGGGTGTCACCGGCCTCTGGACCGTCCTCCAACCCTGTGCTCGCCCCATCAAGATCGAAACGTTGAACAAAAAGCGGCTCGCCGTCGACGCATCCATCTGGATCTACCAATTCCTCAAAGCCGTGCGCGATAAAGAAGGCAATGCACTACGGAACAGCCATATCGTGGGTTTCTTCCGCCGGATATGCAAGCTACTGTTCTTTGGCATCAAGCCCGTCTTCGTCTTCGATGGTGGCGCCCCGGCGCTCAAGAGACAGACTATTACGAACCGCAAGTCGCGGCGCGAAGGCAGGAGGGAAGATGCCGTGCGCACCGCTGGAAAGCTCTTAGCACTGCAGATGCAGCGCGCGGCGGAGGAGGAAGAGAAGAAGAGGAAGGAAGCTGCGAGACGGCCCACCCGCGATGAGCCTGATGAGGAGATCCCCGAGGATGTGGTGTATGCGGAGGAGATATTACAGACGCAGAAAGAGCGGCAGCAGAACCGCAAGTTCAAGAAGAATGACCAATACCATCTTCCGGATCTCGGTGTCCCGCTTGCGGAAATGGGCGGGCAGAATGATCCCAGGATCATGTCGTTGGAAGAGCTGGAGGAATATGCAAGACACTTTGATAGAGGCGAAGATATCAATGTCTACGATTTCTCGAAAATTGACTTCGATAGCGCATTCTTCGTGAGCCTGCCGGCCTCGGATCGATACAATATCTTGAACGCGGCAAGGTTGAGGAGTCGCCTGAGGATGGGATATTCGAAGGATCAGCTAGACACTATGTTTCCAGATCGAATGGCGTTCTCTAAGTTTCAGATTGAAAGGGTGCGCGAGCGGAATGAGCTTACACAACGCTTGATGAACCTCAATGGGATGAACGATGACGCTATGTGGGGAATCAATGGCACGAATAGAGTTGCTGGAGAGAAGAGCAGAGAATATGTGCTTGTCAAGAACGATGGCGTGGAAGGTGGTTGGGCACTTGGAGTCGTCACGAACAAGGACGAAGGACAGAGTGTCAACAAACCTATTGATGTCGATCGACTCTCGCGTCCAGATGCCGAGGACGAGGGGTGGGAAGATGATGAGGACGACTTCGAAGATGTTCCTATTGAGGGCCTGAATCGATTACCGAAGCAAAAGCCCAGTTTGACCGCCCAAGATAAGGAGGGTCGCGAGTTCATCTCTAAAGAGTTGGCAAAGAGACGCCAGAAATTGTATGCGTCTAGGAAAGCCGGGTCCGAGCAGAGCAAGCCGAACAGAGCCAAACCTATAAATCAAGACCCAGATTCGCTGTTTCTTGCAGAAGAGGACGGTGATGGAGAGTGGGAGAATGTACCTATCCATGGAGTTGACAACCTGCTCGAAGAACCCAAAGAAGACAAGATTGATGAGGAGGAGGAGCAGCTCCAACAAGCCATTGCATTGTCGCTACAACAAGGGGTGTCTGAGCCTGCGGAAGAACCAGATGAAGAAGAGGAAGAAGACATTCTTCAAGAGGTCTTTCAACAAGAAAGAGTTAAAGAAACCAGCCCCTTTTCTTCTGCCAAAGGATCTGGTCTCGCTATTGCGAGACTAGCAAATCAACGAAGCAGCAAGCTGGTACCTGCAGGACCTTTCAACACAAGTGATAGTGAGGACGATGACATGGATTTGCAAGCAGCGCTAGCACAGTCACGGAAATCTAAACGACCCACTACCATGCCTCGTCCTGTACCTGAATCCCCTGCCGCTCAAACACTACCGAACCCTCATCCCGCCCGAAGGCCAACAAATGCACCGGGTTTCGATGGCCCACTGCCGTTCGAAAAGCTCAACCTCGGTAATTCTATCCTTGGAAAGAAGAAAATAAAGAAGATCGAGCAAAGCACTTCCGGTGGGTTTGAAAGAGACTTGGGTCAAAAGAAGAAGAAGAAGTCTGCAGAACCTCTCCCACCGTGGTTTACGGGGGATCGAGATATACAGAGAGACCTGGACACGATGAGAGAAGAGGAGATGCGGGCTCAAGAACGAGATCGGGAGACTGACGAAGTGCATGCGCAGTTTCAGTTCCAGGAAATCCCGCTCTTGCGCAAGCAGGATCCTCGTGATGTCATTGATTTAGAAGCTTCGACGCAGGAGAAGCCGAAAGAAGTCCTCACTATTGAATCAGATAGTAATGAGGAGGAGATGGAGATGGAAGATGTGCTTGAAGGGGATCCAAAGCTTAGGATGGGTGATCACGTGAGCAAGGTACGGATTGAGCCGCCGCAGCTACTTTCAGAAGGCCAGAGATCTCCTCCGAAGCAAGGAATAATCTTGAATGAAGTAGCGCCTGCTCAAGAGTCGGACGAAGAACCAATTGAGTGGTCTGAGAGCGAGCCAGAGTTGGAAAAGCCGTCTCACGTACAGCCAAACCATACAAAAGAAATCGATAATATTGTATCACGGCCTTTCAAATCAGCATCTCCCGCACCCGAAGATGCTCCAATAGCATCTAAAGCACCGGCTCGTCCCCAACCCTCCAAATCACCTTCCCCTGAATTCGAAGATGTGCCGATACAGGCTGAACGCCCCACTCGTCACCCTCGCCGAGAACCTTCTCCAGCCCCCTTAGAAGGACCAGAAGACCTTACTGCCCCAGTCCCTCCTCTATCAGGCATTGCTGATGACAATGCACCCGACTATCCCGACAATGACTCCGACCAATACTCCGATCCCGAAGACGCTGAACTCTTCGCCTCCCTCGCTGCCGAAGCCACGGAACACGCACGTTTTGCACAAGAACTCAACAATAACCAAGCCGCGCCGATTAGCTTTGACGAAGAATTAAAACAGCTCCGCTTGCAACAAAAGAAAGATCGCCGAGACGCCGACGAAGTCACCCAGACCATGATATCCGAATGCCAACATCTTCTTACCCTCTTCGGCCTCCCCTACATCACCGCACCCATGGAAGCAGAAGCGCAATGTGCCGAGCTCGTCCGTCTCGGCCTCGTCGACGGCATCGTAACAGATGATTCTGACACCTTCCTCTTCGGCGGTACACGCGTATATAAAAACATGTTCAATGCAGCTAAATTCGTGGAATGCTATCTCGCCGCCGACCTGACGTCAGAATTTTCCCTAACTCGCGAGAAACTTATCGCTATTGCACAACTCCTAGGCTCAGACTACACCACCGGGATTCCGGGTATCGGCCCTGTCACCGCGCTAGAAATCCTGTCCGAGTTCACAGATCTGACAGATTTCAAGGAGTGGTGGACTGGCGTGCAGAATAACATCATCTCCAAAGACGCAGACAAATCGAGCCAATTCCGCAGGCGCTTCAGACGCACACAGTCTACGAAACTATTCCTACCGGCGACATTCCCAGACCCGCGCGTCGCGGATGCGTACTTGCATCCAGACGTCGACGATGACCCCCAACCATTTCAGTGGGGTGTCCCCGATCTTAATGCCCTAAGGACTTTTTTGAGTGGGCAGATTGGGTGGAGTTGGGAGCGTACGGATGAGGTGTTGGTGCCGGTTATCAGGGATATGAATAGGAGGGAGAAGGAGGGCACGCAGAGTAATATCACGCGTTATTTTGACGGGGCAGTGGGTGCGGGAGCGTTTGCGCCAAGGGTGAGAAAGGATGCAATGGGCGGGGAAGGGGATGGGAGAAGGAAGGGGAAAGGTGCTGCGGGGAAGAGGTTGGGTGCTGCGTTGACGAGGCTTGCGGAGAGGGAGAGAGGGGTTGGTGTTAGAGGGGATGGGGAGGAGCATGCTGTGGGTGGTGGGGGTGGAGAAGGGGTTGATGAGGCGGCGCCGTCGAATGGTCTTGGGAAACGAAAGAAGCGTAAGGCCGGGAGGAGAGCTATGCCTGTTCCTGGTGCCGCTCCTGGTGATATGGGCTCTGAGGGTGAAGATGAAGATGCAGCTGAGGAGGATGACTTATATAACGAACCGAGAAGAAAGGCTCGGAAGACGAAGAAGCGAAATCCTCACTCATAGACTGATAGTGTATCGCAATCTATCAAGCATTCACTTACCTGCATACACGTCCAGACATAACCGCATCAAGTGACAGCGCATTAACCTTTAGGTACTTGCTTAACAATCTATCAATTCGCAGCTAGAATAGAGCTGAGAGCCATTACAATTGTTTGGACGACGACTACAGGGGGGCTACTGAGAGGCTTGGATGTGGATATTTCAATTAGACATTTGTCTCGGAGAACACGGTGTGTAATTCTCTGTTATGGTCACTTTTACCCTTCTAAATTCTGTCTTGCTCGTCTAGAGTCCTAGATAGCAAAGCCCAGAGTCAGACAGGTATGATCAGACATAGTGCTTCTGCTTTGCACTACAAAGACTAGTAAAACATTAGTAAACAAAACAGGCGTGTATATATGTGGCGAGTCTTGATTGTAATTTGCAGTAAATTGGTAAGCGTGTAGGGAGGGATGAAATAAGGTAATATAAACAATAGGTAAAGACTATTCTGTTGTAGTGGGCTTGGCATCTGTGAGTTGTAGTTAAGTTTCAGACCGTTAGAGCCAGCTGAAGACAGGTCTGGCGAAACGGTCCTTTCGTTGAGTAAGATGATGCAGATACTAAAACGGACCTTGAAAATCCGATAATCGCCTGCTATGCCCTCTAAATCTTGTTAAACCTGTCACCCCGAGCCCATTCCTAGTCCCCGTGTGCTCATGGACGTTGCAAGAATCAGTAACCAACCCATGCCACAAAATGAAAGGTGGTCGTCTTTTCCCTAACCTGATTCCTGTTCCTGTTCCTCCCCATCCTCTTCCTCCTCCTGCTCCTCATCATCAATGATGACCCTCTTCCTCTTCCGACCAGCCGCCTCACGCCTTCCACCTCGTTGTTTCTTCGACTTTGCTGTTCCCGGTTGCTTCCCAATTGCAGACCAGCCTGTCTTCCTTGTGGAGAAACCACTATGAAAACCACCGAGAAGACCGCTATCAAAGCTCGGATTGCTGTTTTCGTCCTCGGAAGCCCTTGTCATGGTGTCTTCCACCTCATCCTCTTCATCTGAGATGGGGATATCGGATTCATTGGGTGTTGTAGAACCGCCCTCCGCAGGCCAGTTCCCCCCCAATTCCGCCTCCGATTCCGGTATTTCATGAGATTCTGGAGCAACATCTGACTCATTGTCATCATTTGGCACGGGGGCCTTGTTAGAAATATGTCGGAATTTCTCTTCGACATTTAAGCCGCCTGGGGCGTGAAGACTGGCGCGGTAATGAAGTCGCCGACTCAAAGATGATATTGCAGATTTTCTGGCCTTTTTCTGCGTTTCTTTAAGGAGTTTGGCTTTAGCGGCTTTAGCAGCTCTTGCCTTACGTGTCTGTTCTTGTCGTTCAGGGGTTGGAAGCCTCTTGCGCGTTGCTGCAATTGCCTCTGGTTTTGACACTACTGTTGCTCGTGAGATGGTCGGTCGTTTCGAATTTATGGTTAATGTTCCTTTAGCTTTTTGCTGGACGGTTACGGCTTTGGCAGACGCAGGAGCCGGCCGTTTCTGGGCCCCCTTTTCCCAAAAGCCTTTGGTGATCTCTCTCGGGTAGTTGTAGTTGAAGAAGAGCTCATCACCAGGGTTAAGATTCTTCCCGGCGAACATCCCAATTCGTGTGACTCCATTGCAGAGTAAGACTTCCGGGAAGCAGTTGATTGTATCGTCGTTGCTGGAGTTGTTGATAAAGCGAAACTTATTGCCTGCCCTTGTGGAATCTATTTCATGTACGCTGTTTAGCGTAAATATATAGTTCGTCTTCAGGTACTGGTAAATGGCGTTCCTCCGCCTTCCTTCCGACTCTGATAGCACCTCTCCTTTGTATTCCCCTAACTGAAATTAGTTGATGTATATAGAGGGAGTTAAGGTGCAAACCTAGGTACTCAAGGTTTTTGACTTTCTCTCCAACATATAGTCCGAACCCATGCACTTCGGACTGGCCCAGGAATGTTTTCCTGGGTACATTTCTCTGGATGGCGACATTGGAGCATTTGTCCTTTCCTATTTCTTGGTTGTATCGATTGTGAGGATCCAGAATTTCATCTGCGCCACAGGAGCCACAGAGGTCTGCATCGCATTCACGATTCAATCTCCGACACTCGCATTTGGATCTAGTCTTATCTTGCCCGCGCCAGCATACAGGGTTTCTGGGGTCTTTCGCGCAACTGCATCCACGGTAACGTCGTTTGCACGATTTGGGGCATGCACAGATCTTCTCACATGGAATACGCTCTCTGAAGCAACGGCAGAGCGCATCTTTGCAGCTGCCATCGTGACTACAAGGATAGAAAGGCCGACGTTCAGTCACCATAAAGGCGTTTGAGAAATCCATCTTGCTTCTATCGTCCTGTAGGTCAAGGTCGACGTGCTTGCAGGGAACGGCGTTAACAGCCCGCTTGTAATTGATGACTTCTTCGACATCAGAATCTGGAGTTTTGTTCGCTTCCTCAACAGATGCCTTGGGATGTCCTTCTGATGGTAGAGTAATCTCATTTGAATCATCTTGCTTGTCTGATTGAGATTGGGAGTAATGACTGTTTACCTCCTCGCTATGGAGACTCGGATGGTAACTGCTTGCCTGAGAAGACTTTTCTGGTTCATCTCTCGTTTCACCTTCATCTTCATCCTCATCTTCATCTGGACAATCGTCAATCTCGCCATGGAATAAACAATTATGTCTGTTCGAACAGTCGGTTAGTTTTAAGATTTTATCCACAAGCAAGACATTGCAACTTACTCCTGGCAGATCCTGCAGGCGTATTTCCTAAAAGAAAAATTTGAATTTTTTCCCGGATCAGTTGCTGTCCTCTCCAAGCGGTTTCGTACAAAATTTTGTACAGGTTCGCTCCGTCGAGCGAGATGCCATATACTGAAGCTGCATTGCTTCAGAAAAGCTGCACAGGCCAGAGCTGACAGTCTGAGCTGAAGGGCTGTCGGCGTTGGGAGTGTGGACACGAAGGCCTCCCACTTCTGCCTATTCCGATCGAACTTCTCATGTGCTTTTCGATCAAGAACGATAGTCTCGAAATCAATACCGCTTCGATCGGGGCCGTCGTTAATGTGCTTGATGTTCTCGGGTTTGGATAAAAGCCAAAACAGGATGTTCTCCCAAGTGAGACCGATCTCTTGAAGGAATGCCTCAGCGTAGCGAGTATGGACTCGAGATTGCTCTGCCTGCAAGATGGCTTCCCGCTGCTCGTCCGTCTTGAGCTCGAACTGCTCGTTGATCTCATCGAAGCATCCTTTTTTCTCCAGATCATCAAGTTGATCCTCGTTGAAGTATGGCCAATAGAGAAGCTTCTTATCATTTGTGGCAAGAAAATTGTCTCTCAAGGTGACAAATTCTTGGAACGGTGGAACCTCCACTGCTGTTGATCTGTACGTAGTTACTGGTATGCTTGCATAGGACCTGATTCCGCTTTGGGTTCGGCCGTTGTGAAAAACCTCTTGGGTAATTTTCATCACGTCCTTTTCTGAACCTTTTGGGGTTGGGTATTGAATCGGAGGCATACCACTAAAAGGCGATGTTGTCTGCAGAAACTCATCGGGAATTGTGGGAATAGAGAAATCAGAGAGCGTTCCAGCATGTTTCCTAGACCGAACCTCACGGGCCAGGCCTCTTCGTTGCCTTCGTAGTAGGTTCTCGTTATCATTAGTTGGGAGTGGTTCAATCGTTCACTTAGAGCAACGTACCTTCACTGCAATGGCATGAAGTTCGTGAAGGTCAGTGAGATGCTTCCTCAAGCAATGATCAACCATTCCTGCAGATTTCTCGACGTCTTCCATGCTAATGCTGAGCATTAAATTCCTTGAAGCTTCGCTAATTGCACCGGCTTCTTCTATCGGAAGTCAGTCGTATAGTACAGACATCTACGAGGGGCCTGTTATTGGTGAAGGAGATGTGCACATACGCAAAGTTGGTCCACCATGACTAGGCCTAGAAGTTGACTCGGTGATGTTTGTGACAACATTGGAGGGTAAAGCAGCCCTATGAGGGCTACTCTCACGACGATGGATAGTTGGTGGAGCTTTTACCGGGGCTTTAGGTTTCTCTTGAGCTGTGGTAGGCTCGGAGCGATTGCGATTGTGCGGAACAGGCCTGTTTATTAACCTGGATGTGCCCAACGGATGTCGACCGACCGGCCTCGATCCCGTTGGTTTTGTAGATTTTGCAATGTGAATGGAAGTAGCAGGCTTCACAATTTGGCTTGGCCTGCTTTTGACGGGTGAAGTCTGGCTAGTAGATATTGTTGCGCCCATACGTTTTGGTGAAGAGCGCATCAGTTCGGAAGCGCGTGTGGTGTCCGTGGTGTTGGCATCCGTGTTCGACCCACCTCTTCGTTCATCTTTCGCAGAAACGCGCATGGGACTTCGCGGTAGATCAGTCGCTGTTGTTTTCTCAGGCACGTTCGGACGCGACGCTAAGGTGGTCTGTGATCCCCCGACTAATATTGTATTAGGCGCAGCTCGCTTGTTGATTGGTGAGCCCTCTTCAGCGAAAAGTAGATTTTGCTTTGGAGATCGATTAGGCAGGGCTGGTGAAGAGGGAGGCTGAGAAAGCTTTCTAATGGGAAGTGTCGTTATTGAAGAGACCTCCTCCACCTTTCTCCCACCCTGCTCTTTCTCTGTTGCAGTTTTCATCACAGAGGTAGCCTGTGCAACTTGGGGGTTTGTAAGTGGAGAATCTGCGTCTTCACTGGCAAGTCGTTCAGGTTGTGCATAGGAGAATCGTCTTGCAGCTTCAATGTTGGTAACGGACGTCTTTCTCGGGGGGGCTCTCTTGAGCTGAGTGCGTTCATTCATCGATGCCGCAGGATTGGATGGTGGAGCCATTGTGACTGATGGGATTGATCCCTTGCCATCTCCGTCTTCGGTGAGGTCGATGATGTCCGCCGATTTGGGGCGGGAAAACGTTCTATCCCGTGGTCGTCGGAGTCTGGGCGCACTGTTTGGCGGATCGTCATCGTCAAACACTGCGATAGCATTGTCCTTCGAATCGCCAGCGCCATGAGCCATCTCTGACTTGTAACAATATAGGGGCCTGCTTCTATAGATACGTGTGACCCTACATGTGTTTGTTTAGAAACAAAAAGTGAAGGTTGAAGAAGCGGGGTTGGTGAGGGAAGACTAGGTTGGAACCGAAGGCTTGGACGTGCCACGGTGGCTACCGCGAACTCACATGACGACGAAGATTCGCACCACAACAGAAGGATAAGAAATTCAAGCGTTCTTGCTGGCCTCATTTCACTACTGGTTTTATTGTTGCAGACATCTGCTCCGCTCGGAGACTCCTCGGGTTTGCACTAGCGAACTATCTACAATACACAAGCGTATCTAGTAGATGAGCACTTAAAAATGGGCTATTCAAACAGAAGGATATTTGGAGCTTGGGTATTCGCAATAAGTAGGTCCCTTGGTAGCTCTAGCAAATTGTGCGCATCTTTCCCGTCAGCGGATCAAACACAGCTCAAGGCCCTCGCCAACTCCATAGACAAGACGTATGGAAGTTTAGGAGACACTTGAAGCGTACGTTTACAGACTATCTCTTAGTTGAGCGAGGGATGGGTCACCTTCATGGTTTGGGACTGCGACTTTCAGAAGCTTCGACAGAGCATCATAGGATATGATTGATGCTGTCATACAAATAAATGAAATCCAAATATCATTCTCGAGCAGTGCTCCGCAGGTAATGCCGGAGAGGTGAAAAGTTCAAACTCGAGTTGGCCAGACAGTTCCAGGATTGTGCGCTTCCAAGGTTCAAAGGTTGACCTGACTGCAGGATGTCACATGACAAGGCGAGGTGATGGCCTGTGCACAGTGTAAACAAACAACCGCGGAGTGCTTCACGACGCCTCCACAGGCGGACCTCTTCCAACGCACCACCAGATATCCACGCCCCGACAATGGCAAGCAGTACGGGTAAAGAAAATATTGCTGATGGGCTTATTGCAAGCTCATCCTTTGCCAAAGCGCCTTCTTTATCTCCCAAGAAATCTTCGAGGAAGACGCGCAGCAAGAGCATTGGCCCCGGTGGTCTTGGAGTTCTCGAAGAGCCCGCCTTGAAGGAGAGCACTGGAAACCGGCGCATGGTATGCGAATTGTCTCGGCTTGCCCAGTCTACGCTAACAGCCATGAGTCTGCTTTCATTCCAGCCGTCAAATCTATTTTAGCCTCGAACGACGAGGATGAGAAGAAGCGCCGAGAAGCACGGCGCAAGTCTTTAGGTATCTCGTGCAAAGTTCGCAGCCCTCTCTCACTGTATCTGACTCCATAATAGCAAAACGACGCGTCTCTTTTGCTCCAGAAGCCACGCTGCATACCTGGGATGTGGTTGAATACCTACGTGATGCGACCACGTCTTCTGCTTCCTCCGAAGCCACCCGGCGAGCATCCAATGTCTCGCAAGCCTCGACGCGCGCATCGCCTACTCCAGACTCCGACCCCGAAGAATCTCCTTCGACCCCCCCGGAACAGGTCGAGGAACCGGAAACACAACTAGGATCTTCTCCAGCAAATCAGCGTGATTTACATCAGAAGAAACACCGGCGCCGAAGTTCTGGTATCCCCCCAATGGACTTCAATAACCCGGACGATGTATTTTCGTCCAGCCCATTAAGCGGCGACAGCAGCTCGCCGGACGGAAGCGATGACCTAAGCAGCCCTTCAGACGTTGACAATGAAACTTCCAAGATTAACAGCCCGTCTGAGTCTCACGATTCCTCGGAGAGTAGCTCTAGACTCGACGCTGCCTTGAGACAAGCTACCGCTCATGCAGGCACCCAGAAGCTTGAGCTTGACGAGACTGGTGATATCTCTATGGAACTTGCGGAAGACGAGATCACGGCGGCTTTCAAACCGTGGGCTAAAAGGACGACGGCTAGTACACCAAAGCCGCCGCAAAACTTGCCTTCGTGTCAAGATCAAGAAAACATCGGTCCTTTCCCGCCTGCTCCACGACCTCAAGTAACATTTGGTGCAGCCGACAGCGATGACGGGGAGGACATGAGTATGGACATTACGCGATCCATAGGAAGAATTGTCCCACAGGCCCACTCTCAAAACCCAGAGAAGGATGATATGCCGATAGATCTCACGCAGCCTATTGGAAGCATTCAACAATCTATCGCGAAAGAGCCAGAAACCCTACGAAAAAGCCTCAAGCGCCGTCGATCATCACTGCTTAACACATCTCAAGGGAGTCCCGCAAAACGACCCGCGAGCCGCAGGACGAGTTTGCGACAGAAGAAGCAATTCAGTGAGATCTTATCACCAGATGATCAGACGATGGATCTCACGGTCGCCATCGGAGGCATCAAGAGCAATTCTCCACTAGAGGACCGCGCTCGGCGAAACAGTGTCGACACATCCTTTGGCGATGAGACAATGGATTTTACTGTTGCCATCGGCAGCATCAAACAATCTGCCCCAGCCGTAAATATGACTTCGAACAGTGACAATGATTCTGATATAGATGAGGATTTGTCTATGGAATTCACTAATGTTATCGGCGGCATCAGGTCCTTCAGTAAGCAGACGACAGCTCCTGAGAAGCCCACCATGGGAATAGAGAGTACCCCAGTGAAAGTGAGAACTGCTACCCCTCAAAAATCACCGAGGAAATCACCAGGACACCCACGACCGGCTGAGATCAAGGACTTTCGAACGACGCCATCACCCCGGAAAATTGCACAAGCAACTCCCCGAAAATCGCCTGGACGACCGCGGAAGAGCCCAGCTTCAGGGATGCCTCAAATTGCTCTACCCGCACAGCAGATTGAGCAGTTCGAGCCGTCACCATTTGTACGGAGTGCCCTTCAGAGTGCTCCAAAGCCCGGGGAAGCAGTTTCGACGCCAACGAATGGACCCCAGCACAACGAACCGCGTCATGTACCTGATGATCCTATTGCTGCTCCCATTTTGAATCGACGTCGTTCTTCTCTATCATTAGTGCAGTTCAGTCCGCTGGCAGCAAGCCGAGAGGAGCCGACTCTAAAGAGCACGGCTTTGCTCTCAAACAATATCAAGCTTCTCTCTACGCCTAGGAAGCAGACGTTAGTGTCTCCCATGAAGCGCGGATTCACGCCAAAGAAAGCGCAAACCCCTCAGAAAGCCCTAACACCCATGCGAAAGACCCCAACTCCAAAGAAAGCTACACCAAGGAAAAGCCTAAGCCCAAAAAAGCGAGTGTTATTCGGCGAGGAGCCGGCAACCAATGAACCGGACATTGATGAGGTGGTGGATGAGCCTGGAGAGGAAGTGGAGCGAATTTCCCTCCAGGAATTCCTTGACATGACAAAGATCCGATTTATGGACTTGAGCACAACGAAGCGCCGTCACACTGCTGCCCCTCAAGCTTTCCACGACATGGAAGTCCACGAGAAGGAAGACTCTCTTGATCGATACGTTGTTGCGGCTGCCTGTACCCTTCCCGAGTTTGAACTCTACCAGCACGCCTGCCATGAAATGAAGAAGTATATATCCGATGGACGCCATTTCGTTCGAACAATGGAAGGTAATGTCATGGAGGAGAACCCATTGCTATTCAGCGAGTACCTCACCGCCCCTCCCGACCAACGAGGTATTATGGATACTCAATTTAAGAACCTGAAGACCAGCGCTCGGCTTGAAGCTCGAGGCGAATGGTATGGATGGAGGAGCACACTGCTTCGGGATCTGAAAGCCGGCCTTCTCGTAACGATGGAGGGATTCAACCGTGATGAGTCTGTTCTTGTGGAACAGGAGAAGCTACTCGATGCTGTACTTCCTACACTAGTCCAGCAGCATGGACAACTAGACATTGAGTGCAAGCAGTTGCAACAGCGGCATGATGAACTCAATAGCTGTGACCGGGAAGAGTTAGAGCAGACACGAGAGCAGCTGGTTGCTACGGATGCGGAGCTTGAAGAGAAACGGCAGCTGGTAGCCCGACTTCAAGATGAGCTAGCCGAGAAGGAAGCACGCATTAACGCAGTGAAGGAGCGCAAGATTGAATGCATTCAAGAGATTAAGGCAGCTGAGCGTGTGCGAGAGGAGTGCCGTGGGTGGTCTACGAGCGAAGTCAATGACCTAAAAGGTATGCTTGACATAGCCCATAATCCATTATATTTTCTAATTTCGGTTAGGAAAAGTCATTGCTCTGGAACAAGCACATGGCTGGAGTATCACTTCTGCATCATCGACTACCATCACAATGACCTATATGAACGATTTAGAGCTCTACTTCCAGCCATCCGCTTTTGCCACCGGCAAGAACACACTCAATGCGTCCATCTCCCTCACCTACATTGGAGACTCTGCTACGCCACACCCTCGTCCCCTGACAACGAGCAAGCGCTTCTTCCTGCAGCTAGTTAGAGCTCACCTCCATTGTATATCGCAGGCGCAGACACGTATCGGAGAGCTTCTCGCTCTCGTCAAGAATGGCTGGACAACTGCATTGGCAGTGGCCGAGGGAGTCCGCTGGCTCGAACACAGCTGCATCACTGAAGAGTTCATCATGTCTGACGAACGTATGGCTATTTCCGCAAACATGCTTCTCCCCGCCTTACAGACCAAGGTCAAAGTCTCTTTCGACATTGCCGTAAGCTTAAGCATTCAGGGTGTTGAGACGGACGTCGGAACCAAGGCTGAGGTTGTATACGGCGAAAAGTATAGCGAGGATAAGATGGGCGCGTTTTTGAGGGATTTCTGTGGGACCGAAATCAAAGAAGAGAAGGACATGATGATTTGGGCGGATGCGGTGCTGGATTTGGGCGGCAGATTGAGAGCGACAGGGAGAAAGGGAGAGAGGGCGTAAGTGTGAGGACTTCTCCTCTCCTTGCGACTGTGTGGATTTGTTATGATGTTGATGAAATTGTTTACTGTCACGAAAGAATGACTTGGGATGATACGAGGTTAGAGTCTTGGAGTCTGCGGTCTCTGGTATTGTTTTTTTGCATTCTGAATCACATACCCTCTCTTGTTGCTATCCTGTGCGTCCATGGTTTCGAACATGTGAAGCATGCTCTTCTAGTTAGTGAAGCAAAGCTCCACATGACACCACACCGCTCTCTGCTCTGCATGGGGGTATTTGAATTTCCGACCCTGTGGCACAGACGGGACTGGGGTCCAGACAGACGTCTCCCCCCTGCGGACAAGGAAAGACGCAACTTCCCGCGACAACGGCACATCCCGCTGTATTGGGAGTCTCAAGTCGTCTTCCCCGCATCAAGAGGTTGGATAGAGTTTTCGCACCCCGAAAACGGTCTGTGATACGTAGGCGTGGTGTGGTGCATGTTGCATGAAAAGCGAGCACTCGCAGAACGGTACAGCCCGCATTGCGTGTCCAGAGTTTCATGCAGCGTCCCGTCTTCCCCGCGATTCTAAACATATTGGGGAGTGGGGTGGCGGACACTGAATAGCTCGGCATTCCTGCTTGCATCGTCCTGCCTTTTCCAGTATGCTCTGTCGTTCACCTGCATGCTCAGCTAGCCCAAAGGCCAGCCTTCAAAAACAACGTCTCCATTAAGTCAGCCCATATGCCTCAGCTTCGGCCTCTCAACAATGTATGTCTAAGGGGCTAACAAAGCCCGGAGGTCGCCGGACAGGATTTGCTTTTTCGGCCTGTGAATCGGCAGGCCGAATGCAGATCGCCAAAACCTCGCTTGCTTGCCTGATTTTGCGGGTTTCATGAGTCGGTGCGCGAGCTGGAAATGTGCAACACTCGGGGTCCCCGTTGTTTAGACGCCAAAGACGCTGGAGAGGTTGGTGGCGGGCGAGTTGGTGCGGAATGGTCTGGCCGGCTGCCACTTATGACAACGGCAACGGGAGAGCTTCGGAATGAGGGTTTTAAGTGTGGATCTGGTGGTATTCAGCTAGGGTGGCAGATGTCGAGGTCAACCGTGCTCGAGTGCTCGCTTTGGTGATGATGTGGTGATGCAAACAGAGCACAGGCAAAACGCGGTTGTGGGGAGAGGAGAGGGCACGTCGTGTACAAACCCCGCAAGAAGGATTCTGTGTGTGCGTCATGTTGAAACGTTTGACAATGCATGCAAAGATTCAAAATATGATTGTAATGAAAGGCGACGTGCTATTGACGTGACGAAACAAGGTTCTACGCGCGCGGATGAATGTGCGAGGAAGTGGGACGGGATGAGTAAGATGTGATTGTGTGATGTACGATCAACAGACCTGTATGTGGGTTAGTCGGGCTTGATATTATAGGAAATGCGTTTTATGATAACAGGTTTGATATACAGAGGAAGACGAGGTCATGCGCAGTTTTCAGAGACAATTTGTAATTGTTTGACAAGGGTAACGCAAATCAGAACACGGGTATAACGATGGAAATTAAGGATAATAAAAGCAACGGAGATAGAACACGTGGAATTTTAGACTTGAAGGTAATTTCTGCTATCGCGGTAAACGCACCAAGATGCTGCAATTGATGCTGAAGTCGGGACATTGTGCCTCGGTAGTATTAGGCGACGGGAACAAGGGACAAGGAAGAGGCTTTTGAAGAAAATTTTGCTTCATGTGCGATGTCGGCTCGCCAGGTTCACGATGCTTGGCTGGTGGAGGGAAGTTGGTGATGATATTCAGGAGGCGAGCGATTGGCGAGCAAATTCTGCTAGTCCCCGGCAGTGGCGCGTACGTCGGTGAAGCCTGATGAGGAGTCATTTGGTCTATCAAACGCATCAGGCGTCAAGAAATGCGCTCGCAAATGAGAAATTTCCAAGGTTCGTCCCTTGGCCCCGTCGTCGTCCAGGTCCCGTGACGAGCATCGTGAAGCTCGAAGCGAGCCAACCGCCTTCTGCCGTCTGACCCGATAACCAGGTTCTTGTGTAACGGTCACAGGTTGCCGAGGCAAGATCTCAAACACAACCTTACACCAATGCCATTGACTCACCGCTGCTAACGACGAAGAGAGACTTAGACGTCCCTGCACCGGCCTCAGGAGAGCATCCCAATACCTCGTGGTCTATCTTGTCCAAAGCCTCGCTAAAGGCTGAAAACTAGGGCGCTAGGCAGGCACATGGTTGCGGGTCCGCATCTCCAAATCGTTAGGTATGCGCGGGTTTGCGCGGGCAGTATCGTGAGCTCAGCATTCGTGAGCAAGGCCCCCACCCTTTGAGGTGGCTTGGAAATCCCCAAACGATTGCCAGGGACGACGAGTGAGCAGTCATGAGGGGATCTGCCGGCAGGGATGGATGCCAACATGGATGCTCGTGCAGATGGCATGTGCATGTGACTGATGTGCTTGCTGCACTGCATCGAAGGCTTCGTGCAGATTTCCAGACGTCCGCCCAGCATCATCCCAGAGAAACAACCAATCACTACTATTTGTTGTAGGGAGGTCGGAAAACACGTCGGCAATTACGGAGATTCAAGCAATATTTCTGGAGAGAGGCTCTAAATATTCTGGTTCGTATCAGGATTGGTCATAGGATCAATTGTACGAGAATGGGTCGGTTACACGACTAACCGTAGTGTTCAGCAAACGTGGTCTGGCCGCAGCAGCAAGATTCAGGTTCCTTGGACGGCACCAAAATTGCAAAGTCAGAGGCTGACAGCTGCCCTTGAATTTCAGGCCATTGTTTCTTTTCCCTACAGGGTTGCGTTAGTATCTCAAAATTGGTGATCAACAGGACATGTTGTTAGACAGCTCGGGGAACCTGATCCGAGTTTAGGTGCGCCAGCGCCCAAACTCCTTCTGCAAGGTGCCTGCGCTCGACCATGCACACCGATGAGATAAACGACAAATCCTGCTGGCTTTGGACAAAATGAGGGGCAAGAAGTTACCAAGAACAAACGCCCTATGCGCCTCAAAAGGGGGGTATAGGGACCGCATTTATCAACACGATAAACGGCTGACTGTGCCTGCAGCAGCGGGGACCTTAATCGGGTAACTCAAGGCAGTAACAGACACAATCTCAGGTCACACAAGCAACGCGGCCTTTGCGTACCACAACAGATCATGTTGGATGGCTGACAAGTTGAGTTGACTCCACTCCAGGGTGCCAGGGAAGGCCGATTCAGGAAAATGCGCAGGAATCCAGCGGCTGGTGAGGCAACTATGAGGCATCCACGCCCCCTCGGTACCAACACTTGCTTGTTGGCGACGGCGATGCTGTGAGCAAATTGAACCCGGGAGCTCGGAAACAACCGAATGCCTCTATCTAATGGCTGCGGCGGCTTGAAATGCAGATGGAAGAGGCAAAGAAATTATGCCCCCAATCAGAAATTAATGGTGATGCTTCTGAACACACAGCAAGTCCAGGATCCCAATGACATGGGTATAACAGACCGATTAAGTTATCCATCAATCGAGGGCTGTTATCTTAGCGGCTGACGGTACCACGGGCGACGCACCAGCGGAGTGGTTTTGTGGGGTGCCTAAACCGTCTCAACTCCGTGTCGTCGAAGCAAGAAAGCCTGAGTCACGAGGCCGCAACTTTCGGCGGGTCAGGGACACGGATAGGAACGGGTAACAATCGGTGAGAGATTGGTGTTGCAACACGTCACTATAGGACACCGCCGTTCAGGAACGCGGGATGTTGGTGCTGCCTGTTGCACGGAGGAGAGGAAGGTGATGTGAGATTGTCGGATGGTGTGGGATGGAAGTTGGAGAATTGGCATGAGATGATCAAAAAATAGCGCTGCTCCGTTTTTGATCACACCACGCCAAACAGCTGTAACGTCGTACAGGAAACAGGGAATATCATTTTCATTGAGCGAAGTCGTATCCGCTTGACTCTCAAACTCTAGCATAACGTCTGGAAGTCCAAAGGCTTCCTGGAAATGCTCCGGGATAGGCGCGGGCGTATTGTAACGTCGTACAGTGCAGTCATAGCAAGTTTCGGATAGAGCAATACTGCAAGTGTGATAAAGTATTCATTGATCAAAATTAGCGTCTGATAGACATATGGGTATTCCGATATTTCCATGCCCTTCCTTGCAGATGATAAACTCCCAAAATAGCCCATGTCTAATGTACAATCATGTTCATGATTTGGCGCCAGCTGATGCATTAACCGATCGAAAAGCAAGTAGAGAAATCGCTCAGTATTACAACGACTGGAGAAAATCCATAGCAGCAACCAAAAAAAAAGAAGCTTCGCTGATTCCATCCACCCGAACCAGCGTGTGTTTGCGGAAGAAGCAAAGTGAGCGATGTTGAGTCAGAAGGCCTGAGGCGGCAGTAGCGGAAGGCCAAGCGGTAGGTGATTGGAGGTTCCAAGAGCAGCTTACGCCTTCCTCAGAGACGGGTGATGCGCAGCATGCAGTGAACAGGGCTGCGGCAGCCTGCAGTATGAGGAAGACAAATTCGATGAGGTCGTCATCCGAAGGCTTGGTTAGACTGCTTTTATCCGGTAAAAAGGTGCAAGAGCGTGGCGTTGTGGACGTGTGACAACAGCTGACCGGGGTGTGCTGCAGGAGGTGTATCCAATCCCATGGCCCAGATCCGATCGTGCTGAATGATACAGATGCCGTGAAGAACAGTATGCAGTCCTAGCAGAGCCATGTGGGATGCGGTTGGGGAAGGTAAAAGTTGGGGATGAAGGAGCCATTGTGGATGGTGCAGAGGAAGATACTGGGGTAGTTGCTGAGGGGTAGATGTCGATGGCATGGGGATGCGCCGAAGCCAAATGCAATTCGAAAAAACAAGCTTGGAGGGTTGGTGAGGATAGTCGAAGGTGTTCGAATCTATTTCGAAGGCACCGGCGGCAAAGGACGTGTTGGCGGCGGGCCAGGGCACGGAGGAAGGTTCTGTGTCGACATGATCTCGTTGCAGATGACAGCCATTGGAGATGTGTGGAGGTTGGAGCTCGAGGGATGAATTGCGTTTGTTACAATTGGGTCGGGCGACGAGAAAGTCGGTAGAGGCGTATTGATTGTTATGGACGGAGAATCCAAGTAAGGCAGGCAATATTAGAAATGCTCGGGAAGATATATGCTTCAGGCGAGGTAGGTGTGTAAGAGTAGGCTGTCCAGATGTGGGATGAAACAAAAACTATGAGGGGCGGAGGGGGCAAGCAGTATTTATGTTTGTGCTGTGATGGCAAGAATGGCCAAAATGTCGGTCAGCCTACATTTGACGATGGTGTAATAAGCTGGGCACCATGGCTTGGTCAAAGCGGTGAGCTGAGGCGTTGGGCTGCCTAGGAAAAGGAGTGGTGAGCTTGGACGGTCATGATCAAAGTGGGCCACCCTGAACCGTGCATAAGTCAGAAACATCGCCCATCCCGGTAATATCGGGGCACGATTTGAAAGAAACACGGAGGCAGCCTCTCTCTGCGCTCGTTTCATCACCCTCGTGACTGTGTGAAGATTGTGTTGATCCAATCCCGTCTCATTCTTGTGCATCTCTTACCGGCTGGCCCTAGTACAACCTAGCAGGCGCAGCAACAGCAAGCGCCGAAAATGCTTCGGATGCTGGCCTCATTCTGACATCACCAGGCTTCCTCGTCCGATATCGTCTTTCCTAATTATTATTAGAGGTAGTTTGTGAGGGATTAGTGTGAATATCTTGGAGCCATGAACTAAAACCTAGTGGCTCTCCTTTCTCTCAGACGAGCTCAATGGTGCCGCAAGGCTGGCCCAAACGCCTCCTTGAGTGTTCCATCCGACTGGTTGCTTGCCAGGTGCTCAGGAACTGACAGGGATCCAGCACTTGTGTGTCAGGACTGAATCTGACACAGCGACAGCCACGAGCACGCCTCAGAAAGGTCGTGACGAATTTTGCTGTGCAATTTGGAAATTTTCTGGCCTTGCTTGCTCTAGTATGGCTTGACGATCGAGTGCCTTCCGGCATTTTCTCCCGTCCTTCTCCCAAGCTTCCATTTCATCTCCCGCTGTGGAAATTGTCTGCGAGCAGCGGCCCCTTCAATTTGATTTTTTGGCACTTCAACGCTCTCTTGGAGCTTGTGCTTGCTGTTCCATGGGTCAGCTATCTCCAGCGAGATGTTACCACCAGAACTGTCGTGGGGGACAGACCAGGCGCAAACAAGGGTGCCAGGTTTGCCCTGGCTACTTCAGGCTGAGGGAGACGCAAGGAAATGCAGGCTTCGTGATTATTTTTGTCCCCTTTTAAATCCGATTTCCTACTTTGTACAACCCGTGTGTTCCCAAGCTGCATTGACCGGGCTGAAGCCTCGGCAACCCCTGTTAGACATGCCGGATTGGGAGCTAAATGGGCCCTGTTTTTTCAGGCTCCTCCGCCAGCCTTGACTGGTCGAGATTGCAGGCAAGCAAGAAAGTTGAAGGCCATTAAATTGTAAACCTCCTCAGCATGACGACTCCCTCGACAGATTCGGCTATGGCATCCGTGGAAAGCCACCGTTGCGGGAGTCTCGGAAGCACATCGTTGAGACCGGTTTTGCGAGACGTCAACCTCTATCGGCTGATGGATCCAAAGAGACCCGGAGACAAGACCGAGCCCAGCCATGGCAAAGGAGGGCTCAGCTGGGAAACGCGCGTGTCGCTGCTCAGACGCATCACTACCACGTGGAAGGCCGGGGTTACAGGGACCTCAGTCGGGACGCTCACAGACCGTCACAAACACGAGCAGACCCGCCGCAAGGTTTGCTTTTTTCATCGATCTTGTCTCTCCCTGCCCCTGCGCAAATCCCAGAAGTGATGAAATTTCTTGAGGCTCTTTGCCCCGCCCATTGCTGTTTGTTTTTGAGAAGAAGCAACCTGTCCACGGCGTCAGAACGAGAGTGCTGTGGAATACGAGTTAATGCATGCGTGTGTCCGCATCGGATCTCCAGGGGCCGCGTGAAAGATTGCGTCAAAGCTTAATTCACAGGAGGGCCTCACCACCTCCTTGTCATCCTCCACTCCAAGACTCGCGTCTAGAATTTCAACAATACTGCTCAATTTCCCATGATTCGAGTGTGTGCCAGAGACATGGAGTGCTTACTCTTCTCACGAACATATCAATTTCTGCGACGCGAGTTCGCTCACCATCTCTGATGACTTTTTAAACAATTGTACAGTCGATTCTCAGGAGTCCGGAAAGTGCGGAGACCGTGAGACTCTCCGCTGCGTGTCGCCTCAACCTTCACTTTCTGTCATCAGGCCACCAGATCACTCCCAATACCCACATAGCCCATAACTGGACATCGTGTGCCTGCCATGCTTAGAACTAGAAGAAGTCGTACGTCCACAGATTCAGCTCCTCAGCATATTAGCATATACCACAAAATATAAACCAGATCAAAATTTCTAGCCCGAAATGGATGTCATGTTCCATACGTGCCAAGCGTATACTTCAGTGAGCAGTCATTGGTTATATACAGTGCACCTTCATATGTATATAGTGTACTCTGGAGATGCTGGTAGCACTCGTTAGATTACATGAAACAGCTCCCTCCTTCACACCAATTCAATCCAAGACAGGTACCCATATGCAGGTACGCGCGCTTTGGATCGGCCGCCACACGGAAAGATGATTGAGAATGCCACCAGCCCTGAATGTGGCTTACATCTGCCCTGGGGAGCCAAGCGACGTTGACCACTTGACGCACGCCACAATAAAGTCAACCCGGGATCAGGACCCAGCCTCGTCGTAGCTGTTAGACTTTCAGTGGCTTCGGCTCGCGGTACGGAGCGCGCGAAGCGTGGAATCGAAAAATGGTTCGAGACACCGCCGCAGAGCTTCCGAGAAGTTGCACTGAAAACGCCGCCGCGCTGAACACGACAGCAATGGCGCAGGTGTGTAGGTTCGGACAACGCAAGTCTGCGGCAGACTTATCCGAAACATCGCGCAGACGCTTGAGGGATACGGAATACGGTAGCTTCAATTGACATTGCAATGGTGTAGGGGGTTCAGAGTCTATTCTGCATTACCATCCTCTTGACAATCTTCTAAGTTGAAGCAACTGGATTGATGGATCAAGACATCCCCGTCGACACCCCGTATTTCACGTTGTAGGACAGGTAAAGCGTTAATTTCGGCGATCGACTCATCCAGTCGTTCTTACCTGAGCTAATGTTAATGATAGTTCGAGTTATGCAAACAATGCTATCCTGTTCTTTCAAACATCTGAGAGCCCGACTCCAGGGCTGGTCGGCGACGAACATCGCGCTTCATACGGTCGTCGCTAATGCCTTCACACCAATTCAACAGAAGCGAACCATCGATCATGCAATTCTGTCATTCTTGGAGTGAGCTGCATGAACTAACACCCAAGTCGGGAACCCCGCAGATCACCGATGAATTGGCTTCAATTACCAACAGTGCGTCCACGTGGATGATGAACAGAGCGGAGCCACCAACATCCATTTGGAAAACCCTGGCTTGTGGCTATTTTTAATCTCTCAAGACCTCGTATTAAGCCTCGCATGGCGTCCTTCTTACCTATTCTAACCTTGAAGGAAAGCGATGCTACCACAAGATAGATTAAGGGTTCGTGGGGGCGTGCTCATCCGTTATCATCGTCATCATCGACCTGCCCTGCAGCAGCTTGGGTTGAGACCCAGTTCTCAAGCATCTGTTGGCTTGATGGGACCCCACTTGTAGCAGCCGAGGCCCTAGAGGCCTTCCGCTTCACAACCAAACAAAGAATGCGACCGTAAATATTGAAGCCATCGTATGATGTGTTCAGCCCGAGGGTTTTTTTTTCGTCCTGCTGCTCTGGTCCGTCTTTGCGTAGATCAGCAGCATCCAAAGTGCGTTCGCCTCTCTTGCTACGCTTGGTTAGAGGTGCTAGTTCGAATCGAAACGAGTCATCTGAGTCACTGGAATCGCTGACTGCTTCTTCCATGGCCGAACGTCTCCTGCGTTTATTCCGGCTGGAGTTTCGAATAGTGTCACCGTCACAACCTCCGCCAACCTCCGGAATATCATCCAGGTTAACTGCCACATCGTCATCTTCCTCTTCCAGGATAATCGGCTCCTGGTTGTCCTCGGCAATGACCACGGGCTGCTCATTCGTCCCTGCAGTCAGCCAGCTAGTGAGCTTGCCCGAGTTGCTTTGAATACGAGGTTTGTCCTTGAAGACCTTTTGCTTTGTTAGGACGGAATGACGTGATGAGAGCTCCGTCAAGAAGATCGAGACCTCAAAATCGTCTACAGAAACGTCAGCGATGAGTAGGATTAGGTGGTACAAGAAACATTTTGTGTCTAATTGATTAAGCAGCTAGCTTAGCTGCCTCAGAACAAAACCTTGACAGCCAAACGACAGCCAAACTCACCCTCAACAACAACATCCTTGACCCCCTTCTTCCGAGCCCTTGCTCCCCTGCCCTTTACCCGTTCATTTTCTTCACGCAACTTGGGTAAGATTAGCGGTCGCACAGCTTGAATGACGCGTGGAAGAGCTGGATTGTTGCGTCTCAGAAGCCATGCCTCAGCATCAGCCGGCCGATCGAGATAGATGCGGACTTCAAGGACGGAATGCTTGGTTATCCTCAGATATCGTCGAAGCGGGGCCATTCCCCAGTTTCAATAGCGGAGATGAGGGCGTCGAGGGAAGGAGGTCGTACGATAACTAGGGTTGATGGAGCAACGATTGCGGGGATTGGCAATTTATGCCCACGGGGGCTATGACGTGATCACATGACATGGCGCATGCGTGTGCCAAGAGAACACTCGGTCTCCACTTTCAACCCTGAACTCGCTCATCACATTTCCACGCAATAAGTGGCGGAACCATTTCGCAATTCAATTGCAGCACCATTGAAGGCATGGTTCTGGAGCTGCATGTCTGGGGACCTGCATTTGGGCTTCCTTCAATCGACGCAGAATGCATTGCCGCAATAGCGTACTTTCACCGCATTGTTCCGTATCCACAGTGGGTGCTCGTGGCGAATCATGACACGTCTACCAGCCCAAGACGTAGGTACTTTGAAGCAGGCACTATCCCAGGCTCTAACTTGACCGCCTAGGCGAATTTCCTGTTCTGATTGACAGCATTGTGCGAGCTACTGGCTTTTCTGCAATTGTTTCATACCTACGAAACCACCGCTCAGGAGCGTACGATTTGGACTACAATCTTACGCATGAAGAGCAGACAGATAGGACTGCGTAAGTTTAGACATTTGAGTGTGCGTTAGTTTCAATTACGCTAAATAAGGACTGCAGATTCATATCGTTCCTTCAATCAACTGCCGGCCCGCTCGTCGACCTCAACCTCTATGTCTCTTCCGAGAATTACAACTCAACCACATCCTCTGCATATACAGCGATTCTTCCGTGGTACACGAATTACACGATTCCCCCGGCACGTCGAGACCTCGCCAGAGCACGAACCGCTCATCTGGGCCTCAGCAGCCTTGACGTAAACATAGCAGAGCAAGATGGATTTGAGCGGGGCGGTAGTCGCGTTAGGTCAGAGTTCGAGGCTGCCAAAAAGGCTGCGGGACCCCCATCTGAGAGTCGAACAACACAACCGCAAACACTAAGCATGGGCCGTGGCAAGGGCATTCAAGGTCTTCTTAGTTCCCCCATCTATGCTGCCCGGTTCAGGCTTGACACACTGACAAACGACCTGCTTGAGCCATTGTCAAATCTTCTAGGAAAGAAAGATTACCTACTCGACGGTGGCAAGCCATCAAGCCTGGACTGCCTTGCGTTTGCCTACCTAGCCTTGATGTTTTATCCGCCAGTACCACAGCCGTGGCTCAAAGAAGCTATACAAGCCCGCTACTCCCGCATTCTCAGATATATCTGGCGGATGCGGGAAGAGCTTCTTGGTGGTGATGAGGTCAAGGCTGCAGACGTGTGGTTTATCTCCTCGCACAAAGGAACCGATGCAGAGGTCGAGGGTGCGCTAGATCAACGAGGCATGCACTTGCCGTGGCGTCCCAGACCAACGGGAACTCATCTATCGACTTGTGCTATTGCAGTACGCGAGGTGGCAAGCAATCTTCCTGTCATTTCCACTCTCCTGCGGCAGGGAGCCGTCGCTTATGCATCCCCTCCCAGGAGTACGAAGAGGGTCTCGTCTTCGTTACCATCTCCACTCTTTGTCAACATTATCTTCTCATTCACTGTCGCATCTGTTGCAGCCTTTGCTGGGATGGCAATTCACCACCGTCAATCTCCCCGAGAAGGTGACTTAATTTTTCGAGCGCTCCGCCCAAGCCTACGCTTCGAAGGGCTCGAAGCTGGCAATATCCTGAGTGTCCTCACAGGTCAACTCCCGCGGGCGTCTCCTGGAAGATTTTAGACTATAGAATACTTCGCTTGAAGCCTTGATTGCAATCAGCGCAAAAGATACCCAATATACAACTCTTCATTCTGTTCTTCGGGTTCCCACAAGATGCCTGCACCACCAACTTTGCGAGGATAGCAACACTAGAGGGCGAAACTAATGAACGGATAGTTACATAGCCATAATGTCAGACATATTATTTCATCCTTAGAATTCTAAATAGGTTAGGCTAAGCTATGAGGTTGAGAGCCAAATCTTCCTAGAATCGCAATATACTACTACTCTGTGGAGAAATTCGGGCAGTTGACATGGATATATGCATTTCAAGCAATCGCCAAAACGTGGTGAGGCTTTTCAATGCGCGCCGTGACGCCGCCTCAGCGCCCTAAGCCCTGTGGCAAGAAGGCGGCGTGAATGATGCACGGCGGTCGACCGCCAAGCAGACGATCACCCATCGACGTCATCCGTGACCTTCCTTCACAACAAAACGCGCCCTCGCCCCTAACTCGATTCTTGTTTAATCCCCAACTGTACAGGCGCTCACAAACTACTTTGATCCTCGCCAGAGCCTTTTGATTCGATACACCACTTCGCGATGCATAGGACATATAGCATGAGGCAATCTCGCGCCCCCACGGCGTCGCAAATTCAAAACCCACCGCCACCGGCCTCGTCAACCAAGACTGGCCGGTTCTTTGGCAAAAGCAATCTTGGTCAGTGCTATTCAATATTCTCTTTGACGTTGGACTGACTTGAGCTGTTCATGCAGGGCACACCTTCCGGCGCAGCGCTGCGGGAGCCTTCGGACCTGAACTAGCCAAGAAGCTGTCACAATTGGTAAAGATGGAGAAGAACGTCATGCGCAGCATGGAGCTGGTCTCAAGAGAAAGGATGGAGGTTGCTGTAAGCTTTCAGCCTCTCCGCCGTACATGTTTGGATGGTAGCTCACAGTTTTGAAGCAACAACTGTCTATTTGGGGCGAGGCATGCGACGACGATGTCTCCGATGTCACCGACAAGCTCGGCGTCTTGATTTACGAGATCGGCGAGCTCGAGGACCAGTTTGTGGATCGTTACGATCAGTATCGCGTTACGATCAAGAGCATCCGTAACATCGAGGCATCCGTCCAGCCCAGCCGCGATCGTGAGCTATCCCTCCCCCGCATTAACAGCGCCAGAGCCTGACCATGGTGTAGGGAAGCAGAAAATAACCGATAACATTGCGCAATTGAAATACAAAGAGCCGAACTCGCCTAAGATTGTTGTCCTCGAACAGGAGCTCGTTCGGGCCGAAGCCGAGTCCCTAGTTGCCGAAGCCCAGCTATCCAACATCACCCGCGAGAAGCTCAAAGCAGCGTTTACATACCAGTTTGATGCGATGCGCGAGCATTGCGAGAAGCTGGCCATCATTGCGGGCTATGGGAAGCACCTTCTCGAGCTTGTGGATGACACACCAGTGACCCCCGGCGAGACGAGGAATGCTTATGACGGATATGAGGCGAGCAAGGCGTAAGTTAACAATGATACAGTAAATTGGGTAGCACTAACTTGAGTACAGAATCATCCAAGACTGCGAGGATGCCCTTACCAACTGGGTCCAGCAAAACGCCTCCGTTACATCCAAGCTCTCTGTTCGCGCCCGCACTCTCTCCCAACGCCGCCGAAACGCCGCCCGCCGTCAGGGGGAAGGTGTGGATCTCTCCCATCAAGACCAGCCTCTTGACAACAGGGAGTCTGGTCTCTGGATCCCAGCCTCGGAACATCAAGGTAACGGATATGAAGATGAAGAAGAGGAGGAAGATGCCCCATCTACCATTGCTACAGAGACTCGAGGCCGGGAGGAGGAAAGACCCGTAGCTGCTTAACTATCAGGCTAACATTCCCGACAGTGTTCTACTCCGTTGATGAAATATCTCCCAGAGCGAGCTCGGTGTATATCCACGATGGAGCGGAGGATATTGTAGGGGAAGCGGATGATTTTGCAACTGTAGCTCAGGCTATATGAGGGATTGCTGTTGATGCGTCACATGTTGTTCTTGGAGGATTTGATGGCGCATATTGGCACACAAACGTTTTGTTTCATTCCCACTATTCCCACACTCTGGATTCAAAAGGAGGGAAGGGGTCAGGATTCCTAGCTTGAAGGAAGATGTATAGTAGCGAAGTAGTAATCTCAGAGCTTGACTTATCACATTCAAACTATTCTTCTTCGCCCGAGACTTGCGTCAGTTCTCCCCGGAAGCTGGAGTGAACACCGCTGTACTAGTTGCAGCTAAGTGAGCCCACCTTGCGGCTTCCCCTACAAGTATCAACACCTAATCCTTCCCCTTATTATACTATTTATTCCCTTGTACAATCAAGAGACATGATTGCCCAATTATTTCTCCATGGCTTAGCCATAGGATGAAATTCATCGACCTCCCGTAGCATATATTATGTAGGACATGGGTTCTTCCCAACTAAATCTCTTATGCATGAGTACAAGTTCCATTGGTTGATCGATAATGCTTGATCGATAATGCTTTTCGCGACTCTTTGTCAATATCGGACAGCTTTCAATCCTTGCTAGCTTTAATTGAATGTGGACTTTCCGGTTGATTTGAGTCATGTCAGGAGTCGCTTGTTCCGCTTGGTTTCTGGGCAGCTGTCTTGATGCTATTCACCTCCGGTCTATATTATAGCGCACATGCACTTTTGTATCTACATAGGGGATTAAAGTCGTGACAGAGGCCAGCGCGCCATGGGCACTCTCCTTAATTCTAGGAAGTAGTGAAAGGGTTGACAGATCAAAGTACTCCTGTCAAAGTTGTCTGTCAAAGTTCCAAGCATTGGCGTTCACCAATAGCTGTGTGTCCGGTGCATGATGACGTAGCTGATAAACACAGGGGCATCCTGGTACCAAGAAACACGGTCTCACGTGGTAATCTTAATCATCGAGGGATGGGATAAGTATTGCCTTTTTTTAAATAAAAAAAATCGATGGTTTTTCAAGGTCTGGGGGTATTTGCTTTCAGCTACAAGGAATCCTCCCCTTTCCCTTCTTCACCCCATTACCAATACCCAACATAGCAAGTGTTTCATTTCACCTGATCTAATATCGTTTCACTTCATCTTGATCATGCCCCACTTCCCGAGAAGAAAAAGGCCCGCCGCTTCTCCCTCCCCTTTTCGAAGTTATCCTTAGATCCACTACCGGCCTCATTTTTAGGCCGTCCCCTTTTCCCTTTGTTCTTGGCGGAGGATGCCAGAGCGGGGGAGGGTCGAGGTTTGGCATTGGTGGATGTGGATATCATAGATACGGGAGCGGTGGCTTTGATGGTCTCTTTAATGGTCTGACGGGAGAGGCAGAAGTCGATGTGGGAGTTGAAGGAGGAGTCATCAGGGGATTGGGGAAGGGAGCATATAGGGCAGATCCAGGGGTCTGGGTCTGGGTCTGGGTCTTGGGTTTGGATTTCTGAGTTTGCTGGATTTAGGGGGTTGTTGGCGTTGACGTGTTCTTGTTCTTGAGAGAGTTTTTCGAGCTCGTTCATCTCGTCGTTGCGTTCCTGCCTCGCGGCTTCTTCGAACTCGGATTCGGGCCATACTTCCCATTCACCGTCGTCGTCTTTCATGGTGCTGGGCCTATTGGTGTTGGTTGTGGGAGTTGGGATTTTGTGTCGCCCGAAAAAGTCTATGCCCGGTTTCTTCCTGCTGACGATATGTGTGACTCTCAATCCCATCAGTCGGAGTTTCATGCCCGGGATCTCCTTCATCAATTTCTCCAGCATTGGTAAACTGTATTTATACAAATCATCCGCGAGATGGACAGCGAACGGCGGAGATATCTGCCTGGTAAGAACCTCATACGTGTGGAGTTTGATTTTAAGACACAATGTCCGTCCCTTAAACTCTGTGCGCTGAAGATCACCCTCTAGTTCCTCTGCTATATGGCGTAATTTCTCGCGCAAGGCGTCCGGAGCGCTGATTTCGCGGAATGTAGTTTCGGTGCCGACGCTCTTGCGTTCATAGTCCTCTGCTGGTTGGATTTTTGTGCGTCCAAGCCCAAGGTAGCAATGCATCAGGAACTGAAATGCTTTTTGGCCAAACAGATGGGAGATGTAAGCTCGATGGGCGTAAATATCGCCGCAGGTTTTGATACCAATGGCGTCTAGTTCTCTTTCGAACACGCGGCCAACGCCGTTTACCTTTCTTGTTGGTAATGTCTTCATGAATTCCATGATTGTTTGCCTGTCGCTCGCTATCCGAAACTGTCCATTTGGCTTGTTCCTGTTGCTCGCGATTTTGGCCAGTTTAGCATTTGCAGCTATGCCCGCTGAAACAGTGATTTTGGTCCTTTCGTGGACTTCGGCGCGCAATTGACTCACAGCCTCCTCAGGGTCAATGTGATTATCTTCACAGTATTGTGTCAGGTTGAGATACGCTTCATCCACACTCGCGCTCTCAAATCGAGGATCGTATTCCGCAAGTACAGCCCGAATCTCCTGCGCCTTGGCCCCATACTTTTCAAAATTGAGAGGGAGACAGATGAGCTGCGGACACAGCTTCATGGCCACAAAGCCTGCCATTCCGGAGCGGCAGCCGAACTTGCGGGCGTGGTAGTTACACGTGGTCAACACGCCTTTCCCGACAGCCATGGGCACATGACGCAGTTCAGGGCGGTCGAGCTCTTCGACCGCCGCGTAGAAAGCATCGCAATCGATGTGCACCACCACCTGGCTCAAGTCCCTCCCGAGCTCCAGCTCAGCAATGTAGTCGTCTGCCCTGCGCAATTCGGGGCCGAGGTCAAGATTCTCGAGTTGGCGTTTGCGGGCGAGGATCTTGTTGATTTTCTCCGTGAGGCTCTTGTCCCTAGCCTCCTCGTTGTTGAAGAACTTGCTGCCTTTAGAGGCGTTGTATATAATCTCGGAGACCTTTTGCTGGTCGACATTGTCTTGGCCGGACTTTGTGAGGGAGGGGCCGAGGAGGCTGTACTTGAGGGAGAGGTGCTCGTTGGAGGGGGTGCGGGATGACAGCGGGTGAACTTGTGGAGCACCGGGATTATTGGAAGGCTGTTCAGGACCTGTGGCCTTGGAGTTTGAGGCTGGTGATACCTCGAACAGGCCATGGTGGGCACTCATCATGGTGGTTGTTGAAGGCAGTGACACGGGGGTCGGGCTGCTTCAGCGCCTTAGCCTACTGCATATTGGCGTCTTCTACAAAACATGGACATGAAGAACCCAGGCTCCAAGATTGTTATGGAGAGGATGCAAGTTGTTGTCAGGGTTGAAGCCTTTGAACGCGCCATCCCTGTTGCCCGGACGGCACGTGCCTCGGTTCCGGCCGCTCATCTCAAAAGTCCGGGTCGCGATTCCTATCTGACCCTTTGTGCCTTCTTCCTCACACCACAACTGACTAAAGAATTCGTCAAAGGCGCCAATAAAACCCTTACTTGTCCCCGTTCCCTCCTCTCCACGCATTGGCCTTCTTTTGCCTGGGATCTACGACGGAGAATGACATTGGCATTGTAGCGGAGCGGGCATGCCAATTTCTTGGTGTGTTTTGGCAGTGTTTTGATCAACACACCGTATCTTCGCCAGAGCTCCACACGCTGCGACCCCACCGATCATGACCACTCCCTTCACATTGCGGATCGGCCTCTAGATTTCGACAAGTCCACTGTGGACCATGCCCACCGATCGTTCCAACACCAGCAATGGGCGCCCTTTGATGCCCACACTGGCCACCACCCGCACGGCCAAAACCCCCATCACTCCCCGCCTTGCTCCCTCGATTGCCTCCGCAAGCACCTCGCAGTCCGTCCGCACCGTCCGCAGCGATGCCGCCACTACTCCGAGGGCCAATACTGTCTCGAGGGACGACCTCTCCACGCCCGTGAAGTCGTTTCTCAGCAGCAATATCACTCCTCGCTCATCGTCCAGAAAATCCCGTGTAGGCACCGGCAGCGGGCGCTCAACCCCCAGCGGTACACCCTCCGGCACACCCTCCGGAACACCGAGCAGCACTCGCCCCTCATCCACTATTGACCTTCCTTCAAAAGAACACCTCTATGGCTCCGGCGGGCTTGGTATTAATGGTCTTGGAGGTGCCAAGGACATTTCGCCCTTATTTTTCCGCGCAAATGATGTCAAGAATCAAGATGCCACATTGGGCGCGCCAGCACCGAAGAAGAAGGGCCCTGTGTTCTTCTATGCAAATGGCCAACAGAATCAGGGTCCACGGTCGCCATCAATTCCTTCACCGCCTTTGTCATCCACTGCAAGATCTCAGCCCGACAGCAAATTCTTCCATGCTAACTCTATTTCTGAGCCAAGAGGCCCCTCGCCAATCCTTACTCCACCGCCAGTCACATCGCCAGACCCGTTGCAGAAACCACCTTCCCTTCGGCCGCAGTCACCATCCAAGGACACCATTCACCTCTCTTATAGAAAAGGTGCTTCTCAGGTTATCCGACCGAATCTCCAGAGCCGGCCATCTGCCCTATCCGTTCTTCCCGGCCACGCACATGCACCAACGGAGCAATCCCACGTCTTCGACTTCAATCATGACCGCTCGGCGAGGAGAAGATCCAGCTCGGGCATGTCTGTCGGCCGGCCTGGGCACGCCAAGAGCAGCAGCTTGTCGTCCATTGACTCTGTGACTTCGCTCAAGCGGACGATATCGACTGATGCGCCTGCTATTATACCAAGCCCACTTCATCATGAAAATCGGCTTGTGAGTTCCGGCTCGTTACCTGAGAGTGTTGCGTCCGCGCCTACTCCACCAAAGGAGATCTTCTCGACTTTGGGATCTCCCGGCCTTCAAAGCCCTACCAAACCAACCAATGGTCCAAGCCCTCTAGAGCATATGAATGAGCTGGCGGCAAATGCCCGACGGGAACGCAAGGTGCTCGATCTTGAGATCAGTAACTCCTCATTGCTAGCCATCAACCGGCAACTAGAGAGAGAAGTCCGCAAGCAAAAGGCCGAGATACGGCGATTCCGTCGGATGAGCAGAGCGGGCAGATTCTCTGCCGACAACATCGTTCCAAGTCTCGAAACCTTTTCGGCCATTGGCGTGAGTGAAACAGGCGAGCTTTCTGATATGGAGGAAGGAGAGGAAGAGGCACAGGTTGAAGAAGACGAACAGGATGAATATATCAGTGAGGACTCGATAGACGAGGGCGCGCTGTCCCCCAACGCTCTAGCAGAACGAGACGCCGTCCATCTTATGCGGGATGAGAAACGCCTCCAGCTAGATCTCTCGAAGCATCGGGAGCTCCTCGTCGACAGTCAGAAGATGAACCAGAGCCTGAAACGATGTCTAAATTGGACAGAAGAGCTTATTAAGGAAGGTCAAAAGGCTCTTGCATACCAAGTCCGCGTCAGCGACGTTAAACTCGGGGGACGCGTCCTTGATTCCGAGTACCACCTCGACTCTGCATCTGCAGCTGAATCACACACGCTGCTAAGTCCCTGGACACCTCCGTCGCGAGCCACTGACCCCATGGAGCTTGCTGGTTCCCTTGCTGGCTCGGACCGTACAGACAGAGATAGCGGGATTGATGTGGATGGTATGAAACCCATTGCTCCGGAACTGTATGGAGAGTTCCTGCCACTGGGATCACCGCTTGCGGAGACACCTTCGCGACCGCCCCGGTCAACGGATCAGTGTGGAACCACTTTCTGAGGTAGCCTTGGCCTGGGTTTCAGGAATGACATAATATAGGTATCCTGTTATCTGTCCCTCTGATCTGGCACACCCTTGAGATATGTACCGGTTCGCAAAACAATACCGTCATTTCTCTCAAATTTTCTTTGTTTAATTACCACCCAGCAACGGCGTTCTTAGGCGGATATGGGTTGGCACACCTACACATCACAGTGGCTGTATACCTAAGGTGGCGCAACCGGCATCACCACGTTGAGTGCGATCTCAACGTCCTACGAATATTTCCTTTGTTCTGCATGATATCCCTTCTATCTCTACACCTAGAGCCTAATCGGTGGCTTCAGCGTCGATTACATATGTGGTAGTTTCTGTGGGGCTAGACATCTCATTTCTTCCTTTGTGTGTGTGGGTGGGTGGGAGTTATGGGTGGGACCGCGTGCAGATTTTGGATGATGTTGAGGAGTCTGGCTGGATGCCTGTTCTCTGACGGATCATAGCGATTGTACGTGTATGTGTACTTTATGATACCCTACCGAATCTAGAGCGCTCAAACTTGCAGCCTTTGGTTGAAATGATCTGGCTTGTGTAATGAGTTATGAGTTGGGATGAGTAAGAGGAGAGTGAGTGAGCGGGTGAGTGAATTAGGATAAGTGAACGAATTGAGGTAAATGAGTGAATTAGAGTAAGCAAGTGAATTGGGGGAACTGAATTAGGACAGGTGAGTGAATACATTCGAACGAATGAGTGAATTGGGAGACTTTATTTTGAGACGACGTCCTGTTAAGTGCAGGCTGATATCTACTATACATCTACTATACAGAGTCATGACAGCTCGTAATCGAGGACAGAAAACGCGATCCTATTTAACCCTCTACTTGACTCTAGATAATAAGCTCAAGAGATGTTGAAGCCCGCTTGGATGTGCCGTGGTAGTCACGCGATACTATACAAAACACGTCGCCTGATGAGTAGAAGTTGGGTGGCCATTATAAACATGCGATCAACATCTCTGTAAATTTATGGAAAAAGACTCATGCAATTGAGATAAATTCCGAGCAAAGCTCCCCCATGTGCCTGCCTCGCCAGCAACCACCGCTTTCCTGCTATCCTCTCTCCCTTCACCGTTCCCCTCCCGACCCCCTCACTCTCCAACATCTAAACAACCCTCCGTCCCTCAACCAAGCTTCTTCCCCTGACTCCCCTCGCCCTCACCCACAATCTCCGTCTTCTCAACCTTCGCAACTTCCTTCCCATCTAAACCAATCTCGGTCGTGGGCACAGCGTGAGCATGCGCCTCGCGATCTTCTTCGAGCGTCTTCACAAGTTGCGTGACGCCGAAGAGATCGTCCATTTTCTCGAGCGATAGACCCTTTGTTTCAGGGATCAGGAACCATACGAAGAAGAACATAGTGTAGCAGAAACAGGAGTAGATGAGGAAGGCGCTGTGAATGGTTAGTCTTAATCTTCAAAGGTATTTGATTCGGAGTAATGGAAAGGAGGGGGAGTGGTTTGGGAGAAGGAATGAGGAGAACTGTAGGGCGATGGAACATACCCATAACCGTGGCTCCCAACCGTCGCAAGCATATTCGGCGTCGCTCTCGCAACCACGAAATTAAACAACCACTGTGTCGCCGCCGCAATCGCAACATTCAAACTCCTTAACCTAGCCGTCGGAATCTCGCTCACATAGATCCAGCACACAGGGCCCCAACCAAACTGGAAGAATCCGGCAAACAAGAATATACAAATCAATGCAACGTATCCCGCGGGAGGCACATCAGCGCCTGCAACCGGAGGCTTGATACGGACGTACAGACCAATGTACAACATCGCCGTGCCTTGCGCAATCGACGTCCAAAGCAGTGAGCGCCGTCTTCCGAGAGAATCCGCAGCGAAGAGAAGGAAGCAGGCACACGTCGTCATTTTAACGACCCCATAGATGCCCGTTGCGAAGAGATTCGTGCTATTTCCCTTGATCCCCAAGTTCTTGAAGATCTGCGGCGCGTAGTAGTTGATAGCATTAGTGCCAGTCATCTGTTGGCAGATCATCAGACCAATGGAAATCAGAGCACGCTTGCGGTTCCCGGGGATGGTGAACATTTCTCTAAGCAAGTCTTTTAGCGAAGACCCGCCGATCAGCATGCGTTCGTGTTCGAGCTGCTCCGAGATGTCGTGGAGTTCAGCCTGGATGTAGGGGTGGTCTTCTGGGAGGTTTCGGACGCGGGAGAGGGTGGATGACGCCCGTTCCCATTTGTCAGCTTTGGCGAGGTACCGGGGAGACTCGTTGTTCAGAAACATGCAGACAGCGAGGAGGACGGCGGGGAGGGCTTGGAGGGAGAGCGGGACGATGTAGACGGCTTTGCCATGGATGTGCAGGATGGAGCCGTAATTCACCCAGAAGGCGAGCATGGTTCCAGAGGCAATGAAGAGCTGATAGATACCGGTGAGACCGCCTCGGATGGCTCGAGGCGCGTTCTCGGAAATGTAGAGGGGAACAACCATGGAGGCACCTCCGACGCCGACGCCAGCTACGAATCTGATGGGGGATTAGTTGCGTTCGCCGTCTTTGGGGACGTTTGGAGACATACCTTCCTATATACATGCATGCTACGCTTCCCGAGCTGGCGGCTTGGAGGATACAGCCAACAATGGTGATTAAACCATTCATGATCAAACTTGTCCGTCGACCCGCCTTATCCGCAACCCAGGAGGCTATGAAGCATCCGAGGAAACATCCAGCTTGGAGCGTAGAAGCAATGTTCGCAGATAGATTGGCTTGTCCGACCTTGTTAAGCTTATCCAGTCCGTATTCCCTAAGGGGATCAACGAGAGTCAGCCTCCCGTCTCAAAAATCCAACATAAAGATGGTCATTATTTGGATGGAGAGTTGGGGGATTGCATACTTCATGAACTCAGGCAAGATCAAGACACCGCCAATGGTCCCAATATCGAACCCAAACAGCATACCGCCGAAGCAAGCGGAGCAGGCGAGCAGGAAAACACGCCATCCATAGATCTGGGGAGGATCTTGCTTCATGGCATCATTCTTGATGATCCTGAAGAGGAATCGTGCTCCAAGCCCGGCCTCCGCCATGGCGTAATTGTTCATTGTGGATTGCGCAACTGAAGCCATGGTGATGAGGGTTGGGGTTCAATTGCCCCGCTTCTTCGAGGAAATGGTAGGCAAGCAGGCGCGGAGCGTCCTGTTTAGCAACAATGCCGTCAGGGGTGATATGATTTGGACTGCTGGAAGGATTTGTTAGACAATTGGTGTGTTTCGAAGGAAGATGTTGAAAGTCGCCGGCAGAGCTCAGAAATGCCCACTGTTGACGTATAATCGGAATGCCCCACAGGACGATATCGGTGACAGCTCTACCTACATATATTTGGCTTGCTGAATAACAAGAAACCGAATACTTAAAGCAAAGACTTGCGTTCAAGAAAGAAAGGAACCAGAACAGTGGAAATCTCTCACTTACCAGAATCTCGAAGTCGTAAACGAGAAACAGCCGCCTGATCAAAGGGAAAACCACGCGCACCTAGGTCCGATTGATTGAGTTTCCGTACCGGGCCTGTATATAGATGAACATGCTGGCCTAGCCCTGGTCCTAGCTCGTCCTCTCCTCACCTCACTTGGGCACACCGCAAGCTGCAAGCGACGGCAGCCATCGCCGCGGTTCCACCTCCATACCCCATCCAACACTAACACAACCCCAATTCCGGGTTCGCGTTGATCACCATTCAGGCCAAGACCGAGCATTGTCGTTCATCCATCGAATGAGGTCGCAGACGCTCTCCTTCTAGAATGCTGGGGCTGTTGGCGCGGGCGCAAACACTACGGCTTAATTTGTGGGAAAATGGTCGACATGGCTTGATGCCAAGAGAGGAATAGTTCTTCCATCATGGCGGTGGCGGCCGTGGCATGCTTGTTGTGTCACCATCTCATCTCTTCTCCCTTGCCTCTCCTCCACATGTTGGAGCGGCCCCGGACCGAGTCTGGTAAGAAGTGGGAGGTGGAGGCTGGGGAAATGTCGTTGGATAACGGCGCACTTTACTGCAACGAGTTAGGGCGAAGATGGGCTACGGTTGATTGCATTTATCCGTGGTTGGCTACTTCGGAGGAGAGGATGGGCCCACTAGCCACTGATAGATGGCCGAAATGTATGTAAATAAACGCAGGTTGATTAGAATCAATCGAGGCAAAAGAGCGTCAAGCTGCTGCCATATTTTGCCAATTGACGGTCCTGCATAGCAACTAAGTTTATAGAGAGGACCGTACGTGGCGAGTGAGGACCAAAAAGCCACTTCATCTGATCATCGATCTTCAATACGAATTCGAGCTCTTGCTGTGAGAACAGAGCAGTCTGTCACACATCTATCAGCCATCCACGATCCACGGGACAATTATTCCACCAGCCCAGGAATCACGAGGGTTTTGGAAGGAATGACAGCGGCCACCGCCAACGCCAACCGCGCGTTCCCTCTCCATCCTTTCTCCACGAATCCACTGCTCACAAGAGACGATGTTGTTGCAGCTGTCGCTTCTCTGCTCGACCCTCTTGCGGGCGGCGACTCCCCCCTCCACTCCATGGTAAAAGTAGGCTGCACTGGAACACGCTTCGACGAAACCGCCGCCCAAGTCGAAGGCTATGCACGTCCACTCTGGGGTCTTGCACCTCTTCTCGCAGGCGGTAGCAAGTATGCAGGAACAGATCGATTCGTGCAAGGCCTAGTGGCAGGTACTGATCCAGAAAGTGAAGAGTTCTGGGGGTATATGGAAGATCAAGATCAGAGGATGGTGGAAGCATGTCCAATTGGATACACGCTTGCGATTGCGCATCAAGATTTCTGGGATCCATTAACAGACAAGCAGAAGAAGAATATCGAGACCTGGCTGGGCAGTATGAATGACAAGGATATGCCGAATACGAATTGGTACAGTGCACTCTCCATACTCCAGTCAATACACATGCACATGCACATGCACATACACATTCAATTCCCAAAATTCGAACTCCAAGATTGCAAAACGTGATATTGAGACCTGCGTAGGCTCTGGTTCCGCGTCTTTGCCAATCTCGGACTCGCCAAAAACGGCGCTACATGGTCGAAATCACGTCTTGAGGCCGATATCAAGCAGCTCAATACTTTCTATCGCGGGGATGGCTGGTCAAATGACGGTCCCGAAGGATATCGTCAAATGGACTACTACTCTGGGTCATTTGCTATCCACTATCTCCAGTTGTTGTACTCAAAGCTCGCCGCAGAGACCGATCCCACGCAGGCAGAAGAGTACAAGAACCGAGCTCGGATGTACGCTCTGGACTTCTGCCACTACTTTGACCCCGAAGGCCGAGCCATCACATTTGGCCGCTCCCTGACATACCGCTGGGCGATGGTGGCATTCTGGGGTTCAGTGGCCTTTGCAGATGTCGAGCTCCCTGCACCTCTATCCTGGGGCGTAGTACGGGGAATCTGGCTCCGGAACCTTCGATGGTGGACATCGCAGAAGGACATCTTTCAATCCAACGGCATGCTCAGCATCGGCTACTCTTACCCCAACACCTATCTCGCCGAGAACTACAACTCTCCCGGCTCCCCCTACTGGTGCATGCTGGCATTCGCTCCACTCGCACTCCCAGAAACCCATCCTTTCTGGGCCTCGAAAGAAGAGCTTCACCCCTTCGCCGACCAGCGTGTCTGCAAACCACTCCCCCATCCCCGACACATCGTCGTCCGAAGCGGCGGGCACACATTCCTGCTCTCTAGCGGGCAGTCCTGCCACTACGCGCTCAAAGCCACACAAGCCAAATACGGGAAATTCGCATACAGCTCCGCCTTCGCATACTCGGTACCCACAGGATCCTACACGTTAGAACAATACGTCCCTGAATCCTCGCTCGCGCTGTCCGACGATGAAGGGGAGATCTGGAAAATGCGACGCGCCCACAACGGCGATTCTGAGATTGAGAACCACGACGGCGTTCCTGTGCTCGTGTCCAGCATGAAGCCGTGGAAGGATGTGGATGTGCTGACGTACCTGGTCCCGCCGGCTGAAGACACTCCGAATTGGCATCTGCGCGTCCATCGGATCAGGACTGGGCGAGATCTCATGACTGCGGAGGGAGCATTTGCTGTCTGCGGTATCCGGGAATCTGACGGAAAGATCTTGGCTGAGCTGAATGAATCTATTTCTGAAGGTGGAAAAGTAGATTCGTCAAGTGCGTTTGTGGCGTCCAGGTCTGGCGCTGTGGGAATCGCCGAATTGAACCTTGGCGAGAGGACAGGAAGCATTCTACTGGCAGACGCGAATTCGAATCTGGTCGAGGCGAGAAGTGTTCTTCCTACCATCCATGCAGATTTGCTAGCGGGTGATGAGGCATGGTTTGCTACGGCCGTCTTCGCCATGCCTTCGAGCGTTGAGGGTTGGAAGGAGAAGTGGAAAGCTGGATGGGAGAAGAAGCCTGGTATCCCGAAATGGCTTCTTGATAGGATTTCCGGAAGATGGGATTGAGGGTAGGGAAGGGACCCAAAAGTTTTTGAACGGATGAATAGATTGCCGCCATCACAGATGCACCGCTTAATAGGAGTCAATCATAAGGACTGCACCAGGACGCTAGATGCTACAGTGTTGGTATTTAATATTCCTGGTCACGTTACCCGTACACAAGCCGCCCAAAGCCGTGCTCTCACGCAGAATCTGCCCCTTTTGGTGACGCCAATGTGAAGACCATCAAGCCCATATGCTATGTTTTTGTTTTTTGTTTTTTGTTTTTGTTGTTGTTATTGTAGTGGTTTCACTGTGATGGAATTTGCCCTAGAGTTGCCCACCCCTAATCTCCATAGTGTATAGGGATGCATCGTCCATGATTGCTCATGTCGTCTAGACGTCCTTGATGGGATTCTCGTCCTCCTCGAGAATGCCCTTTTTGATAAGCTCGGTTGGTGAAGGTCGATGCTGCAAGCCTTTTTCAAGACTATCAGCTCGCATGTGGCGCTCGAGTTCTTTCTGGTGGCCCTGCAGCGCAGGGGCGGCAGAGGAGTCAGGGAGGATGTTGCCTGAGAAACGATGGGTTAGCTCGGTACATTGACGGCGGGGAGAACTCACGCTCGACCAAAGTCTCGCGATCCGGACGGTGCGCCAATCCCTTCTTCAAGTTATCCGTCGCACGCTGGCGCTCCAGCTCGAGAGCTTTCGACTGCAGTGCCCTAAATGCTCATATGTATTAGTAAATAAGCTGGTCACGAGCTTCACCAGCTCTCTCTTTACGCCGGGACGTACGGAGCAGCATTTGTATCCAAAAGGATGTGTCTGTTCTTCAGGTCTTGTGCTTCGGGTCGGTGTTGCAAATGTCTGTTTCTCTATTAGACGTCTATTATTGTTGCATGTTACGAGGTTGAAACATACTTCTCCAAGCTGTTGCGGCGTTCGATGCCTTGGCGGACGGGGGAGATGGGAGTCTCATCGATGGGGCGTGGCTCTGTGGTCATGTTGACTGTTCGCTTGCAAGATCCGTGTGTTTTGTTTGATTGTAAAGGAGAGAAGAAAAGTAGAGGTTGAGGTGAGCAATGTACTTGTGGTGTGGCTGCGCAGCTGGCTTGTTTGGTTGCCCCGCATCGCTCGACCTTGATCCCTGCAAACGGGTGACCAGGACAACCATCACGAGATGCTATCACTCCAGAGCAGCCAGACTCTGGTCTTGTCCGTTGGTGTCATGAGATTTGGATGCTAACCTACGACAATGCCGTTTACTTTACAGAATCGATGCATGAAAATATGCCATTTTTGATGCCCCCTTGCCGTCCAAACCCTTGACAGAACACTGAGAGAAACGCCAACCCATCACCACCATCCACGACCTTATCCACATCTTCATCCCCATGCCCGCTCCACTCACGTAGTACTCAAGCCCCAGAAGGAATAGCTGCATTACGCCGTGGGAACTGGAATGTGGACTGGCCGCGTCTTACATGCTGTGACAGTCTCTCGAGCAACACCTGGGATCGTCGTAGTAGTTTGGCAAGGCTACAAGAAGTTAGTCTTATCCAGGGGATCATAGAAGAATGGACACCAAGGCAATAGAATGAGGCAGGTGGCTTACAAGCCCAAGCCCAAAGAATTTTGTCTGCAGCGTGCAGCCCCCGCAGTCAGTGTATTCAGTCTTGGTCTTAGTTTGCTCGTAGAATGTGCAGTCAACTTCGAATGATGGCTGTTTCATGATGTTGATTGTGCAGGTTGGCTCTGGAGGTGGGACGATTGGCGAAGAGAGCCTGGTTGATGTTAGATTTGAATGTACATGATTGAGACTTCCATGGTACGAACACTGCACGCAACAGCGCCGCGAAGGCTATCATCTGTGTGGATTTCATGGCGAGAAGAAGGAGGGATAGGATGGTATGAGGTAGTTGATTCGTTCCAGCGCTAGCGATATTGAGTCGTGGTTTGCAAGCGTGTTGATAGTGGTTGGAAGAGCTTTGGAACGCTGTGCTGGTAGTCTCGAGGGTTGACTCTGTTGAGAACAAGTCTTGCAGGCTTCAACAAGAAGGAAGTGACAAGTAAGACCAGTTTTGTCAAGAAGAGAAATCGTGAGTAGTCCTTGCTCTTGGTAGAAGCCACCAGAAGATTCATTCCAGCCTTCATATATAGACACGATCCATGTCACGCAACGGCACGACACCAGGCGCACAGATGCCCTGTTTTACCCATCCCTCTCCCTTCTCTCACCTTCTGCTCCCTTAGTTTACGAACCGCGCCATGGGGTGCGATCCAACAACCCCATCATTTGGCATATGGGCTCGGAAACTGAGCGCGGCTTACCCGGTCCTGGCGAGAGGACAAAAGCGACGCTTACACGAGGAGACAAGCTTTCCAGAACAGAGACTAAAACCTGGGGCCGCGTAGCGTGCGTCTGTGCCTAGGGAAAAGATAAATGAGAAAGTCTAGAATTAGGGCCGTCCATATTGAAAAATAAATGAATGAACGGATCAAATGAGAATGGGAAAACTTTGGCGTGGCACAGGACCGAGAGCGGATATGAGAACAGACCACAAAGGATGCATGGGAGGAAATAGCCAACACGAGAGCGAACGCCTGTAGTCAGTCAGACAGTGCTTTGTTGGTTGTCAAATGCGCGTTTACTGTTGACAGAAAGAAGGACGCCGGCCAAGGAGCGAATGGTGAAGAAGATGAGATTCAAACACGAGGATGAAATGGCAAGCGAATCCATGTGTTCCGATTTCGCAACCCAGGTAATCCGACCCAGCTTCACACCCTGGTCAATGACTTTATCCTTTAGGCCTCCATACGACGACTGTTGCTTCCCACTACATGTTTTCAGTGCCGTTCCTGCATGTTGACAATACAATGGAACATGACACACGAACATAATTTATGGCAACAATCCTTGTCTTAGATTATCCCTCGATTCTAGCATCATGTCAAAGATTTTGCATTTGCTTTCTTGATGTTGCATTGTGGGTGCCAACATGAATTTCACATTCCTGCTAACATGTTGCAGCGTTCGGTCAGTCAAATATAGTTAATATTCACTACAGCGAAAGTCTTTCGGAAAAGAGTGTCCAATTATTATCCTCCATGAGCTTTTAGACGGAACAATGTCTATCACCGCACCAAATTAGAAGGGGGGATTTGTTCAAAAGCACCTTTCAAGCCCTTTCAACGCCATCCAGGGGGGAAAGGATGATACAAAAATTGGTGAAGGATAGTAGAGACTTCGAGCACTTTTTCCGCCTTGTTTGTTCCCAATTTATGCCGCCATCTCGACTGTTTCAATTCTGGGCGATTTACGCTCCATCATCGTCAAGACGAAGTGAGCCCTCTCGGTCTAGGCCGCTTGACCAGAAGCCTTTCAAGTCAATATTAGTCTCTGGCATCTTTGCATGAGTGAAGAGGAGCCAGAGACCGAATATGGGCTTTGCGAGGACGTCTAGGACAGCGTATGCAATGATCTCGGCGTCGACAGACATCTTCCTGGAACCGTCTGCGATGCCCCAAACACTGCGTTTGTTAGTAGGGAAAGAGTACATATTGGAGGCTGCACTTACATTGGGTAAGCAGTCCAGACAACTATGGTGAATCCGGCAATAGCGAAGAAGAATGAGGCGACCTTTTGACTCTTGGCTGCAGCCTGAGCTCGTCCGTTGATAGCAAGATGCCAGATGACCACTAGGTAGGCAATGCATGCGATAGCGTACCAGCCCCACTTTTGAGGAGTTCCCTCCGAGCCAAGTGCAGCGAAGAGGCCGGTCAAGATCATGATGATGTCTGCAACGACCGCCATTAGGATGTGTGCTCCACTGAGACCAGCCAACAAGCTTAGGTCAAGGAGGAGAAGAGGTGTCGTCAAGCTCCAGTCGACATAACGCGCCCAGAACACTTGGCGGTATATATCATCATATGTGTCTGGAACGTGGTTGTGGGAGTGGCGGACTCGAATGTGCTTGTACGACACTCCATGACCAGTGGCCATTGCGAAGTAAGAGATGGCAGCAAAGGTAGTAATGAGAGTCGTGATGACGTGGTAAAGCCGCTTAGACTATAAACATGTCAACTGCTGTCAAGTTATAGGGAAATGGATGAAGCACGTACCACAGGAACCCTCCATGACATGGCAGCAAAAACAGCTGAAGCAATGACCATGATCACAAAGACCACCCAGAGCGTGGTCTTGCCATCGTGGTGGGCATGTTGATACTCCGGGAGATCGGGCACAACACTTGGGATGGGAGCAACTTTGGTGGGGGAAGCTGTTGGCAAGAGTTGCCTGCTGGTCTTCATCAAGATTTCGACGGGATCAACGATCATTTTGATGAATTTTACGTTGTTGGCTATGATGAAGAAGGTTAAGGGCGAGGAATTGACTGAAGAAGCAGAGAGAAACTGGTTTATAAGGAGTAGCTGCAGGCAGCTGCTAAGAGACGTAATTTCCAGTCACAAGATTCGAGGCGCGATGAACGTATCCCTAAGCTTACCCTGGACAAGCTTGGTTGAAGTAGCGGGGTCAATATCAATTACATCATCTGTTGCCTCTTTATCCCTCTTCAATAGCCTCGTGCTACTTCAATTGGACGGCTGCAATGCGCTAGGAGCTCCTCTGATGACGAGGGGCTTGCGATCGAGTTTCGTCAGAACGCGAGAAGAAAAGGAGTCATGACGGGTCTTGTATTCTCGTTAGTAGCCCGAGCTGTCGACGCCCTCAGAATTTGCAGCATCCACTCCACATGAAGGAATTGAAGAGAAAAAAAAGATCAAGTTCGAGAGATAGCGATGTCCACTTTTCCATGGACCTGGCAGAATTCCATCATCATGCGGCACATGACGAACGCCGATCGAATGCACCACACACTTCCCGCTAACTGGCTCGACTCGAGTCTTGCCAAATCCTGGAATACAGCAGATTAACGCCTATTCCAGAACATAAACAGGGGACGATCTGATCTGTTTCGCTCGTTGCTAGACTTCAGGACGCAATCATGAGAGTGAAGCCTTCTGCCATAAATCGGAGTCCGGGACCACCGTATGTGCCCACCACATTTCAAACCTGGACACCCGGAGTATCAATAATCCGGTCGCATGTGTGTGGCCATTTGGATTCTATGGGGAGTTCAACCCCTGCTGCTGGAAAATGAGAAATCGGATCAGACGAAGAAAAATAACAGCGATCGAACCGTCGACGCCCGGGTGCAGCCGTCTTCGTTCCGAAACGCTGCAGGAGGCTAGATTGATAAAGAGTGGATGCATCCTATGTCTTCCAAGCACCGCAGGGTATCTGCTCACTCCGAGGGTCGGTTTTTCGCTCGACGGCACAGAAAAGAGCTTGGGAGTTAATGATTTCGTAGAGAAGGGATAGCGAGGATGAGAGAAACAGCAGGAAGTCTCAGGGTTTGGGTTTTCTGCTTATCGCTCGTAAAAGAATGCCACTGATTCCAAAAGAAAGTCCTCTCAGGCTTCGACGCACGGTGCAGGAGATTCTTGGCGCTGCCAGATCCAGCAGGACTTTATCCATGGTTGTCTTCCGCACTCGAGGCCACAATCGAAGCAGCGTCAGCTTTCCAGGAGAAATTCGCGAGTTGAATTGTTAACATGCATTGCCGTATCAAAGCTTTTGCGCAACATTTTGAGTACCGGCGTCAACTCCGCCGGAAACAGCGGCGTCTCGCCAATAAGCCTGCTGTCCATCACAGTACTCTCGGAATCCATGCCTCAGCCCTCGTTTGCGCCCTCCACCCAGCTCACGGAGTCCTTCTTGAGGGTGTCCATCAAGTACTCTCGATTACGCATCTCGATGCAATAAGAAGAAGCTCACTCGCCCCTTCGCCCTGGTTCCCCAAGCCCGAACCTGCACCCGACCCAGCGCTCCTACTCATTTAGTTCACCTGTCACCCACACTGTTGCGGGACAGCAGACTCGCAATCGCAGTGTCATACCCGGCTGGGCATTACAACTTCTCAGCGGCTATCTTCTCCTCAAAGACCATTTCCAATCAAGGCTTTGCCTTCCCTGTCACCCTGTTATAGCATACGGCACCACCAGGATATTCCGGCGGCAATGGTCCTGCCCTTGGACTTGGCACATCTCCTTGTGCGGCAACATGACGGAACTGAAGAACCGTCCCCAGTGAACTGTGAAACTGGCAACGGCTACGATGGGCGGATGGGAGTACGTATCTCCGCAGTGTTTGTCATTTTGGTCGGCTCTATGCTCGGTGAATTTGTAGTGTCCCTCGACTCTAAATATATCCTGATCTTGTTTAGGCGCCATGTTTCCAGTCTACGCGAGAAGACACAGTGGACTGGGAGTTCCCGACTGGGCGTTCTTCGTCGCTAAGTATTTTGGTTCCGGTGTTATTATCGCCACGGCTTTCATACATGTCAGTAGCGAGTCCTACCCTTGCCACACATCTGTCTTACACATTCACAGTTGCTCGCGCCCGCTAATGAGGCCCTCGGTAATGGGTGTCTCACAGGTGCCATTACAGAGTACCCCTGGGTGGAGGGCATTGCTTTGATGACGATCATGCTCATGTTCTTCCTTGAACTCATGACAATGCGCTACGGGAACTTTGGCGGCGAACACTCACACTCACACGGCCACTCCCATCCCTCAGCTTTACCCCAGGGCAGTAACAGCGATGACATCAGTCTCAATTCGCCCAAAAAGTATGAGACCCGTGGAGAGAGTCCTGGTCACGGCCACCATCATACTCCTGGCGAAGATCACCTAGGCCACGCCAGAGAGCACACTGACAATGCCATTGTCAACCCTGACTGGCTGGAACATGGCATTGTTCCAGAGACATACGCTGCTCAAATCACAGCCATCTTCATCCTCGAATTTGGCGTCATTTTTCACTCCATCTTCGTCGGCCTCACACTTGCCGTCGCTGGCTCTGAGTTCGTAACCCTCTACATTGTCCTCGTCTTTCACCAGACCTTTGAAGGCCTCGGTCTCGGATCAAGACTTGCCACTGTCCCGTGGCCCAAGTCTAAGAGATGGACACCTTATATCCTCGGCTTCGCATACGGTATCTCGACTCCCATCGCCATCGCAATAGGCCTCGGCGTCCGCAACACCTATCCTCCAGAATCAGCAACAACGCTTATCGTAAATGGAGTCTTCGACTCCATCAGCGCGGGTATTCTAATCTATACTGGACTCGTGGAGCTTATGGCCCATGAGTTCATGTTCAGCCCCTATATGCAAAAGGGTCCAATAGGCAGGTTACTCAGCGCTTTTGTGCTTATGTGTCTTGGTGCCGGGCTCATGGCTCTTCTTGGTAAATGGGCATGATATTCGATATACCTATGACTAACTTTTACCATGGATAGTTGTCTGGCTATGATGGATATGTTCTTTTAGTGACTATTTGCGCTTTATAGTATTTCTAATGGTGTTGAAATAGAGGGAAATTGGAATCCTTGGGACTCTGGGGATGGATGGGTTGGGTAAGATGGAATACGGTTCGTGCGATATACCTCTTATGAAATGCAAGAAAATTTCCTCCGACAGCCATGTTGTGTTATCATGTGATCGGACTTCACTGCGGCGAATAAACGCATGCCACAGCACATAGCCAGGGTGTAGTCAATCCATACCAGAATCAACGAGGATACTAAGAGGATACTGACTGCTACCTTAAATCAACCCAATTTCAAGACCCTATATACACATCCATCTACACCCTTCCTTCCCCTTCCCCCTCCAGCAAGATCTTCAACCCCCTCGCCTGCGCCTCAAACCCTTCTTGCAACCCCTTGCCATACAAATCCCTCACTGTACCCGCCACAGCCCCCGAAAACACCTCCCGGCTTTCATACAACACCACCCCGTCTCCAAGACCACTAATCGCTTGCCATCGTTCCGAGTCGAGCAACGTAGACGGGGAAACGTACTTCCAGGCGAGACGACCTAAATTAGGTTGCATGTGTGTGATGTTTTCGAGGGCGAACTGGGCGTGGAGGGGGTTGGCGGGGGTGGAAGAGGTTACGGGGAGGGGGAGAGGGGGGGTTTGTACAGAGAAGAGAATGAGGTGGTTTTCGAGGGGTTGTTGGGCTGGGACGGTCAGGTTGTCGGGGGTGATTACGATCGCGGAGCTGAATGGGGTGAATGATCAAATAAGCGAATGATTGGGTGAGATTGGGTGAGATTGGGTGAGTGAGTGAGTGAGTGAATGGGTTAATAAATAAGTAAGCAAGTGAATGAATATGTAGGTTACGGGGTTTGGAGGTATGTAAGTGAGGGAGGGGGAGGAAAGAGAAAGGGGCGAATTACCGGACAAAGGGATTCCAATCAGGGTAGGAGGGGAAGTTTGTGAGCGCTTGCCATGTTAAAGAGGTGGTGGTCTTGATTTCTATGCGAGTGCTGACGGTGAAGATGCCTGGAGGAACGGAGGGGAGATTTGAAGATTGGGAGGTAACAGGCGGTATTGCACATAGGAGAAGGGGAGCAAGAATAGGGAAGACGAAGGACTTCATAATGAGTGCGAGGAAGTGATTCATACCGATAAGCTTAATAATGGAGTAGTGAAGATGCTGAATATATATGCAATTCAAAAATCGACAAGCCAATGATCAGCGTCGGACATGGACGTCCTCGGTTGGGTGCAAAGGTGCAACAATATGTTCGCTTCCAGTTCATCGGAATGAGCCCTGCCGGCCCATCAGTGGGAGAGCCGATCATGGGATAGTGTCCAGAGTGGTACCTAGTTCCAAGCCTCGAGATGTTTACCAAGTGAGCGATGTAATTCAGAGCGACTGAGGAAGAGTGATGGGTCTGCCTTGTGTGTGATATGGACAAGACTCAGGGCCTTCTAGGCACTCATGGATCACTCATTTCATCCCGTCTAAGTAGCCTTTGGATCAAGACTGAGGCTTCCACACAACAGTCCTTACCTACACGACAGCACATGCATGGATGACAAGGGAGCCTCTAGTTCTTGTCAGAATGCAGTATCGTTTTATGGTCGTACTTGATCCTCGCAACAAACTCCCAATGAGTGTTTTATAGCAGGCGTTAACACTCAAAAGATAATGCCAGGTTATGGAAAGGGCAGTGGAATGACAGGAGCAGGACGCTATCGAGGGAGGAGATAAGAAACTCGGTAGAAACCATGTCGGGGGACTCAGACGTGAAGCTGGATGCAGGGTGATAAGTTATGGTGTGAGTAGAGACAGAGCACTGATAGGGTGAGTCAGGAGTGCCAGATGCGGAGAAACACGGCGGCGGAAAGCTGGAGGATGTCTGCTAGAGATAGCAACGGAGCACTGGAAGGAGCACGTTTTCAATCAGAACAGCGCCGTATCACGGACGGAGTCATCGAGAGGGCACTTCGTCGTGTATTGTGGAGATGTTGGGTCGTGTCAAGGGCTGAAGGCAGATTGCGCGAAGCCGCCCTTTGGTCCAGCCAGCTGTCTGCTGCTGCCGCACTGGGGGCTTGGCTGCAGGAGCTCTCGTCGTTCCTGCCCTCCAGCCTCCTGCCCCTCTCAACAGCGATAGAACCACGAACCCTGTCGCCCCGCGTCCAAAAGTCCCAACAGTTTTCCTCGTCTTCATATTTCATAGCGCCTGCGCTCTCTGTCCTCCAGGTCTCGCGCTCCGTCCTCTGCATTGATTGCGAGGAGCACGATAGCCGCCCTCGCGACTGGCAGAGCTCCCCGCGCTGCCCCGCAACTCCGCTCCGCTCTCCGTGGTTCACGACTGGTACACAGGAGGGCAAAAGGCCAGATCGATACAAGGCCAGGCACCGATATTCGAGTCACGACGTTGTGTTCACTCCCTCTTGCACGAGCCACAAGGTTTGGCACACGGGGCGTGGTCACGGCTCATGACGCAGCCCGCTTTGTCTGAGAGCCCTCATACATCTACTTAGACGGCGCCTTCCCCTCCGGCCCTCCACCCCTTCCGTATTGTACCTCCGTACCCCACATAGACTCCCGGTAGCACACTGAAGAGAGCCACTCACCGCGCACTCTCCCACTAGCAGTCAAGTCCATTTGAATGAGCCCATCGCCCGATCCCGCAGCCGAGCCTACGAACCCGCCCTCCCATCTCACGTACCTCTACCAGCACCACCGCAGTCGCACCAAGGGACTGGACAATCTGCAGGCCCGCGGTCGCAACATCTCGAGATATGAGCTGGGAAGAAGAGATAGGTATGGAGAGCGGGTCACGCGGATCTATCCCCGAGAGATGTGAGTGATATACTTGCGGCGCGCTTAGAGCTTCCAAAACCTGCAATCACGCTCGCTGTGACTTAGCATGGCAGCCGCGCGTTTGAGCCATTTCAATGCCCCCGTTTGCACTGGACGTCACTGACTCCCATGCGCAGAACAAAGTCCCCACCCACAGTCAAGCGGTATTCCTCAGCGTTGTCCACCGGACAGCCTACGTATAATGCAACGTCCACCCCTTTGATGTCGGCTCTCGGCGCGACAAAGTCAACCGCAGCACACTACACAAATGAGTGGACCAAGTCTCTGCCTTTCTTCGCAAACCCGTCATCACCGAACAACGCCATCAGCATAAACGGGTCACCTCCCAACTTCCACAATTCTCCGGGAGGTCGTGACGGGGTATATGGTCCGCACGGCATGTCAAACTCGCCTCCTGCACCTGGAATGCGTCCCCTGAGCCACCCCAATCACTACACGACCTTCGGTGGGAGACTCCAAGCCTCGCCTCATGAGTCTTCAGGAAGAGATCGAAGAGCTTCCATGTACTCAAATTACGGAGCACGACCGCCTTTTGCAACCAACCCCCCTCTGCCGCACCAGCCGCAAGCCCACTTTTATAACTTGCCCGATTTCGATCTGGGCCTGAACAATCCATCTGGCGAAGGCACCCTTCCCGGAGAAGGTGGCTATTATTGTGGGTTTGACACACTCAGCATGGCGGGAGATGAGGCATCTAAGCCAGCCGAGAATGCTTTGCTTGTTGGATATGAAGGTGGTATCGATGTTTTCCGAGTCGAGAGAGGGAGAATGGATATCGTTGGGCGTCTAGAGGGTCTCAGGGGCAGCACTCTGTGTGCCAAAATCCTTCCATGGACCTCTAGGAGAGACCCGCTCTCATCTTCCCGGCCCCTGATTGCCCTTGTAATTCATGGACCAATTGTAAACGAAGGCAGAGGCGGCAGCGGGTCTTCGTCCGTTATCGATGATTCCGCTTCCGAAACTCCAAGCCGCCCCACGTCAAGCAGAGGAAATGAATCTACGGGTAGAGTGACGAACTATCAAACGACTGTCGAGATCTACTCGCTGAAGGAGAAGCGAAGAATCGCCGTCCTGTATAAGAGTCCGCTGATCCCGGTCACAAGCCCCATCGATAGCCCAATGTTTGAACCGCCCCAACCAGCCTGCGAATTTGTGCTCGACGCCAAAGGCAAGTACGTTGTGGTTGCATCTGGTGCAAGTGGGGAGATCTTCATCTTTGCTCCCTACCTCAGAGGCCACGAAGAGTATCATGAACGATTTCGATGCATTGGCAAAGTCTGGACCTCGGTGCAGCTTCGAGATCGTGGAGCACATTCAAGTGCATCGAGTGCTGCTGACGGCGCCAGCCATGAGGAGACGGCGCCTGAACAGTATGGCGTTCCAGTCTTCTCTTTGTCTGACCGCTGGCTTGCTGTTACCCCTCCGGCTTCAACCACTCTGTTCCCCATTAATGGTGTAGCTTTAACATCGCCTCACAATGAGAAACCACCTGGTCTAGCACATCATACTGTGCCCCCTCAGCCCTCGCCGAATTGCGGCGTTGATGCACCTGAGGCAGCAAGTCTGATCAACCGACTTACTAGGGAGGGTACTCAGGTCGCTATCAAGGGTGCGCGCTGGGCTACTGAGAAAGGTATCCAAGCCTTCAAGAACTACATGAACAAAGGTTCCCAGGTGAATGGCAACGTGAACGGAGTACCGTATGGCGCAGACCCTATGCCACAGCAGTACTTTCCGCCAACTCATGGCCACAACCAGGCTCAGCCTCGGCAAGAAGCGACTGTGATTTCAATCTACGACCTGCAAAAGCTTCTAGACACTGAAGAGGCAAAGAACAAGAACGCTCTTCACGCAATCGTTACCATTCCTGCTACTCTGGGATGTAGCTTCTTGTCGTTGTCCCCGAGCGGCTTAATGCTCATGACTGTGAGCAAAAAGGGAGACTTTCAAGATGTTTGGGACCTCAAGCGTATCAACTTCCGCAGGACCCGTAAGACGACGAGGGAACAAGCTACTGGCCCGTACGTTCGCCAGGTCGCTCGATTTGCTCGCATGACTGTTACGAGTGTTGTTGATGTGGTTTGGTCGGCTCCAAGGATTGACAAGCTAGCAGTTATCACCGACAAAGGCACTGTACATATGTTCTTGATGCCCACATCCGCCTTCCAATGGCCACCTCCTCGGCGGCTTCGTAAATCCAACCAACCCGCAAAACTCAAGGAGGAAAACATTCCCCATGGTGGACGTGGCGGTGCAGTTGGTTCTGCTATGCAAGCCATCAACGGCGCCTCAAAGCCCTTCCTCAATGCTGTCCGCGCTCGCAACAGCAACAGCAACATGGGCCGCTTCCCATCCCTTAGCAGCCTTGGAATGACGCCTGCTGCTGGGGCTAAGTCTGGCAAAGCCGTTGCCGCTGGTGTTGGCAAGTCAATTAGCAGCATCCGCCACGCAGGCGACAACAAGCTCACGCTCCCCCCGTCTCCAAGCGGTGTCAAATGCCACAGTGTACGATGGCTAACTGGTAAGGGTCGAGGATCTATCGCCTTGGTGTCCGGGGGCGTTTTGCAAATTTACAGGGTCCAAATGCGTCCTGCGACTGGCAAAGGCAAATCTGCAAACGCCACATCGATCTCTAAGAAGAAAATTGTTGAGTTTGGTCTCACACCTGTTCGTAACACCCTTTTCCCGCCTGCTGTTGCTGCGCAGTTGTTTCCTACTCCTGGAGAGCCCGAAAACAATCACGATTTCCACGGGGAATGGCTACCACGCTCCCTCCCTCCTCGCCGAGGAAGGATTGGGCCAGGTGGAAAGAAGCAAGCTATGCTTGCCCTCGCTCCCCTGAGCTTCTCAGAGATCGAGACGAATCCGCCTTACCAGCCTTTCTATACTGATCGTAGAGTAACACGGTTCGTGTTTTCAAGACACACCACGGATGTTCATGGCGGCAATAGCGAATGGCAACCTCCAACTCCCGAGCTCATCTCCAACCTTCGCCACCAGAACGACGACTCACCATGGCTCTTTGGCCAGGATGTCGAAGCTACCCGTATCTCTCCTCCAGCAAACCAATCCTACGACTCTGGAGACGATGACACGATGGCTGGCGTTGCGGCGAGAGTGGAAAACAAACTCGTTCTGAGAGATGGAGAAGAGGAGGTTGAGCAAGTCGTTGTAACAACGAGACGGAGACGTGTGCGACGAGAAGGTGTTGAGGAAGACGAAGAAGGCTTCTTCGAAGATGACTGTGAGGTCCTCGATTTTGCCGAGGATAGAGTGTGAGCAGCATCTGTGATCCACTCTATCTTCTTGAATGTCCCCATCATTCCTTCTTTGTCACGGATGATGCTATATCAGATACCATCTTTTTTCAATTCCAGGGCGCGGTACAAGACTAAGTGGCTTGGGTCGAATCTGCTGGTCCGTCTGTGGTTCTTTCGCGGGTGCATGGAGGCGTCCTGAAGTCTACACTTCTTTGCTTTACGTTGCGTGCTTTTTGCATCGAAAGTGCGGATGGATGAGTGCTTTGTTAGACCGGATGGATATGGATATGAACCCGGTAAATAGATGTCTTCGGACTTTTGAATAAGAACGTAGTTACAATGTCGTTTATTGCGATTGATGATGGGGTTGTGATTCTCATGGTACGGCCCTGGTAAGGTGTTGTAGTCTCACGTCGGTGATTTTGTTATGTTCGACGTCACAACAGCGGTGATGAATTCCACCATCATCACCATCAAAACAGGCTGAGGATCACAAGCAGCACTAGAAGCCAAGGATGTATTACCATTACCTTAAGCAAACTACAATCTAGGATAAAAATCCCCGAAACAGCATATCAGGCCCTCATCCCCTCCGCCTAGTGCTCGGGCTCTTAGCCTTCTTAGCAAAGCCCGTGCTATTCACCGAACTGCTCTTCTCTCCGGCGGCAATCGACTTGTTGGGTTTCTTCGATACTGTCTTCTTACTCGACGGGCTGTTCCAGTACCATATCATTTGGAGCGCGAGGATAGCATTGAGGGCAAACCCCGCAATGAAACCGTAAAGGATGAGTGGGTCGGGGACTTCTTGGAGGGTGGTGAAGATGCGGGAGAGGGAGCCGAGGAGGTAGTTGAAGACCTATGAAATAGGAAACCGTTAGCATTGGGTCCAACGCTGGGAGAAATTTTTGACAAGTTTAGGAGACAACTGCTGGAAGGGGAAAAAACATAAGAGGAGGAAGCGTACCGCAAAAGCACTCAACTGCCCTGTCCCACCCTCCATCCAAATCGTCAAAATCTGCGGCGCTTTGCTCGCGACGCCCAGCACACCCGCAAACGCCTGCAACCAAGCCAAAGCCTTCACATCCACAACGTCCTCCCGAAACAATGCCGTCCCGGCCGCAGCCAAGCCAACGACCCACGCTGCAACGCCAGCCGTCTTCCCGCTGTAATTCAACACTAGACTCGCAATCACGATGTTCTGCGCAAGGATCAGCGCCGTCTCGCCATATGTGCTGAACGGGAATCCATGGCGGATGTTGTAGGAGAGTGAGATGAGGTAGCTGCTGCTTTCAAGCAAGTACGAGAGGAAGGAAACCCCCTCTGAGGACTGCGAGTTCAGGAGTTTGAGGAGTTGTGGGATTTTGACAATCGAGGAGGCCCCGATTATGCCGATGCCGAGGGCTTTAGAGATGGCAAGTTTGAGGCAGTCTGGGGAGGCGAAGGGGTCGATGTCTAGGATGAGGGTTTTGTAGCAGAAGGGGCCGAGGAGCGTGCGGCCGGTGTCGACGATAGGGGTAGGCAAATTGTGGGTTATGGGTTGGAGGGCTGAACGGAGGGCCTCCATTGTGACGGGTTCGTGAGACCTGCAGAAAAGAGGTGGCAAGCTAGTGTGAGGATGCGATGCTCGGTGCTGCTGGAGGGAGCTGCGCGTGTCTGACGCAAGGCTTCGCATGAGAAGGCAACAGCCGGAGATGTTCCGAGCACGCGGCGGAATATTTACGCTTCGGCGTTCTCGTTCTCTTCACTCCCGAGGTCTGAGCACTATCAAGTTCATGGTTCAAATCAAGTCGCCGCAGTAGGCATAAATATTTCTCAAATTTACTTTCCTATTCCTTGCCAATACCACATCTTCCCACTGAACAAGGGTATCAACCATCCAGCCACCTCTTACCGGAGGAGCCCTCCAAACTTTCGAAACGCGAACTCCTCTCCTCGCCTGCCAGTTGCTTTATTCGTCCTTCAGCTACAAGCGCAAGCGTGGTCCTATAGAATAGTTATTAGATCCAACGTCAGCCCGCATGGGAAGAACAATTCCGAAGACCTGATCCAGGGTCAGAGCTATGTTGTACCGCATTCATTCTCGAATATCCGCGGCGGTTGCATTTCTCAATCCTCTCGAGCAGAATTGTATGTCTGCAGTTTGAATGGTGCGCGATATCATTGATGGAGTCTCGAGTTTGAGTCCATTGGAAAAGCGTGCATTGCGACCGGCAGATTGAAATTCATTCATGAGCCTGTGCACTCGCAAACTTTGACCTCGCTCGGATCTTTGGCCCGTAGAACACTAGGATCCATGGCACCAGTGTAAGGAGCGTTCCTATGCCGCCGAGGAGACTACTTGCACCACCGTATGTCAAGCGATTGTACATTTGGGTTGTGATCAGCGGGAACACGCCACCTAACACGGTGTCAGTGATTGCTAAAGTCCAGTTGTCAGTACGAATCTTACCTAGCATGTTCCTGCAGAACGACTGCGCGGCTAAAGCTGAGCTAGCATACCGATGATAGGTATCAGCCAAGTAGTTGAAGACTGACAAATAAATCGCAAAGATTCCAACCGTGGCAATTGATACAGCGATGGTAGGCACAATCCATGGGATATCCGGAAACGACGTCCATCCAAACATAAATAAACCAATTGGCATGCATGCGCTCTCGATGCAAGCGAAGTACAAGCGGCCCTCTGGTGTGCTAGCAAGTTTTCCATGTGCCTTTGCAATCTTCTCCTGGTATATAGAAATGATTGTTGCGAATATCGAGCCCACACACATGGCAGCGAAAACTGCGTTGGCTTGCTGCAGACTGAAGCCATGGTTGTGTTGGAACACAAGGGGAATGGCGGCAAGAGTGAGGTAGAGAACCGCCCAGCTGAAGGACACCCAGAGCGAAAACCAGAATACAACCGGTTCGGTTAATAAGAGATGGAATGGCCGATATAAAGAGATTCCAATCATCTTGGCCAAGCTACTCCGCTCCTCGTCGGCCTTCACTTTCCAACGGATCCGTTGAGAAACCTTGGAACCGGGACAATTTGGATCCGGCATTTCGAAGCCGTAGTAGCCGGCCTCTTCTCGCGTCTCGTACCATTTGTTCAAAGCTTTTGCTTTCCGGCTGAGGAGTACACTGCCCCTGGTTTCCTTGAATATGACGGTAATCAACGCGACCATCACCCCACATGTTATCGTTTGCATGTAGAAGATCCAGCGCCATGTTATATTTTGCGCAATGAAGCCGCAAACAAGTGGACCCCAGCCGGTGCCGAAGAGGGCAGCGCCTGAAAAAAGAGCCATTGGGGTATTACGGTCTTCTGTATGGTAGATATCGCTGACCACGCCCCCAACTCCGCTTTGTTAGTCCAATGCGGACGATAGAAGCTGGAGACATACCCATGGTGGAGAATGTTGAGCCACCTACTCCTACAAAGAAGCGTACGACAAGCATGCCCGCGTATGAGCGAGTCAATCCGGTGCAGAGTTGGCAGATGACGAAGAGGATCCCAGAAACAATGAAAACAGGCCTTCTACCTTGGATTTCTGAGAACGGGGCAAGGACCATCGGGGCTACTGCAAATCCTAGTGGATGGTCAACAGCGGTCGATGAGCAAATGAAAGTAATTTAGGGTCATCATGTTGTACACCCTCAATCTCAGAGAGAAAAGCGAACTGGGGGAATACGTACCACTAGTGAAAGTTGTAATTCCTACCAACGCCGCCACATTACTCACATGCCATTCCTCCGTCATCTGGCCGACGCCTGGGCCGTACGCGCCCGCAGTAAAAGCTGTAAGTGCGGTGATAATACATGAGACCCAGATGATAACGTTCTTCCTGGTATTCGACCATTCGAATGGCGAAGTATACTTGACCAAATTCGGCGGTGGTGGAGCTTCTCCCTGTCCTTCTGATAAGGGATAGATTGTTGTAGGGCTTGGGAGCTCTGTCTGGAATTCCAAATAGTGATAAATAAATTCTCCCAGCTCTGGTTCTTCCTGATCCTCCTCCTTCTCACCTTTTTCTGGATACTTTTCAAAGTCTGCGATGTTGTCGGATGTGGGGCACTCAGGGTCCTGGCACGCCGGGTTTACCGTGCTTATTCCCGCAATGCTTGCATTGAACCCGAGTTGGGAGGAGGTCATTGGGAGCTCGAGTTCTGGGTCTGCCATGGTGCGGAATTGGCATGAGGAGGTATGAAACTTAGATATGAAAGACCTTAAACGTAGAAAAAGGCTCGAGGCTGTGTGAGGGGAAGCTCTGGAATTGGCGATGATATAAGGTCTGCTTTTGTGTTGAACTACTGACCCACAAGCGCTATCTTAGGGCCCCATTGGCACCGAAAAGCTGCACGATTAAGCAGCCGCACGCTTGTTAGTTGCAGAAATCGGGGACATGGTTGGTAGGTCCCCGACTTATTCACGGGAATACCTGCCAGGAGACATTCGCGTGTCGGGAATTGTGAGCTGGAGCTGTGATTTCGAAGGATTCAGGCGTTACTAATGACCGCCAGTTCGATGGGCTAGGTTTGAGGGAGATCCCCAGGGCGATCCACTCAGAGATCGTTCGGAGAACAATGCACAGGTTGATACTTCGTGAGGAAGGGTTTCGCTCTAAGGTAGTTTATATAGGCCGTATAAAATCAGTCCTCCGCCATATCAATGAGGTACGACTGTGCCGCATTGTTGTTGCAAAGTGGACGTTTCTTGGGGCTATCAGTTTCACCATACTTTGAAGGCTGGTGGCGCGTGAAGGCGGGTGCGGTTGGGACAATAGTGGCTGCACTTGGCTTCCGTTAAATGCGACGCTTAACCTTGCGCCAGGTTTCCATATGCCGTAACCACGGCACATTAGCAGAAGGAAGGAATCTTACTCCCTATCTCATGTGCCATCACATGAACCGGCATGAATACGGATGGACACGTGCTATGCATCGCAACATCGAACGTCCACAAATACGCCCAACCGACATCGAAGGCCAAAAGGGTAGGAGATACGCCGGGAGCGATGAATATTGGCGAGAGCTGGCGGCTCCACTCCCGTGGGTGTAGCTGGAAGAAATATGTTTTGTAGCCGGTGATGCCATCATAATGGTGGTAGACCGAGGCCAAGACGACTTCTGCGCTTATTGCAGCAAAAGTAATCATTCAATTCTCTAGGTAGAATGATTTCATAGAAGAAACGTCGATGAGTAAAATACGTGAGGTGAGTAACTTACTGGGCCCGTCTGTTGTCGGCAATGTTTTCTACACTTAGTTATCCTCGCTTTGATGATGAATCAATTTCTCTCTGTTGCTGAGGCCATCTCTTCCGAGAGAGGACGGCAGCTTATCCGCCCTCGGAACGGCAAACATTGGCACTGGTCCTCCGCACTGACCTTCATTATGGTACGATAATTGGCTTCAGAGAGGGCTCGGCGAACAATTCAGGCAGGATCTCGCTCATGGACTCACCTGGGGAGGAGGGTATTGCAAACGCAAAAGTCACGTGCACGCACGCAATTTCTCGCCATTCCCAAAGCAGCCCATTACTGTCCCCATCTTTAGTGATACAAAAGGCAGACGCAACCGCTCTCGATCTCCCTGAGTTCTCTTGTCCACTTCAATTCCTTGCTACATCCAAACCCTCTACTTCAACGGTTGTATTTCTCACCTCAGTTTTCCTTGCCTTCAAGTGCCCACGTCGAGAATTTATTTCAAGGTGAGATGCGATGCCCCTCCTGTTTGCATTGTTTGCACCCCTGCTGACTTACGAGAAAAAGCAAAACCATGGCTGAAGAACGAGCTGCACCCCTCCGTCTCGGTAGCATTGCCCCCAACTTTGATGCTGAGACGACCAAGGGCCCGATCAACTTCCATGATTTCATTGGCGACAACTGGGTAGTCCTCTTCTCGCACCCCGAGGACTACACCCCCGTCTGCACCACAGAGCTGGGCGCCTTCGCGAAGCTCGAGCCTGAGTTTACCAAGAGGGGCGTAAAGCTCATTGGTCTGTCGGCCAACACCATCGACAGCCATGAGGGCTGGATCAAGGACATCGACGAGATCTCTGGCAGCAAGCTGAATTTCCCTATTATTGGAGACAAGGAGAGGAAGGTGGCGTATGCATATGATATGTAAGTGAGCCCTCATCCGCATGTCCGACACACGCCTAATTCTGGTACCAGGCTCGACTACCAGGACACTACAAACGTCGATTCCAAAGGTATCGCGTTTACTATTCGCTCCGTCTTCATCATCGACCCCAAGAAGACCATCCGCCTCATCCTCTCCTACCCCGCATCGACTGGTCGTAATACTGCTGAGGTGCTGCGCGTCGTGGACTCTCTCCAGACTGGTGACAAGCACAGGATCACGACGCCCATCAACTGGGTTCCTGGCGACGATGTTATTGTCCACCCCAGCGTGAACAACGAGCTGGCCAAGGAGCTGTTCCCTGACTTCAAGATCGTTAAGCCGTACCTGCGGTTTACCCCTCTTCCCAAGGAGAAAACGACCGCGGCTTAAGGGATAAGCAGCCGAGAGGGTTGAAATATTGTGTGACTTATGCGTTCGGGTTTCTTCCCGTGGAGAGAGGCATAGCATGTGCGTTCAGGCGTTGTTGGGCATCGCTGCGAGGGTGCAATTTAAAGGGCAAAGCTGGAGAGGGGGTGGCTGCTCTAGTTAAGTGGAGTGTTTATGCTTCTAGAACAATGCGATCTTCGGATTGGAGATGGCTGGCCCTCGGTAGGGCTGAAACGGCGAGCCTTAATGGACTTTTAATACGACCAAATCGTGCGTGCACCCTAGTGAATGATGATTTGTCAAGCTAGGCTTGAAACCGTGCGCGGTCGCGCCAATCCGGCCCCCTCTAAGGTCCGAACTTTTGCAAGGGAACTGACAGCCTTGCCTTCATTCCAAGGTTCCAGGGGAACGGGCGAGGACTTGATATACTATGCCTTTGCTGGAACGCGGAGTTGTGCAACCGTCAAAGCTGCCCTCACCTCGATCCCACTTCGCAGCGTCTGTCGTTGATCCTTCACGTGTCCATCGGGCCGTCTCCGTCTCCCTCATTGCTCCCTTCTTTGTCCTTGTCCAAGAGGACCAAGCCAGCGGCTGAAGAGTGCCGCGGGCCTCCACATCCTGTCCTCTCGCGCACTGTCATTCGCGTGCGAGCAGCATCCACTCAGCTCTGCGAACCACAGCTCGCGCCCGCCACCACCCGTCCCTATTGCTGTGATATTTCAATATTGTTGCTCTTTATCTCTCCACCTGTCGCCGCGCTCCTTGCATTCCCCAGCCTCGCCTACGCGCCCGCTAGCCGCTTCCGGCCTGTGCCTCTGCCACGCTGCGTCTGCGCAACCTCACCGCTGCTGATTCCGCCGTTGCCTACCAAACACCAAACCACAGCCCACCGTGACGGCGACGCTCCTTTCCCCGCTGCGCTCCTTTGTACCTCTGCTGTCGTGTCTAACTATCTGAGTTGCGCGAGGCACCGTCTGCTCAACGTAAGGCCCGCTTCGTTCTTTCCTTCCGACCCCTCAATGCGTCCTAAAATTTCCTTTCATGTGCTGCGCATCCATGAACGGTGTACTCTGCAGATGGCCTGCTGAAGACATCCTGGTACCGCCGTACACAGTCGCACAGTACCTATATCCCCTTTTTCTGAAGTGCATCTCATGGCTCTCCTACTAAGCCCGAGTCTTGTGGTTGCATGCGAGATCTTGCGGGCGCCTCCTGTAATGGCAGATCGTCCTGCAGCCGCTGACGGGGAGGGTCGTCTGCGGTACTTGAAAACCACAGGACCATCCACATGGAGTCCCTTTTTGCAAATTCTCTTTCTCCATTCTGTATCCTTTGTGTCCACGCTGGTTTCATCACTAACATGCTTCCGTTAGGCGTCATCGCTTATCCGTCTGTGGGAGCGTCCACCACTCCTTCGGGTGATTCTCCGTCTATTTGGAAGAAGCCCAAAGCGTCGAGGCTCAAGCGCGCTCTGTCGAATCAGAGGAGACGCTCTCACGAGTCTGCAGGTTCCCTTACCCGCTCCTACCGCAGGGTTTATTCTCCGACTTCCTTAGGCATTCTCAGCATTTCCCCCCTACTATCGCCAATCATTCGTCATCTCCAGCGAGGTCCAAGCACGTTCCCATTGTTATCCCGCGCTATGTTCCGATTGTAGCACCTAATAGTTCTTGTAACTCTGCCGAACTCAGCTCCTGAGGACCTCTACTATTGTTTCCAGCGGCCAACCCCAGCCTCTCAAACTTTCCTCTTCCAAGCCGCAAATCCCTCGGAGACTCCTCCAGCTTAAGGTACAGGCATGTTGAGATCGTGATACCTGACTGGGCCCCTCCTGTTCAACTTTTTCCACATCATCCATCAGCTTTTCTGTAGACTTTAGAGTGCTCAAAAAACTCCCATCACTCCGCTGTGGGACTCGGGTCCGGCCATTATGGCTCGCCAGACGCCTAATACGAGCCGGACTAATACCATCGACTCCCAAACCTCAGCTCCTTCACCGTCGCAACTCTACTCAGATCAATTCCGAGGCGGGACTGGCACGTACATCTCAAGCCTGAACAGCAGTCAGACCAGTCTGAACCGACAGGATGGTCAAGACGGCACAGTAGACCGCCCAGCTACAAGCGCAGCAGCCCGTACTCCAGGATCAGGAGTAGCACCATCACCAGCTCTGCCTCAGACGGCTGGGCTTTCTACTCCTTCAGGCTCCACATCTGGACTTTCTGGACTTGTCTGCAATGTACACCGGACAACAGGTCGCGAGCCCCATCCATTGGTAGGTGCGACAACCACAATTCTTGGGGACAAGCTATTCGTATTCGGTGGAAGGAGACTTTCCCGCACTAAGCCACAACTCACATCTGACCTCCATGAGCTTGACCTTGTCAAACGCCATTGGACGAAGATCGATGCCAAAGGCGACATACCTCCCCCGCGATACTTTCATAGTGTGTGCGCGTTAGGAGACACAAAGCTGGTTTGCTATGGAGGAATGTCTCCAGCGGGCCAGCAACCCAGCCAACCCACTCTTCCACAATCAAACTCTACAACAGACGCCCAACCAGAGGTAGTCGTTATGTCCGATGTCCACATTTATGACGTGCCCACTCGAACCTGGATGCACGTTCCGGCACTTGATTCGCCGCAAGGACGATATGCGCATTGCGCAACTATACTCCCTTCGTCGGCGGTGTTTTCTTCTTCAAGCGCGACCTTATCTGCCATAAGACACAATCCGTCCTCCACAAATCCGAACCAAGGCTCAATTGGTGTCCAGCTAGACGGCGAAGGAGGGGCGGAAATGGTGGTCGTGGGCGGTCAGGATAGCGCCAATCATTACATTGAGCAAATCAGCGTTTTCAATTTGAGAAGTCTGAAGTGGACGGCGACCAATACCTTAGGGAGGAGTTGCGGCGCATATAGGAGTGTAGTTGCCCCCCTAACCAAGGTTGATCCAAACAAAATTGGAGCAGGAAATCGAAATGGTAGTGATGCGAGATCTTCGGGCGAGCAAAACTCAGCGGCCAAAGATGGGGGAGCCTCAATGTTGATCTATTCAAACTATAATTTCTTGGATGTCAAACTAGAGTTACAGGTGAGGCATCCAGACGGGACACTATCGGAGAAGCCAATGCACGGGAACTTCTCCCCTCCTGGACTCCGATTCCCTAACGGTGGAGTCATTAACAACCACTTCGTTGTAAGTGGGACCTTTTTAACATCCTCGAAACAAGAGTACGCGCTCTGGGCTTTGGATCTGCGGACGTTAAGCTGGGGCCGAATTGAAGCTGGAGGAAGCATTTTCAGCCAAGGCAGTTGGAACCGGGGCGTGTTATGGAACCGGAGGAACTGCTTCGTAATTTTGGGCAACCGAAAAAGGAGTCTTGTGGAGGACTACAACCATCGACGCATCAATTTCTCAAACATATGCGTGGTCGAGTTGGAGGCTTTTGGATTATACGACAACCCCCGCAAGGTCGCTCCAAATGCAGCGTACACATCTGTCAGTGCGCCTCGACAAAACGACCGGCTCGATTTGAAAGCTGGAGGTCGAAATCTCTCTTCTGCTGCAACAGATTTGGGCCAGCTGGCACTCGGTATGCGTGAGCTCACAGATATGGACTTTCTTGCCATCAACGGCGAACGCATTCCCGTCAATTCTCATCTCATTGCTCGGCGCTGGGGCCCATTTTTCAACCAGTTACTTCGTGAGAGCACCACAACTCATGAAAACGGCGACACAGCAACTCTTCGTCCCTCAACTGTCACACATCCTTCCCGCAACTCAAGCATCACCATAACGCCTTCAATCAAGACAAACTACTCGACTGCCACAACTCTCACCAACAACACTGCCATAACCTCTGACCCCACGATATCCTCATCAACATCATATTCTTCCATCAACCCGCCTGAGCCTTCAGTTCAACCTCCATCACTTCGACCTAGAACACTATACTTGCCGCATACCCATCTAACTCTCCAGGCCCTCATCCACTTTCTCTATACTTCATCGCTTCCGCCTCAAAACACAAACCTTTGCTCTCCGCAGATCTTGTGTTCTCTTTTACAACTCGCACGACCTTACCATATCGATGGACTCCTTGAAGCGATTATTGAACGGTTACACGTGCTGCTTGATAATAGAAACACAGCTGCTATATTTAACGCAGCAGCAATGGCAGCAGGGGGTGGCTCCGGCGTGGCATCTTTGGGTGTAAATGGTGTCGCACCAGATGGCACTAACGACGGATTGTTGAATCCTTCCGGGCCGTCGAACTCCAACAACATTCCAGATAACGCTATACGGTCCCTTGACCCCGGCCTTCGAGCCCTCCGAATCAACACTGATGTCAATGCAAGTGAAAATTCAAGCGGCCGAGATGACGAGGTCAGTTCCGCGACTTCGACCTCGACATCGGCATCGGCATCCGACAGTGGGCTTGGTGATGGAAGTGGCGTTGGAATTGAAAGAGAGATTTGGGGAGGCGAGGTAAGCGCCGTTGTAGGACTACAGAAACGTGGCCTAAGAGGTTTGATGGAGGGGCGGAGGATTCGGGAGATGGGCAGAGGTTCCTCAAGGACCCGAGAAGACGGATCAGGTTCAGGGGATGGTGTTGGACTAGGATTACTGGGCTCTGGGACTTGATGTAACCCAAATCATCAAAATACCGGAATTGGAAAGACGAGCATGCTGGCAACATCATTCATCGGCGGTTTGGAGTATGTGGCGTTTTTTCGCTTTTGGTAAGTGACTTCTTGGATGAGCGATTTATGTTGATTTGGAGTCATGTACGGCGGATGTGGATGAGATATCACGCGGAATGGGTTTGCACGCTTTCGAAGACAATATGCATTGGACGGAGAATACCGGACTGGTCTCGCATTTACTACCCTTCTCCTTCTCAATTTGGATACTCTCATTCGTTGGACTTTCCCCCCTCTTTCATTCTCTTTTGGAAGAGATGGTTGAATTATAGGTGCTGGATGATGGTGTCATATAGCTTCCTGACTTTCCTCTTGTCCACTTCTCCATACAATTTGTTTTGTCATTTAGGGAATTTTTGTAGGCAATAGATGAGAGTTTTCACAGATGAAATGCTGTTCGGAAATTGAATAGATCACTTCTCACACCTATTGTTAAGTGCATATGCGCCTTTCCCTTTCTAATTTCGGTATCCTTGTGTCCATTTTTAGTGTCATTTATTGTCCTGAACACTCTTGCCATTGCATCCGCTCTGTACCTTCGATTCTACTCGGGTCTTCGACATCGACTTGGAGTATCGAGCTTCTCTGTATACTTCTCATACTAGAGAAATCTCCTATTGGATCACGAACCCTCGAAACGAATGCATAGTACACCTTCAGTGAGGTTGCCTCTGAGTGGCCCATGACGATGACATGTTATTCAGCCACTCCCCCAGAGTATACTTTCTTCTTCAGCCAAACTCAACGCCTACTTCATCGTCTCGAAAATTCGGGACTATTCGTACCCGCACCTGCCGGCCGTAACACCGCAGGCTTCGGAGCCCTCATATCTCCTGCAAATCCACCCTGCCCCAGCCTGTCAGCCTTTTGTACGTACTCATTTTCATTCGCATACGAATTGCGCTTCCCCATCTCGGCCGCCCGATTCACCTGCGTGATGATCTGTTCCCGCAGCCTCCTGTTCTCGGCCTCGCGTCGCTCTTTCTTTTTCTGACTGTGTCGGCACACGAGGGCGATGATTATGATTTTGATAATGATGACGATGGCGATGGCGCATATTATGGCGGTTCGATGAGCGTCACAGGAGTTGGAGTAGGAGCATTGGCTGTAGTAGCTGCGTTTTGTGAGGGAGAGGAAGGTTGGGAGGGTTGGTGCCATCGTGTGTTGAGGTTTGGGGTCGAGTGATGTTGGTGGTGCAGTGAGATTGATATCGAAGTGATGGTTTGGTAGGTCTTTATTTGAAGTCTGCTGTCAAAGCACCAAATATATCAAGATATATTTGATAGTAGACCGAAAAAACTCCCAATCGTAAAGCGTTGGAATTAACAAGCGTAGTGATACAATGAGCTGTACGCTGGCCTTCCAACGCCTTTTATCAAACCATCACGCCTCTTTGAAAAATCCCAAACTCCTCCCCCTTCCTCGATCCTTCCATCCTTCCATAACACACGAAGCCATGACTGTGCCTTGCTCATGCCTTGCTGTGTGCCAAAAAATCCTTTACCATACCACTCGCTACAATTCGCTAGGCCAAGTCTCACTTCGGAGAGTTGCACAGCCTCTAAAACTGTCAGAGTGCCTCGCCAAAAATCGCACGGACGGCAATCCTCAGGAGTGAACGCCTGACAGCAGCCAATTAGATCATTTTACGAGATGAATCGGCAGGCGAAGATCATGCGGCACGATTGTGGCGTCTTTTTGCTGCGGAAAGTGGAACGCGTGAGGTGGTAGAAGACGAGGACGGTGGTGAGGCTGAAAGGTTTCGGAATTCGGCAAAGGCAGGGATTGGATGGTTTTCAGCATTCATCACTTGCAGATGATGGATTTATTGTTCGAAAGATGCATTTTTGAAACGGAGAATTTCTGCTCCCACTGCTTGAGCGACAATAGGTTAAGATCCAGCTGCTTCAAAATGTTAAGGCATTAACACAACTTCTGTACCTGTTCCATCGCAAGATCAAAGAAATTTTTTGACAGACATCCGAGGACTTCTTGAATCCCCCTAAACAATAAAACCCGCTCTGTTTTGGAGTGCCAAGTAGCATGCGCCTTGAACGGAGACCTCAGTGGCGTGTATCTTCGCCACGTCGTGTGTGATGCCTATTACGCCGCCTTCTGATAAATAGCTGAGGGCGGCTGTAGAATTTACAGCCCATTTCTGGAAGAGGCGTTCGAAATGAAGATTGCGCGCGACTCGTTAAGCGACCGGTGAAGTCCTTGGGAGTGTTGTAGTCTGATTGGAACTGGCTGGGATGCAAAGCTGGGGGGTATGTAGAGTATTGGCTTGGGAATGTCGTGTACCAGGCCCATTCGGTTGACTAATGCTGCAGGCAATGCATCCGGAATGGTGGGTTGTTGGGATGGAAATGCAGGAGGAGGATCTAACAGTGAAGAACTTCAACGACCAGGCCTGGTAAGATACTATAAAAAGGCGACGGAAATATGCAGGTGTTCTTGGGTTGCCGGAGAAAATGAGAGAGGAGGCTTGTGTGCTGGAAATCAGGCATGTACGCTGGAAAGTAGACATCTGTGGTGAAATTAGAGAGCTAAAGATGTATGCCTTACATTCGTATTCGTGATAGTAAGGTAGAATAGGGCGCCAGAGTAGTGGATAAAGAATGTCGTGTGACTATGGGTAGTAGGGTTGACTCTGAGAATCTAAGGCATATCTCGCGCGCTGTTCGCTCTATAGTAAAAATTATCGGTAACGGTCATGCTGGGGTTATGGGCCGCCCCGCAATGCCAGTCTCGAAGACATACTGACGAAAGCAAGAGTGGAGGCGTCCTAAAAGGCTCCCTAGCCAACCAGAATGCCTTACCAGGTTATCCAAAGCCAGGATAACCGAAGCATCTACCTCTAATTCGACTTCGCAGTTTAATTTAGGACTTGTATCCGCTTTGAATCCAGGCTTTGTTGCCTCAAATCTAAAATTTACTAGCATGATAGTATTCACTACTATTGGTAGACGGGAGAAAAGATACAGACAAGACGCTGCTAGAACAGGAATAATATTATTATACAGGAATCGAGTTTGTTGTCATGCTCCGAAATTGTTGGATAGATGATCTCCAGTGGACTACTTCCGTATTAAGCAAGACATCGATGCGACACCGCGAGCCATTCTAGGCAACCACGAGGAAACCCGCCAGGGCGAAGGTGAAAATACACTGTCAGAGAGTTCTGAAACCGGAGACTCTAGGGAAGTGGTGCCGTGACAGCGTTGGGTGGAAGGATACAACTTAACTGGAGGCAGCGCTGCCCGCATGCACAATACCTGAGTCGGCATGTTTTGACTTGGAGTCAAAATAGGTGGGCTAAGCGCCAGGGAATTTCGAAGGCTGCCTATCGTGTACCTAGGTACAGCTAGTAAGTGCCTGTCAGATTCCGCCGGGACGATAGACGAAACGAAGTTGGTATCTTCGTCGCGAGAGTTAAGTAAAGGTTATCGAGATTGGCAGTAATATTACTTGTAGTGTTGAGGGGCAACAGGCTACGTCAACAGACACTCCAGTGGCTTGATTACTTGCAGGATGCATGGGTGCTTCATAGTTTAAGGTCGAATGCACTACAACTGACTCTGTATCTCCTCCTGTTGCTTGATAGGCTGTCACACTGTGTCGTTGGATCAAGCAGTGGGGTAACACTGATCGGTCAGCGATCAAGGGACTCAATCGAACACTGAGAAGGTTTGCAAAGCAAGGTCAATCCAGGGTAACCGCGTATCTTCCGAATGGCGACAGAAACCCAAAAGCCGTTAGCCATTTAAGGTTTCACTCTCGCACCGTTAGCGGATGGATAACGTGTGCCGTGGAGATCTTACCGCATTTTGCCTGGTTGGGAAGAGAAATCGTACGATATGTTTCTAAGGGCCTTTTGCGTGACAATAGTCGAAGGAGAACGAAAAGATTGTTGTCTTGGATTGGGATAAAAGAAAGAGCCTCGACCATTAACAGAAGGATTATCTCGCAATTGTACCCAGCAGTGCCGGGAGATTCGGCAAGCTTGGCCGTGAAAACACTATCAAAGTATAATTGGGCTGTGAAACAGCGCAAAGGTCGAGCTCCGCAATATACTGGCGAAGATTAAGGCTCGGGTAGAAGTATTCCATCAAGAGGGAGATTTCCCAGAATTTAGCCGTCAGCTTCTCTCGGATGCTGAGGTGCTCAAAACGGTGACGAAGTTGGGAGGGATTGGGAATGTATCGTGTGGCAGAGTTTGACGGGAGCTGTCAAAGGGACTCGCATCCGTGGCATGAGTCGTGGCGAATGTCACAGACCTGCAGGGTGCACTTGACTAACAGTCATTTTTGAGTTTGTGAGTAGTGCTGACGAAAACGACTCTCCCTGGAATTCGCCCTTGGCTGAGATCAGGGGCCGAGCGGATGCGCTCCAGGGATCTATCCATATTGCTGAAATCTCTTAGCGCCACCAACGCTCCAATACCGTCGGCGCCAACCTCATGAAGCGCCGGTTACTTCCCTCCGCCGTCCAGGCGTGTCGGTCATAGCCTGTGGATGTTATATGTGACTGCTGTGTGACAAGGCATGGAAGCCATGTGCGAGCACGATGTAAACCAAACAGTGAAGGGGGCTCACATCAACCTTTATCCGTACTGTCAGGGCGCCTCTTTCCATTGCCGAAGCCAATCGCTCAGCCCAGTCAGCCTGCACCTCTCGGCAGAATTCCACAGGGCAAGACTGCATTTTGTTTGGGAGTTTGAGCCATCGGTGATAACAGTCTCAAAGTTCTGCCTAGAACGGCGCGCTGCATTGTCACGAACAAATTGAGTTTATGATCTTTCTAGACTCTATAAAACCCACACAGGACCAGGCAGATCAAACGGGCTTCTTGACACCAGCTGCGGGCTACTGGCGACCCACATATGTCCGAAGATCTAGTCAATCAAGGCTGGCCTTGAGGGAATCAGCCAGCGATGGGATGCCAGCTCGGAACAGTTGCGGTTAACCGTGATTGGGCCGTCGTTGGGTGAAAGACGGAATCAGTGGACAACCCGCTTCAGGACATAATCTATACTTGGTTCATAATAATCCCATTGCCCAGGACCGTCCCCATCCTCAATTTCTCACCTCTTGCTCTGTCCCCTACGCTTTGCAAACCCGCACGTTGCGCGCCCTATGCCTCGTCTTCTTCCTCCCTCTGGCTATCCTTCGTCATCCCAGAGATGCGAAACATTCCTCCCGATGTCTTGTTATCGTGGCCCACGCCCAACTACCAGGATCCTGCGACGCGGGGGAATGCGCTGATAATCGTGAATGCAGTTTTCATCTCCTTGGTCATGCTAGTCGTGTCGTTAAGGATATACACACGCCTGGCTATCAAGAGATGGTTTGGATCTGACGACGTTTTTATCATGCTAGCGCTGGTAAGTAAAATTCTACTTATGGGAAACTGTGGGATGCGCTTTGTAGGAACTTTCTCTTTTCCCGCCCCCATTGGCCTTTCTTTCCAAGCTACTAGTCTTCTCTGTGGAACGCAATTGAACGTTGACTTTGCATTCTTATCACTTTCTGCCTTTGCCGTTAGAGTCTCCGTAAAGAGTTTGAAGGAATATCTGCCTCTCCGCTGGTTCTTCGTTGGGCGCTGGCCGCGAACACTTCTAACAACCTCCAGATATTTTCGATCGCCCTTACAGTGATCGTTATATTAGCCAACCAAGTGTATGGCTGGAACAGGCATATATACGACGTTCCCTTCACTAAAATCGCCGCAACATTACAAATCGCAATGGCCGCAAAAGTAATCTTTACAGCGGCGGCAACCTTCACTCGGCTCTCCCTCCTCTGTTTTTACTACCGGCTAGTCCACGACTCTAGCAAGAAGATTTTTACCTGGGCTGTTCATGCCAACGTTGCTTTCCAAGTTGCTATTTTCATCAGCTTCGTGTGCCTTAGTATATTCCAATGTAACCCTGTGCGCAACTACTGGATCTTTGGGGCGCCTGCGAATACATGTTTAGACGAAGGGAAAGTAACGCTGGCTGCAGGAATAATCAATTGTGTCGCGGATGTCTTCTGCACCCTGCTGCCTATCCCCATGGTCATAAGTCTACAAATGCCACGGAGACAGCGCATGGCTGTAATAGGTAAATCATCTTTCCTGTAAAAGATTTCCATGTATTCACGTAGCTAATTCCTTGCCAACACAGTGCTTTTCAGCCTTGGGTTCATCGTTACCGTCGCTGGTATTGTTAGGACATGGTACATCTACAAGAGTTTAATTGCTGAGTACGATGAAACTTGGGTTCGTCTTCAGCCAAGATGTATCAAACCTCCTCGACTAATATCCCCATCAGTATGCATTTCCACTTTGGATAGCTGCCGCAGTAGAGATAGATTTGGGTGTAGTGAGTCTCTCCCCCCAGGCTTCCCACTCCTCAACATCTAACGAAACTGATCTATTTTTTGCAGATCTGCGCATCAGCCCCTGTGCTTCGACCTCTACTTTCCAAGTTACCCTGGTCCTTATCCATCACATCATCCAGGTTTTCAAGAAGGACCTCTGTGTCAGGGAACTTCATACCGAGAAATTCCTCAAACAAATACCGCTCTGGAACCACCCTTCAAGGGAATTTGAGTAGCCACTGCAAGTCCGCTATGGACTCCAAGAGAAGATCAGAACCGATTATGGAGGACCTTGAAGCCGAACGAAAAGGAGAGCATGAATATGAATTGAGGCAATGGGATGACGTCGAGCGGGGTGTCAGGAACGACGAGGACAGCGTTGGAGAGAGCCAGGTGGCTATATGGAGCAACGTGGACGGGGACCAGGACCGTTCAAGAGGGTTTAGGATAAACCAAACTGCGCCGCTTGATCCCGAGGCTTCCGACTTACATCTTGAGACTGTGAGCATACGAAGTTTGGATGCTGTAGGCATAGCGCGATAACCTCATACCCAAACAATATACCCCAACAGCATTTCCCAATCACAGAAGCCTCGTCAGAAGAAATTACTTCAATTAGTGCTCATGGGTGGATATTTGTGGGAGAGGGTTCTAGTTCTGGGCTCCATGAGCGGTCGGGGAAATCATAAGCTTCCTTCTCATCCATGTCGCTATTGATTGGTCTGGGAAGGTGGAAAAACCATGTACCCGGTCATTGCTTGGTTCTTTAACACCTGGCCTGCAGAATCTATGACTGTTGTATCGCCAGTCGGTGTCGACCCAATCCAGAGCGGTGAGCAAATGGGTCCCCAGTGGCTACCTAATTGTCCAGCCAACGTTTCGCAGATCTTTTGTGATGTCTGGTCCGTAACGGCAAAGTTGGGCTCCGTCGAATTGATCTGTTGTCTCATCAAAGAATTGCAAATAACCTTGTTGATAAACCAGTGTATAGTCAACCAGCTAGGTCGGGTTGAATCGATTGGTGACTTCAGTAAAGACGTTGTTGTACTGCGTCCAAAGTGTGGAGTTGTACATTATCTCTTTGGCTTGACCAAGCCCGTCTTGACACTTATCCAAAAAGGGAATTTGTAGATGCATGCTTTGAGAATGGAGCTGAAACGAACGTCGTTGCCTGCCATACTAATCAGCCCAATGAGAACTATACATGGCTTTATTGCACCTGGCTGTAATTGGAAGTGCTGTGATTGTCGTATCACCCGTAAGGGTTTCGGCTTCTGGCCACCCCGTCCTTAAGGACATTTCATGTTGTCGTATTGTTGTAATTTAAAAGGGTAATGCATCGGTACCGCGCATGCACGTAGAATTATCGTCATATGGCCCACTAGCTCCAGAGCCGGCTGCAAACGAGTCACCGAGACCGGTCCACTTCTTGATTATTTTAGAGGGGAAGACAGCTTGTCTAAATTTCCATATGTAGAGTTTGAATAACGAAGCTGTTAGATGGGCTCTTATGTTAAATGTAGGCAATATGACATTGTCGATTTAGCGTATGCAAAAATCGACAGAATTCTTACCGCGCTGCGAGATTTCCTATAACAACAACACAACTTAAATCTATAAGAGCCCTAAGGTATTATCTCCCCAATACGTAGAATCGTTTACTGCCTTTGTTTTAAATTTATATTGTGTAGCTGCCAAGATATAAGAGGGTTGTTATTCTACTCTTCTAAAGTTTTAGAGGACTCGCTTACGGATCAGTATTATGCCCTGCAAAACGCTGGTTACGGTCGAATTTTTCAGGAGAACAGCCGTGAAAAGGTACAGCATTACTAAAACAAGAGATATACTTATGCAACTCAGCACTCCTCAGCAGCGAACTGCATTGTTTCTTTCTCGTATTTTTGCTTTTAGTGACACCTTCTTAAGATTTAACTATCGTTTACTTTCCAGTTTCGTAGTTTGTTGTTGGTCCGTTTTACCTGCCAAGGGCTTAGCAGTGCAAGACGTGCGCAGAACTTCCAGCTATTGGTTGAAATTCTGACCATAACTAGGTTTTTGCAAGGCACAACAATAGTCTTTGCATGCAAAATTTTACAAATATGCTCTTTACAGCAGCATCTTCTTCTAATATGGAATACAGATGTTAATATTATATAGAAAAGATCCTATAGAGCTAGGGGCATTCTTTTTATTAAGAAATATATTTGCGTTGCTGAGATATTAAAGAAAATAAATCAGGGGAAACGGAAGTCTGGTAAAGCGTGAACAATTCTGTCGATTTTTGCGCTAAACTAGTGCCGTATTTGCCTCGCTTAGAATTCCGTAACTTCAAGCGTCAATCGCTCACCCAGACGGATGTAAATACTAACTGCCAGATGATATCCTCGTAGAATGCGACCACAGTGTAGTCAAGCCATTCTATGACCACCGAAGAGCGCCCAGTTCATGATTAATGTTAACACCAATCGCCACAGCCCCACCGGCCCCTGTTTGGAGGCTGTGTTCCTGTCAAGGCTGCATTGTACCCTCTCCGCTGCTTTCCCTTCTTCGAACATTGCACCCACTAGCTCCCTAAAGCAACCCATCTTGAGAATCACTCCCTGAGCGAGACAGGCCGTGATTTTACTTCTGCTTCGCAATGAGAATATGGAATGCGTACATGATCGCGCGAACATGGTGCAATATAGTCGTTTAGTTAGGCATGCATAGACTAATAATTCAAAGGCTCACCGACGGTTGGGACATTCGCATGATGAATGAAGTTTCATACTCAGAAGTGAGTAGCGCGAGATATTCAAATTACACTTTCAATTCATAAATGACTAGAAAAAGCCGCTTGTTGCGCCCTACCTGGAACAATCCCCGCTGCAGGAATGGGCAAGATCTTCCGTCTCAACACACAACAAGATACGACAAGCACCACGACGAGGTCATCGTTCAAATAGTACCCCTTTCTCAAGCACAACGGATGCAGATTTTATATGGACAAAGTATGTACACGACTACCATTGGCATTGGTAATCCGCAGGTGCTATTTCGAGCCGAAGTTGACACAAGTTGGGGTCCACTATTTGTGCCATTGATATACTGCACGGATAACCCCTGTTGGATGCATTGGGAGCACATGTACAATCCGCTCAACTCTTTAACTTCTCGTGCCAACCTCACTAGATACCAAGTGACATACACTGGCCAGGCCTACGGCCTCTGGACATGGGGAAAGGAGACGTAGGAAAGTGTTACATATTGGTGGCCGAATTCACTTGAACGGGGCGACCTTTACGATACGGTTCTCGGCCTTGCGCTTCGCGATATCGAGGATGACGATACTACGCTTCACTTACCGAGCTTGTTTCAGGGCGTCCTGGATCAGGGGTTACTAGATGATGACTTGTTTACGCTTCGAATGTCGAGAAAGGATGAGGAAGGGGGGGAGCTTATATTAGGCGGTATTCCAGACTACATCGACAAGCATAAATTGGTAGACACTCCTCTTACACGAAACTATGATGGAGGAGACCCCCAGATGGCGCGGTTCTATCACGGCTAGGTTTCGAAGGCGTCTCGGTGCCTTGCGACGCGCGATCTCGTCTTCCGAACATAACTTTCGTATTGGGGCCGGACGGGCAGGAAGTCTCGCTGACATCGTTAGACTACGTTTTGGAAGTCTACAACAACGTGTTAAGCAGACTCGAATGTCTAGTCATGGTTGGCGGTTTGGAGAAAGAGGAGTTAAGTGGGTTCGTGCTGCTAGGTAGTCTATTCTTGGATGGCTTGTATAGCGTGTGGGATGCGGGTAGGAAGACCGTTTCTTTCTCGAACTGCCCTAAGTGAGATGATACCTTAGGTCGTTCAAGATCTTATCCGAGCGCTCGATCGTTACGAACCCAGATACGGATAGACGCTGTCAAGCACGGCACATGAACACAGATGATGCAAGCCATCATGGAACGGACTTTAGCAAATGTACAGTGTGCACGATCCGGTGCGCGATCCGGCGCGCGACCCTGTCTCATTGTCCTATTATTGAATATCTCCTCGTACTTTTTTCCTTAGCCACTGCCAATGGGCACATCATCTCCAGAAATTGCGAAGCCTTGACAAACCACACTTCGCATCTCGTCAAGAGCTCGGTATAAATTGTCATCGAACTACCAAGCAGCAAAAGACTAAGTATTCATTCCTCCTCTGCACTAACAACTGCTTCGTGGTAGAGCTCTCCTTGAAGCCACCCGTCGCAGCATCGCCACGCCAATCAACTCTTCTTTGAATTTGCGCCATCTGCAGATCTTGCGTTCAAATCCTGTGTCACAGAAACTAGCCCCTAGCCTAATTATCCTTTTGATTGGGTTTCGGACTGAGGTTGACATTGGTTTGGCGTGGGCAAGGCTGGTTTCCTGGACTCGGGCCTAAAGCTTTGATATCTACCTCTCGTCCGCCCCTCTTGCTTCCACACACTATTTCGCTTCAAAAGCACTAATAACTTTCTACCAATTACGGTATCACATTGCGTTCCCGTTCTTAGTCGGCCTTGACTACATGCATGTACTTTGTCGTCCTATGATGAATGAAGACTGGTCTTTGTCTAACAACTAGCCTAAGATCATTTCTTCCTTTAATCCTAGCCATCCCACAACTAAGTGCGATAGTTTTTATTGCACGATTTACAGCGAGCCTGGATTCACGATACAGGTGGTAGTGTTAGGATATCGGGCGATCTGGGAATTGATCAGATGGATGATATGGGGGAGAGTAATATTGTTCCTGTGCGAATGCGGCGTTCCATCTGCCTTAGGATCAGGCTGAGGGAGAAATATGGGGGGTTTGCGGTTTCTTATTATTGTCTTCCCTCTCTACTCCAGTACGTCAATCTTCTGCTTCGCAAGGCTCTCTCGATATTGGCCTTCTACGACGTCCTCGTGTTCTGTAAAACCATGAAATATATCTCATGCCCTTTTTAATATGGTTTTAAATTAATATAGCGAAGTTATCAGTGTCTAGAGAAGGCCGGGGTGAAGTTGAGGTTCACATGATAAAACCAAATTGTTTCCAGCCACCAGCCTGAAGTTGCGTTGTGCTTGGCTGAGCTCATCCACTCTCCATCAACCCTTCTCACGCAGTCAGCAGACATCTTGCTCCGCCACACTCTGACCTTCTCTGTCTAGTTGTATGAGCGCCCGTATCCAGATATGCGCCTTCAGCATGTTTTGCCTTAATGCCACCTAACTTCATATTCGCGCCACCATAAACTCTTTCTCTTCACAGTCAAGCGACATGGATGATTTGTTACCCTCGTACGAGAGCGCTATTGAACAGAATCCATGGGAGCTTGTTGCCAAATATCTCCCTTCAGACGACCTCTGTTCTGCTGCATTAGTCTGCCAGAAATGGTTCGAAATCTTCACACCTCGGCTTTGGGGTAACCCCGCTTCTCATTTTGGAGTCCAGAATGATACAGTATATGGTGCATCCTCTTCCCGAGTTTGAAGCTAAAGATGCGTATACTGATGATCTTGTAGTCGCCCTGACCCGCTTCAAACGCACATTATTCTGGTCTCGACTCTGTGTCCGAGAATTGACGCACACCCTTCACCTCCCTCCGGCCCATGCTGAAATCTATGGTGGCCCACACTGCGAGTGGCTTCGCGATTGCCTTGAGCGTCTCCCGAATCTTCAGTGCCTTATCGTGAATGGCCTACCATTCTTTGACCACGCCTCCTTACTTACCTTGCGCCACTCGAGTCTGTGGTGGAGGTCGAATCATCCCAGCGCATTCCCAGTCTTTGGTCTACGCCTATTGGACGCCTCAGGATGCTCGAATGCAACCTCTACCGGTCTCTCAGAGGCTCTAACGCACTTCCCAGATTTAGTTTCTCTAGATCTGTCTCGGACTATTGCGGCAAAAGATGAGACTGTGCTCAGCAAGCTCAAATTTCTGCGAAACCTGCGTGTCCTAAAACTGAGAGGCCTTGGACTTAGGGATTCGGATTTCTCCATTATTGCTATCTCCGTCGGCACCCGCGTTAGAAGTCTCGATGTTCGTGAAAATCATCTCACAGATGGCAGTGCCCGACTTCTTCTCAATCATTGCTTGAAGGAGACTAGCAACGATTTCCTAAGGCCTCGGTCGCCGCTTCCACCAGTCCGGCACAGTAGACCTCTTGGCGAGACTGATATCTTTGGGACCGAAGATCTTGACGCTCATCTACGGAAGAAGCTAACGCAGGGTTTCGTCGGCAGCCTTGCAATAGAAGAAGCTAGAGATGTGGGAGTCACACATTTATATCTTTCAAAGAATTCCGTGACGGTAGAGGGGTTTTCTGGCTTGCTAAGATCAAGAAGATTGCAAGTTTTGGACATTGGGACACCTCCTACTGTGTTGCAAAGGCCACAAAATTTACTAGAGGAAGAGGAAGAGGAGGATGAAGATCTTATTTTACCTGGCGTTGAGAAACTCACACCAGTCTTAGCTGAATACGCTGCCGAGAGGATGGTATACCTGAGAATCAACTACGCAGTTGTCACAGAAGATGCTCCAGTGGACAGAGTTCCTTCCCTACGAGCAGAGCTGGGCGGAGATCTGGCAAAGTATACGCCATCTGGTGCTCACGAACTCGAGGCCACCGAGCCACCGCAGCCCGAACTAGAGTCTACGGACAACGCCATTTACGAGCTCCCAGGCGATCTCGTGCGGCCAGTTGAGCTTCCTCTATCTTCGCCACTTACTGAAGCTACACAAACATCGCAAGAGAGCACTTCTTTAACTAAAGACGTTAGGGAATCAATGAAGGTAAAGCGCGCGAGGACTCCCACGATCGAGGTGACTCCAGAGAAGCGAGAAATCAAGAGAGGCCCAGCCTACGCTCCAGAGCCGGTGTGGAGCAAACTTCCACTCTCACCCGTAAGCCCGATACTGGATATTAGTGGGGGGCTATCTCCAATTGCCAATTTTATGGACGGGGCAACGCGAACATCTTCCGTGAGCAGTGACGAGGAACGGCAGACGATCACTAAGCCTCGACAGAACTCAACATATTACGTTGAAGACCGACGGGCACGCCTCGATCTACGACAAGCAAAAGAAAACCGGTTCCATCCTGGAATGATTCCAAAGGCCCATACTCTAGTCTTGACAGATGTACCAACAACCACTGAAAACCCGGAGATAGTTCGTCGTCTGATCCAGTTCATTAAAGATTGTGCTGAAGAAGCATACATTGCAAGACTCCGAGCGAAACACACGTATGCCCTACCGCCTGGAAGAAGTCGCACAATTGCTGAACGAGAGTACGCCCGAAGTTTATTCGCATTGCGTCGCATTGTGTTTGAGATGTCCCCGCCACAGGCGGCACCCAAAAAAATCTCAACAAGCTGGCGTCAATATCCTACGAAGTCATCGACCGAGGACGCGGACTCTGAAGCGTTTTGGGAAGCTGCCACTCATGACTTCTCCTTCTTTGGGGATGAAGAATGCGGCCTACCAAATGCTGAGCCGGGTCGCCACCTACCACTCACAGCTATGAGCGGCTTGATGTTAGCACCGCACCGACCGGCCCCTGCACCGAAGTCTCGTCAGCCCAACGACGATTTCAGACCTGTTTTTGACGTTGTCTCCGAGATTGCAAGATTCCGGAACGATAGGAAAGCTGTGTATCATGGGGCAATGCAGTATGGTGAACAAGATCCTTTCGTGGAGGACTACTGGCCTGGAGACATATCAGTTGTTAGAAAGCCTATCGACTCGGATCCAGGACACGTGGACTATTACGGAAATCGATACGAGTCGGGGTATTTGTATCGATGATGATGCCTAGCCGTTACGTGTTCGAGGGTAGGTTTATTTCATATCCGAATGAAAGCGTGGTAGGGCCTGTGCTCATGTACTGCGTCTTTTCACCTGACGCGGAACATAACAAGGGGGTAATTTAGGACAGAAATATGTACTCTGTTGGCCTTTTCCTCTAATTCTAGCAGGAGGATTAACAGATAGGTTCTACCCTGGCTATGTTCCACGTTATGTGATATCATGCTGTACCAAGATTGAGTTGTCAGTGGAGCTTGTTCAAGTAGGCGGGGTGCAGAGAGCAACTAGGAATGACGAGAGGCAACACTTTGGGGAAACATGGATGCCCCTGACAATGTCCTGGTGGTAAATTACTGCCTCTCAAGCTGCCCGGAATGGCCTGGGGTTAGTGGACACCGGCTTTACGGTGATTCGCAATGACTGGCAAATTGCTGAGGGATACGTGAAGTCCCAGGCTAGATTCGAACTGAGAATGAAGGCCGACTAATGGATCCTCCTGGCTTCCTCATTGCTTTTATCAAAACAATGGTCAGATTCGTCGCCCCCTCATGGACAGCTGCCACTTCCCACCCGGCTTTCGCGCTTGGCCTCTGTGCGCCAGCCAATGATATCTTTCTAATCCGATCAACGCCGGTGAGGTGAGGAGAACCCCACCTCAGCCTTGCGGCATACTCAACACAAGCCCTAGCTCTCATGCACCTACCTTGCCTTCAGGACAGTATCTCAACCAATATGTCGTTTCGAGTACTGTTTAATACTTCCGTCCTGTCTAAGCCACATCGTATGATCTAGTAGCTGCCTTGGCGGGAAGAAGAGCCGCGGGGCGGGATCGTAATATCTTCATCCACCTCCAGTTGCCTTTCGGTTCCATATGTCCCTTCAAAAATCATCTCATCCACTGATATTTATCGTTCTCTTCTGGATACACGTTCCATTTGGATAACAAGGACATCTTAGACACGTCTTTGGCTCTAGGAGATTGACAAGATGGGCCAATCTGTGACAAGACTGCCAGATCTCCCAATTCGAGAATCTAAAGCCCCACGTTCTCAGAGGGCTGCAAACAGCGCCCCAAGACAGAGGCGTCCGAATTCCAATATTGATGCTACTCGGGTCCCATTAAAATCCATACTCCGCAGCTCCTCTCCCCAGAGCCGTAACCGAAGGCGTTCGCTTTCCAATATTGATGCTACTCGGAACCCATTGAAATCCACAGTCCGCAGCTCCTCTCCCCAGAGCCGTGCCCAGAGACGATCGAGAGCCTTGTCGGAGATTGATAGTAATTATCGTCAAGCTGCAGCCTCGGCATGGACGAGACACTACCACGGACATCACCACCACGGAAACCACCACGACCGGGAGTGGAAGGCGAGGTCTGCAAGAGATCCCGGGAGGCCTTCCCACCGCTACCGAGATCGTAGTCCCGAGATCTACCGAGAGGATAGAGTCGATAGATCTACTACCGACCGGAAGGCGAAGCAAAGAGCCTCATATCTTAACCCGGAATCCCCCTCAGCACATACAGCCTCTACGAAGAAATCAAGACCGAAATCTGGGATCACTGTGTCCGAAGGAATTGAACTGGAGGACTTGGGGCCAAAGAACGATTGCATGGTCTGCGCGGAGAGTCTACCCTTGCGTCGATTCCCCAAGCGTCCCCCTACAGCTCAGTGCACGCATGAGATCAACACCTGCAAGCGCTGCCTGAGGAATTGGATTCGCTCCGAGTTTCAAAGCAAAGTCTGGGACCAGATCAATTGCCCTGAATGTAGGATACGTATGGATTATGAGGATATACGACAATTTGCTCCTTCGGAGGTGTTTCGTCGGTAAGCTCTGGCCATTCCCGAGAATTTTTAGCGGCTTAAAGCCTAACAGGTTTGCTATAGGTACGATCGACTCAGTACAAAGGCTGCTCTCGAAGCTATTCCAGGGTTCCGATGGTGTCCAGGGAAGGGTTGCAGATCTGGTCAGGTCCACGACGAAAACAATTTGACACCGAAGTTCAAATGCGTAGACTGTAGAGTCGAATATTGTGTTGTCCACAACCGTCGTTGGCATAAAGGTGAAACTTGCGCGGAGTACGATTATAGGTACACTATTGGCATGCCCAGCTTGAAATAACTTAACATAGCTGACTTCCTTCCTAGGACAGATGGCAGGATAAAGAAAGCGGAAGAGGAAGCGAGCAGGAAGTGGATTAAGACGACGGCAAAGAAATGCCCGAGCTGCAAGTACAACATCGAGAAATTATATGGTTGCGATCATATGACTTGTTCGTTCCCCCTGATTTTCCTTCTTAAGGCTTGATTCTATAAGTTCTGCTACTAATGTTAATATTCCAGGCACAAAGTGTAGACATGAATTTTGTTGGGTTTGCCTTGCCCCGTACGACCCCATAAGAAACCAAGGAAACAGACACCATCGTCCGAATTGTTCGCACTATGGATGAACAAGACTCGTACTAGGATAAAGGAGGACAGCACCATCTAGAGTGACTTTAAAAGAAATGTTGAGTCTTGGGACAGACTAGCGCATGCATCGGAACGCAAAAGAAGTTGTTTCTAGTCCCATACCTGTTACCCGAATCAAGGTGGAGGATAGCTATCGTATCTTTTCAAAGGCTTGAATCTGGAGAGTAGGGCAATGGACTGAAGGGGATCTTTCTAGAACAATATTGCGGGAGGAACTTACTCTTGCATGTCTTGTGTGAATGAAGAGAAATGGCAGGTTCCATTTTCTAGCTAGGTAGAAAGGGGTTTTCGAAGATTTGAAGTGCACCAAAGCCTCTCTAAATTGCTAATAGAATAGATGGTAATATGTTTGATAAGACTTAGGCTCGGTTTCAATATATGAATATGTAGAGACAGTTACGATCGCAATTCTTTTGAGGAAGGTGAGGAACGCGGTGACACGTGATGTCGCGTAAGAAATTCGGTTTCCCCGCCGAAGCTTCACCGCAGCCTTCACCCCACCCCTCAACGATGTACCCTCAACGACTAGATTCTTGCAGACACCATTTCTCCACTGGACTGGAGATGTTCGAGAACCAAGATGTCCCTGCTTGGTGGTGACGCCGCCGACGATGATATTATCGCCATTACCTCAACTCAATTATCGGACGAAAGCGAATCCCTATCTGACCCCACCATCTCTCCAGCATCCTCGCGAGAGAGCATACGAAGCCCTGAAGACACACAAAGTACACAGCGAGTTGATACCCTTATTGATCCCGACAACGAAGACGATGACGAAGACGAAAATGAAGATGAAGACGGCAAGATTGAGGCAGACGAAAACTCCCGTCCCAATCGCTTCGCGGGGAAGCCATCTACATGGAAAGGATACACAGCGGCGGAGAGAAACCTAGCAGCTTCGTTAGACCAACTAGAGTCTGGGGATCTTGCGGCACATCTATACAATGCTCACGCCCTGAAGCGAAGGGTACGATTACCTCCAAGCCGGCTCAGAGAGGTTAAGAACTGGCATGGGAAGGATCAGTGGATGAAAAAGGGTGAAGATTTGCAATATACTGATGATCTGGAAGGGGTTCAGTCAGAATTGGTGCCGTCTAAACGTTGGACATCATGGCCACTGCCAGCAGAGAGAGTGGCCGCGCCGTCGGAGAGGTTTGGACGACGGAAACCGGAAGAAGGAGGGGATGGATGGGTCATTGGAGGCCTGGGAGAACAAAGAGTCGGGGATGAATTGAGGGAGGAAATACTGGCCAACTTCCTACGCCTCGCGAAAGAGAAATGGGAGGGCAAGGAAGCCCAGGAGTTCACCCAAGACAGAGCAGATGCTGGGCTGAAGTTGAGATTAAGGTCACAGTCTGGGACTATTAGAGCGGAACAGCCATCTTATTCTCATGATGAGGAGAAAGATACTACGTCAGATCTCGAAATGCAGGGTAGTGCCGATCTCAAGCTAGATGAGAACTCAGCAGTGCAACGAAAGTTTGGGCGTATACCAGGGAAGAGAAAGAGTGGTGCGGCGGTTCTGCCTGTGAAACTTGCATTACTTGCTGATGATGATAAGGCGCGTCGCATCCTGCAACCTACGATCAACTCTCTGCTCACCCAGGTGGAAAGGCTCGCCACGGCGGTGCATCGAACGCGGATGAATCATTTCGGCAGGGGAGCATCCAGCGATACATCAGGGAGCGAGGTGATGACAGACAGAGATTCGAAATCTCCGGGTCCAAGATCCGGATCCAGATCCAGGTCCAGGAGCGCATCGCTCAAGAGAGTGGGCATTCAAGAGTCGTCTCGCGCGACCTCTATACCTAAAACTGGGAAACCAGTTCGACGACGACGGAAACGGTCGTTCTACGACAGCGACTCTGCTTCTGATTATGCCCGGGATCACGAAACCGAGAACATAATTGAGACCGGGCCCTCTCTTAACCCTGCATCGAACCGAGTACGCGGAAAATCTAGAGGTCTTGATACAGATGACGATTCCTTCATGAATCGAGAGGCTTCTGTGCAGACTGGGCTCCTTGACTGGAGTGAAATCCTTGGACTGGCAGCAATGACCGGCTGGAACGAAAGAGCTGTTGTTAGAGCCGCCCAGCGTTGTTCTACCCTATTTGGCGAAGGCATGGCATTCCGTCCATTCAACGAAGGTCTAGCATCGAAACCCATGGCGGACCCCGTCCACTATACAACTGCTACGATACCCGGCCCAGATATGTTAGGGGTCTCGACCGCCTGTAAACGTCCTTTCTTTGCTCAAAGCACCCTCCGATGCCCTCACACCGATTGCTTTGGCCACACAAAGGACTTCAAAATACCGTATCGGGTTGTGGAGCATGTCATGCGTATTCATGGCTATGATCCGCGCACAAATGACTCTGATAATGAAGAGCGGAAACTCGGTGGCGTGCATACAGATGGTTTTCTACAGCCCATTACTGCAAAACAAGGGTGGCTTGGTCAAGGAAGGCCAAAGTCAACAGATGGAAAGGAACGGTGGAAGAAGAGGAATAATATGCAGAGGGCGGAATCTTCACCTGCCGCGGTTGAGGGTTTGCCAACATGAACAGACAGATGGTGAGTTGCGATACAAGCTGTGCATTTAATTGGCTTCTACTATGGATGCCTATAAGAGCATACTGCTTTCTCCAACAATCAACGTAACTTGAAGCACTGTTTAGTTTAGGTTGATGCTAGGGTCCACTTTAACTTCTCCTCACCCACTCCTACAGCTTCACCCTCCTTTCACTATGCTTCGGCACAACTCTCTCTCAATCTGCCTAAATTTAAAATTCCTCGAGCAGTGCCACTCTCTCTGTCACTCAACCGATTACTTACTAGGCGATGGCTTGTAGCTCAGTAAGCTCTGCTAACTCGCGATTGCAGATAGGATCTATTTTCATATCAGCGTGATGCCTTACGCAGTAAAGGATAGAATGATCTGACTTCATACGGATAGCAGAGCCTGGAGAATTAAGAAGCAGTATGCATATTCTTGGCATTGAGGTTAGCCCGTTGGACTATAGCATGGAGATTAAGATGTTTGATGCGTTAAATTAAGTATTGGTTGCTAACAGATCGAGCTCTCACTCAATAGCCTACTCTAACCCCTGTAGAGAATGCTGTTGCTATCCTCAAGCACAACTTCGACATTAACATCCGATTCTGATATAGTAAGCTATTGCTTCTTTTGCTCGCTTTCGCGCTAGCATTGATCCTGACTGCCATTAGCTCGTTTGCACTACATCACCAAGGACTGGGACTCCATTCATCTTAAGGAGAACCTTGCACGATACTCCGACCACGTGTGCTATGCTGTCATCAACCTTAAAGTATGTGCGGATATCGACAGAGATTTATACACCACGACCCGTATGAGCATCAAGAACTCTGTTAACCAAATGCTTGAAATTAAGAAGGGAAAGAAAGACATCCACGTATTCTCCCCCGAGCGCTAGGATCGGAGGACTCTCATCACTATTTTTGCCTTGCAAGTGCAATTCCATAAAGGTTCTGTCCATTTCAAAGGCGTTAGCTTGTGTGAGGTGAACGCAAAGACAGTTCGATTTGCCAACATGGTCGCAGGTCGAGCTAATCTTGTTCTCTCAGGATCCGATCAAAACCAATGTCATGAGGACCTGCTAGGAGCTTAAAACCTTAGTCACTGTGTACACACCACTGCGTCGAGGCTAGCTTAGTGGAGGTCTCGATTCGATGAGTTAAATCGGCAATAGGAACTACACATTCGATATGCCTCGTTTCAAGGATCCCTTCTGGCACAACCGATACCTTACCAGCGACTTACCGATTGTTGCAAACAAATACTACAACAGGACCCTACCAACGCTCTCACTGGCATAGGTGAAAGATTTATAAGTTCTCCCGATCCCTTTGCTCGATCAGTTATAGTAGTATTGGGAAGAACAAGCTGGCGATGGAACGCAAGCTCTCTCTCAGGAAATTCAATAAATTTCTGTTTGCGCGACACTGGATGCGAAGCTGAAGGTAGAGAGGGATTGGGAGTGGGATATCAATTACGTCAGCTAGGAAGGTGTAGATGTGTTCGCAGCTTCACGAGGATCAAGCTCATGCAGGGTAGTGGTGTGGAGATATTGTGGGATATAAAAGTGGTCCCGCTCATTCAGTATTCCCCGAAGATGTACTCTGATTACTGCAACCTCTAGGGTAGGATTTCGAGATGGGACCTTTACTCGCTTTCAAGGTTCTTAGTTGCGGAAGGTATGGCGTTGAAGGTTTCGCTTCACTTTTTCTCCAAAATCAACTCGCTCCAGCTTCCATGGATACTCCCAGTATTTACCCTCTCTTTTGCCGTTCACTATAAGCACCATTCCCACGAGATTTTGAGTGGGCTACCGTCACTGACAATTTTTCGTTGTTGTGGTACCGACAATCTCCATATGACGTGGCTGCCGTTTCCCATTACTGGAGGAAATTGGATCTACGTCGCACCACAACAACAAACACACCATCCCACCCACTTCAATACCTTTGACACCGACTTCTTGCCCGGAACCGACCGAACGAAACCCAATTACGCAAGCTAGAGAACCTTCCCCGCTCCCAGACTTACGTAAGACAAGTTAGCATCGCAATGGCTTCTTCTCTCGCAGAGCCTGATACTCTTCCTTTTGACCTACTCAAACAGCACCGAGATGACCGAGGTCGTAGTTGCATCAGCATCGATGTTGGTCGCGACGAATATGGTATGGTGGTGGAGTCTCTTCAGCATCTCACCCGGGAGGTTGAGTACTTCATTCTTCCAGACCAGGCGAAACTACGGTTAGCCACGAAGCTATACGTGATCGGTCACTGGAACTTCACTTCTGATATCTTGGAGGAGGCTGATCAAGCCGAAGCCCAGGCAAGTGAACCCTGGACGATTATTAAGAAGTTGGATTTACTCTACCAAAACGGAGAGCAAAAGTTGACATAGATTGCGACCCAGGCCAAGACTCCTGAGGAGGAAGAGTGGAAGGAAGGCCTCGAACTCATATTCAAGGTGATCAGGAAGTTGGAGAATTTGAAAGAACTCACGTGGGTATTTCACGACCTGATTGGTTCTGAGTACTGCTAACATACCATTTTAAAAGCTGGGTCTCGACTCTCCCGTTCGTGCCGAGCACTTGGGAAGTCCTTCCAACCACTCTTACGAAACTTGTTCTGGATATCAGCCAGCCTGTCAGGCTTGACGGCACAGACGCTCATCGTGAGAGCTACTTGCCTCAGAGTGGATTAAAGCCGTTAGTCAACTTTGATAAACTAGAGGAGTTGAGAATCTTTGGCATGCGCGACTCTTTTCAATCTATCATCTGGGAAACGGTTTACCGACATGACCCAGATAGCGATGGGATGCGGATCCTTGAACTCTCTATGGCGAACCGACCTCTAATCCGTCAAGAAGGATGGCTGAAGGCCCAGGAGGTGGTGGGATTGAGAGTCGCCAAGGACGATGAGAATCCGTATAAGTAAGGCAATTTTGACCACGCTTCTGAATCCTCTCATTCTGATACTGCAACAGAGGCCTTGACGGGAAAGGTGTCCTCCACTATTCTTACGGCACCGGGGAGTATCTTGATGATTATTGCATAAGAAAAGCGCGTGGTTCTGCTGGCGTTGACGAGAACAAGCCAGTTCCTCTCTGGCGCCTCAAGCTAGATGGATTCGTCGTTGACCACCTCCCGTTCGAGACAGAGCTTAGTTTCCTAGTATTCTTAAGCTGCGGTAACCAATGCATCGATGCTGGTCTTCGAGCCCCAAAGACTTTAAACTCCCACAACACTTGGAAGTGCTATATTCCGAACGCGATCACCCACTGCATGATCGACTGGCCGGAATGGACAGGCATCTTTGATCCCCAAGGCCGACAACTTGCTTCTGATGGCACTCTGATAGGACTTAGTGAGGAGTCTAAGAATGAGTCGAAGTACGATAAAGGCGACGCTCTGGCTCTCACTACTGAACACCTCCGACAAATGGATCTCCGCACTAATGAAGAATCTCCTGGTGAGGCGCTGCGCAATGCATATGGCGAAGCTGCGGACCTCTTTACTCCTAGCATTCTCCATGGAGGACCTCCGACTCCTTTGGACTTGACTTCCATCAAGTCAATGCGTGGGTCGCCGTTACCGAGCCCTGACAGGGACTATTTCAGCTGTGGTTCGGATGACACTGAGCGTGGGAAGAATTAGATACGGTCTATGGCAGCGTGGGCATCGTTATGGCTTGAAGGAGAAATAAGGATTGGCCCTGAATACACTTGGGTTCTGGGAGAGCTTCGTGCGAGGGGTTTAGATGGGGTTTACACCTTCACCAAGCTGGTATTAGAGAATTAATGACCACATATTTTAGTCCGCGCATCTTGACAGTGTTCTTTTTTGCATTACTTCGTCTACTCGTCCAACGTCGAACGTGGCCAAGATAGAGTCCATCTGTCAAACGTCTTGCTAGAAACAGGGAGGACATCAAAGGAATGCAAAATCCGGTCCCAAATTACCTTTATCATGTTATACGGGAGGTAAAAAGATAGAGTAGAAGGATAAAGGTGCTGAGATGCCCAAATGAGACTAGCGTACTGCACCCCTGCAATATCGTCATCTATCGCGAATCACGGAGGCTCGAGAAAGTCACACCCAATGGTTTCGCTCAGCCAGAAGCGACGTGACCATGGCTTTTCGCGCATTTTGTCTTGATTTTGCTTTTCTCAGCGGCTGAGCGCACGCGTGCCACAGGCGTATTCTGCACGCTTCGAATCCTACTCAATCAGCGCTTCCCTCAAAGCCGCCGTCCTCGGCCTCTTCATGTTCAACCAGGGCCAACCCCAGTCATCCTTCCCTGAATACTTCTCCGAGGATGTCGGAATCAGACTCGGAGCTTGTTCTCTTTGCTAAGGCAGTCTCCAGACTTTTGGGATGGAGCTACGTTCTGTGCTGGTAATCAACCTCAAACATTTAACAGCAGAAGAAGAAGAAATACTTAAGGTTTCGTAACAGGTCCTTGTCCTTCTATCCGCAACCGATCCTAAACTGGAGACGAAAAAGCACCCAAGGACTTGCTATCGACTTCCCTACCTGTAACGTCCTCGGCTTCGTAGCCTATTCCATCTCGACCGGCGCGTTCCTGTACTCCCCAGCTATTCGATCACAGTATGCGTATAGACATTCCGCGTCGCCAGAACCTACTGTTCGATTCAACGACTTCCTTTTTGCAGCCCACGGCGCGGTGCTGTGCATCATAATCTACAGCCAATTCTACACGTGGATTTGGGGTTTCAATGTCGGTGCTAGACAAAAAGCAAGTAGGGTCGTCCTCGGCATCTTCTGGGGCTCTATCCTTGGTATACTGGTTGTTATATTCATCGTGCGCACAAGAGGCAAAAATGCAGGATACGACCCTTCAAGCTGGGCGTGGCTGGACGTGGTAAGTCGGAGGGAAGGCCTTCAACTCGGCTAAGGGGCTGACTCTGCCAGATATATGCTTTGGGCTATGTCAAGCTCATAGTGACTGTCATCAAATACATACCCCAGGTTCGTCGCTAATATCTGCCAAGCGAGATCTTCTCTTATGACAGGCGCAGGTGTTCGTTAACTACAAACGGAAATCGACAGTCGGCTGGAGCATCGGGCAGATTCTCCTCGACTTCGCAGGCGGGGTTCTCAGCATCGCGCAGCTTGTCATCGACTCGTCTCTTCAAAACGACTGGAGTGGGCTTACAGGAAACCCTGTGAAATTTGGATTGGGAAATATCTCCATCGCCTTTGACATCATCTTTATCTGCCAGCACTTTATCTTTTACCGAACCTCCGCCAAGGATATAGAGGAGGAAGAATGGCCAAACGAGAGGCAGGGTCTCTTAGCACCGCGCATATACTAATCTTTCATAAGTCTTATCATCTAATGCGGAACATGCTAGGGTGATCCAGGACAGAACTTTGCATCCTTTCAACTGTCTCCCTGTCTCCCTGATTATGGCAGGAGGGATAACATTTAGACTCTCCGCTGGTCCTGTTCCCTGTTCTGCGATAGCACGGCGGCTGGTTACTCAATCAGGACAGCCTCCTCAACTACTTCTCGAAGACATGCACGTTTCCGCTATTGGATGGACAAGTTGGGAAAGGATCAAACGACACACAGGGCGGGATGTTGGGTCGAGACAGCGTACTCCATGCATTGCTTGCATAAAGCGAGTCAACGTCCTTGCGACACAGTCAGGGAGCAGCCAAGTCAATATATTTTAGGTTTCTGGCAGGCGTTGGAGTTGTGAGCCGTAAGTTTGAATAAGGACAAGGACATGCCGATCATGTTCATTCTGTTTTCTGCACGTTTGTTAGACCGATAGATTTATAGAAATGGTCTAGATGGTGGTGGCATTAATTACAGTCGTTCGATTATACCCCTGTCGTCAACGAATTCTCGCACGTCGCACAGCAGCTGGACCGTCTTGTCGGGAGCTCCCATTGCGCATGACTTCGCGGACCTGCCGCGAGTCAGGAAACGCAGGGGCCGGAGACGTCGCTCAAACCTTGTGTGGCCGAGAGGATGACGGGTCATCATGTTTTTCGCGTATGCACGGCGACGGCAGTCGTTTGGCGCGAAGTTGTTTTTGCGTCGAGTTGTTTTCCTTTTGGTGAAACAAACATCCCGAGCGCGACAGAAGAGGAAGCCTCCAACCCTCATTCACGCCAACGTACTGAAGCGAAAGCTCGCCATGATCTCCGCAGGGTTGACACAGACGAGGGCTCCACGTTCCGAATGAGAATCAGGCACCACCTCAAACGGCCTGATCGGTGGCTGAAAAGGAATGGGGTTTCGAAAACCCTCCCTACATCACTGCGCTCCTCCCCCGCCATGAGAGGGGACGCTCGCTGCCGTGCAATTTCTCGACGATCTCCAAACCCAACTCCCCCAGGACGTCGGCGCGAGGCGTGCATAATTCCCAAGACCCGCGTTTGCACACGCATCGAAGCGTGCTTGACCTGCATGTGAAGCTTCCGATCCAGCGGTGCTCTCGATTCCGCCTCTTCGTCTTCAAGCCCGCGCTCAAAAGAGCGAACTGCGACCTCGGGGCGACCCGTCTCCGGCGTGAAGCTATTGGCTGAAGCGCGCAGCCTCAATCGCTCTGCTGGACCAGTTAATGCTCGCTATCATCATCAAAAGCTTTGAGGAGTAGAACGCTCTACCTGACTAAGACTAGATCCAGTGCCGCCACAGCTGCACGTCTGCAGCCCATCGTCTGGCTGGACGCGCTGAACGGCTCCACTACCAGTTGATTCCTCGGGTACGTATATTTCAAGTGGCATCCCTCGTTATGATTTCAAACCTTTTCCTTCATTAAGATGCACCAATGTCTGTTCCCGAGTTCCCAACCACGTCGTCATGGATACATTGAAATTTCCCCAAAAGTCATCACCCACGTTCAAAAGGCGTTCCGCTCACGGCATCTTCTCTTCTCCCCAGTATCCCACAATCTCTAGTCCCACCAATTTCGTCAAGATCAGCGGCATGGGGAACTTGAGCGAGGCGCGCCCGGCTACTGCCAATAGCGTCATGACAGATCCCACTACTCCAAGTGAACAGGGGGATGGATTCGGTGACGGCGGTGCGGTTGGCGAACCACTCGTTCAAGATTTCCAACAGTTCCACTCATCAACCGATGCAGACGATACAGACTGTGCAGACGATACGAACCTACAAGAACCTCCACAGACACCTACCCCCAAGACATTAAACTTTAAGCCCCTGAACAGCCACTCTATTGTGTCTTCTTCAGACGAAGATACCGCACCCCCGCCTCCTGATCTCACCCGAAGAGGCATTCATATTCCAACGCGCACTAGGTAAGTTGAAGTAGTGTCTGTCCCCTCTTCGGTACTAATTCTAACATCGGCCCCAGCAGCAAGACGCCAACCAAACGACGCTTTGTGCGCTCTTCAAGCAACCCTACTCATTCAATGCCTACAACCCCCGAATCTTATTCCCGTGCGCGCAGTTCGGCGGACTCTGTTATCTCTTACGAAACCTCTGCATCCTCGGTGGACCGTTATTCATTACCACCGTTGCAGCAAAAGGGTCTTCTAGACGATGTCGATCGACTCTCGCCCTTGCTGGAGGATGACCCCCATTCCTTCGATCTTGTCGCCCCAAATGAGGCTGAGACTGGCACAGCATTCTCGTTGGAACTGCGATCTGAACAAATGTTGTCAACGGCACATTTGCAGGCCATATTCCACGACACTCCCTCCTTTCTTCGATTTACGTCGTTTCTGAGCATGGCACGGCCGAAGTCAGTCCCCGTGCTAATATACTACCTTGACGCGCTGAAAGCAATACGGGCGATCAACTATGCCAACGCGGTGGCGGAAGCACTGGAACCAATAGAAGGGCATGAGTTCACGGAAAACCCAGCCAGACCCACCGTCAACGCAATCCTGGAGGATAAGGCAAACCAGGCATTCGACAAGCTCGTCCGTGAAGACTTGCCGGCTTTTATTACCCACATCTTCATCCAAGTCGTGAGCGTCAGCATCCAGAAACGGGTCACAGGGAACCTTCCTCCCTTGCTGAGGGAGGCTAGTGAAGGCTTGGCTGAGGTCTTTTGCCTCACTGACCCCTCGAGATCTGACAACCCAATCATTTTCGCATCCGAAGGTACGCGAGAGACAACTTGCGAGAATACGGTTTCCTAATCGATAGCAGAGTTCCATCGCACGACCCAGTACGGCGTGAGCTATGCAATCGGGCGCAATTGCCGGTTCCTCCAAGGCCCTCGAACTGACCCAAACAGTGTACGCAGGTTACGGGAGGCGGTAGTAGATGGCAAGGAGGTCAGCGAGGTATTCCTCAATTAGTAAGTATTAAAGACAGTAGAGCTACAACTGCTAACATATGTTAGTCGTCGAGATGGATCACCGTTCATGAATTTACTGATGACGGCACCATTACTAGATTCGCGCGGAAAGTTGCGCTACTTCATCGGCGCTCAAGTCGATATAAGCGGTCTAGTAAAAGAATGCACGGGCCTTGACGCCTTTCGAAGCATGTTAGATAAGCAAGACGGGAAAGAGCCTCTAGAGGAAGCCAAGGATGAGTTCCAGGAGCTGAGCGAAATGTTCAATATGGCGGAGCTAGACACAGTTCGCAAATTTGGAGGAAGCATGCACAGAGAGTATCTTGAAGAACAAGGGGATGCAAACATGTCTCATCGACCTCGAATTCTGCTAAAAGACCCGACAAGCAGCGATGTTGAGAAGTCTGTTCAGATCGACACCAAGGCCGAGGGAAGATTGTCTGGAGTTTACAAAAACGTATGTTTTCTCGAATGAAGAATGAGTGCTACACTAACTATGGTTTTTTAGTACATCCTCATTCGACCTTATCCTTCGCTACGCATTCTTTTCACCTCTCCTTCGCTTCGAGTCCCTGGCATCTTGCAGTCAAAGTTTCTCGACCGCATAGGTGGCTCAAGCCGCGTTAGAGATTCCCTTGCTGATGCTCTTGCAGACGGCACACGCGGCGTCACCGCAAAGATCAGATGGCTCCCCAAAGCCCTCACCAACCCCGACTCCGATCGCTCTGAAGAAGGCCGGCCTCGCTGGATCCACTGCACGCCTCTCCTCGGACAATCCGGCTCCGTTGGGGTCTGGATGGTTGTCCTTGTCGACGACGAAAAAGACTCCGGCCCGGTTCGACGCTTCCGCCAAGCACCCCCTATCCCCATGGAAATCAGGCGCACCCGCAACTCCTCCCCGGGGGATATCCTCTCAGAAAGCGAGGATGACTACGGCTTACAATCAGGCAGACAATCACTCAGAAACAGCTTCGCGCGCCACGCAGCTGTCGAAGCGATCCGCCGGCCCGGGAGTGCGATGAGCGAGCAGAGAGCGACGCATTTTGCTCGGGCAGGCAGCCCCGCTTACGATCCAAGTATCAATTCTTTTGCCTTGGCGTAAGAGGAATCAAAGCAGGCAAGAACTAATAGTGCGTAAGAAGTGAGGGCACGGGTCTTAGTTGAAGTGTGAGCGCGATTTTAAGAACAACGACTCTGATGTCGGTGTATGGTATCAAGAAATTTGACGCTGCCGCTAAAGGTCCAGCGTTGAGGAAGGGATCGTAGATGAGCAAAAATTTGAGGGGGCTGTTTATGAGGTGATGTTAGAGCTGCTTCGAGTCAATTAGCTTGGATTTGGATTCGGATTGGGTATTGTCAGGGATGAATTGGCTACTGGAAGGCTGTATATGGACTTGCTATATACCCAAAATATAGGGCGTGTAGAACTGGTTTATTCTTATAACAAGTTGCCACATAACGTGGAACATGACTAGGGTGGAGTTTATCGGTTAGACCTCTTGCTAGAATCAGGTAGACCGTCAATAGGATGCAAATTCCTGTCAATATTACCCTGCCAAGTTCCACGTTAGGTGACAAGATGCACATGATTTGGACTTTACTGGAATGGGTGTATTTGGGAACATGGAGGCGGAAAGACTTAACGTGGAGCTTCATGCATGTTTGGATATCTTGGAAGTATGACCTGCTTCTTCCTAGGTGCTATACCCTCGTCGGCGACAACTGTTGGGTTCCTCAATACACGCTCTCAACCCTTGCTTTCATGCCAGGACAGCCTCTCCTCACCACACCCGATCCTCCCTAGTTAGCCTGCTTTGTCATCTCAAATATGGGTATATACGCCTTTCGCATGCCTCACCAGACATGGTCCGGCTTAACTCTAACCTCCTCCCCCTTCTCCCGCACACACTCGCGGTTCTTGTCCCTACTTAAACTCTTCCGCATATCAAACGCATCCTCGCCATCATTATAGTAATCTACCACGCGCCGATACACAGAGTACCCCATCTTCCGATACAACTCCTGCGCAATCTCGTTGCTAGCCCGCACGAATAGGTCTACGAACCAGGCATTTGCGGCATCGGATTGTTGCTCGAGTGCTTCGGTGAGGCGCGTTGCATGGCCCAGACGTCGTGCTGACGGCGCGATGGTGAGAGCCGTGATGTGGCCGTGCCAGGGGAGGTAGTTCGGGTCAGGGTTTGTAGAGGGATGGAATGGAGTGACAGGGGATGGGTAGGGTGAGGATTCGAGCTTGCCGAGGACTGGACGTTGGTTAGCTTTAACTAGCGGAAGACTTTGGAGATTCTAGATGGGTATTAGGAGTCAGGAATTAGGGGATGGTGAGAGGGAGGGGGAGAGGAAGGGGGGGGAAAGGTACTGTAGCCTTCGATATTCCCATCCATACCCTCAATAACGCGACAAAGATCCGGCCATTTTGTCAGGTATTCGAGGTAGAAGCCAATGTGGTAGGTCTCTGCGCCCAATAGTCAATCAAGTAGACGTCATGCATCAAACGAATCCAGACCTGTGAGGGGATCGAGGTTGGTGGAGGAGATTTTGAAAAGATCATTTGGGCGCATAGCGCGGACTGTAGACATCGCGTTCAATATAGCTTCAGCTTGAAGCGTCTGGGCTCAAGATCCCGGAAAAAAGCATTATAAAATTTGAGTCAACACGCGTGGAGCTGGTGAAAAATGCCAAGATCTTGAAACCTCCGCCGGGCTCTTCCCGAGTTAACATTCATCCCCACTGCCCATCACCGCTTTCAAGCCACTATCACCGCCATGGCTTGGCACCGAATGGCACACCTCGTTCCGCAATCCTCTCTTAGGATCGCGTAATTCACGTGTGAGATGGTTGGAGCGGAATCAATGCTCGTCGCTCGCTTCATATGTATGTCGCTCTCCCATCCACAATATACCCCTCCCTCCCTCTATCCTCCCCCCCAATCCCTTCCCCCCTTTATCCCTTCCTCTCTCCTCCCCAAGAATTCCAACACCCCCCACCATGCCCCTCCTCGACATCTTCCATGCTGTGCGCGACCAAACTCGCGATCAGCGCCAATCACTTGAAGCCAACAACGCGAAATTAAGATGGCGGTTGACCGATGTGTTCGCTAGGACGTGGGATCTTGGGTTCACTGCTTTTGGGGGGCCGCCAGTGCATTTTAAGATTCTGCATAGGAGGTTTGTGGAGGGAGTTGGCGGGAAGTCTAAGTGGATTGATGAGCAGACTGTAGGTGTTTCTCTCACCCACATGCAAGATATTATTACACCTCATGGAATATGATTAAGGGTGTCTTTGATGCAGTAAATCTCTCTTGTCACAATGAGGGACAGTGTTAAGAAGATGCTGATTTCTGTCTTCAATCGGATCCTAGTCATGGTCCGTCCACAGTCTCCACATGGAGAAGCATTTTTGGTGTCTATGATGGACCATTGAAAAGCCCGATGTAGGACAGAAGAGTGTATCCCTTAGCTTCATATCTTCTCTGGCCCCTTCAGAAACTGCCGATATCTATCTATTTCTGTTCTCGCAATCTCTGTATTGCTGCCTTTCCAATTCCACCAATTCCCCTGATTCCCTTTTAAACCTCGATCCCTCATGTCAAACGTCTAATGTCTAACCCTCCCAGTATCAAGAACTCTTCGCAATATGCCAAGCGCTCCCAGGCCCCGGCAGCACCAAAATGGCCTTCTGCATCGCCCTCATCCACGCCGGATTCCTACCTGCCATCTTCGTATTTCTCCTTTGGAGTCTGCCCGGTGCAATTGGCATGTACGGCCTCTCTCTGGGCGTGCAAAAGATGCCTGATGTCTTGCCCCCGATTGTGTATGCGCTCTTAAGTGGGCTGAATGCAAGTACAGTTGGGCTTATTGCTCTGGCTGCTGTTGAGGTGAGTCGCGTCCCTTTCTCCGTATGAAATGCGGTGGACAGATACTGATGCATTTGGGTAGCTGGCAGAGAAAGCTATTAAAGATAAGCTGACTAGGATTCTGGTTGTCCTTGGTGCATGTGCGGGATTGTGCTATAACGCGCTGTGGTACTTCCCCGTGCTTCTTCTGGTTGGCGGACTCATGACCACTTTGTGGGATGTTTGGCTGCAACAACGGGTTGGAAAGCTTCGAGCGAAGTGGAGGAAAAAGAAGCAGAATCCGGATAGAAATACTGAAGAGAATGATCCGGTGGAGAGCGTGCCTTTGGAGGAACGAGTAGAGAATCGATCTTCCGAGGGCGTCCAAAGGAGGCCTTACACTGCGACTTCGAATGACCGCATCTCTCTTGAAAGGGCTGAACCTATTCCAGTGGCAGAACTAAATCAAGAGGAAGGCCGGGCTGAAGATAGTGCGACTGTAGCAGATACGGCAACGCATAGTATACCAGTAAGGCTAGGTACCACCATTATTGCGGTGTTCTTTGGCACGTACGCCTGGTCTTCTCTTGATCCCTTCTAACCAAATTCAGTCTCCTTCACCATTATCATGGCCCTACGTGGCACCCTGAAAGCCCGTGCCCTTGCCTTCAGCCTCTTCTCAAACATGTAAGTCCTCCCTCATATGTAACGAACTTTGCTAAACCCTTCCAAGGTACCTCGCGGGAACCATCATCTTCGGCGGCGGTCCCGTCGTCATCCCTCTCCTCCGCGAATACGTCGTAGAACCCGGTTGGGTCTCTCCGCGCGACTTCCTCATTGGCCTTGCCATTAGTACGTAACTCTGGGGCACAAACTCCATGGTCTGTTGCGGGGTCTATGGGATGCTACTTGAGTAGCATTTTAAAAGACGTTGCACAGATAAGGCAGCATCAGTGCTCACCCTTTTTTTATAAAAAAGAAATATGCTAACTTTTTTACCCTAACGTTAGTTCAAGCTTTCCCCGGCCCAAACTTCAACTTCGGCGTCTACCTCGGCGCTCTCGCCCTCACTAATACTCGCTTCCCGACCGTTCTCGGTGCGTTCTTAGGGTATGTGGGGATGTTTGTGCCAGGAATTACACTATCGGTAGGTGTACAGAGTTTCTGGCGAGTGTTGCGGACGAAGAGGTGGGTGGTCAGTTTGTTAAGGGGAGTTAACGCTACAGCAGTGGGGCTGGTGTTTACGGCGGTGTATAGGCTTTGGGAAATTGGTTATTTGACGCCGGAGGTAGGTAGTGGGAGGAGTTTGGCTGGAGAGCCTTGGTGGGTTGTTGTTGCGGCGTTGACGTATGCTGAGAGCGCGTGGTTCGATATCCCCCCAGCCTTAGCGATTGTTTTTGGGGCCGTGTTGGGGCTGGGATGGTTTGGTGCTGTTGGGCGATGAATAGTGGGAATGAGAATATAACAGGGGGCAATTTAATACACAGATTTGTATTCTGTTAACGTTCTCCCTAACCCTAGCGAGAGGGTTTAGCAAGTCAATCTACCTTAGTCATGGCGCATGCTATGTGATATTACGTTGTGGATTTGGGGAGAAGGCGTAGGTCTGGATTGATTAGCACTTTACTTCACTTAGTGGACAAAGGTTGCTTATGTTAGAACGTGCTCACCGGCACAGGATGATTTATATTGAAGACCAAGTATTAGGTATACGGCTCATGAATCAGAACACATATTTGGATTGCCTTGTATCGTCGTGCGTCGCTCCTCACCCTCAACCTTCTGCGGAAAGAGAAGAAGAATATCCGAAAGACCTTGCCTCGCAGCATTCTTCGCATTGCTCTCTCCTGAAAACAATATTCCAATAATTCCGAGCACCTCCAGTTAATTGTAAGCTGGTCACGTGTGAGGGTATCAGTTTTAATCGCAAGGCTCTAGGGCATTCCTTTAGGCTTATCCCTCAAGGTGGGCGATACACTGTAGGAGACAATTATTCATGCATAATAAAGACTCACCAGTGGTTAGTCTGCATGTCCGACAGAGGACCATCTCTACTGTCTTGTCACATAATGTAGGGCGCAACAGGGTATCTCAGAACAGAAATTTGCATCCTATTAGCTTTCTCCTTGATTCTAACAAGATGTTAAAACCTTGATTATCTGCTAATCACACTCCAGGTTAGGTGGTAATATGATATAGTTGATATTTGATGTAGTATATTGCCCCACATTCTAGCAGATACCAACCTTCTGGCTTCGGTAGAGGCGGGCTGTTTGATATTGGAGCGTCTGTTCTTTCTGAGGCTAGGTTAGATGCGAGCTACTGGTCCTTAGAGAGGATTGGGTGACGAGAGCGTCTTCAGCATGGTATCACATAACGAGGAACATGAACAGAGTAAACTCTGTCTATTAGCCTTCTTGCTAGAACCAGAGAGAGCAGTAGCAAAATACTAATTCCCCCTAAAATACGGCCTTGTCATAATCCCCGTCACATGGTAAGATGCAGTATCCAACGCACTCGTTTCAGGAGTTTGATGGATTTATTCACAAAGGTCACTTCAAGATTAAGACAAATAGGCATTTAGTTAGAGTCGCATATTAGAAACAGGAAGTCCAGGTATAGATCTAGCTTACCCTCTTAAAAATCTGACGGTTTCACGGAATCCCTCAAAGGCGCAGGACGCCTATTTCCCGTTGTGCGCGCAGCAATGTCAGGTGGCGCACCTAAGCCTTACTTTATTCGTATCGTAATAGCTAGAAAGGGCTCGCACAAATTACGAAATTGTTGAAGGCACTCGTCTTCATTAGAAAATGTGAAGAAGTAATAGGTCCACGGAAGCGGAAACGGTGGAGTGAGGGTTAGCGTAAGCCATTTCAACGCGTTACCCAGTTGGTGAGGCACACTTTCAAGTCGCTAAGTGACATTCCCAAGGTCCACGATTTCTTGGTTGCTGCATCAGCTGGCTCGTAGCATTCATTGTCTAGGGCTTAGGACTCCTGAACAGGGAGCATTAGTAGTGACTGCCGCCACCTCTCGAGTACGTACATGTTCGTAGATCCATTCACCTTCACTTTGCACCTCTACACTTTCTTGCAGTCCCTTCCGCCATGGTTTAACAATTACAATCGTTCTAATATGCCGTAAGCATATCTTGCTCAGATGTTTCCTTCGACATCCGTTCTTTCGAGTCCTCCTTATCGTCGTGTTGCTATGGGATGCCCTACGTCTTGCGAATATCTTCCAGGCTGAAGCTAGTCTACAGGCAGCGTCTCTCCCGCAAAGTCACAAGCGTATATACATAGCGGCGTAGCATTGGAGTACTCATAGGATACTGTAAGCCTAGTTGGTGATGCAGTGGAAGAGTGTTGTATTGATATAGAGCTTCTAGGGCAGCCATGATATATGGAGAGGTACAGGCACTGGTAGATAGTGACTTGGCCTGATTACAGATACTTCACAGCCACTAGAATAATGCGCTGTTGGCTTTGCTGGGTGAGCTCGGAATCGAAAATGCCTCTGTAGCTATATATGAGAGCAGGAGCTACGACAATACCACGGGTGCTCTAACAGAGCTTGACACGACACTGGAGGGGCTCAAAGTCAGGCAAAAGATTGGAGTATCGAACATCTCCCACAAAGATGAGATCACCAAACAACCCTCAGGCTATGGATTGACCAGAACGCCGAATTCCTTCCCTAGCAAACCTGCGAGATCAGGTCTAATTACTTCGAGGAAGTAGCGGTCTAAGCGGCGGAGCTCGCTGCCTTTGTTTCTCAATAACATAGTCTTCTCGTTATGTACCCTATGACTTCCGTGGCTATAAGACAGAGTACTGATCCACGTGCAGCCCAAGGATGCTTTTGCATTACTAGATAGCAACAACGGTGCTTATGCCGCGACTTGCTCTCTAGATTTCCCAAAGCCTCCATTCTACGGTGACGCTTTCGCCCTCCGAGGCTCGCATGGTCACGAAACAGTAATGCAAACGTAGCCCTACTTCCGATCATCGGTGTCCAGACATCGGCAAGTGCAGTGGAATATTGGCACGGCGGAATTAATCAGTCGAGCCTCTGGCTGGAATCATAGAAAATATCAGCAGGACGAAATCTTCTGTCCTGAAATATCCTAGTCATGCATAGCCCACCATTGGGAGTAGTAGTTGGAAATCCTAGTTGGGCCGGACAAAACTTCTCGGACGCTGGGCTATCAGCATGAAAGGGGTCCGATGAAACTAGAATCACGCAAGAACGCATTGGAAACCGGGTGCGCCAATGATTAACCGGCGTTGGAAGATTTTCGGGTATGCGTAGAGAGGGCTGATGGCGTGAAGGGATGTGGATGTTCATATTGACTCGGTTGACAGGGCGGTGACCTCAATTGGCGTTGTTTGAACGCACGAAAACGGAGTTAGACACGAAAGGATTCAAGGAGCTGTAGGTATATAGGGAGTTCCTAAACGAAGTTGATCAATTGCAATACTCCTAATTGTTGTTCTTGCACGTCTCAATTCGACACAGCTGCTAGCTTTCAGACACCAATTTTGAGCCCTACTATCTCCCGCAATGACTTCAGACGCACTGATGGATGCTCTAAAAGGTTACAATCGACGTGACAACACTCCGGACTTTGTCAAAACAGTCCATCAAGCACCCTATCCGGCAATCGATCCTACTAAACCTTCCCTGTCTGCTGCAGGCAAAACGGTTCTCATCACCGGTGGCGCAACTGGCATTGGATATTCTATTGCAAGAAACTTTGCGGCTGCAAATGCTTCCACAATTATCTTGCTAGCTCGGCGGGCCTCAACCCTAGAAACTGCGTCCGCAGAGCTATCAAAGAAATACCCATCAACACAAGTCCTAATCTACGCTGTCGACATCTCTAACCCCCAAGCCGTGAGCTCGACATACATATCCGCGACCTCCACAGCTAAAAATCACAGCATCGACATTCTCGTGCTCTCGGCTGTATACTCGCACCCCCAGGCGGCCATGCTCTCGATCCTCGACTCTGACCTCAGAGCATCCTTCGAAACAAATATCTTCGGCAACCTCGACTTGGTCCGCAAATTTATCGCCCTCCCCTCTCCCTCTAACCACCAAAAAACAATCCTCGACGTCTCCAGCGAAGCAATCTTCACTAGCGTCCCTACAACCGCCGGCTACGGCGCCTCCAAATATGGACTCACGTTCCTATTAAGACATATCCAAGCCGATAATCCAGCGCTACGTATCCATTCGTTCCACCCAGGAGCTATTTGGACGCCGATGGTAGAGAAAGTTGGGGTTAAGAAAAGCCACGTTGAGAGTTTGTTGGATGATGAGGGATTGCCGGGGGGGTTTGCAGTGTGGTTGGCAGGGCCTGAGGCGGAATTTTTGAAGGGTAGGATGGTGTTTGCCAAGTGGGATGTTGAGGATTTGGTCAGGAATAGGGAGCTGTTTGAGAGGGATGGGAAGCTCGCGACGGTTTCTCTGAAATTTTAGAAGGCGGGTTCCCAACCTCGTAGTTGCCGTCTAAGATAGTTTGCATTAACCATCAGCATCTTCTTCGTCCAAAAGCCATCAGCTGACCCCGGACTCAGACTTGTGTACACTTTCCTTACCTACTCAATCTGGTGGCAATGTAATAGTAGCGCCATTTTCAGCGTTATTGCCTTTTTATAGGGCTTCCAAGCTAAATAGTAATCGAGTCGTTGAGCTCCAATGTGTTTCGGTGGGCTATGTGTCACCACAAGAGAGAGAAATCTGAGGTAATCGCCTTCAAGGCTGCCTTCGAAGCGATAGTATGTATATCTTGCTGAGGGAGATCTCATCATTTTCGGCAATGGCAAGTTTCAGTTCGGCCTTGATTTTTCCAACGGCTTGAAGGGCTGCTGAAATGATTATGGGTGATTCATCCTTAGTCATGTCGCTGCGATGTAGGATGACGTCGTATTCGGAATAAGAGGGTAGTTTAGAATTGGGCGTGTCCGATGAGGAACTTGCCTGAAATGGTGGTGGGTGTCGCCTAGTGTTGTTCTGTTGAAAGAGATGGTAATCGGGATACGGAGTGGGAATGCTTCAAGGGTTAGATGACCATTTTCGAAGATAGTTGGTGATCTGAAAAGAATGGTTAAGATGGTGGTGCTGGACCGCGGTGGTGGATCGCGATGATGCTGGTGTGGTACAGTGAAGTTGAAAAAGAAGAAGATATGGCCGGATAGAAGCCGTCTTATACTGTGGACCAAAGGATGCCATTTCAAATCGAAGAAAATGGCTGTCAGCCAATAAGTCTTGACTCAAGACGTAATTGTGCATGTCACCGGTTCCACGGTTGAGCACATACGACACCATGCACATGTCAGAACCCCCACCCTGGGAGCCTCAAGCCATGAACCAAAAACGAGGAGCAGCCTTGACGTAATCAAGACTTGAGAAAGGGTTTTCAATTCGGATCCTCACGCGGCTGAATTGTTGGGCCTGGTGAAGACAGTTGGAAAAACTAAGACTTTAGCTCATTTCTGCGGTCTTGCTTATATAGCGCTCTAGTTAACGTGTGGTGGACAAATAATAAGAGGTGTTCTCTGAATTGAGGGTAATATGGCAATGTACGAAGGATCCCCAGGGAGCTTTAGTAGAAAGGATAAGATCTATCAAACATCTTGCGGGATTTCGGGGTAGTGCTGTGAAGATACGCACTGCAAGCTAGTTGAGTTGAGGAAGGAATTATCAATGCATGTTCAGCATCCTCAACAAGGTTGTTCTAATCCATTAACGTCTCCCCAGCACTACTGTTCCGAAATGTAACATCAGAAAATATGCTTTCGTCTCACCCTTTCAACCCAACATAAATAGATAAGATAGCCATGCCCACATCTCGAATCCGCCTCGCCCTCCTGGTAACCCTCAAAAGGCGTTTGCGGCCTCATCCCCTGCACGGACTTTCGATGCACACAGCATTCTTAGATGGCGCAAGGTTAGATAAATAGTTGTCGGTGTTAACGGATCGCGGTAGTTCGCCGAACCTTCATCCTAAAATGGCGCCTACTCGTCCGATTTTCGAATTCACTAAATAAAATGGGCTCATAGTCTTCATTCAATACATAGCTGTGTCCATTGACGACGCGGGTATTGCTTTACCGATAGATCTCGTCAAGCGCGGTGGTGAAGCGGTGCCTTGCCTGATTAACGATCGGACAGCTTTTGGGGAGATCTTCGTGGCCACGATGTTGGATCTCTGGCGAATAGAAGCTTTTGTGGTGACCAAGCCTGACGAGAGGAAAGAGGAGAGAGGAGTTGGACGATTTCGTTTAGCTCACTGGCCGGATGGCTAAAGAGGCCAAGAATATGACATGATGGAGCTACTTGATATGCCTCTTGAGCAGCTTCAGGATCAACGAAGTGGGTTTCAAGACATCTTTGAACAAGCAACGAGCACCAGACGTCTTGCTTAAAACGGTGCGCTGAGGTGGGTGTGGAGGGTCGAACTAGTGCCGAAACTGTGTCTCATTCAACGACACCTGAAGAGATCCAGAAGAACGGGCAACAAATATCAGGCTCATTTCCCATAAATAGTGAATTAAGCAAAAGACGACTGGGGTAGCGGGAAGGCTGAAAGCTAATGCAAGAAGCATACGTCTCAATCCATAATACGAAGGCAGAAGCGAGCCCGAGGTAACGCCCCACCCCACGGCTATCGCGAAAATGTGTGGATGGGTGGTGTTGCGGGCGTGAAGAACAACGCGATGCGCCGAGGCTTAAATCCGATGCCCCTGCAGCCACGCTAGCCGTCTTCGGCCGCGCCTCTCTCCCTCCTCGCCAACCTCACCTACCTCAGGTGCAGAATCGCGTCTTCATCCCATCGCCCCATGCCGCCAGCGCTCTCTCGCAGCTACCTCGCATAAACACCCTCACCTCACCGATGCTATATCCGCGATCCGCCTGCCTGGTGTGTATGCGCTCGCGGTAGCCCGCTGTCGGACAGATTGCATCAGCGTCCGGGCGCGTTGAATCCACACCACTACTATTCACCATTTGTTCACCCTCTGTCCACCCTCCACATTCTTTGACATGGCGCCAATTCCTGGGACTCCAAAGAAACGACCACGCACCTCGGGACGGCCGCCGAAACGCGCTGTCTCTGATTCAGCTCCTCCCCTCAAAAAGCGCAGATATATTCCCGGCGGACCTGGCGGTGGCGGGCGATACGTAGACGAGGACGGAATAGAAACCCCAGTTGGAGGCACCGGGCCTGGTGGATACGCATATATTGGGCCTCGCGGACGCATCGGACGGTTGAATGCCGAGAAACAGGGCATCGCAGTCCCTGCGTCCTCGCCTTCAGGACCGTACACCCGCCCACGACGTGAAAGGCCGTCTGCTGGGCCCAGGTCGAGCTCGGCCGCTGCTGTTGCTGCTGCGGTGGCCCAGAACGATGGATACAAGCCCCGCGAGGAGCGGGGTTGGGAGGAATTTCATCAGGATCTAGATCTCGACGCAGACTTTCCAGTGCTAAGCGCAGACCAGGTGGACGGCATAAGCCCAGCGGATTCGACTCCCGCGACGCCAAACAACGGCGTGACCTCGGGACAGTATACCGTCGACGGTGGGGCGTCCGCAATCCTGGATGAAGCTCTCCGCGCGCAACAAGCCACTCAGGCTGGTGATGGCGTGGATAGCGATACAGTCGCGATTGGAAGGACCAATGGAGCTTATACGACACCCGGAAAGCGACGCCCCGGCCGCCCTGCTCGGAACAAGCTTGATTCCATGCTCTCCGGTCTTGGATCCCCACCAGCACCACGCATCCAACCTCTACCGACTATGAACCCGAAAGAGAAACTAAACCTACCGAAACCGCACTGCATCGAGGTCGATCCGTTCGCAAAGTTTGAGCAGAGCGAGGGCGTTCAGATAAACTATGTCGACCGGACCATGGCAAGTCTTGGGTATCAGGAAAGCGAGATATTCATAAAGCCAGAAAAGAATCTAATTCGGCTGGCAGAGGGCTCTATCGAAGAAGACCTCGATCTGACGTTGAGAACGGCCAGCGATGGCGGGTCCAGCGCAGTTACGGTTGGACGCGTTGAATATGATATGGATGAGCAGGATGATCGGTGGCTAGAACAACTCAACGCGCAGAGAAAGGAAGAAGGTGTCGAGGCAATTAAACCTGCAATATTCGAGGTCACCATTACTCAGATCGAGAAAGAGTGGCATGCCCTGGAGAAACGTAAGTCTCGGAACTCTCACTCTCGCGAGCTGTCCAGACTAAATTGTTTGTAGGCATCCCCAAGCCAAATCCAAAACCACCGCAGACCCATCGGCCGCGATCAAGTTCAGCAGCAGCGGTCAATGGTGAAGCTGCAGGCCAAGGTGAGGAACAGGATACCAAGTGTGCCATATGCGACGATGGCGATTGCGAAAACACAAATGCCATTGTGTTCTGCGATGGGTGCGATCTTGCAGTGCATCAAGAATGTTACGGGGTGCCGTTCATACCAGAAGGGCAATGGCTCTGTCGCCGTTGTCAGCTAGTGGGGCGCGGGACCCCTGTTAGTGAGCATCCGGTAAGTCTCGTCGTCTTCCGCTATTCGTGCCCCTTGCTGACCCTCATAGGGCTGCATATTCTGTCCAAATATAGACGGGGCATTCAAACAGACCACGACGATGAAATGGGCCCACCTGCTCTGCGCATTATGGATACCAGAAGTCTCTCTTGGCAATACCACCTTCCAGGAGCCCGTGCAGGACGTGGAAAAGGTTCCAAAGACACGCTGGAAATTGGTGAGCATCTGAGTATTCTTTGAAAATGATTTAATTAGCCTAACAGTTGTTGTAGTCCTGCTACATTTGCAAACAGAAGATGGGTGCATGTATTCAATGCGGGCATAAGTCATGTTTTGAGGCCTTCCACGTTACCTGTGCTCGTAGGGCTCAGTTGTGCTTGCGCATGAAGTCATCGCATTCGCAAGGATCACTGGATGCGAGCGTGCTCAAAGCCTTTTGTGACAAGCATTCCCCTTCGGATTGGAAGAGAGAGAACGATGTGGAGGGTGCGACACGAGTTGCAAAGCAATTCTACCGATCCACCATGCGTCACGTTCGCTGGGGCGATAGTCAAGCGTATGCTCTGTCGATAGGTTCCACACAGCCAGTACCCTCTGTCGAAGGAGTTGATGATACCACCATGGATCCTGAAGTCGCTGGAAGCAATAAACGTAAGCGAGGGCCGCCTGTTAAATCGTGGCGGCTACCGTCAGGAGCACCAGTAGTTCCTCAAGCCGTCTACCATAATGTGGAGAATGCGCTTATTAAGTTTGCTGTCCGAAAACGAAAAGAGTTCGTTCAGGAAGCATGCAAATACTGGACGCTAAAACGAGAAGCCCGGCGAGGTGCCGCGCTGCTGAAGCGCCTTCAACTCCAAATGGAGGCCTTCTCCTCTATGGAAATCACTCGGCGCAACTTTGCAGGCATGGGTGCTGCAGGTAGACCGAGGCTTCAGCGCCGCATAGAATTCGCAGAGCGTCTCGAGGATGACATGGAACAGATCCGGATGCTTTGCAAGCACGTCAGAGAACGGGAGGCCGCCAAATTGAGGGACGTCAAACTTCTCAAAACGATCATCGACACTGTATACTTTCCTATTCCGCCACTTCTTTGGCCTATTCTTGAGAAGGCGTTAAAGTAAGTGTACTTGTACAACGCTTGCCTTTCAGCTATACTAACATTTGCCTAGTAACGATAGCAAAAACATTTTTACTGATGGGTTTAATACTATCCAAACGAAACTTGATGAGAAGTTCTATACATCCGTCTCAGCATTCAACGACGACATGGCGGCAGTTTTCAGCTCCGTTCTTGGCTTCGCGAAGATCTCGAATCTAGACAATGCAGAGAATGAGTTAAGTGGGGTGGCCCATAGCTCGTTAACGTCAGAACAAAAGGAGCTAAAGAAGCACACCAAGCGCATCATGAGGGCTATAGCAGGTCCGCTCGAAATCGCTCAACGAAAAGAGTCTGACTTAGCCGGGAGGCCCTACGAAAAGGACTTGCCCGACCTCGAAGCCTTGCTCAACCAGAGGTTGCGACACCAGCCGAGCACTTCCAACGGTGATGATGGAGCTGTTCGGGCTACTACGGAGAGTGATCCTGTTGGCAAAGCTGAAGATGGCATGCAGGACCAACAAAGCACAATCAATGTGATTAGAGACGAGGAGCTCGAGGGTAAGGCAAAGGAAAACGATATTCATCTCGCTCCTACGCCTGACGAGAGTTCGGGGAATCAGCATCTTAATCGGCACGACGAAGACGCTGATGAAGAAGCCATTGCTGCGCAGATTAGTCAAGATCTGTTGCCTAGCACTGACCAAGCCCATGCTGATGCGATGGAAGTCGATCAGGTTGGACACGGTCGTGGTGCAGCGCCTCTCACTCCCCCAACATCCGTGAAGGACCTGCTTGCGCCCCTTGCGAATGGTGGCATACCTTGGTACATGGAGGTATTTGATCCAGAGGGCACAACAATCCACGACGAGAGGTGGACAGGGAGAGAAGTGCTTCGAGATTTGAGTGAGGAGTTGTCAGAGTTGGACGACGACGAGCTCAACGGCCTTGCGGATGCGGAAGATTTCCAGCCGACGGATGGAACAGTACCGGAAACAATTGTTTCAGAATCACTTCAGAAGGCTGCGCGGAAACAGAAGAAACGTTGGAGGGGTTATAGATGAAGGTTTAATCTTTTTTCGGCCTCTGGGCATGCGGCTTTCCGCCATGCCCGTTCTTGTACTATGTCGGCATTTGTAAAGTATTCTGGCTCTGAATCATTGGGAGGCGCTGGTGTTTATTGCTTTTTACCTGAAGTGCAGGTGAAAGTACAGGTGCAGCTGGGTGTGGTATTGGGTTTAATGCGTGGTGTTCAATACTTAGCGTCATGCGAGACTCCCGTTGTCGTTTAGTGCTTGCACAGGTAGAATTTTCCCAGAGGATTTCCCGTCGCGAACAAGAATTTGCCCTGACAGGCTGTGATTAAAATACCGTGGACGTGGTAAATAAACTAGGGCGGTGAATGAGGCTTACCCTCCAAGGCTCCTTCACCTCTCAGCTCTCGCTTGGCTGCGCCTTCGCTTTGTTCCCTCATCAACACTTCATCTCACGCCTGCACCTTCACTCCTTACTTTATAAATAACAGACAGGTCCCCCAACCTCTCTCATCCTCTCCCCCCCCTACCCCTTCGTTCAACTTCTCACCGCGGCAGCCTCGCAGTTGCAGTCAACCCAGCGCGCGGCTTTTGTGACCAGGCTCGCGTCGACCAGTCACCGAAATTTTCCAGCCTGACAAACACTCCCAACCCACCAACTAATCAGCATGGCTTCCATAGAGTACGACGCTGAGCCCCGTGGCTATGATGGTATGTTTGCTTCTACTCTGCGACACGACTTCGCACTCCCTTCTGCAGCCTTCGCCAACTCAACTCGTGCCTAGATGAGCCTCGTGGCTACGACCGTGATCGTAGCCGATCTCCCCGTGGCGAGCGTCGTGACACTGACGATGCTCGAGCTCGCAGCGCGTCTCCCAACGGTCGCGACAGCCGGTAAGCAGTAGTTCCTAGTCAAAGGGTGAAGAGCGAAGGACCTCAGCTAACGGCGACCCAGTGGCCCACCGCCCCCTTCTCGCTCCGAAGATGACGAAGGCTCTGTCAACCCAGGCTCGAACCTCTTCGTGACCGGAATCCACCCCAGCCTGACCGAAGAAGATGTAACCCAGATGTTCGAGAAGTTCGGCGAGGTAGAGAAGTGTAACATCATGCGTGACCCTCATACCAAGGAATCGCGTGGCTTCGGCTTTGTCAAGATGGTGACCTCAGACGGAGCCGACGCAGCCAAGGATGGTCTTCAAGGTGAGGTCCACCAAGGCAGGACTCTGAGTATTGAGAAGGCTCGTCGTGCCCGTCCGCGCACCCCGACCCCGGGCAAGTATTACGGTCCCCCGAAGCGTGGTGAGTTCCCGACCCAGCCTTCCTTTGAGGCCCAGAGCTTATCCATCATCACAGAATTCCGAGGCCGTGGAGGGCGCTTTGGCGATCGCTACGAGGACCGGCGCGGAGGAGGAGGTGGCGGCTATGGTCGACGAGATGACTACGGCGGAGGCTATCGTGGCTCCCGTTATGGTGATCGCGAGGACCGTGGGTACCGCCGTGACCGAGACGACTACGGCCCGCGCGGAGTTGATCGCTATGCTTCTCGTGACGACCGCTACTCTAGTAGCCGTGGCGACAGCCGTGGTGACGACCGTCGGGGTGGAGGAGGCGGCGGATACTACGACCGGCCCCCGCCACCACCAGCAGGTGGATCAGCAGGCTACGGCGATGCTCCTCCTCCTCGCCCAGAGGCCTACAGCGGCAGCGGCGGCCGTTCATACGACGACCGTGGTGATTATTATCGAGACTACCGATAAGCCTCCCGCTGACCCTCCTAGATCCCAAGCGGTACTAGGAAACTAAAGAGTGCTCGAGTCCGGGCATCCTGAGTTGGGCATCACTCTTGAACGACTGGCTTCCCCTTCATATGTAACCTTCCCCCAATTTCTTTATCTGCGAACGGTTTAATGCGGCTTTACCTCGGAAGATGCGTCCTAAAAAAGTATATCGATCTGGCTTTTGACGGCGGAGCAGGGTGGTGTGCTTCGAGAGCATTCCCCATCCTGTAATACGGCGTCTTTTCATCACGGTCTTCGGCACTCGGTGGGGTTTCCTATGGAGAATTGCAACACTGCGGTAAAGGCTCTTAACGCCACAACTTTTGGCACCCTGGGGAGCATAATTCGGCACCAAATTGTACTACTACACATTCCCCTTGCGAGATGACCCTGGGACGTCAAAGATAATTAGTCGTCACCACGTCAACACCCTCAGCACTATCTTGATTTCACACAATGTCTTATCTGGCAAGATCGGCTCTTCAGCAGCTGCTAAATAACGACCAATCTTCCCAGCATGCCGCTCCGCTCCAGTATATCAGTAATGGGACATGCAATAAACGACCCTCGGCCTGACTCACCTGGGCTGGTCATGGAGTTTCAAGACCTCCTACACGCACTGTTTGACACCCAACCCGCCAACGCAAATTTTCAGCGGTAAGCACACAACGATCGAGCAGCAATAAAACATCACACCATGCCATGTCAACCCTCGTGACGACAGTCTCCGCAAATATGGCATATTTGCACCTCCCATGGAATATGAACACGATGGCTTTGATCGGTTAAACAAGGCTCTTACTGGAATCAGGGAGAACGTCAACAGGATGCAGATATCTGTCCTGAACTTCCTCTGCCATGTCCCACGTTCGGTGACGAGATGCAATAAGTCACATTGCGCGGTGCTGCCGAGCGCGGCTCCAACCCAACAGTGCTTGACCCGTGTGCTTTTCGAGATTCACAGCCCGGGCACAGACCAAGGTGCGTCGCCCCCTTTCTTTCGTTTCAGTGGTTTCCTACAGCAATTCGCACCTACTGTGGAACATTGGCAGGCCAGACTTTGATCAGTTCAACCTCTTGCTAGAATCGAAGAGGACATGAACAGGATGCAAATTCCTGTCCTGCATTGCCCCTGGTCGTCCCCATGCATCTTCCGCTTTGATGTCATATGACTCTCACGTGTGTTTCTTTCCATGAGGCACACTCTCAATTTGGGAAGTCATCAACCGTAGGCAGCCGCTACTAACATGCAGCTACATTGCGAAACTCTTCCTGTTGCGCTGCCGGGGGTTTACTAAGCCTGCCGACCTCTTCCTGTTGTGGTCGACATGCCCGGATGAACCCGATGCAGATATCACCACGCCCAATGCTTCTGGCGCTGTGTGACTGTATTCCTCCAAAGGCGGGGCACTGCAGACATTGAAAAATATGATTTCGTCAACATGTGCCTTCTGTATTGCCAGGGGGCGAGGCACGTTACATCGACTTCAGGGATATTCAGCCCTGTGGCGGTCTTGGCACGAAACACGGAAAGGCTTACGTACGCCGGATTTCGCATCCACTAAATAGAGGTGTTAGAGTAAAAGTGTCGCAAATTGATATACTTTGCACGATAAATATAGCATCTTCCCGTACGTTGCATCTTCGAGAATCTCTGTGCTGCGGTTGATATTGAAACATGGATGAGGTCGAAGCTTCGGTACAGCGCGAGTTGGAGTGCGAAGATTTGAATGGGTGCACATCAGAAACCCGGTCGCTCACGTCGTTGGGGCCTAGCGATAGATGGTTAGGCGTGTGTTAGGGTCACTTTCGGGATGGCCCATCCAATGACCGCACAGCCCCATGGTGAAAGGAGGCGTTGCGCAGTTGCGAAAGGAGCTGCTTCGTGTTCAAGCTGCGTACCCTCACTCACTCCACATCGGTCCTTGCACATTTGTTCGTTCCTTTTGCTTCATCATTCACTTGATATAGCCCACGGTGAGGCGCGCCAGTTTCGGGAGATTTCATTGTGCGACAGTGAGCGCAGATCTTGGGACAACAGAATGTTCGATCAGCTAACAAACGCCAAAAGCCTTGCGCGCTCTCGACGATTCATGACCTGACTCTCTCATTTCGCCATTCCTACGCGCCCGTCGCTTCACAATGTCCACGAGAAAACTTATCCCTTTCCTCGCCTTGACCGTCGTTCTCTTCGTCCTTTTCCTCTACCAGAGTACCACGGTTCGCGACACATGGCGAGGGCTGCCGCAGCATGTTGGGCTGGGAGAACACATTGGAGACGATAAACCTTCAGAGAACCAGGAGGAGTTGCCGCAGGGCCAACAAAAGGATCCAGATTATGTAAATTGGAATCCGAAACCGAACTTCACACCAGGCAGCGCGATGCCGCCGGGGCACAACTACAGTTCGGTGCTTGTTATCGCAAAGACCAAGGAGGAAGACACCACCTGGATGGACAGAGAGATTCCTGACCAAGAGAAGGCAATATACGTCGCTGATGACCCCACGGCGCCGCTCCACCCGCCTAAGAACAAGGGACACGAGGTTATGGTGTATTTATCCTGGATCATCGACAACTACGATAATCTACCGGATGTCGCTATATTCATGCACGCCCATCAGTTAACATGGCATAACGACGACATCTTGGATAACAACGCCGCGATACTGGTCAAGAGCCTCAGTCGGCAGCGAGTGTGGAGGGAAGGCTTCATGAACATGCGGTGCAGTTGGTATCCTGGATGTCCAGATTGGATGCATCCCGGTGAAACCGAGGAGAATGCATACAAGCAAGAGGAAGTCCTTTTGGCTAAATCATGGAGTGAGCTTTTCCCGCTCGACCCCGTCCCGGCCGTCCTGGCGCAACCGTGCTGTGCGCAGTTCGCCCTCTCCCGAGAACGCATCCAAGCAAAGCCGCACTCGCAATATGTTTGGTACCGCGAGTGGCTGTTCTCGACCAAGCTACCAGACTACCTCTCGGGCCGCATCTGGGAGTATGTTTGGCAGTTTGTCTTCACGGGCAACAACGTCTTCTGTCCCGAGGAACACATATGTTTCTGCGATGGCTTCGGCATGTGCTTCGGAGGCAAGCAGGAGTACGACGACTTTACTAAAGTGAAGAACGAGCTGCATGATCGCGAGAATGATTTGCGGGAGTGGGAGGACAAGAAGAAGGCAATCGAGGAGGCAAAGGAGGAGGGGAGGTTTGAAGAGGCAAATCAGTTGGAGGTACCCGAACCCGGGAAGGACCAGGAGTTCAAGAAGGAAATCGAGCGAATTCGGCCGATTGTTGACAAACTCAAGAATGAAGCGCGAGAGCGAGGAAAGGACCCGAAGAACCGGGCGAAGGAGACGGGGAGGGAGTGGCATGATGGAGACGATTTCTGAAAAGTAGTTTTGGGGAAAAGAAAGCATCTTTGACGTATATCTGTAGTGGTACAATCTGGCGTAGAAGGCATCTGCATTTTGGGGGGCGCATAGGTTTTGGAAGGCGAGTGGGCATTTCAAGCCCTTTTTCGCTGTATGTCCAGTACGTGTTGGTTGGGAACGGTTTTAGATGTCCGCTGGATAATTGATATGGCCTTCAATCTACTGGAAAGCCGAGATATCCAACGAATGATTATCAACGATCTACTTTAATGGCCAAGTGAAGATTGAGAGTTCGGCTTCAACTAGCCGGCTAACCAACGGCTTATTCAGCCCTCGAGAAGTGAATTCAGAACACCAATCACATGTCGGTTGGGGTGCAAACAACGCAAACCTCTGCCATCAATCAGCAGTCTGGCTGTTGCTCTTTGCTTGCAAGCAATTATCAGAGAGCAATCAGCAGCCCTTTACTAGGTATTTGCTGGCTCAAAATTTCCAACTTCAAACAGCATGTCACATTCAAAAGCAGCCTATTTCTATCACTATCTCGACCTTTCCGCACTGTTCGACATCTCTCACCATCTGCGCGTTCCTTGACGTTTGATCTGGACTCTTGGGGGGGCCTTATCAATTGGTCTGCTCTTCGCTGCATGCTTTGATCTAGAAACTTACATTTGTTCACTAACAGTCGTCGCGGACGCTCGCTGTTTGAGCCAACATGGCAACAAACGCACCATACTATCAGCTTCGCGGCCAGTTCACCACAGACGCAAACGCGCAATTCGGAACCGATGACGATGACTACGGGCTCTCCTCTTCTCTCACCCCGCACAATGCCTCCCTCTACTCCGACGCCCAGAATACCGAGAATCAGTCTGCTACACTAGAGGAGAATCACAATCTTGTTGAGTTGCTGGAAGCCGCGACTACGGCTGCCGAACAAGCTGCTGAGGCCATGAATGTCGAGCGTGGAGATATGGACGCGGCTACTCAGAGGAGAGGCAAGAGGAAAAGGGACACCAGGCCTCCTGCTGAAGAGGTGGGCAGCGTTGCTGCCGCGCATACGCAAGAAGACGGCCCGTCGAGAAACAAGCGCGCTAGAGTGCATGTGCCAACAGATCCTCAACTCCGCTCTGAGCAAGACAACATGGCGTCGTCGGATGAGGCTCTCCTGAGCGACGCTCGTGCTGCCGGTGTCCACTCCGCTGCTGCTCTCTTCAGGCGGACATCGAACCAGACTCCCAAGAAGTACACCCGCCCTCCCATGTCAAAGCTGTTCATGTCGCTCCAGCTCTCTCCCGAGAGCTTCCTACACCTTCAAGCGCGGGCGAAAGCGTACATGCTTGATCCCGCGTGTCCCGAGCGGCAGAACTGCGTGGGCAACCGTGGCAAAGGGGATATAGATATGGTGAAGCTGCGACTCTTCAGCTGTGTCCGCGACTTTCTGAAGGACGGTGTTGGCGAGCAGTTCTTTGGCGAGAATGTGGAGAAGCCAGCCGAGACAGATGCCATTGAGGCCGCCAGAGCACTGGGGCAGGAAAGGCTCCCTTCGGAGGGGAAGCTGGTCTGGCCAAGAGACGGAAACAAGATCATCAGCCTCGTCACGCCGCTTCTCCGACGCATGGTTACGAACGAGCGGCAAAGGATGTATGCCATCGAAACGAGGAAAGGAGGTGTGAAGAAAAAGGAAGGCAGTGTCGATTCCACGCCTTCACAAACTTACAAAAGCGACTTCAACGTCGAGGGCATCAGCAACCATGGAGATCACATTATACGGGGAACCTGCGACACTGGGAGTCCCAACGATCTAGACATGGATCTGCAATCGACATCCACTTTCCAACTGCCCATCATTCAGCAACCATCAATGGAGAGTCAAGAGCACATCGGGGAGGTAGATTATTCGAAAGGAGCGCATCAGCGACCCGCTCCTTCCTCAGCCCGTAACTTGGAGCAATTTCAGACCATCCTTGACCCAACTCTGAACCACTCTATCGCCCAGACACAGGCTCAAGTCCGGCATTCCCATCCGCTATCTCCAACCACATCACTACCAAACCATCATTCCTCAAACCCTGACCAGCCAAATCACCAATCGTTGTCCATGTCTCCCATTCTAGTGGGCGCTATACAACCTAAAGGGGTGCCGTCTTCCTCTTCCGACGATGCGGCCATCGAGTTTGAGGGTATCCAGAAGCGCCCGCTGCCTACTGAGAATGAATGGCACCTCTTCAGTGTCAATACCTACCTGACAACAAAAAGCGGCGTTAAGCTTGAACCGCAGAGGAAATACACTGGGAATATGCGAGCCTATAGTTACAATCAGCTATCATCACACGTCGAGACACTGGTTCGTCGAGCAGTAGCAATCCACCCACGACTAAGCCCTACGATAGGCATAGGTATGGGCTCCGAGGAACTGCGCAATCTTGCTGTCGCCGCAAGCAACATCCAAAATAGTGAAGGCGGATCTGAGGGAGCTAAAGCCATCGTAGAAAACCGCTTCGACTCTGTCGCTGAACCTCTGAAGACTCCAACAGCAACGGATAAAAAGCCCCTAGATGCTTCTCTACGGGCAAACAACAAGCATATCGTTCCTCTCTACTACCCCACCTCATCGTCTGTCAATTCCCCCGAGGTCCTGAACAACACGGCTGACAAAAACATTGCTTCCTCGCTCGCCCAAACCATCAACTACCCGCTCGCACAGTCCCCACCTCTCCGCTCTTCCAGCAGCGATCCACAAGCCTCAGACTCCTCGACTCGCGCACTACCTCCTTCTCGAGGACACAGCCCTCTCCCACCACCCAAGTCACACCTCAAATCTCCTTCCGCCGAGCTCCCCAGGGAGTCACCGTTGCCGAACTACAAAGTCCAGGTGCTCACCGCGCAAGGTTTGACGACCGTAGAAAATGCGGATGGGTGGGAGTACGCGAAGCAGGACATTGGGATCTCGGCTTGGGCGGAGGGTGTTGTTAGGGTGGTTGTGGCAATTGAAGACAATGAGGGACAGTAGGGTGGATGTCGTGGTATACGGGTGTGGTTTCTATACTGCTATTTTACGCCGTCTTTGAGGATACTTTGCTGTTTTACTCTTTATATGGGAGTCTTTCATTTCATTTCATTGTCTCTGTTGATGATGGTTTAGAAGTTCATGTTCTTCCATTTAGCTCTGTACTTGCATTTACTCGGCTTTGGCATGTAGAAGGATGGGAATGGATGCATACAGGCATAGTTAGAGCATGTTCGCGCCTATCTTAGAACATCAACAAGGAATTTATGCATGCGTGTACCTCTTGCTATTCAGAATTAGCCTTACCATGTTCTGTGCTAGGTGTCGACATTTGGTGCTTATTAGCTTAGAAGGGGTGGTTTTGGAATCTTGCATCTTGTCATACATAGTATTGATATCTTTTGATAGGCATAATAGAAGCATTTCGTTTTACGATACTCGCTTTGTATGTGTTTTTACTCGCTTCATAACTGGAGCACGTTGTCGCATACCACAAGCCATTAGGGAGAGTTAATCTACTCCAGCTCCGATAGATAGTCGGGGGTATGAAGAGGATTTCAATTTGCGTCCTTGATCAAGGCCTCATCACTCTCTTATACGTGTAAGTATGCAGTACCATGACAATAATGACAATATCTCTTCCGCGCACTCTCAAGTCTGCAAACAAACGCACCATAAGGTGGTTCATCATCGACATCAGACTTCACAGCACCAGGAAAGGAGGGCGAGATGAGTGAGAGGACATAGGGTCTTCAACAGTATAAACTACAAACCATTACCAGGCAATACACCCCCTTCCTCTGCTGAACAACAACGAGCGGCACGAAAGCACATAACCAGTACGACAAAAATCCACCAATACTGCATCCCCATAATAACCCCTACACTCCACTAAACACCATAACACCAATACCAAACCTGATTTTTTGGGCCACACTTCTTCCACTCATGATCACGGACAATCAATCCTGACCCTCAGCCTCCTGGCGCTCATGCACCGGCTGGTGGCTGCCGGCACGATTCCTCTGCATCTCCTTCATCTTCTCCTCGCCAATCTTCCGCAGAATGTCCGACAGCATCTTGACCTCTTTGTCAGCATCATCGTTCGGGTTTCCCGGCTGTGGGATAACGGCATCATAGTCGTCCTCGTTCATGGGATCCCAACCGTCCTGATCGTCCCTGGCGACAAGCGGCCTCTTAACAAAATCCTCCGTCTCGACATCGCAGTTGCGGTCACGAAGACAGCCGCCAAAATCGCGGAGCACGTGTTTGAGCTTGCGCGTTGGAGTTGCCGTTGCGGTCTCACTAATCTTCAGCTCCGAGTCCGGGGATCTCTCGCTAGCGTGGGGATGATTCTGCTGCTTGCTCTTCTCGGTGTAGGCTGTCAGGATGCCTTGGCGGATCTCGTTGAGGATGTTATGTTCCCAGATGTCTCCGTCAGTGCTCTCACCTGAGGTCTCGATGTCTCGGGCGCCAACCGTTTCGCGAGGCAATATTGGGGGCTCCGTGATGGCATTGCGTTTCAGAATCTTAGATATTTGCTTCCAGCCGCCTGAGTCCATATCCTTAGCGTCGTTGGTCCTTTGCATGCGCCCGGAAAGCTTCGGTTTCGGTACCGAGGACGTGACAGGTACTTGCTGAGGAAGCCCGAACCACGCGTGAACGTTGTTCTTGACCTTCTCCTCGAAAGCTTCGAGGACGTCTTTGTGCACCTCTTCCAAAACATCGTGCTCCCAAACATCGGTACTGGTCTCCTCACTAGATTTGTGGCCTTCATCCTCTGTGTCAACAGCGTCGTCGCGAGGAGATTTCCCAGTCCTCAGTTTATAACCAGAGACACGGTGATGCTTCTTCTCCTTAGTCGGTTTGTTGTATTCACGCATTATCTTTTGGAGATAGCGAGTAAAGTTGACTAAGATCTCCTCCTTCTCTTTATCACTAAGCTTGGAGATCAATTTGTCATCTTGTTCAGTCTCAGGGTTGCTCTCTCCATCCTCGAGATTAGAAGTATGGTTGGTGTGTGTAGAAGAATAAACCTTGTCCATAATAGCCATAGCATTCTCTTCGAGGATTTGGCTCTGACGTCGGCGTTGAAGTGCACGTCCACTCCAGCCGTAATGAGGATCGAAATAAGCATCGATGACATGCTTGAGGGTCTCGGCTCCTTTCAAAGCAACCTTCGTTTTCAAGGAATTCGGCTGGTTGCTGAGACCATTTGGTGAGAAGTATTCGTCGAGGATACGTTTCATCGTGTCTGCGGCCTCCCATGCAATCTTCTCCTTCCGTTCTTGGGTAATCGCTTCAGATTCTGAGCTCGACGCCTCATCATTGGGGATACTAGGAGCGACAGCAGACGGGGTGGCTTTGGGAGATGGAGAAGGTTCATACCAACTTGGAGGCACAAGAGCGGCACTTCGTTTCGAGCGGACCGGGCTGCCTTGACGCTTCAGAACTCTCACGTCGCCACTGGTTTCTGTAGTGGTATCGTCTGTAGAGGTACCGTTCGTAGAGGTATTGTCCGTAGAGGTATCGTCCGTAGTGGTATTGTTCGTGAAGAGGATGTTCAAGATATCCCACAAATTGTCATCGTCCCTCCTCCCCAGCGCTGCATATTCGTCGCTATCGTCGTCGAGATCAAGAGGGGCGATATTGTTATAGTCCTTGAGCAGGCTGGTAAACTTGTTCTCGTACGCATCCAGGCCAAGCTCCTTCAGATGTTGTTTCATGAAACCGAAAATCCACAGCTTCCGTTCCTCCTTGCTCATCTTCGGCCAGAACTTGCCAACCTGCTTCAGATCGTCCCTAACGTGCTCGTCGTGCTTCTCTATAACAATCGTTCGATCCTTGTCTCCTTCCCTGCCCTCCCAAGTGGAATCCCACCATTCCTCTGGGTCCAGACTCGACGAGTACTGTTGTACAAGATAGGCCAAAGTTTGTTTCTTGTCAAAAACATCCATTTCTGACCACGCCTTCCCAATTGACTTGAAATACTTCTCGTCCTCGCTCGTCGACCAGCTGTCTGTATGCGGAGGCTTGACGACTTTCCGTTGCGAGAGAGGTCCTCTCGGCTTTTGTAACGGCGCCGACCGCCTGGTGCGGCTGTGGGTTTTTGCTTGCTTCAATTCCTTCAGGCACATTTTCATGGCACCCTTCGTCATTTTTTTGATCTGAGAATCGCCCAGAGAAGGATATTGAGAGTGCAGGCCGTCTCTCAAGGAGTCCCAATCGTCCTTAGAGAAGTGTTCCAGCATGTGGATGGCTTTGTCGATACCCTCATTTGAGGTTGGGATATGACATAGCTGTTCGGTTGAACCCCTTGCCCAGCTGGATCCTTCCTGTGATGGGATGGGATATCCGTACGTATCCAAAATGAGTGGGACATAAACTCGAGTCCACAGCTCCATGTCACCTAGGGGGAAATCCCTCGGAAATACTTTCTTGAAATTCTTCATTTGCTTCTTGATCCAGTTTTTGACGTCGTGGCTGTTGGGGTTTTTGAGGTACTTGGACCTCAATTCTTCCCAGTCAGACTCGCCCATTGTCTCTACGTCAGAACCAATCCTTCGTTTGTCCTCCTGGTGCGGTGGTATCGCTCTCCGAGCAAATGACTTTGACTGGAGCGGAGAATTGAGGGGGTGGCCATTGAGTCGTAAGAACACGGGAATATAACGGCGGATTCCCTCCTTTACCTCAGCCTTCGACAAGCCCTTGCCGATATCTTGCCTGCTGAACCACTTCTCCACATCGCGGTCGTTCGGGTTCTTTTGTAATGCTTTCTTCAAATCTTCCAAGTCATGGTCGTCGTCTATGTGCTCATTGCCCGAGAAATGGCCTCGTTCCACATGCGACTGGGGGGATTTTGGAGTTAATGTCGGCTTCGACTTGGCCTTTAGATCGGGGACTGCATATTCAGCATTAAGTGGAGGGTAACTTCCTGTCTGGATGCATTCTCCGTAGTGTATGAGCGGTGATTTCCACTGGTATACTCGATCCGACCATTGGTCCCAATATGCTGGGGGAGCTCCATAAGAAGGCATCTTAAATGCGTGACCCATTAAGTCCTTCACTTCCCGGCCTTGTGCTTCGGATTCGGTGAACTCCTTTTTCATCTCCAAATCCATCGAGAGCCGGCAGGAAATGTCCGCGGGAGCCGCAGCAGGCCCATACCACTCATCGGCAACGAAGTTTATCAATTCCTGGATTCGTTCGAAAGCGATTACTCTGCGTTGCGCTGGTGTAGAATCCTTCCATGCCAGTCGGACACGGTCAGATTTGGATATGATTTGTGGGTCATCCGAGTACGGTTGCATTTGACGGAGAACAGTTTCGTAGTCTGCAACACAACTGGCTGGTAGTTTGGGCTCGAGAACATCCCATTCGCGATTACCCATCGGATAGGGTTTGAATTTTTTCGAATTCCGTTTCGCTAGCGGCGAGGTGGTCAATTTTGGGCCTGATAAAGCATCCCGTACGTCTCCGTCAAGATCCTTGAGAAATTCGTCGACCAGGTCGGTCTCGTGCAAATCGTTCATGTTCCTAGTTTCCCTCCAAATAGTCGCAATTGCGTCTCTTGCATCTGAATCGACGCTTTCCGGAATCTCTTTGGATTTTGTGAAGAGCATCGCGAAGGTTGTGGTCAGCTTCTTGAGGAATCGCGCTCGATCATAGTGACCCATACTCTCCCACCGAGCCCATCGTTTTTTCATCGTCTCATGGACTTCCCCTTTGTCTAGAAGCGGCCAGATTGTCTTGATTGTCTTCTTGAGCAATGCGTTGTAGCCTTCGTCCAGTCGGTCAGGGGTGCGTCGGGTGAGGTCATATTTTTTGAAGGAGTCCCAGCTATCCGCACGGCCCTTAAGATAGTGTGTAGAGCCATCCTCCGTGTCGGTCGTGATAGTGGTCAAAGGGTTCGCGGTTCCCCGTCGGCCTGGCGATTGAGAATCATCGATCGACGAAGCTGGATCTCCGTTAGTGGTGCTAAGACCATCATAGACGTTGGATTTGCGCGTACCTTGGACTGAGGGTTCATTGAGATCAGTATGCTCAATAGCGAGGTTGTGCTGTCTAAAGCTTTTGACTGGAGATCGATAGTCCACGTCGTATAGGATGTACATCTTGTTGTCTTGGGTCGTTTTGTAGAACTTGTATCGCATATCCAGATCAAAAGGGACTTTAGAATCGCCGGTGCCGTTGGTGGGATGGATCACGTTGTAGCCTTTCTTTTTTATTTCTTCGACGAAGTATGTCAACGAATCGTTTTGATAGGCATCTTCGACATACTTCCACTTCGTGGTGTGGACATTGGCTGGGTCGAGCGTCTGCCAAGGAAAATGAGTTCCTGCCGAGCTAGGGTGCGATTTTGCTCCAGAAGTAGGACGGGCCTTTGATGCAGGATGCTTGGAAGCCCCGGAAGCGCTATTCTCGTGATCTTCAGTATCATTCTCCTGAGGTTCCTTGGTTTGAACATTATCAAGAAGCCGATCGTGGCGAGCTAATGTCTGTGCCTCATCTTCAGGAAGCACTCGGAGGAGGGTTCGAGACTGGAAGAGCTCTTGACCATCACTGGAGAGAGCCCACAAATGCAGAGCATATCCTTCGTCCTGAGGGGGAAAAGCTGCCAAAGAGAAGCTGAATTCAGAGCCAGTAGTGTTGAACAAAAGCATGCTCCAGTCCACGACTTGTTCACTGGTGGCTTCATTTGTGATGGAAATGGGCATATCGCCATGTGCGTCGTATTGCTTCCAGAAGTCGTCAGGCATCTCTTCTCCCCTGTCGTAGGAGAAAGGGATGTCAACAATAACGGAAGCGTTCTCGTCCTTGGGGGTATAGAAGCTCATGCGGGTGTAGAAATCGACGTCGACCAGAATCGGCTGGGCGCCGGGGCTGTTTTCGGTTCCATCGGGACTAATATACTTCTGTGAGCGATTATCAAGCTTTAGAATGGTGGCGTAACATACATCTTATCATTAGGGCTCCTCTCAGCCAGGGCTGCTTGTGAAACAGCCAGGCCGACGAGGACAGTCAGACCTAAAGGTGACTTCATACCGTAGGTACGGGGAGGCCCCCAGAGAGCCCAAGTGGTGTCAAAGAATCACCTAGAAGGGGATGGAAATGAATGACTCTGTTGTTTTCGAGCCTTGTGCCTGGGAGGCAGAGCGAAGTCTGGAGTGAAGTGGAGTGATGGTGTGAAGAGAAGAGAGAAGAGAGGAGGAGAGAAGAGAAGAAAGAAGTTGACCACAAACAGGCTGTGCAAACATAATGAAGTTGCACTTGCTGTGTGTTGATTTGTTTTAGTAATATCAAAGGTAGTTACCGCACCGACGAGGAAGTGGCTAGTAGCAGAGTCAGTGTAAGGAAAGGGAACTGCAGCCACACGGAAACGACGAGAGGAAGGAATCTGAGATTCGGAAAGAGCGTTTCAAAGTGCGCGGAACAATATAACGAATGCCTTGACCACAGCAATAACGGATATCATATGGAACACAATCTGAAGCACCCAGCTCTGGCTCAGAGATTAAGCACATACATAGCGAGCCCAAGGCGCCTTTAGATCTACAACTATGCCTTTAAATTTGTTTAGAATAGTAAGCGAGGTGAATGTATTCGGCAAGCTTGCATTCATTCACGTCCCTAATTAAGGAAAGACAGTTGTTGAAAATTACTGATGCGAACTTCGAGAAGCCTAACAGAGAAAGGTATAGGCCCTACCATGGCAATTGTCGAAGCAAGGCCGGGAAAACCGGCGAAGAAGCGAGACAAATCGATACTGCGAAGGACTGAGTCACAATGCTGGAGAGAAGTTGATGCGCACAGACCAATCGCGAGCTGTGAAAGGTCAATTTGAAAGCAAGCCTCAAGGACGGTGGCTACAGCCCGTGATTTCGCGTTATCAATCATAAACGCTTTCTCTGCCTCCTTGCCGTCGTGTTTCTTTTTCCATCCTATATCACAATCAGCTGTCCAAATGGCGAAGCAAGTCAAAGTCACCGAATACCAGACGCGTGTCTACACGCTCTTGCAACAGATCCCCAAAGGCAAAATCACCTCGTATGCAGCTATGGCGAGAGCATTGAACTCATCACCCCGCGCGATCGGCGGAGCTCTGCGGTCAAATCCTTTTGCGCCCGAAGTGCCATGCCATCGATGCATTGCAAGCACAGGTGTAAGTTTGTATCTGTTGGGTTCTCACAAACTTGAAAATGTTGACAACGGTCCAGTTTGTTGGCGGATTCAAGGGAGATTGGGAAAAAGTCCCCAGCGGTCAGAATCAGGACGAGAAACTCAAGCTACTCGCCCAAGAGGGTGTCAGGTTTGACTCAAAGGGGATGTTGGTGGACAAGTCGTGTTGGTGGGACGATTTCAAAGTGTGAAGGGCGAAGAAGCGAGGCAGGCGGGGACTACACAAGGCTGAGAAATAAAAACTTACAGACACTGATACGCCCATGCGGTACCGTGATGTTCGTGAATATGTATGGTTGAAGATGGAAAGTGATGGACGTAGACGCTTAATGAGAAATCTGAGAGACCCATCTGATGGATCCTTACTCATAACATGACAATCGTCACCTGAACAAGCCCACCAATTTTCTTCCACCACCCCATTAACAACACCGCTTCACACAATGCCCCCCAAGAGGAAGGATTTCTTGAAACTGAACCCAAAAGCGAAAGCGAAGGTACTTTCTCTATTCTCGAGACACTGAGTTTCTACTACTGACGAGACCAGGCTCAAGAACCGCAGTCCGAGAATGACTTCCTTGAGGCGGCGGACGAATTCGAACAAGCAGCCGGAAAATGGAGAGCTGGGGACGCTGCAAAGGCCACACGATTCTACAATCGAGCCATCGATATGTATAACGTTGGACTTCGGCGGTATCCAAGTTCCTTCGATCTATCATATAACAAGTAAGTTTGAGTCTCGTCTTTCACGCACCCGTACTTCCCACTTTCTCGACAAAACACGCATGCCGCACTGCGTCTTTCCAGGGGCATGGAGAATTGTAGGGATGATTTTTGACATAAATTTGCATCGTATAGACTTTCTACCTAAGTTTAACAAGAGGTTTACCGGATAGCGTCTGCCTTGGTTATGTTCTACGTACATTTATAGATAATTCCCCTGCCCTGTTCCTTTCAAGGCGCTGACAATCTATAGAGCTAATCTAGAGTACAAAATGAGCGAGGATGAGAGAATCGCCGCCTTACTCGGCAACAAAGTCGATCTTCTTGAAGAGACATTGCGATCTCATCGGACCGCCATCGCATTGAACCCGGACAATACTGATGTCCTGTTTAATACCGGCCAAGTCCTTACCTCCCTGGCGGAAGCCCTCCTTGAAAGTAGAACCCAAGAGATAATGAAAGCATCTGCAATAACCCTCCTAGAGGAAGCCATAAATGTGTTCGCCAAATGCCTCGCAAGCCAGCAACATGAATACGAGGAGATTCAAATTGAGATCGCTAGGGCGCAAGCATCGCAAGAGCCTCAAGATAGCCTTGATACACCAGGACATATTGTTGATGAAACTACAAAACAAGAGTCTATGGAAATGTCGTCCACCTCGAGCGACGGGCCAGGAGAATGGGCTACGGTCGTTGAGCCAGTCACGCCAGAGGCAATCCTTGAGACTTGTATTGCTTATTTGGAAACCTTAAGCATTCTTATCGGCCTTTATGGTCCCTCAGAATTGGCACACATAGAGCAGCGGGCGCAGACAGGATTAGAGACAGCCAACATCAAGATCCCGGCTCTAATTGGCCTCCTTCAGATCTCTCCCAAGACTATAGAGGAGCCCGTGCCAGGGCCTACCTTATCAATCGCATCTCAATCCGCAGTAGAAGAACCCAAGTCCTCCCCAAAGGATGACGCAAGTCTTGCCGCAGCAAAATTTCGGGCCAACGTCGCTGAGGTATCATACCGCACTGGTCAGACCACAATCATTCAATATGCCGGGCAAATCGAGCAGATTTTTGCCCCGTTGATTGAGCCCCTGCATAGCAACACTGGGCTTGATCCGGGGCTCGTGAATTCGCTCTCCGTCTACGCAGACACGCTGATGGATCTTGCCTCTGCCATTTCTGACAGCTCCCAACACTCCGATGAATCCTCTACACACCTCGCAGACTACGATTCCCAATGGGCGGCTCTGACACAAGCCCAGACTATCCTGACGCAAATCTCCAGTGGAACGGCTACATCATCCCTTTCCCCGTCACGGCTAGCGGACATCTTCCTCGCTCGTGGCGATGCCGACCTTTTTCGGTTCCGAATATCCCTTCTTGACATTGCGAAGCCAGCATGGGCGAAAAGCAAAATGGTACTAGTTTCCAATGCAGGAGTGTACTATCGTGGTGCGAGAATGTACGCGGAGAAAGCGGATGATCTCAAAGTCCATAAGGCAGCTGATGCTAAGGCGACTATAGCCGAGTTACTTAAAGAGGCGGCGAATGGATCAAACATGAGAAAATTGGATTGGAAAAGTAGAGGCGAAGAGGTGGTACGAATGCTTGAGCAGATGATTGAGGAGGGCATTGTAGGAAAGGAGAACGCAGAGGGAGTCATGAGATATATAGAATAAGGCGTCCATGAGCACAAGCAACTCTAGCTGAAGAAGAGCGTAGTAACCTTCGATTACCTTCTCCTAGGTAAAAATGCGATGAAAATCCACCCTCTCCTAAAGTTTACCATCCCCTATGGTCCGATAGTTTTCATGTTAATTTCTCCGGTTCCTTGCCGTTATTTTGGTTCGGGTTTATAGATTTCTTCTCGGGTAGATTTTTCGCAGTGAATTAGAATACGGAAAACCTATAGATGATGTGGGCAGATCGTGGGCTTATTTTCCCATTTCAGGAAGTTCAGATTGTAGTTCTGGCTTTTGAATCTTTGATCATGAGTTTTGTGTGTTGCTTCTTCTGGGACTATCACTAGTCTCCTTTGAATGGCTCCTTTTCTTCATCAAAGCAAGGGGAGGACCACGCTTGGCTTTCTTCTTGGAGAGATTGCAGCCAAGTGAGAAGATGTCCGCCGCGCAGCTACTTGGGAGATCGACGCGACCCCGGGCGCGAAGTATATCGAAGTGCCATGCTCAGTGGGGCTAGCCGAGAGGATTGAAAAGTCGGTAGCGGTACCAAAATCGGTAAGCCGCTCCTTCTTTCGAGGAAGTAGTATGTTTGAAGGCTTAAGATCCTTGTGCTTTTTTCTTTGGTTGTGTAGATACTCGACAGCAGAAATTATATGTTTTCTTTTTGAGTAGATGTGCACTAGTCCCGTGATCTGAAAACTGTTGTAGGAGTCGACAGGCTGAAATCGGATAGTCGCTCCCACTGTGCATATTCTAGAGATCTCTTAAGTCGAGGGGTATCATCGTCTTCGAAGAAAGTTACTAACTCGCAAGTGGCTATTGGGTAAAGTAGCACGCTTAAAAACTGGCGGTGGGCATAGGCTCCAATCAGCTGGACGATGTCAATATTGGCGAGCTTCAAGATATTGATCTGCTTCCTTTCCACCTCGCCGGTCTGCCGCTTGTAGAACCTCCGTTTCCATACAACGGTGTGACTAGTTATCAATGTTTCATAAACAGGTCCGTTGATTTCGTGACTGAGAAACGACCTTGCTTCAGTGGAGAGTCTTCGTCATGGAGGGATTCGACATGTGATCCTCTTCCGGACCAGTTTTCTGCAGTGCAGTGAGCGGCGAAACTGTGCTTGCCATACTATTGCCACCGTGGTTTCGTCGTCCCTTCGCTTCTGAACAGATGGGAGGTCCCGGTCTAGGTTTGAAGGTCTTTGCTTGCACGGAACTAATTTCACGACAGAAGAGGCAGATCAATTCAAAATTTTTTTAACATTTGGCGAGGCTAGATTCTAGGAAGGGTTAGTCTGTACCCTTGTCAATTGACCGTATGATAGACTTGCAATAGAGAACAAGTGCATTTGTATGTCGCAAAAGTTATTGTGGTCTCTCAACTATGACAGAGAAGAAGAGGTAATGAGGATTCCAGGGGAGATGTCGATGATGAAGGATCGAGAATGGGTGGTAGAGGATGGGAGGTAAAGGATGCGGGTTAGATGATGAGGTGTCAAGGCTAGGGCTTGTTTCTTGAGCGCCTGTCGCAAGGCTGAACTTTGCATCATGGAAACGTACTGTGGGGTGGATGTGCGAGTGTTCCTAATCTTAGAGCTTTGTTAGAGTGTGGAAGAGCTGCTGACTTGATTTGCAGTGCCTTGTCCTGAATTTCCCCTGTTATATTTAATGTTAGGTGATAAGATGCGGTAGAATCGATGGAACTGGAACTTTGATGCCTTAAGTGAGTCACCAGTCTTTCATATCCGATATACAGAGTCGAAGTTAACGAAGCCCCATTTTGTGGTCCTCCAAAGTTATTCCCTTTTCATACATGCTTCCCTCGTACTTTTCGCTGCAGTGTGATACCAAACCCTAAACTCCAGGCATACATAAGGACCAGGCAAGATGAATTTCAATTACTTCTCTGTATTCATCGTAGCCCAGCCAAACGGCGCTCTTGGACCTCGGACAATGCCCTGCTTCCGCTCAAGAAAGCCACGGATGCGACAACAGCGGCAGCTGGCAGAGTCTGGAAGAGATTCCAGCTTGTGTAGTACATGAAGAAGATGCCCTCCATGGCAAGTATTGAGCCGAAGAAGAGAGCGTGCGAAACCGGAGCATTGCTTAAAGCTTTGCTCAGATGGTTCACATTGGCGCCCAAGGTAGCCCACACACCGAACAGGGCTGGAAGAGCACCAAAAACCACAGCGGCAAACACCAATGTTATGATCTTGGGAGGCGATCGAGGGTCGGTGCGGAAGATGTGGTGGATCTCGGGTTCGACGGCATAGCGAATGGGCTTCGCGGGAATGGCAAGGGGAACATTGGGGTCTCGGGTTACGCTGAGGTCGAAAACTTTGCTCTTATAAGGCGTGGAAGATCCGAAAGAGCCAATGACGATGGAGGCTACAATTGGTTTCGAGGAGGTGAGGAATTGGATGGGGAGGTCCTTCTGGGTCTACCGAGATCAGCGAGGCTCTTAGCAATTGGCAACGCAGTCTTACCAAATCCACCTTTCCTCTCCCACTTTCCTTCACACTGAGCACGAAAGACTCCTCTAGGCCTGTTGTAGGGTCGGTAAGAGTAAGGAATGCCTGATGTGGTTGTCTCGCTTTTTTCCCGTTGGTCGTGGTAAGCAGCATCTTCAACGAATCCGTCGAACCCAATGCCACAGGTTTTGACAATGGGGTACTGGGGCTCAGTCTGAGTAACAACAGCCTATTAGCACCAACTCGACATGCTTCAGAAGTTCAAGTAGCTTACTTCTCCTTGGCCCCAGCACCCACTCCAGCACCTTTGCTTTGAACGGTTAAGGTGGCATCTTCAAAACTCCAAGAAGATGCTGCTGACACGACGTAGGCGCTTGAGAGCAGTAATGAAGGTATGAAGGAGTGTAAGAGCCTCATTGCTGCAGAATTGTGAACAAGTTGTGAAGCTGCTTGCGGGATGCTCGAAAGGCAACGTAAGACTGTCTTCGCGGGCCGAGAATGGTTCCGACAGTCACGTGTCAGATGACTACTTGATTACTAACACACTGACCTTCAATGGGAGCAGTGCACATCATCAAAGAGCAGCGTGTTTACTGCTGTTGAAGATGCAGGGAAGTGACCTAAAACATGTGGGCCTACTTTCTGAATCCCTGAAGATTCTGTGCTGAGCATGGTCACCAGATCTGTTGATTGTGGCCCTGCCAATGCACACAATTGCAGCCGCTAGATCTTTCCTACTAGATATATGGGCTCCCGCGTTTTGCGCGGTCACGTCATGCCTTCATACACATTGTCTCATATGATGCATTCGATGCCTTTTATTAGCACCCTGCATGCCTTTTGGTTGACTGACATGTGAAAGGGTCTACTGTCGCTAGCTCTTGTTCAGCCCGCCCTCAAGAATTCAAGCTGCGAGCCTTTTGGGCCCTTTCCCCACCACATTGAGTCTTATTTTAAACTCTGTGATACGGTGGCTGTCCATGTGAACCGAGAAAGTGAGACACGGCGATCATAAGACGAAGGTTGACTCGAGAATGCCGTAAAGAGTAGCAAGCATATTTCAATGGAAATGTTGTGCATGACCAAAGAGCCTGAGTAAAATTCCTTAGCCAGCCAGTAACATCAAATAGACAAAAAGAAATTTGACAACGATCCAGACTCGAGTGGAGAATGGACATGTATCGTGTACATGCAGGCTGGTTCCCTACCCCACGGAAACCTGCAGCAAAGAAGGTCTGCATTGGACGAGAAAGCAAATCTGGAAAACGCGGGGTCTTAGTAGTGCCAAGATCTTGCATTCCATCGGCGTCCATGACAGCATTTGCAGTAGCTAGCCGTCTGACTAGAGATGGCGCGGCACTGTGCCTGGCAGTGAACCTGTTAAGGGCTTATGCTCGTGAAGGAGACTCAGCATTCGTGGCCGTGCGCGCGGAATGGGCGTTATCGATAGAGGCGGGCCATTGTTGGATTATGGGCACATGCTCGGATGAATGACGACGTGTCTGGCAGGCCTTTGGTCATCCTTGCAGGTGCTCGTCCGGATTGTTTCGCGATCGCGCCAGCACATTTGTCGAATCTGGCAGAGGTGCTTCACTCCTCCCTTCTTGGAACCAAACACAGTTTGTCCTTGATATCCTGCTTCGGAGCCCACTCCGCCGTGCGACTTCCGAGAGTGGTAGGCTACTGCCACGCGTGACTAGACGGCTCTTGTTACGGACTACTTCAACGATTCAGCGTGTACGCTTATATCCTCATACCGCTTCTTCTACCACCTGACCCGCCGCAGATTTGGCCCCCTATCTATATCTCTATCCCGTCAGTCAAATAAATAACCGCGTCTCCGGATCAAGTATCCTGTTCTTCTACGAGGCCACACGCGGCCGAACCTGAGCCATCACCGCGCATGCGCATGGCGTACACTCCCTACAGATGTCCTTCCTGTGCGATACAATACTACCTGGTGGTACTAGACTGCATCTAGGGGGAGAGGCCGAGAAATATGGTCCAAAAGCACTGAGGAAGAGCCAGAGCCATGGAGGTCTTCTTGCACCGCTTGTACAGCTGGTCAGGGATCCAGTTCGGACGATAGGGAGTGCTGTTGGCAGTCTTAGTGACGTGCCGGAGAGTACTGTTGCTTCCGAAGCAGAGCTAGATCACAAGCAGGTCTTGTATCTACGCATGAGAAATGTAGGTGCTTTAATTTGGGATATATGACCAATTCTCATCAATGTATCAGGCCGAGTCTTATGAAGAATGGAAATCCGCGGCTACAGAACTAGACACATTGGAAGGAAACGATGTGTGGAAATTGGAAGACGATTCTCCCGAGTACGATGCGCCCCTTGTTGCAGCCCGTCTCAAGCAACTTGACGATGCTCGATTGAGTTGTGATGTCAAGAAAATGCTCTTTCTGATACGGACGGCCTTGACACGAGGGCTGGGCGGCATGGGTGATTTGCGACTGTACAAGCACTCCCATGTCGGCACAAAAGCCTTGATCGAGAGGTATATCGACTCCGCACAAAATACCATGACGGCACTGCTGGACGTGTCTGCGAAGCAAGGCGACAAGTGTCCTGTTGAGCCTAGAGCTCTATTGGAGTCCCTCCTGGCTGCTCGCCAGTCTTTTGGCCGAAGCGCATTATTGTTGTCAGGGGGCGGAACCTTTGGCATGAACCACATTGGCGTTGTCAAGAGTTTGTGGAAAGCCCGTCTCCTACCACGTATCATATCCGGTGCTTCCGCAGGAAGCATTGTCTGCGCGGTTCTTTGTACAAAAACAGACGCGGAGATCCCGATTGTGCTAGAAGACTTTTGTTACGGTGACCTGGCCGTCTTTGAGAAGGAGGGTGAAGAAGATGGCTTGATGAAAAAGGCCGCTAGGTTCCTGAAATACGGCGCACTCTTTGACATCTCTCATCTCGTGAGCGTCATGAGGAGTCTTCTTGGGGACATTACTTTCCAGGAATCCTACAATCGGACACGACGCATACTGAATATTACGGTGTCAAGCGCAAGTCTCTACGAGTTACCCAGACTTCTCAATTATGTTACTGCCCCCAATGTCATGATCTGGTCCGCGGTGTAAGTCCAAGTTTTTCGTCTTTATTTAACCTCTCACTATCTAGTCTATCCCAGTTTCCCCTCAGCTGCTGATGCTTTATAGATGCGCATCTTGTTCTGTGCCATTCGTCTTTTCCGCTGCTTCCCTATCGGCCAAGGACCCCAAGACTGGGAAAGAGGTCCCATGGAACCCAACACCCAATGCTGGTTGGATCGATGGATCTGTTGACAATGACCTCCCCATGACTCGCCTGGCAGAGATGTTTAATGTCAATCATTTCATCGTCTCCCAAGTAAACCCTCACGTGGTTCCTTTCTTGGCTAAGGAAGAAGAAGTCATTGGGAACGAGGCACGGCAGGCCAACACGGCTTTTTCAGCTGGCCCAACCTGGATTCATAACATGGCCAACCTAGCGAAAGGGGAGGCACTACATCGATTGCAAGTACTTGCTGAGCTGGGCATCTTCCCGAACTACCTCACGAAGGCGAGATCGGTGCTCAACCAGCGGTATTCGGGTGATATTACCATTTTTCCGGCGATATCCTACGCTCATTTCCCGAAAGTACTAAGTAATCCTACGACAGACTACATGCTGCAATGCATGCTTACCGGAGAAAGAGCTACATGGTCGAAGCTGTCGAGGGTACAGAACCATGTCGCAATCGAGCTTTCTCTAGACGAGACCATTCGACAGTTTCGAGCGAGGATTGTGTTCAGCCCAAGTCAAGTCGACCTTCGCATGAACACCTTCAATCGGCCTTTATCCCAAGGAGACGAAATATTCTGTAGACGTCGTTCAAGCAGGCCACCGCACAAAATCACCCGCTTTGATCGCGACACCGCTCCTTCTACTTCCCGCCGACCTACGTCCTCTCGCCGTAATAATCATCCTCTCATCAAAATTCCTCCTCAACCAGCTCAGGTAGCAAGGCCATACCTCCCTTCCCTCCCCCTAAGGAAATTCGCCAACTCCCTTGAGAACAGCCAACCTGGGAGTTCGACCCCTGACGCCTTTTCATCCTCCACAAACTTCGATGATTCATCTTCAAACCTAGAACTCTCGCAAGATACCGATGCATCCGATTTCTTTTCCTCGTCGCTGTCTCCTCCAAATTCACCGTCATCTCAACTGCCAACCCTTTGGCCATCGACACGCCAACTCTTCCCTTCCGTATCCCAACCCAGTACTCCTTCTATCTCAACCTCAGTGTTTGGCCACCGAAATAGCTCACTATTGAACCTTACCATGACATCAGATCTCAGTGCCGAAAACCCCAGCCCGCCCGAGATACAATACAAACATCTCTTTCATCCTTCCTCCTCTACCTATCCTGAAAATCCGCCTGTGGGCCATGACATTCGGAATGAAATTGAAAACACAATTCAACCCTGTGCTGAAATCCACCCGACATTACACAAAATCGAGACTTTCCCAGAAACGCAACATCGTCCACCGACTCCACTAGCTAAAACAGACCCACTCCCAGAAAGTCTAGTCGGAGCGCTTGAAGCACCACCAAATCTCTCGTCGGCATTTAGCCCATTATTGACAAGAGATGACGGCAAGGCCGCGAAAACGGGATCAAGAAAACTGACCAAGCAGGAGAAGAAGGAAATTAAGGAAGCAGAACGAGATAGGAGAAGCAGCCGACGGGGCAGCGCACAGGGTGCAGGATTGGGTCTGTTGCTTGATATATCTGGGACTAGGGGGATGATGAGGAGAAAGAAGAGCTCAAAGAGTGGGAATGTTGCCGCGAACTAGTCTGTACACATGGTATCCTTTCATTTCATTCTCGTTTGTCTAGTTTGAATTTCAACCTACATTTGAACGTGCATATTGAGGATGCATAAAGAGCATTGGGAGGTGCATGGCGCGATGAGAGAATATCACATGGAGTGGAGTTTATTGGTCATGGCTGCGAGGACGCGGATGGTACGTGGGGAGAAGTAGTGAGATACTCTTAGGCGAGTGGTTCATTGCGCCTCTAAAGACACATTTTTTTTTGTAATCCTTCGCTGCAGTATTTTTTCGTCCATCCTTCCCCTAGCGCGCCACCTTTCATCGTGCATTTTGATTGCATGGGTAGAAGGGATACACACACACACACACACACACATACATACATATATATTACACGAGCGAATCTGTACCGGTTCATTCGCGGGTAATTAGCAATCTTCCACAACTTTCTAACTGCGCTCATATTTCACGTCATTCTGCTACTCAAAGCATCTACTTTTTGAAATTGTATCAGAGGTAGGAATTGGTTGGGTGGGGTTTATTGGTATATACAATTATATCCAAGTCGTTGCATGAGTGCCGTATATGGAATTTTATGAGCCACAATTACAGAACAGACATCCGACTTTTCTTTCCATTACTTTCGTGATACATTATTTAAACACTGGGACGGTACATTCAGCATCATGGCAGCTGCATGTCTTTTCCTGCTCATGTGGCAAGTTCCCCTACGTTATTTAGAGCCGCATTATACACTCGGAAAGACCGCCCTGCGGCCTCTGGAAATGTGGGAATAGGAAGGTAACCGGAAATGGCCCCCTACGAGCTCTTCTCGACTCCAGATTCTGGCGGGGATTCGGGGGTGGGTGGAGAGACGGGTGCTAAAGCCTCGGTCGTAGAGGGCTCGGACATTGAGAACGAGGGCAGGTTCTTCGTGAGTTCTTCTCTTTGTTCACGTAACGAAGCGTACATCTGTGACATATCTTTGCCGAGGAAAACTATGAATATGTTAGTTCGACTGTTTAACGTCGTTCTGGACCATTTGGAGGTACCTACATCGCTGATACAGCTCATAACTCGTAACCACTATAATCGGTACCCCAACTATAATAGCTGATACTCGTCGTCCCGCCGACCTGTACTTTGGTGGCAATTTGCCTCCTTCAAGGTATTCGGGGGTCATGTTAGGGAGTGTAGAGGGCTCGGGAGGTGGAGGAAGCGTGGATTTATAGGGGGGAGGTTTTGGGGCGGCTGTTGTTGTTGTAGGAGGTGTCTGTGGGTTGAGAGGCCTAGTAGGGATGGGGACAGTAGTTGCGCGAGCGCGGGTTATAGGAGGGGTAAATTTCAACGAGGGTGTTGCGGGGGTTGGTGAGGCCGGAATCTTGGGTGTAGACTTCGCTGGAGAAGCCTGAGTTGTTGGTGAAGTTGTTGATGGAACTGCTGGTGGTGGTGGTTTTGAGGGTAACGAGGACTGCGGTTGAGTTTGCGATGGCGCGCTCTTCGTAGTTGAAGAATTTCCCGCCCTCAACGTCCCTTTCGCGGCAACCTCCTGTAGTATCTTGCTCGATGACGACGTAATCGGAATCGCCTGTTTCGTGCTTCTTGTTGCACCCCTTGCCTCCTCTTTCTCTGACTTCGCAGCCTCTGCCACTGTACTCTTCACCTCTTGTGCTTTCGCCCTCCCACCCGCATTCTTTGCGCCTTTCGCTGTTGAGCTCTTGGTGCTCTTCGTCGCCTTCTCTACCTTCCCTTCCTCCTTCGCTGTCTTCGCCGCCTTCGTACTCGCCTTCCTCGTACTATTCTTTTTAACATCTACTGCCGTTTCCACCAGGTCCTCCACCACCTTCTTCGGCCGCCCGCGCTTCTTTGAAGCCTCTGAACTTGACATTTGCGCGCAATTGGGTTGAGGTATTACAGTCTATGGGATTTGCGGAGGGATATAGGAATGCAGGTGTGGTTTGACGCGAGAAAGGAGGTAGAACGCGTCGAATTCTGATGAGTCGAAAATTTGGACGGGGCCAGGGATGTTCGTGAGCGTGGCGCGGATCGCTGAGGGGCGGGAGTGCTACCTTGAGACGAGACTATCGATATCAATAGTAAAGGGGCCTGAGTAGGGTAGCAGCTCTGCACATCGTCTCGAAGCTGGCTAAGAGCAAATCTTTCACTTTGTTTCGATATTCAATTGTAAGCCTACTTATCCCCACAATGGACGCGTCTCATGCAGCACATATCAATGGTGAACGAAAACTTCACCAACTAGAGCACGCATCGGAAGTTGGTTACTTTCTACTATCCAGAACCTGCCCACCAACTTTCTTAGATGACATAGAATACTATGACTCAAGCTGCTTGCCCATCGCCGGCTGTTAGCACCCAAAGCCCCCAAGTGTCATCACCACATCGCAGGTGATGAAAATCCCAAGAAAAAATCCTTCCCCCCGCTCCCCCATTCCATCTCAAAACATAACATGAACATGGCAGGAGCATTTAGGCTAATACCTGCACCCTGTAAACTTTCCTTTTGCGATGAAAAGATGTAGAGCAAAGATAATGTGAAGAAAAGGAATTGGAATGGGATGAATCTACCTCTATGCTATTTAACACAAACCGATTTTTAAATACCAGAATGAGCCGCTCGTCTCTCGTACATATTTAATCGTACAGCCTATAACTTCATCCCCAAGGCCTTGTGGACCCTCAAAGCCTGCCTGATGCTCAAATCCAGCATAATCTCCTCACTTCCACCAGGGATGGCATACGCCCTAACATCCCGATACAGCCTCTCGACCTTCGCTCCCTGGCCACCTCTACTGTAACTCAGACCACCAAAAATCTGGCTGGCTTCCCTGGCGCAGAATTCGAATGTTGTTGTGCTCTGAGCCTTCAAGCTAGCAATAGCACCGCCAAGCTTCAACATGGCCTCCATTTCACCCATCTTCTGGCACTGGTAGATAAGGTTCTCGAGCCAGTTGTAGGATGCTTCGATCTGGCGTACCATGTGAGCCAGCTTCAGTCGGATGACGGGGTGATCGATAAGGCGTTTGCCGAACGTCTTACGCTTGTGGGCGTATTTCATCGACTCTTCGTAGCAAACGCGGGAGAAGCGCAGGCATTGAATGATGATACCAATACGCTCATGGTTGAAGTTCGTCATGACGACCTTGAAGCCTTGGTTTTCTTTGCCAATCAGGTTCTCCACAGGAACCTTGACATCTTCAAAGGTGATGTAGGTGGTGCCACTGCTCCAGACACCCTGACAGTCCATCTTGCGAGTCGAGACGCCGCCCATGCTACGCTCGATGAGGAGGACAGAGACACCGTTCATACCGGGACCGCCAGTACGAACCGCTGTGGTGAAGTATTCGCACCAGATGCCGTTGGTGATCCACTTTTTTTCGCCGTTGACGATGTAATGCTTGCCATCTTCAGATAGCTTAGCTTCGCATGTCAGATTCGCGACGTCGCTACCAGCATCTGTCAATTGTTAGTCAGGTTTCTTACCACCTAACAAGGACTATGACTATGTCCCGTGTTAAGTGCGGATATGCTGAAACTTACCCGGCTCGGTAATGGCAAGACAAATGCGCTTATTACCACTAAGAATTTCGGGAACGACTCGCTTCACAAGTTCCTTCTTGCCAAACTTGACCAGAGGTGGGCAGCCAATACCATAGCCTCCAATGAGATTCCAAACAAGACCTCCACTACCGGCACGAGAGATCTCATCAGTAAGAAGCATCTCATGGAAAAGGTCCCATTTCTCAGGGGGCACGCTTTGCACCCGAGACTTGGTCAAGTGTGTAGGGTAGTGGACACCAAGGAGACCGGCGAGGTAGCCCCGTTCACCCATTTGTTTATAGATGGTGTCTGGCACCTTCCTCTGCTCCTCCCACTCTGTGACATTTGGCATAATCTCTTCTTCCACCCATTGTCTGACTTCGTCGCGGAGGGCAGCGTGAGTTTCGTTAAAGTATGGAGAGTGGTACTAGAGAGTATGGAATTAGACGAGCCATTTGCACACATCGGACGCGCTCACAGACTGATACCAGGCAGGGTCAGCATATGGAACAAGGTCGCCATACGGATCCAGCGCTTCCGCTTCCTCCTGCGCGGCCTCTGATGGTTGAGGAGCAACAACACCGGGCTCAGCTGACGGCTTGAGCACGTCCTTCTTTGCCGGATGGGCAACTGGAAGGGCCGGAGGTGCAGTTTTGGTGTTTAAAGAGCCCACTTGCAACTGCTTTTGATATTTCTTCAGGATGCTCTCGTTATGATACTTCCAGAATTGCTTCGACGCATCTTTGCCAGCAACGCGCTGGAGGACTGTAGACTTCTTAGTGCTGCATATTCGCTGAATGCATTCTTTGAACACCAACTTTTCTTGCCCCCAGGATGATCGTCCTGGAACTTGGTCAAGTCGTACACATCTTCATCGACAATGATCCAGAGGTTGTCGGCCTTGTTGTGGGACGCAACGTCGGCAGTAGAAAATCGCTGTGACATCTCAAAAAACGGGGAGATAGGTAATGGGAGAAATATGCAGGATTACAAGTACAGGCCGTGTGACATGAAGGAGGCATGTCCAGCAGCAGAAGGGATTAAGAGGTTACCACAGCTTTCTTTCACATGTCTGCCGCTGATGCCAAGCACCCGGGACTTGCTCCTGATTTTGCAGGTCTGGAGCCGCAGGGAGATGTGGGGGCTATTTTGGACTGATGCGACGATGATAATGTGATCTTGTGAGCAACATTGGGGACATATAATTGGCTGGTGTGCAGTCGCCGGCCGAGCTGCTGCGTTTGCGGTTGCATGAGGTGGAGACGTCATTCGGCCGCATGCCGAGGCATCGCGGAATTAGGGCACGTGTCCACATTGGTCCTTCACAAGCCATCATCTAGCTGACTTTCAGCTGCCGGCTCTGTGGGTAGTTCCCTGGGAGTGCAGAGGGCCGTAGTCATGTCCTTCAAGTGGGAACCCATGCCTTTTCATGGCTTTGAACACTGCCACTTGTTGTCATGTTGTGAGCTCATCCGGAGTTCCCCCGCGCCATTCATCACTCTTCGCAGAGCCGATCGAATATACCTAATTAACGGCTTCTCGAATTAGCCAAGGAAATTCACCAACTCAACCCTCATCAATAATCATGCCAGGCGATGTACAGGTAAAGAAAGGTTCGGAGATCAATGCTCCAAGCGGCGCGCAGACCGAGGGTATGATAAGGATGAATGCCATAACCGACATGTATCCGCCGTCTACCTATCTGCTTTAATTAATGCTAACGATTGAAAAGGTCTGATCAGATATGTGGAACCGGCCAGTCTCTCAATAGAACCATCGTAATCCGCGAATGCTAACTTGTCTCAGTGATGATAGCGAAGCCACACACAGCATCGGCCGTTCACCACCATGGTGAAGAAGGTAGAGCATCTTCAAATCCCTTTTGTTGAATGCCTCGGTACATACACCGCGAACGAGTCCGTCTGATGGCACACAGACACAATCGTATACGCAGCCAAAGGCCATGGCGCCATCGTCAGCGGGCCGAATGGTTCGAAGAGACAGGATCTCGTGCCCGGCGACTTTGCGCTAATCCCTGCCTATGCCGAACACCAGGAAGTCAATGATAGCGGTGAGGATGTTGTGTGGATAATCACACGAGGGGGCAGAAATCCGATCGTGCATAACCTTGAAGGCTGGGGAAAGAGCTAGAAAAAAGTAGCTTCGGATCGTAGTGCAAATTCATTCGGCAGATCGGTCTTTGCAATGGAATACTGCCAGAACTTTGAGCGAATGCAGAGTCTCAGATAGTGTTGGGTCTTCCAGTGTAGACACAGTCTCCTTGAATCCAACAACGAGTCTACAGGCTAATTCGCTTACCACTGCAGTTAGATAATGGAGCGGAGCCCACAGCGCAGCACGCAGCATTCTCTTCTTGGGGCATGTTAGAACAGGTAACAGGACATAGTAGGACCTTCCTTGTGGACAGAAAACTCTATTCTCCTTACCCACCACTGAGTTCGAGCAATTGGCTGGATAGATTAACCCTAACCTATCATTGTTCTATAGTATGCGCCAGAACGCTACCATCCCTACCAGAGGATACCTCTCGGACGACCTGATTTGTTAGACGTTTGTGCAAGTGTTACGGATTCTCAACTCCACCACCCCCGGTCCACCCGTCTCCAATCCTTTAAAAGCTGGCTCGGAACTATGACCCACTTCAAACACGCACATCTTCGATAAGCTACCATCCCGAGTCACCGTCCTTCAATGTTAGTTCTCCTACTCTTTCTCAAATGTTGGCATCTGAAAATGAGGTAGAAAGCAGAGCTCCTCTTCTCTGCTTATCACCCTACTACCTTTCCTGGAAAGCTTGCAGCTTACTCACTCCAGTAGTTAGTTAACTAGTCGTTCAGGCTGACCTCAGCAATACGCGTCCCACGTGCCGGTGAAACGTACAGAGCATTTGATGACGTAGGGACAATATACCAGAGCACCATGTTAAGATGCTAGAATTCTGCAGGAAAATGATTAGCTTCAGCCTGCCTTAGACAACATGAACCCTGCGATCCTCGGGATCCGCGCAAATCCAAGCACTAGCTCTAGAAGGCACTAGAGCAGCTGTATCAGCATACGAACACATTTATGCAGGAGGGCAATCTTCAAATACCATTACCGTGATCAATCCCGCTACAGACACAGTTCTAGGAACCACCAATCTGGGAAATGAGCAACTATTAGATGTCGTTGGACCTCAATACGTGCGATCCGGAATTCCCACAGTCCCAACTTCCCTCGATATGGGAAATACATAGTCTCGTTAAGTGTGACATGCAACATCGTCACGGTAGTTCGTTGCCTGGATAATGCTATCATTTCATGGACATACGTTGACCAAAATGCCCACGAAGCGTTCTTCGCAGCCGATAACCGGACAATATGGGTTTGCACAAGGGGCGTCGATACTATTGAGCTTGTCGACGGTTTTAGTGGTACTATCGTTGGCAAGATCTCTTCATACGGTGGACCGAGTAAAGTATTCTTCAGTCTAGACAGGAAAACCGCCTATGTGAACCACATTGGTTCCCCATACCTGGAAATTATCGACGTCGAGACTTAGCAGCACATCACCAACATCACCGGCTTGGCAGATACCTTCTCTTCAGATATGATGCTTTCTGCGGATGGAAATCGGCTCTAGGCTGCGCATCAAATGCTCGGTAAAGTTACGGTCATATCCACCGCTTCAAGGAGGATTATCGGGGTCCTAGACGCAGGCCTGGAAACGAATCATCCGAGTTTCGCAGAGCTGAACGGAACAACCCATGCCTTCGTCACTGCAGCAGCCTTAAACGCAACAAGAGTCTACAAACAGCCTGATCCTGAACAAGTCCTGGCGTATGAAGGTGAGATTCCGTCCAGTGGTGTACAACCTCATAGTCTGTGACCCAGTCCGGGTAATTCTCGAATATATATCGTCAACGAGCACTCCGACACCGTGGAAGTCATCGATCTCCAGAACAGCTTAAGAGTCGCGAAAACTCTGGATGTTGAGTAAGAGGATCAGGCACTAGTTTACGTAGCTAGAGCTGTTCCAAGTGGTGACAGAACATAGAACTTGAGGAAGCAGGGTCTGCAATGCAAAGCGGAGAATAAGCTGCTGGTCGTGGAGGTTTCGGACAGAGGTGGTGATGTGACGGCGTCAGCGTTAGTGACGATCAGACCAGCAGTCAGGCTCGATATGTTTCAGATTATTGGGAGGAATCTGAAGTTGAATACGACGTACACAGTTGGGGGGAATGTAGGGAATGTAATGGGGTTATGATACCACTGGTGGATTTAACGACAACGTCTATGACAGCCGCGGGTCAGGAGTGCGCCGCAAGTGTTGGGGTTCTTTAAGTTCAAAGGCATATACGGTGTAGATTCAATCAAGTTAGTAAGAAGGTAGTCAAGGAGCACGCTAATAGGATGTAGTAATTAATGATTCGAGCACTAGTTGCGCTTCCCCTTGCCATGAAGCCAATTCCAGAATTCACTCTAGAATTTGAATCTATTTGAGTCAGAGAGGTCTAGCTTGCATTATAGATTACCATGGAGCACTTCTACGAGCTATTTTGAGTACTGGCTGTGACTATTATGCGAGAGAAAGTATCCTGATAGCTGAATACTGCTAGTAGCCTTCTAGAAAGTGGCGTTAGTGCTTTCTTATTCAGTAGGTTCTCACGTAACGTGGTATATGAGATTAGAGTCTTTCTGTTAACCCTCTTGTGGGAATTAGGGTGGACATTAATGGAACGCAAATGCTGTCTTGAAATATCTTTGAATTGTGCTATGTTAGATGACGCCAGTACGTTTTCTTTCTAACTCCGTCCCAGGATGTAGCCATATCGCTAGGGTGTCAAATATACATATCAATTTAGCATGCTTGGGATTGGTGGAAGACAGAAAGTCTTTTTTGAGAGAAACGAAGATGGCTTGGGCTTAGAACCCGCAGAAGTTCCTTCGAGCAACAGTAAGGTGAACACAAGGAACATTGCACTGAGACGGAAGGACCTGTACTGTTGAAGTCGGGTGGTTCGATGGATTCTTCTCCTTGCTTCTTTTGGTTAGTTAGTACTTTGGTAATTAAGCTAACTTGGTTGGGGCGAAGCTGCCTGTCGTCGTGGCGAGTGTCGTTGCGACTCAATTCTTTCGATACTGGTACCACCCGACTGCTCAAAAAGCTGACTCCTCTTCTCATGTCGCCCTTTCGCCCTTTCCTCTCTCTGATGGCATGGTGAAAGGTGGTGAGTCAACCAGTTGCGCAGAACAGTGTACACAAATGCGCCAGGCAGCAACGCGCCTTCTAGCTGCCAAGCATGGGCCCCGCTAAGCGATGGTATATATCTACCACAACCATCACTTGGTTTTTATTCTCCAGAACCCGACCATCTCTTGGTCGGAGTTTTCTTCCAGCGTCACCACATACCATAACTTCGAGCATAGCGTCGAGCATTGCTCGTCTAGATAGCACCATGGCCGCTTCAGCCGCTAACGAGCTTCCAGTGCGCACCGCACCAGCTGCCGATACAACAAAGATGGATGCCCCAAAGCATTCCGTTCTTAACTCGACTTTCCCTGTTCTTCTCCCGCAAGACGACCTATTGTTCATGCCAGAGCCGGAATTTCAGTCCTCCATCCGGAAACTCGTGGCTCAAGGCGAGCCAGCAGAAGATGAGCCCATTCTCATCGAGAACAGCACATCCTCCTCAGGCTTCCCGTCGAGCCCCTCGAAACGACGTGCTCTTGCTGACGCTGAAAATCCCCGCCCCAAGAAGTCAGCTTTCATGAACGGCCTGTTCCAGGATGCTGCCCATCAGATGACCGCTGAGGATTTGGCAGCCCAGAATAAGACGCTCACCGCAAATGCTGATGTCACCAACATCTCCTCAAAGAATCCTCTGGTTGATCTATTCTATGACCTTGCAGAATTCACTGCGGACGACAAACTGAAGATCCTCTTGGAGCATGCATGGAAAGAGGATTCCTTGATGACGCTGAAAATCATCTTCAATACCCGAAGCATTCATTTAGGAAAAAGTAACAAGATTGCGACCTACAAAGCTATGGGCTGGTTAGCCGAGAACCACCCTCTCACGCTTCTTGCCAGTCTCAAGTGGTTGGTGCGGCCCATCATCGAGAAAAGGGCACCGAAACCAGAACAAAGAGAGACAGCAAAGGATGAAGACTTTGCCATGGTCGAGGTAGATGGCGCCAATAGTGAAAACCCTGAGAAGGCTCATGATGTGCGTTTTGGTGTTTCTCACGGGTACTGGAAGGATCTTCTGAATCTTGTTGCTCTTGCTGCGAATAACGAACTTAAGTTCAATGGCAACCCAGAATCCGTTCTTTCCCAACATCCGGATAAATCTGCCTCTGGTAAGCGCAAGCGAGAGTGGGATCCAGCAAACGCCAAGGTGCTCCGCACGCAGAAGAAGTTGGAGCGTCACGACCGCGTTTTGCGGAAGCTAGAGGATGACGGTTTCTATCGTGCCCTCCACACCACGGTGGCTCGCCTCTTCGCCAGCCAGCTAAAAGAAGATGCCGCAAACCTTGCTTCCGGAGAAAAGGCCGATATGAAGAAACTATCTCTGGCCGCAAAGTGGGCACCTACTTTTGGTGAATTCCATGATAAACACACCTTCATACTGTCTTCGATTGCGGAAATCCTATTTCCCAAGCCCGAAGAAGTCTGCCCCGACGCCACAAACCGTGAGCTCTACCTACGATATGCGCGCGAAGTCTATCGACGCAAAATTGGCTCCCCTCTTCGCAAAGCTTTATCTGTCGTCGAACGTGAGATTGCTTCAAACAATTTCGAGGCAATCCATTACGATCGCGTGCCAAGCCTCGCCATGGATCGATACACCAAGCTGTTCTTGCGAAAAGACTTTGACCACTTTTCGCGCTTCGTAAACAAGGTTGCCGAAGGGTCCGTGAATATCTCTGGCGCAACTCTACTACCGTCAACGCTCGTCAGTAAAGCTCGGGTGGCTGTCTATCACACTTCTGATGAAGCAAAAAATCTTGCCGCAGTCAAGGCCAATGCACAAGCCAGCATAACGCGGAAAGTGATAGATGGTCAATGGAAAACGTTGGTACAGCGGGTCCGGGACTCGGGCGTGCTGGAATCTTCAATCGGCGTCTGCGATGTAAGTGGCAGCATGGGCCACCCCGTCTTCAAGGATAACACCTGTCCCATGGATTCTTCGATTGGCCTGTCTTTACTCCTGGCAGAAGTCACGGCCCCTCCATTCGGTGGCGCGTTCATCTCGTTCTCCGAATCACCGACCGTCGTGAGTGTTGGTGGCGAGTATGATAAACGCGGTCTCGTCGATAAAGTGGCCGCTATCAGCAGAGCTCCATGGGGATACAACACAAATTTCACTGCCGTCTTCGAGGACTTGATCCTGCCAATGGCTGTGAAGGCTGGTCTGAAGCAGGAGGAGATGGTGAAGCAGGTGTTTGTTTTCAGCGATATGCAGTTCGACGAGGCTGATGAACATACAAACCGCTGGACCACATCTTTCGACCGTATCAAGGCCAAGTTCGAGGCTGCTGGCTACGAGATGCCGAGGCTCATTTTCTGGAATTTGGCCTCGAAGAGCTCCGACAAGCCGACCACGATGGATGACATCAACACGGCCTTAGTGTCTGGTTATTCGCAAGGTATGCTCAAGGTCTTCCTGGATGGTGGTGGCTTCGAAGGAGAGGGAGAGGAAGAGATTACGGAGGAGGAGATGGAGGATGAAGACGGTGTTGTTCAGGTGAAGAAAGAGAAGAAGAAAATGGATCCGTTGACCGTCGTCAAGAAGGCCGTCTCTCACAAGGCGTACAGCATGTTGAACGTCGTCGACTAGAGTTGGGAACCCGATGTTGATTGAAGGTTTTCAGACATATTTCAAAACCGTCATCAAAAGTGTATAGTAAATACAGTCTCCTATCTTGGAACGGTTGGCGAAATGGTAGGCTGGGGATATGCTCCAGACGGAGCCAAATCAACACTTTCAAATCCAATTCTCTAAGACCGAAAGTGATGTTGTTTTAACTCTCTATAGTATAACATTGCTTGCTATGGAGCATGGTTGGTGCGGAATTGATCTATTAAGCCTCCCGCAAGAATAAGGGAGAAATGTTCAGAGAATACTGATCTTTATCGAAATCGAGATCCTTACTGTCCCAACATGGCAACAGCCCTTCTAAAAGTAGCTCGAGGACCGATGTCACCACCTCGTAATCGTCGATAATGTTCTCCATACACACCAATGTCACTAGGGTTCCTCTAAATTAGCATTTCTGAACCTTTGTGCACAGCATGTGAAACAAAAATTCCGGGGAATGTTCCGAGTTGTGTAATTGCAGCCTATTCCTTGGAGAGGCTCGACGGATTTTGGACACCTAACTGCGTCATCATTATCCCTTTAATTAACTATCATGTCCTCTCTGGGCTTTTCCACAGCTGTCTGTCTGCGGACTAACCGTTAAGTGGGGCCATATACATTCTTAGTATCCCGGTCCACGACCAAGAACAGTCACGCATCGGCCAATTTCATTAAAACGGTCGGATACGTCGGTCTCGGAAAAGCAGGCTATTTGATGGCCTAACATCTCCCTACGAACGTATTTAATCTCGTAGTTCACGGTATCGACGCAACAAAAGTCTGGCGCGTAGGTTCAGAATGGTCGAACACAACCTCTTCTGATGGGAGGCCAGGGGCTTTTAAAGACTACAATGTTGTTCCAATGTTGTCTTAAGGGAAGGTGTGGAGGATAAAATAGCCTGGCAGTAGCTGTTCAGAAGATCGGATGAAGTGACTCCGCTATCTAAGAGAGCTGAAGGCTCTCCTTATATACACCGAGCTTCGGAACATAATATCTCCAGATCCCGAGCTGCGTCCCAGGCTCTGAGCCCCCAGTCCCAGGCTCTGAGCCCCAGCCAAGGCTCTCAGTATACGCGACAGAAGGCTGTTAGAGAAACGATCTTAGGTGAGAAAGGGATTGCAAGAGAATGATGTAGGCTCTGTGGGTCTTGACACTGGCCTCAATGTCCATGACCATAACGATCCTGAGGGGGTGCTTGATGACCCTATCCAGACCAGTAATGAGTTAGGCTAGATGAATCTTGACCCCGACCTCCAAAACTATAGGGGGAAGGGCTGTCCGGGTGCTAGTCACCGAGCTTGTAGCTATACTGTCAGCTATTTTAGCTATCACGAGAGAAGTTGCTTGGATATCCTAGTGCATGGTGATCCACGCCAGAGAATCCTGGACTTCGGGATAGGACCGAGATTTTGATATCGAGGCGTAGAGGTGGCAGGGATACAATTAGTGCCACTTATAGTAGCCTAGAATGTGGTCTTGGCCTAGCTCATGGCTGCAGACGCGAACCATAGTGCGTACCATGACCCTGGCCTGGTATGGCGGGCTGGTTCCGATCCTGGCTCCGACTAATTGGGTACGGCTTCACAGTAAGGTCTCTGCGGCTAGAATTTAGGGCATTCTGCCTATCTTGGTTTGAGCAGTGGCGTTCTTCAGTGCTATCAGGCTGTTGCGACTGACATTCTGGCGATCTTGGCTCGGCTGCACCGCTGGGTTGCAATAACTGGCATACTGACTACATTGGCTGGCTGTGCGGCTCGAATTCTGGCTCTCTTGCTCTGTCTGGACAACTTCGTCGCTGAGACTAGCGGTAGTAGCTCAACCTGTGGGTTGAGCGGTAATCTCGTCGCCTCGGACTGGACTTACAAGTACTTGACTGTTGCAGATCAGACTCATTTGATGTTGCTATTCAAACCTTTTGTGGCATCGAATGAGGTCCGGAGAGGCACACAAAGCTGTCACCATGAATTCAGGATCATCCGCCCACGACTAGGGCTCATTCTGAACCCGTTCAGCATTTCCTTGGATGAAAACGTCACCTCTCACTTGGAGGAACCTGAAGAGGGCCTGATTTAAGGCATTGGCCCCTGGAGGACTTGCTAGCTTAGTGTTGTTGTTCGGGTGAGCAGCCGGGAGAGTTGAGGTTGTGCGTGGTAAGATTAATATTAAAAGTCTCAGCTACCTAATCAATTAACTTGAGCTGTCTAGAAATAAGAGTTAGTTTGACTTACCAAGCCACTAATAGAGGAGAGAACGTGTGTTACTCAAGTGCCGGCATTGTTTTCACTTGCCGGTTCGCGCTAGCCGATTCAGTTAGTCTCACCACCATAACCACAGTCCTCTGATGGCTTTCAGTCCTAGCTTAGATACTCATCGGGTAACCGCTTCTTCCCGAGAGAATCGCCAAAGAAGAGGACAAGGCATGTGAATACGACGAGTAGTGAGTGAGAGCAACCGGAATAGACTCTCCCTCAGTGGCATATCCTGGCGAGCCCACTGAATCACCCTCGCCTTGTCACATAATGCGAAGGAAAGGCCATGGAAAATCTAACAAATTTCATTGAATTCCCCCAAAGCCACACCATAACTCTCGAAAAGACAAATCCCCACCCTCAAATGTTCGTCGCCATGTCTTCCTTGAGATTTCGGCTAAGCAATCAGGCCAGGGCACTACCTGCTAGCGATTTTACCTCGCTGGATAACATGGCTGTCCCAGAGGCTCGACATCAATACAACACTCTTCCACTGCATCATCACCAGGTTGACCTACAGATTGACCTCTAATAGGTTGTTCTCATCATCCTCAAGGCCGGCTCCTCAACCTGCGTACCGTAAGGAATTACAGGGTCGTGGAGAACGTTCTTCGGAACGTACTAATATAACGCTCCCGGGTTTGGAGGCCTACGTCCGTACTCCCATTTATTGCTTTGATGTTGGATTTGCCAAGGCGCTAAAAGTTTGAAATCCAAAGCCATGGCGCGCGCTCGATTACTTCTGTATTTGGACTAGACCTAAAAGTTAAAGTTGAGGCTAAGGATGCGATGTGCAGCCATAGAACCTGAACAGTCTCCGTAGATGCTTCCACATCATTTTCTCTTCTTTTTGGTCCGATGAGCGACCGCCCGTCTCGAAATTTAAAAAATGGTGTCGAAGCGTCTCCTTGGTCCTCTTGACAAGAGAAAAATAGTCACACGTTGCCAGCCATGTGCCGCTCGAAGAATCAAGGTGAGGGTATTTCTATTCAGTATATGCTAGATTCCATTTTGGCTCACTCATGTAGTGTGAAGGTGGGTTTCCTTGCGAGTATTGCGCCCGAATGAAAAAAGATTGTCTACCACCAAAAAAAGCTGTCCTCAAAGTCGCCACCGAGTTCGTCTCTCTTACTGGAGTGGGACGATCTCAGCCAATTCTTGGTCTCCCAAAGCAAGTCCAAAACGAGATGGACGACCGCTTTTTTGCCTCTTTTGCGGCATTCATTCGACGCACCCAGTTCACACGGCGATTCCCTTCCGTTAACTCGGATCTCATGCTGCTTGTGCACACCTCGCATCCGTTACGCCATGCTGCAATCGCTATCGGTGCTCTGAACGCAAGTCGAGAGGGTGCTATTAGTGTGCTGCGTGGACGTGACTCTCCCAGTATCATTGCTTTCACATATTATCGTAAAGCAATACTCTCCCTCAAAAGTATACTTGCTGAAAAGGATGTGGCGCAGAGAGAGGATGTACTATGGAGCACTTTCTTATTAGGACTTTTTGAGGTATGTGCTTAGATCTGCGACGCTTGAAAGTCTTCTATTACATCTTGAGTTTGGACTGAAAGATTTACTTACCTTGCGCAGCTCCTCGCCGAATCCTCCGGTGAAGGCTGGGCGCAGCACATGTTCTACGGTACCTCAAGGATTCTGCAATTGTCAGGGCCAGCTCAGCACATGTCTTCTCTAAGGCAGGTCCTTTTTGAAGCATTTCGAATTCTGGAGGCGAATAGAGCCATTCTCTATGGTGTAGATACCATGCTTTCCGAGGATGCTTGGGTAGACTTCCAGCGAGATCTCACATCTAGCAGGGAGGAGTCTTGGTGTCCAATTGAAACTATATCCTCTCTTATTATTCAAACCTCTTCCTTCAACAAATGGTACGTTTCCACAGACTCTTTAAATATCTGTTAACTGATTCAATTGGTGGGCAGCTTTTTGGATGTAGCAGAAAATATTTTTAGGCAACAACATTTGGCAGACGCCTCCATCCGTGCACTAGGGGAACGAGGCTTTAAAATTCAAAACCTGGTCCACCAGTGGCACGATGAAGCGCTAGCTCGGATGTACAGTTCTGATGACACTGACATCCATTTCCAGCTTAGCCTAACATACTACCATGCCCTTCTCCTATTTCTGTCCCGAAACTTCACCTACTATTCGTACTGGGACCGAATGACGGCGCCGCTCTTGTCCCAATACGACATTGATAGCCACATCGCGGCTATTATAGCCTTGGCTGAGCAAATATTAGACGCGTCCGTCATCCCGGGTGTCATGCTTCTCTTTCCTCTACGATTAGCAGGGTCCCACACCAAAAATTCTGACCAGAGGCGCAGAATTTGGAAAATCTTGGATCAAGTGCATTGGAAGGGTTTTATTGTCTCAGATCGGATCAAGACGGATCTGCAGGAGCTGTGGCAATATCAGGGGTTGGAAATGTGGAATCTTGGGCCTGTGTAGAGGAGAAATTCTGCGTAGTGTCCCCACCTCACGGGCCGTCTCGACATCAAACGAACCACTCCTATCTAGTGGTGAACACCATACATCTCATAGCCTGAGCACACCCAGCCACTGAGCTATCTGCACCACTCAGCCAGATCATTTTAAATCCGAACGGCACCAGCGGTAGTGCTGAAGAATTCAGTTACTACTCTAGTCCTCTCGCTGGGTGTGAAATAGTCATATCCAACAACATTGTTACAACCGTTTACATAAACCGTCACGGGGATGACGCCTTGATACATGATGCTCCACTATATCAACATTGTGTTAGCTGGCCGCATAAACACATTGTCAAACTGAATCAGATAACTCACAGATGCTGTCCATTCAGTGACTAGATCCCTTTTAGCAAGACCTGTAAAGATAGCTCCGGATTCGACTAGGATGCTCTCTAAGAATAGAGGGAAGTTAGAGTTAACGTATCCCCTCCAAACTTCCGTTTTCTCCGAGCTGCCGAGGAAGGTGGTGACGGTGTTGTCTACCAAGCCCGCGTCGGTGACATTGGAATAGTTAAAGGACGAGGATGCAAGCCCACCCTCATATGCATGGTCCACACGGACGAGCCCTTGAGACGGCGAGTTGTAGATGAACCCCGCAGTAATGTGAGAGACATTCTCGTTCCTGTTATGGTATTGCGTAAGAATCCTGATCCACCCATCAAGGAATCATTCGAAAGAAAAGCAACGCAATATTCCTGAGATCCTAATGACGTACCATTTGTGCTGAATGAAGTTGGTCTTGAACTCAGGATTGACCAATGGTGGCTTCGGTTGCTCGAATTGAGCCGAGAATTCCAGCATTGACGGAGGGAAGGGTTTGCAAGCACGGCCTGCAGTACATGCTGTTGCAACAAAGGCCAAAAAGAGACAAATGAATAGAAACATGGAGAGAGATAGAGAGAGAGTAATGATGGTTTATAAGGAGGAAACCTGGGAGAAGTGTCTGCGATGAGCCTGGATATGAATGGATAGAGAAACCTGTAAGAGGGAGGGCCCATGACTTTATATCCGGACAATAACCATGTGCCACGTTATGCTCAAAGAGCAAAAGAGCTCTCCACAATGTACGCAAGATGCGGCAAGTCCCTAGAGTGCGCTCAGTCACTTCCAAATATGGAAAGGTCGAGCTCATGGCAAGTCTTTTCTACCTTCCAAAAGCGGTTAGTCCTAAAGATATAATGTGGCTAAGATGCATCGAAATGTGCGTTCAATCACTGCTTGTTTAGGTTAAACCGCAATTTCTATAGTAAAAGGCTACAGTTTGCCACTAGCTTCTTTAAACATAGGCTTTAGTTATATTCTATAAGGCTTGTATGTAATCAATTGATGCGCTTTAATGTCGTCAGTAGTGATATTAACCCCATCGCTTCAGAACATTCAAGCCAGCTACAGGGGAATCTGGTGTTGGAATTCGGGGGTAATGAAGTAGCCATACCAGAGCACTCTGGATCGGACGATTTCCCCACATCGACTAGCTTGGAATGGGTCTTCAACCTGGAGACGACGTTTCACAAGGCCACTCAGGAGAGCGAATGTCCGTTGCTGCCCAATCTCTTTCAGCTGATGGACATCAGGCACATTCTTCAGCTCTTCAATCCCGTTTAGCGTTTGATAATCCAGAACCCTATATGGACCTTCTCGCAATATATTCGCCATCCACAAATTTGAGAAAGTCAGGGCCTACCGAAGTCTACCAAGCTCCAAGTTGACATAGTAAGCTCGCAGACGGGGTGAATAAGGCGTGGGCTTAGTAAATAGCAACCCGAAAGCCAGCTATGCTCTATTTTCCTCTGGACCTGACACCTTTGACCCTCCATTATGCTCAGCCTTTCCTACTGTATTGCCCTTCCGGTCCTACGACGAACCCTGAAGTGGTTGCCCCATGCCCCCCAGCGTCACCATCTTTGTAATCATATACTCTTCCACACCTAACATACTTCCCTCTCTTCCAAATCCACTCTCCTTGACACCACCAAATGGAGCTGCAGGATCGCTGATCAATCCAGTATTCACCCCAACCATGCCGACCTCTAATGCCTCCGCCACACGGTAGCACCTTTGAATATCCTTGCTAAAGAAGTATCCAGCCAGCCCCACGTCTGCAGAATTCGCTAGCTTCACGACATCAGCTTCGTTTTCGAATTTAAATAGACCTGCCACCGGACCGAACGTTTCTTCAGAGGCAAGCCGCATATCGGATGTCATGTCTCGAATCACAGTTGGCTGGAAGAAGTTCGACCCCACATCCGGCATCTTCTGTCCGCCGATGAGCACCTTACCGCCTTGGTTGATCGCATCCTGGACATGGCTTTCGACTTTCGACACTGCTCGTTCGTGGATAAGGGGGCCATGAGTTACACCGTCGCCGTAGCCGCCGCCAACTTTGAAGCTCTTGACTTTTTCGGTGAATTTCTCTGCAAACTCGTCGTAGATGCCCGATTGGACGAAAATCCTATTGGCACAAACACAAGTCTGGCCCGAGGAGCGGAATTTCGACGTGATAGCACCTGCTACCGCGATCTCCAAATCGGCATCGTCGAATACAATGAAGGGAGCATTGCCACCGAGCTCAAAAGAAAGTTTCTTGAGAGTGTCGGAGGACTGCTTCATTAGGAGCTTTCCTACACCGGTAGAACCTGTGAAGGAGACCTTTTTGACCGTCTTGGATGAGGTGATGGTCTCGCCAACCTCGGCGGTATTCGACAACGCTGTGACGAAGTTAACGACACCTTTGGGAATGCCAGCGCGGTGGGCGAGTTCGGCTAATGCGGATGCAGTAAGAGGAGTTTCGCCGGGAGACTTTGCGACTACTGTGCACCCGGCTGCAAGAGCTGGTCCGATTTTGCGAGTTATCATAGCGGCGGGAAAGTTCCAGCTAGGTACCGGGTTAGTCCTGGTCGTGGTCGCCCTGACTATCAAGGTGCCGCTCAAGAAGACTCACGGGGTAATCAATCCACACACACCCACTGGCTCCTTGATCGTGTAGACTCTATTTCCTGCAACGCTTGCTGGAATTGTACTCCCATACACTCGTGGCGCCTCCTCACTGAACCACTCGAAGAAGTTGGCTGCATACGTTACCTCACCTTTGGCATCCGCAAACGGCTTGCCATTCTCCCAAGTTATCAGCTTAGCGATGTCGTCGGCATTGTCTATCATCAGCTGATACCATTTCCGGAGCATGCGGGCACGTTCACGACCTGTGAGTTTACGGAAAGACGGAAGAGCAGCGGCAGCGGCGGCAATGGCGGCTTCGGTATCAGCGCGGTTCATTTCAGGCACCTTCCCTATGACTGCGCCTGTCGCTGGGTCTGCATCGTGTCAAAATTGAAGTTCTAGGACAGTTTGAGCAGGAGCGCACCTGTGACCTCGAAGGTCTTGCCAGATTTTGCGCCAATCCATTCCCCGTTCACATATGTTTGCGACTTCAGGAGGGACGGATCGTTGAGCTTTGAATAGGCAAGTTAGTCCTTTCTGGCTGAAATCCATAGCTCATCTGAATGCGCAAGGAGGAGAAACTCACAGGGGGTACTGAATGACCCATGGTGTAGAACCTCTGAATTAGAACTGGTAAAGTCTTTCCTTGAAATCTGGTCCTATAGCCCTGCTGCCGAGCAATTGCGTTCGACACAGATAAAAACGATCGCATGTTGCCAAAGTCGGGAAGTCGTAATTAAAACCAGAAAACCGCCCCTCCAAGCCTTTCAGATCGAGCGGGAATAAGGTTACGCAATCAGGAAAATAGCCCTGTGCGGCGTCGTGTCAATTGACTGTTGGGTGTGTGGATTGCGGGGATTTGGAGATTTCTCAGCGATGACGTTGGGGAAAGCTAGACCTTTTGATGCGGGGCCTGTCGGCAGTCGGAAACTAGTCATGGCGTGAGCCTTTGGGGGAAGCTGCTTTTTATGAGGATGAGGGCGTCAAGGGCGTGTGTTGAAGGCAAAAATCATTCATCGGTATACCGAGATTGGGCATTTCCGATGCCTGGCAGGAGGTGGGAGGTGAGAGTTGAGGACCGACGAAAAGCGCGAGATAGCACGTCGAAATCGACAAAGATGTCCAGTTTTAAGCTCAAGGAATCCATTCCGGGTATTAAAGACAGACCTCAAGCTCTCCCTGCGTCTATGATACAGGGGTATGGTGCCCCTGTGCCGCACATCACATTCCCACCTCCAAACAACTCAACCCGCCAAGCCCAGCCACCAAGCCCAGTCTGGCCTCCCCGAGATTTGTAAAACGAAGAGTTGTGTCCTGCTGTTGACCTTCAATAGAGGATATGAGCTCCTATCTGTGCCTTAGGTGTAATTTTTCACATACTCTTTCTGTTTTTCTCTGCCCGTGACCGTTTGCCATGCCTTCTACCTCCCCTTGTCGCTCTGACTCGCACCTCACCACGTCCCTTTCCCTGGTTCCTTGGGAGCCCGAGAAAACTTGCTATACTAGGGCTTTGTGCCTATTTCTTTCCAGGGAGACGTTGATGGAACATCCATCGAGGGCGTAGACTTGTTGATTGAGGAGGAGGACTCAGTCATCTCCTGTGAACGATTGTCGAAGGGTGCACGGATCTGATCGTAGGTAGGTCTAGTACTATTCACCAAAATGACAAGGCAAGAGCAAGCTTCGAGTTAGTTCTTACTATCCTGTCTTACAATGGTCTCTACAGTGCACTGCCAACAATGGTAACTCGCGATGCCTCGCCATGATAGAGTCCTGCGAGGCCACTCAGATGATCTCTGTGGCGGTCTAATTCCTTAGCCCGAACTTGTGGCTTCTCTATTTCAAGGTTTTAGTCGTCACACACGACTCGATCGATCACAGCTCTCGTCCAAAACCGTCCAGAATTTGCATGCTTATGGTCATCTGGATTCCTCCTTCCATGGTATTATGCGGCTAACACTCTCTGGGACAATGATCCCTGCTCCTCACCTCCAAATGCCCCGCAGATGTGGATTTCAGGCTCCGCAAGACGAAACTAATCAGTTCCTCGCTCCTCGGGGTTGAAAAACTGAATCTTTTTCCATAAATACGGTTTCTCGTCGTTCATTGCTTTTTAAATCTGACATAATCAACATTGGTACACTAATCTGGTGAAAAATGGCCGAGAGTTACGGAAGCTTCGACATCCCCAAGACGTGCAAAGCTGGCGTCGTTGTGAATGAGGGACCAGATTTCAAGCTGGTGGTCGAGGATGTGCCAGTGCCGGAGCCTGGTGGGTTCCTATTCTCTTCAACTTTTCTCGTGGTTTCTTTTAGCCCTCGCGAACCTCGGAGAAGTATCGCAGAAGCTTAGCTTGCTTTCAAGTCTAGTTCCAATTAACTACCTACTCGGACCTAGCAGCTAGCCTCGAGAATCATGTGCCTCCTTTGATATATGCAAAAGGTGCTTCACCTCACTAACACATCCAGGTCCCAACGACGTCCTCATCAAGCTCAACGCGACCGGGGTCTGCTACTCTGACATCCACTACATGCTCAACGACCTCCCAATCCCTAAAATGTCCGCCTTCGGTGTACGTTCCCCCGGCCACGAAGGCGCCGGCATAATTGTCAAACTTGGATCCAACGTCACGAACTGGAAAGTCGGCGATAGAGCGGGTATCAAACCAGCCTACGACGCCTGCTTGAACTGCGAACTCTGCTGGTCCATGAAGGAAACCTATTGTGACCAGAGTACGCAGATTGGCTTACAATTTCCAGGAAGCTATCAACAGTACGTGTTGAGCCCGGCGAGGTATACGTCGAGGATTCCAGATGGCGTAGATGATTTTACTGCCGGGCCAATTATGTGTTCTGGGTCGACGATTTACTGTTCTTTGAAGGAGAGTGGGCTGAGGCCTGGTGATTGGGCTGTATTTCCCGGTGCAGGAGGTGGTGTTGGGCATATGGGCGTTCAGTTAGCAAAGGCGATGGGCATGAAAGTGGTAGGAGTGGACGGAGGGGATGAGAAGAAAGACTTGTGCATGAAGTTAGGATGCGATGCATTTGTGGATTTTACTAAAGTTAAAGATGTACCTACGGAAGTGGTCAAGATCTGCGATGGGAAGGGTGCGCATGGGGTCTTCGTAACAGCGACAAATGGAAGTGCGTATGCCACCGCCCCAATGATGACACGAATCAGTGGAAAGGTTATGTGTATTGGTCTTCGTAAGTCAATGCTCGGACGTCTTTCCTACACTGCATTAACTAAGGGTCTGTAGCTCCGACAGGAACCGCAATTGCCGGAGCAGATCCCCTTCTTTTTGTCGGCAAGAATCTGCATATTATTGGGACGAAAGTGGGATCTCTACTTGACACACAACGAGCTCTTGAGTTCGCTGCAAGAGTAAGTACATTATGTTGTCACATGGCACGGGACATGACCAGCGTGGAGTTTATCTGCTTATTCTTGCTTGGATCAGGAGGAGCATCAGCATGATGCAAATCTCTGTCTTGAATTATACCCTGTAACATTCAATGTTAGCTGTTAAGATGCAGAATTACACAAGCTAATCCACTACAGGGTCTCCTCAAGCCGATTTACGAAGTCTTCCCTCTAGCAAAGATGCCTGATGCAGTGGAGAAGCTGCGCGGTGGTAATGTTGCTGGAAGGCTAGTGGTCGACTTCAACTCGTAGTTCGGTTCATTTAGTGAATGCAGAGGGTTATTCTCATTAAGCGAGAAATTTCGAGAGAAGGCCTTTATTCCCTTTGCGCAACCAGAGGGGTCTGGAGCCTTGACCTTAGAAACGATATACAAGCTTGATCCGCAAGACACGTAGCACAGCTTCACGGGCTTAAACCTCCTGCTAAGACTCAACAATGACGGCTGCTTATCATCCCACCTATTTCAACCTCCACCAAACCACCTTCAAAATATCTCCTATAAACCCAACCTCAGCATTCCATTACCTTCAACTCAGCCACCCCGTCTCCCCCAGAGAATCCCACCCATCCCAGACAATTCCACAATCCCGGTCCCCAGTTCCACCACCATCCGGGCCTGATTCATTTATAACCCCCAAAACCGAGCCTATCTTAGACTAGGCTTTCAAAGTACTTGGCGTAGCATCTGCAATCCTGTTCAGAATATGGGCACCAATTTCCTGCAGATCTACAACGAGCGGCAACAACGGAAACGATGTATCCCAAAAGAACTCTCCAGTAGCTTGTCCGCCCTCAGTGCCGAAGGCGCAAGTGTGATGTCACTGCAAGCAGTGCCGCAACCACGCTCGGCATTCTAAAAAAAAATACTAGAATCAATGGTATAGGATCACTAATAGTTTGCGAATTCTGTGAAAGCCGCGCAACGGAGATTTCAGCTTGCGCTTCTGTTACTTCATCGACGGATACCGCGCGTGTTGTTGTCATGGGAAATCAGACGGGGGGGAGAGAGCAAACCTCGCAGAGCGCTAAGAATTTCGTCGATTTTTGCGTAAAGTCTTACCATACCTTTGTCGGTAACCTGAGAAACACACCCCCATGATGAGGCTGGTGTATGTAGTTTACCAATGAAAGACACTGGTACTAACTGTAGAGGTTTTGTGGGCGTAGTGAGCGTTGTAGGCTGTATCGGCCAGTGACGCTCCATTTTTTGCCGTGTTGGCCAAGCTACGGATTGCGTCGGAGGCTTCCTGATAGCTTGCATATCCGACCGTCCATGGAATAGTTTGCATGTATTTTCCGCAGAGATCGTGGAATATTAGAGGGCGAGAAATTCTGCTGAACTGACTGCATACGAGAGAGAGCTTGTGCAGGCTCCACTTGTCGAAAGTGTTGGTGGATGAGTGCCTCCGGGAGCTTCACGATGGTGCATGTTGCACCCTACGAGCTACTCAGACTTCGAGACGCAATATCACCTAACGTGGAACATACTGTCCTTATTTAAGCCATATGAAAATATTCAACGCAAGTGGTGATCTCTTGAACAGTCCCTGCACCATCCTGTTCATCTAACTCAGGAGCGAAACCTCGGAAGATCCCCAGGTCTTAAAATTGCGGACATTTTGCGAAGATAATGAGTCGGACAATCGTGTTTCTCCTAGGCTTGTCGAGAAACGTGGAGACGATATGACTGAACATTTCACGAGAACCGACCATTCACTCTCCCGCTTCAGCGCCAACGCTTCACCACCGCCGAGATTAAGCATCTCTTTAAAGACATGAATAATTGCAGGATTCGGGCCCAAAAAACACATATACAATCTGCAGTGTCTGGAGGGGTTCGTATTACGAAGCTCGTCTTTCGGCAGCCCTGTGGCACAAGACGAACGACAAACGGAGCCCGACATGCCGACTTTTCAACAACCTTGAATGCCTTTGATGACACAGAGCCATCTAAGCTCAGAATGGCTGCCGCTTCCGATCCTGCGCGTTGTACTTATCGCTAGCGGGGCATCATCATGTTTACAAGAACTCTTTAGTTGAAGTGTCAGCTTTCAAGACAACAACGCGTTCACACTCTCTAGTACCAAACCGATATGGAGACAACAACGCTATCATGCCCTCTTCTCCCGCTAGCACGACCCTCGGTCCGACGCGTTGCCCTCGCTTGCATCCAATGCCGGTCTCGAAAGGTGAAATGTGATGCGACAACACCGTTCTGCAAGCGCTGCCAGGTCGACGGCAAGCTATGCGGGTATCTCAAGTCACGGCGCGGAGGACGCCCTCGTCGTTCGAAGCCTCAGTGGGACCAACTTTCTATCCTGGTGAACGAAGCGCCTTCTTCCGGAACTTCAACTCAACGGGATGATGTGCTCTCTGCAACCTCGCACAACATCTCAACCTTTGGAGGACTATCCACGGATAGCTCATCACAGACGTGCTCAGATGCCGGATCCCGTCTGGACGCCTTTGCTTTGGATGGATCCCGAAATACGATCGATCAAAGTGACGAGCTTCTCACGCAATACTACACTTTCTTTCATACCGCACATCCCTGTGTACTTCCCAGATGGTCACTCCAAATACGTCGGAGTAGCAATCCATCTTCACTGGATCCTCTACTCCCTGTTTTGCTTTACATTGGCTCGATATTCACCCCGTCAATACCATCCACTCCCCTGGAAATCACAGCACTACAGTCTCTAGACTCTGCACGCGCAAGAGGAACTCCAAGCCCATTTTTTATCCAGGCTCTTGTTTTATACTCAATTGCTGTGTACTGGTGTGATCAGACTGAAAGAGCACTTGTGCTTTTAGATGAGGCTATCCAGGGTGCGTTCGAACTAGGTATGCACAAGGCCGAGTTTGGTCTGCAGTATGGAGAAGGAAACCCAATACTTGAAGAGAGTTGGAGAAGAACATGGTGGATGATTTACGTTACCGAAGCACATGTTTCAGGAAGTACGCATACATTTCCGACAAAAACTGGCCAGGTGCAAACTAATACAGAGCTGCCCTGTGAAGAGTACCAGTATGAGTCTGGTGTAAGTTAGTTCATTGTCGTTGTTAAAAGCTAAAGCTAACCGTATTACATTAGAGCATTCCAAACCCACTGAAATTAGAGAGCTACAACGTTCGTGAGTTCTCAGATGCTGAATTCTCATCATTTGCGCATTTGGTTGGTCTGACTCAAGGACTCAACCGCATTCTCTCCACCCGACGACGACATGATTCGGAGCACGCGAAGCTCCTCTGCGCAAATGTGGATACATGTGTGACGGCATGGTGCTCGTTACTGCACAAGTCGAAACGAAAGCTTCTAAAGGACGATGGCAGCGTGGACGAGCTGCTCTTCAAAGCAAATACCTTAATATTCACGTTAGTCTTAATATATCTACGGCAGAGGTGCCACTCACAAATCTTCACAGATATATCGTGGACCTCCATCGTGAACTGTCCACTTTGAAATATAGTCCCATCGAGGCTGTATCGAAATGTGCTCCTCCAGCACCGCCAGAGAACTCGCACACTATCAAAGAGGACACACAAATGCACACATCTAAGGTCCTCTTCGCCATTGAAAAGCTCAATGGCCTCCTTACTCTCCCCACCCGTCTTGCAACACATACGCCCTTCATCATCTGCATGATCGCCAATGTGAGAATCATCCTTGCTAAGATTTTTCAAAATAGGGTACTGATTTCGATCAGATGACAATCGCTCATCTCTCAGCCTGCCGCTACGTTTTTCAAGAACCAAAGCTATCCCTCGAGCGCGAGAAGATCCGCCTTAATATGGGTGTGCTCAAGATGCTGGGTGAGTATTGGCCATTGGGAGAACGAACGTATGGAGAACTCGGTATCATTGCCCGAGAGATCCTTTCGTTGGGAGATGAGGAGGTCCATGTCTCACAAAAGACTCCGCCACTTGCTGATTTTCTCGATATCGATTTCGACGTTGATTGTGCGTTTGATATGAGCGACTTGTCTAGTAACTCGATGGGAGGAGGTCCGGTGGAAATAGCGATGGGTAGTGACGCGTGCGGTGCTGTGGGATGGGAGGTAAATAGGTAGGATGGAGAGTTGTCTTGGGCTTGCGGTCAGGGGCTCATGTGGCTTGTCGCATTAGGGAAGCGATAGCTTACAATGACATTCCGCTCAATTAAGAAGCTCAAGAAAGGCGCTTCTGACAAGTTCCACGCCTTGTACGTAATGGTAGTTACGATCACCTGGTTATCATTCTACTACGACAACGACCATTGGCGTTAAAGCAAATCGGTAGTGGGCCTGGCCCCACAGGCACTTGGGCATGACTCGAATGTTTGTGCCAGCTATTCTCATTTGGTGGCCTTGGCATGAGCGAAAGTGCTTGTTCGAACCTCGACGAAGGTACCAGTAGTCCTTTGGGGTCGGTGTTTGGTAAGGGTCGAAGGAGTGATTGAAATGGATTAGGTTGGAGAACCGTTCCGTATTCTCAATTATACATTGAAGGCGAGCGAGAGGATATTGACGCAGAGCGCATCCTTGGTGACGGGGCCGTATGAAGGAATGGTATCTGCGGTGTGGCCAACAAGATATGAGGTCCCAGAGCTTTTAGTTGGGGTCCGGGTACCTAACAATTAAAAGCTCGAAGCAACGCACCCCGAGTCCCGGAGCTGGGAGAGTTGCCACATGACTGAGCAGAATGTCTGGGCTTCTGCTGTGCGGTTGGATGCCTTGGGCGAGCTGCCTCGGTATTTAGTTTAGGCAAGGAAAAGACTGCATATCCCAACGCTGTGCTATTCAGTTGGTATCTTGATTGGATCGGCGTAAGTGTTGCGTGATGTTCAGGTGTGTTTATGAGATTCGAGCTGGTCAGCAATATCTTTAGTGCATCAAAGCATTCAAACCGATTTCTTTGACCGATCAGGCCTGGCTAGAACACCCAGGCTGATAGTGGAGGATAGTTGCGGCGGCTATCGCTGTGACGGAGAGAGTAAAGATGGGTGGGTATGGCTGAATCGGTACCGATCACTGGCCATTCTTTTCGCTAGCACTCTAGGCATACTGTCATCTCGGCAGTGCATTGCTAACGAGGCAGGCAACAAGATCGCTACTTCTAGAAGACGTAGGAATCTCCCCACAACTCCATCAATTAGCAGAACACGTTGCCCTTGCACTTTGCAGCCTCCCCCAGGCCACAAAACTCAGTCCACCAGGCTGGAGCATCATATCGGCAACTCTAAGATTGACCAAACTGAATATGCCCAAAGTGCTTCATTTTACTTCCTCCACACAATTTGACACCCGGTATTGTTGCTTGAACTGCAGAATGCATACAGAATCGTGGAATCCACGCTTCTGCCAGGCATTTCAGCACCAATGTCGTTTAGAGTTGAGATCCAAAGTCTGCAGGAGCTTCAAGCCGCCGAGTGGATAGCTGCATTTGATTTAGCTAGTGGGATAGATGCCACTCAGTCAGTATACCTCCATTGCATCCTAGTTGAAATATTCTGCAGCATTATTTGATGTTGTATTGCGGGTTTGCAATTCGCAGCGACTTCGAGGGCTCACGTAGGCGAAGCTGCGATGGAAAGTTTCCGCATTCGTTTGGGGTTTCAATTCCGGCTCTAGAGATGGATACGACCACAACATGAAATTTAAGTAGGAGAACCATGGGCACCCCAGATCTTATTTTGTTGACGAGCGATGCAGCCCGACCAGGACACTGCACCCGAGACCTGAAACAGAATGCGACGATCGGAGATTCTTGTAATTGCTTTTCCTCCATTGGGCATCAGGTTTCTGCCAATCAAGCCTAGGATATAATATCCACGATCCTGACTCCAGAGGCTTGGTAAGAGAATTGTGCCTGGTCCTCTATGAGACTTTTCCAAAAGAGACTGGCGCTTGGGTGCATCAGGAAAGTTGCTGGTGGTTGCGTTACAAGCATATCTCTCCAATTCGCTTCGTCGTGGAGCAAAGCCTCGAGCCTGCGGGCATCTGCTGGAGGAGTCTTACGGATGCGTACGTGTGCTATCATTCTAACTGGTCCTTCGAGACTACGATGAACGCCAATAACTCGAATTTCAAGCAGAATAGACAGGTCCTCAAGGAAAGGATTCCATTTCAGCAGCTTCCACGTAGCTATTCTGCCGGATTGGTGGGACGGCTCAAGGAAAAGGCACCTCCGAATAGGTTTGGATAAGATAATGATTTCTTTAATTCTACGACAAACGCGCTGAGAGAGGAGGAGGTCTTTCGGTGGGAGATAAAGAAGAATTAATTCTAGAATTTCATAGGGAAGGGAGCATAGTATCGAATTTTTAGTGCTGGACTCCGTATGAAGAGATGTGGACGAAGCTTGGGGAGACTGCCTGACAGGTTGGATGGCGTGAGCATCGTGTGGAGTCGGCCGAGGACTTGCTTCCGAGGTAACGTTGTTGACCACTAAACACGCATGGCTATCGAGAGATTTCTTCTTTTTGAACGAAGTGACTCGCCGCAATATGCGAAAGATGAGGTCCATGTCGGGAGACAGATGATCAGACGAACCAGTGCGGAAAGTTTGAGAAGTGCGCATTGTCCATGCTACTAAACCTAAACAGGTGACGACTAAAAGTGGGCAACCCAAACTCAACATGCAAGATCTTTCCTCTTCGGAAACAGTTCGTAAGTAATATGGATATTGGTATACTTCCATACATTCCCAAGTGGCGATAGGTGCTTCATCGATGCTCGACGTGCACTAGTGAAGCAGTTTAAACTGAATCTATGTACTTGCCAAGTATTTCAGGATGAAGTCACTGCGAACATATTGCATGCCTTCGTAATGACTTATTAGTATTGAGGTGAATTCATGTCACTTAAAAGTGTTTCTGCAAGGTGCGTCTTCGGCCGAATGTCAATCAATGAGGATCTAGGGAGGTGAATACTTGTGTCACGCGACGTCATACTCTTTTGGGATGAAATGTACTGCGTATATCGTCGGTTGAAATGATAAAAGGGCGTAGTCTGCCTGGGGTCGATCATAATACCCCAACCGCGCGGATTTCGGACCACCTGAGCAGAGCGAAAGAGTAAACGAGGTCATATGAAGCTAAGGTAAGACATGTCACGTCAAGCGGCAAAGTGCATATACGAAATAAGAGCTGAATTTGAGGTCAATGTATGTTGTGCTTGTGGGGAAGCAGAGATTGCTCAGTCCCAACCATCTGCAAAGCGTTAACCACACTTGCCGAACATTACTAATCCCAGGTCTTTGCCTCAAGACGTCTGCTCATGAAGTTACACTACATCTCGAGAAAGAGACAAACAATTTAGAAAGAAACAGTGGCTGTTTTGGGCTGCAACCCATCGCTTCCTAGTCCGGATGTTGCACTTCTCACAACTGTGGAACGCACTAGGGGAGCGTGGTTGATAGACTGGGAAAGTTCACATTCGCGGCTTAAAGGTGAGGTAGTGGTCGGTCCGAAACTTGCAGATCGAAGGATGTCGTGTCTTGGTGGATTGTGCAGTTAGCTGTGCCACACAACGCTTGCTTGGTTGAGAGTAGTAGACAGAACAAGTCGTATACGCTCCGAAGCCGTATCAACTCCTAGAGGAGACCAGAAGCGGCGGATTTGATCGGTAGGTTTGATCGGCGGATAGGTCGTGGTTTGATAGTACGAATGCACAATGCGGCCGCAGTGGATGAGAGGAGAGGGCCATCCAATACAACAATTTTTATCACCAAGGTTTAGTGCGGTGTTGGTTACCCGGAGACTGATTACGAGCCTTGGCTTGGAGGGAAGGGTCCTTGACGTCCTGTGGCTCCTCGGATTGTTGGGATCTCTTCAAATCCACATGTGGAAATTCGGATAACGAGCTTTCCAACATCTTGAATTGTTTTCGATATGCCTCAGAAGGAACCCCGTCGGGATCAACGTGAAGCATGGTGGTATCGATTTGAATGGGGTTCGGAAACGGTGAATCCTCTTCAGTTTTCTGGAAGGAGCATGTGCTTTCCTTTATGTTGCTTGGACGCTCAAGACGATGGACACCTGAGTCCGCAAATTTCTCAGCCAGTATCTTGCGTAGGACACGCTCTACTTGTTCGTCGCTCGGGCCTTGCAAGGACTGTTGATTTTCGAGGAATGTTAAACGCTCGTGGAGAGCTCGGAACGATTGCTCTGTCCGGTGCATGAAAACTCGATACCACTCCGCGATCTGGTCGAATGATTCATTAATCTTGTGTAGAGCGAAGTTCCAAGACATGATGGAAAAAGTGAGGAAGCAATTGAGGGTTTAGAGAAGAGTGAATAATTGACAAATAGGGAAGAAGGAATAAGTCCAGGTCAAGTGCGCTAGAAAGCCAAGAGAATGATGTCCAGGACGGAGCCTCCTGGGCTGAGCGTTGATAAAGTATCCGAATCGGAGCGTGAAACTCAGGTGGGCGCCGTACAGGTGGTAGCTTGGACGTCCTTCGGCATGCACGTTAGTGGAACCCAGAGTCACAGACCTTGTTCATGGCGGTGGGAATCCGTGTCGCTGGACAGCGTCCAGAAGAAGTAACGGCTGAGAAGACCAATTAGCGTGGGGAAAGACTCGAAGCTCGGGGGGGGGGTTGGTTGGCAGGGGAGGGCTGAGAGAGGCCATCATCCTCTTCTGCAGCATTCGCTGGGGCGACTGGTGGCTGTCAAGCAATGATTGCGGGAGGCGTCGGGCATTGGATGACACAGTGGGTCGAGCAGGACATGCAGCAAGTCAGAAAGGGAGAAGGCGAGAAACGGGATGCAGGGCAGAAACATCATACCGAAGATGACCAGTGGAAGAGGTCAGAACGAAAAGGGACGGGTAAATCCAACAGGGCTACGACGTGCGGATCGACGGGGGCGACGAGGTAAGGACTTTGAATGCGACTGTCGGCGCACCTGCAGGTGTGGCTGACTTGTCTCGATTGGGCCTCAATGAGGTGCGGGAGTGAATTGACGATGCCGCGGCCCAGGAGACCAGGAGATGCCCTGCAGAAGGGATGGCCTGCCCAACACGTCCGACACGACAGCCCGGAGCCGTCAGCATTGCCAGCGATTTGGGGCCGGCGCGGCTTCCCCGGCGGCAGCGGATGCAGGTTTGAGAGCGAAACCGCAGAGGCCGTGGGCGAGCCAGGAGTGTCCAGGTGGAAATGGTGAAAGGGTTCAGAACCCGCGCTTAGACTCGCCGCAAGGAAATTTCACACCATGTCCGGGTAGCAGGCAGGGTAGCAGGCAGTCGATCTGTCAGATGTCGTCTGAATGCTTTCTTATGTCCGCGAAGACGCAGCTTGACATGCCGGCGAAGCCTGACGCGGATTTCCTTGCCGACCAGTCGCGACGCTGTAACATCTCGCCCAGAATTCAAGAACCAAGCATCTTCCCTAAGGGCGAAGCCTGAAGATCCCACGCACTCCCATCGGGATGCAATCCTATTGAGCTACCTGGTCACACAGCACGGCCACTTTTCGCTCATCGGTGTGAGAGATGCGAGGCACTGCTCAAAAAGAACGAGCTGATATTAATGAGCCAACGGCTCGCCAGCCATCAAACACCTGTTCCTTCGACCTGCTCGCTTTCATTCCCACCGCTCACCTCCAGTCCCAGTGACGGTGATGCACGCTACGCCCCGCTGACGGTGCACTGCGACAGCTTTCTGACGTGCATTTTTTGGCTTCGTGTCTGGGTGAAGCGCTCCGTCCTCGATGTTGTGCAGAACTGCGCCACGGGCTCGTCTGCAACTGGGCCGTTTGAAAAAATGAGAAATGCCATCACCTTGACTCTTGCCTAGATAGGCTTTCTACAGCGCCGTCAATGGCGACAAGAAGCATTGCGGGCGTTTGAGGACTGCGGTTGGTGCGATGACCGGATGGCTGAGCAGGAGGTTACACGGACACTTCTGCAACATTCATCGCCAGCGTCAGGCTAATCAACTGCAGGACTTGCAGAATCTGGAACTGGCTAATTGGAATTGTCTCTGTGTGTCAACTCCGTCGCCTGGTGAGGGGGGAAGAACCGAAGAGAGAGCCATCACTCCCGAACTCTCCACTGAAAACGATTCCATGAACAGCTGAAGCGGCGTTATGGGAAGCCTTAAAGTCGAACGACCCTAAAGTGGGTGACATCAAGATCGAGATGGCCTCGTCGTCAGGGCCCCGAATTTTTTCAAAGATTTCTGCCGCCAACGCATGCAATGCGGGGATCACAACCACTCACAGCGGGACACATGATGTTGAACACCCGTGGTTCCATTTCACTTTCCTAAATCCCCGAGGGACAATATTAGAGCGCTTCTTTCAAACGGGTCGAATTTGAAAGCCGCCTGGGCTCATTCGTATCCCCGCATTTCCTGCACCTGCCTCCAATGCCATATTTATGCAAACGGTCTTCAGCCAAGAGCGTCACATTTGTTCACGTCCACCGACATCGCCCTTCTTACCGTCGAACCGTTGATGAGTGTCTTTCCTTCTAGTCCCGATGCATGCCCCCCCATCACCCCACATATTGCTTCTGGGGCCGATCCCTGACTCTCATTCGACCCTAGATTCCTCGCCCAGTGACCGATTTTCAAGTTAGATAATACAGACCTCAACCCTTTGGATTCTGAAGGCCAGATCCTGATATTGAGCCCGACCTTGGTGCAAGACGAGGCAGTTCGTAGTGGACCGGTGCATTGAGTGCATCATGGATCGAATTTCAATCGCAGCAACAGCGGGGAAGCTCAATGCTTTCTCAGATATATAACTCTCTAAGATTGAGCTGCAATCATGTCCATCATCTTGCAGATCCACCAGTTCTTGTCAGTGAACTAAAACCTTTAGTATGTATTTCCAAAACCTGGCCCTCCTCTTGTCTACCGCCAATGCTTGGCCATGGAACGGCCAGAAGTCAGTTTCCCCCTCCTTTCTCCTCCAACAAAGTGTTGAAAGTGTCTTTTAGTGAGCCTCGAAAGGACCTTCCAGACTCGGCTGCTGTCATCGAAGCCTTGAAGGACCCAGATGCGTATGAGCAACTGAGTCGCCACCACCATCACCGAAATTATGACGACAATGGGCAAACTCTCATCAAGAGCGTCTTCGACGATGGCCGTCAACACTCCAGCTGTGGGGCACGAACCGGATGCCCAGCCTTTGAAGGCCAAACTCGCCGTATCAACGGCCGCAAGTATAACTTGTATTGCTATAATGCGCCATGGGGTTCTTACTTCTGGCTCCCCAAGTCTCGCAACCTCAACGAATGCGAGCGCCACTGTCACGAAAACAACTACGATTGCAACGGCTTGACCTTCTACCCTTCAACAGGTAGCTGCGCCATTATCCACTCCCGTAAGTGAAGGCCAGGACTAATTCCTTTTAATACTTCGAGACATGGTACTGATGCTATATTCCTACCCCAGGCGACGCTGCTCCGTACGTGTGGGACAACGGCTACCAGAAGATTGGGGCAATTCCAGTTGAGTCTGATGTTGCCTTTGGTCCTGGTGAGCTCTGCCCTCTCCCGGGTTCTGACAACCAAGTCTGGGACTTTACCGATAAGGAGTACCGTTTCAAGATGTCATGCCGGAACCAATTCAATGTGCCTGTCAATGCTCGTCGTCAATTAGGCCCCGTTCGCAACGTTGATGAGTGCGCCGAGCGCTGTGGTAAGGAGGATAACTGCTACGGATTCCACTTTTATCAGCCCACCTTTCCAGGTGGTCGGGTAGATGGTGCTCGTAACTGCGAGATCATCACCGAGAAGATTAAGGACGATGACTGGGTTCCGGTTCATCGACCCAACCAGTACCTGGCCGGCCTCGTGGTTCAAGTATGCAGCACCCCTTGCACTTAGCTGGACATGATTGTTGACTCATGGTTCAGCACTCTGATTGTGGCGATGAAGGCTGGAACCGGGATGAGAAGGGAAACAAGGACCGCAAGGACCGGGATGACCTGGACGATCGAGACGACGAAGTGCACACTGTCTGGGACAGTGATGATGAGGATGGCCGCGATGATCGCCGCTGCCGCCGCCAGGGCCAGAACGGTCGCTGCTTGGAGCGAGGAGGCCGAAGGCACCACCGTAATGGGCGCCACGAACGGGACGACCGCAACAACGACGATGATCACTCAGACTTGTAGCTCGGTATGACCCGCTGATGGCGCCTTGTTCCACGTGGGAATGAGTGAAGCGCGTTTCAAATGGAAGGAGGGTGGGAAGGGTCTGGAGCGGTTCTCTCGGCAGACATCGTCTATCGTATGACGCTGATGCTGAAATGAAACTATTCAAAAAGTTTACTTCAATACAAAATCAGGTCGCAACCTGCGCTTAACTCGGTGGTTTCTCATTCAAGGCCTGTGTGTAAGGTTTAATAAGCGTTGCCGCAACAGAAGTGGCCCTAACCGAGGGAGCTTCGATCCTTGACCTGTCCGCCTCGCATTTTGGGTATCAAACTCCACGACTCGAAGAACAGCTCGGCGATTAATCGGCCGATGTCTTTGTTCGTGTCAGGGCTCGGGCCCAGCACTCGGGCCCAGCACTCCGTCAAATGTTCAGACTCTTAAGCTCGGAACCTCCGACCCTCATGCACCTCCGATGATTTCAGGCTAGTTCCAATCTTGTCTTGTGGCTGAAGTCACTTTCCCAGTCCCCTTCACACGCTCAGTGGTTAACTGCCGTATACCGACTTTCTCGAGCCTCGTTTCAAATACCCATGTCTTCCACTTGCGGCAATCGCGCCAAGTCACCTGTTCACATCCCTAACCTACCTCTAACTCCTACCCTCCCGTCTCGTGTGCGGAACTGGAAGCTGTTTACTGTGCCACATAGCAATGGGGAGCGAATCGGCCATCACATTACGATCAACTCCTTTCTATCAATTCACGTGTTCACAGTACGACAACGTCAGACTATCCAATCCCCAATCCCAGAGTCCCTAGCATTTTCCTCTTCGGACGCGGGAATGGCACAGCTGCAGGCATCCGCCAGCCGAACACTGGGCTGAGAAACGTCTGAATCGCCGATTCCTAAGGACTGATCCACTAAAAGTGGTCTGATGTTCCGAATCCGGTTTCAAGTGTCTTCCCCAGATTTGGGAAGCGCTTGTCATGGGCTCGGGGAGCGTTGAAATGCCGAAGACGAAATTCTGGAGGACTTTTGGAGGCGAGATTCTGCTACCGATGGATGAAGCCCTGTGGCTTGACAGCGAGGTAAAAACCTGTTCTTTTGACATTCAATCGGCGATGTGATAGGATGAGATGAGATGAGATGAGATGGCTTGCGGCGAGTGCAGATTCTTGGAGCTCAACCCAGCTTAGCTTTCTTGCACCACCAACACATGAAGGGACGTCACAGTCTTTCAATAACGAAGTTGGCAGGCTCGGGTAGACTGAGGAACAGACTTGCACATGCACACGTGGGCTCCAAGGGTCAAGGGTCTGAGGACCTCGCTTCCACCCAGCGCGCCGCATCCCCCATCAAGCCATGACAGTCAGTCTCTTCCAAGGTTTCTCTCCGACAAATTCCCAGCAGCCTGGGACAGTAACCGCTTCAGGACGTTATCATGCACGCACTTTCATATCAGGATTTCCGCATCAGGATCATTCGGGATCGACGGAGTTTGGGCACGGAACCTTTACCGCGTTTCTGGCACTCACGGGCACGATGTTTCTCGAGTCATGACGGCTGTCAGGAGAGTATTGAGCGAATGGAGGTCATGGATCAGGGAATGGTGGAAGGTTAAATGAGCAGTTTCGGCGAATTCTTTTTCTAATTTCACAAAGGATGAGAAAGGATGCGTGGGCGGGGCAGTGGCATGGTGGAAAGAGGAAAACCGAGAGAGTGGTATCACCCCAAACCCATTCTTTCTGCCTGCTCCAGTGACCCGGCGCTTTCGGTCCGAAGGAGAGCTCAAATCGGATGTTGAGGTCGGAACCGAGAACTCGATCCTTCATTCCGGCTTTAGCAAGGACTTGAGAAAGTCGTGAGAGATCTGGGTTTATAATATGCTTAGAATCCTTGGGCAATGTATGCCAATATGTTCAGGCACTTTTCTCCGTACTCTTCACCTCAAAAGCTATAGCATACACAAATCTCCCTGCCCCTGGGTTGATAAACATATACTCAAAAAACACCTATCCTCCTACCTAAAAAGCTCAATAGCATCCAATATAATATTTGGCTGCAAATATGTATCCCCACTACTCCCACTTGCCACACTAATCGTGATTGTGTTACTCCCACTAACCAACGTCCCAGCGGGAATAGCCACATCGTACACCTCTCCAAACCCTCTATACGCGCCTCTTGTTACACCTCTACTATCAATCTTGGTTGGGGCAGCAGGCGCGGCCGCACTCCAGGAGTTCACTGTTGCTTGGGGTCGTGCGCCGGCGAAGGAGAGGGTGGTGCCGATGCGGAGGGTCGCTGCGCCAGAGGCTTGAGAAGACGAGAGCGTGAATTTTATTGTGAGGGGCGTGTTTACGGATTTGAAAAGGGCCATTGGGATAGAGTCTAAGGAGCTCGAGCCCACGGTGTAGGTTAGTGGACCCCAGGAGCTCATGCGGGAATCGGAGGGATGCATGCGAAGCTGCTTGTCTGCGTTTCTGAATCCCGTTGGCTGGCCATCCCAGTCCCCAATCTGGAAGAGCGCTGTCCTTGAGGAAGAGGAGGCAGCTATGTTGGCAGTGGTTGCTTTACCAGCAGATACGGTCACGGATGAGCTTGCAACCTTGAGTTCCCCTTGGTAGAGGACTTGGGTGTACGTGCCTGGTTTCATAGTAGGAGAGGTGAAGGCTCCGTTACTACCTGCATAAGTCCAGTACTGCGCGTTCGAATTATACCAGTGCAGAACTTTTTGAAAGTTAGATGCGATGCCTGTTGCTGTTCCTGTGACTGTCCCCCGACCAGATGTTGCGACATATTCGGTGATTCCCAAATCCGCAAAGAATGATGTATCCATGTCCTTGCCAGTTGGAACACCGGAGCGGGAGAAAGACAAAGCGTAGGGGCCGTGCAGGCCCATTCTGTAAGACTCGGTTTGAACGTGGCCAGAGTTCATGTAAAAGTACAGATTCGTTGCGTCGCCCGCATTGTTGGAGTTGATGTCCCTGAAGAATGGGCCTCCAGACGAGCCTTCATACGAGAGAGAATTGAGAAGCATGCAGGCGTGGATAGCATCACTATCCCGGTAAACGCAATGAACGTTATCATCAATGAATCGCTCGCTTGAATAGAATTTGCTGCGGGTCTGGCCGTTGACAACAAAGACATCGGAACCCTCAACAGTTGAACTAGACCCGCCAGTAGTCGATACGGAACCAAACGGGTATTCCAGAGGAAGCTTCGAGGTCTGAAGACGTGCAATGAAGCGTAATTCACCGACAGAGGGTTCTGCGCTGGTAGATGTAGCCATGAAGATGGTGCTGTCTCCTGAGCGGACCACGATGTAGTGGGTAAGGGTTGAAGTTGTGCATGTTATCTTGGCATATTGGTCTATAACAATTAGTAGATTCCAACACGATTTCATGGAGAAACTTGCTGTTGATGGTCTGTGCCGCTACTGTAGCCGTACCAAGTCCTGACGAGATATGAGAATATTGGCTCTGATATTGTAACTCCTCCCCGCGGAAAAGAATCGAAGTTATGTCGCAGCTTTTCGAGTTGACAGTGACTTTTAGGGTATTCTCAGAGCCTGCGTCGATAACATAGGTAGAACCGCTAGTAGTGATGCCGAATGCAGCCAAAGCTGAAGATGAGAAGGCGAATACCGCCAGCGACACGCTTTGGAGAAACATGGTAGGTTTCTCTTTGATCTTACACCTTAAGGGATGCATAGAGATGCACACCCTCGTCCTATATACTTCTACCCTGCACGAGTGGATTCGGTGTCAAATCCACCGAAACATCTCATCTCCGCGAACCCCAGGTGCTAGGCGTGGCATCGACAGAGCCCAAGATACTACAATAAACTGTAATTTTCCTGTCTCCAGAGTGCCTTGCAGAAGTAGGGGCGGAGAATAACCCGGTAAACCCGGTCAATTATCATTGAGCCCAGGTTTTTCATCTGTACCTCAATATCCTCCATGTGGGAATGCGAATGCGACTCTGCTCCTCCGTGAAAACATGGGAATATTTCCGCAATGGAATCCGGGGGGTGATGTTTGTGAAACGGTAGTGGCGGAAGAAAGCGTTTTGAGAAGGCTGAGTTGATTAAAACAATATGGGGGTCTTGGCGCCTTCGCCGTTGGCAATAATAGCTCCACTCTCTAATATCTACGTGGAAATCATGAACGGAGAATTATTTCAACTATTTTGTCAGTATAGTCGTAAACAGTGAAGTAGAATTGATGAGGCTCTGCAAATAATATAGAAGTCAATCCTCGCCTCCAGGACAATCGTTCCTGTACAGAGGGTTCACTTCAACTTCTCGACACCACAGTGCCCACGGTCGAGCAATGGTAGCTTGCATCGCCTCGCAGGCGTCGTGTGCTTCCTTTTCGCTCAAGTATTTCAGGCCGCCTTCGGCCTTCACTTTTGCTGACTTGATCTTTCCACCACCTTCCAAGTCTATCTTGCCTTCGACAATGTGTCCAAAATGTGCGTTTCGTATCGTCAATGCTGTCGTTTGCGTCTTGGCAGCCTCTTTGGTGTAGATGGCTTGGAAGACTGCTTCTTCGATGCCATAGGCCGCCGTCGTGAAGCCATGCCCTTGCATGAGAACCACGGCATGATCAGGCTCATGAGAGGGCCTTGGGGGTGCGCCAGCGATCTGGGAAGGGATCGCAGAGCGGACTTTGGAGTAGATGTACCCTGCCGAGGTGGCTGGTTTGAAGGTTGCTGAGAGAGAGGCACCAAGGGCAGTGTTGCGAACGAGGAGGTCGTGTTTTGACCCGCTGGGGTAGTGAGAAGCAATGTCCCAGACTGGAACGTTGTTCCCTGCACAAGGGAGATGCGTTAGTGAAGCCAAAACGGGAAGCAGGTTTCTTCTCACCTAAGAATCCAGCCATATGTATCATAGGCTTCAACGGCACCCCACTCACGCAATACGGCAGAACATGACTACAATGGCTGTGTACGACACTATTAATGGCTGGAAATCGCTTGTATATCTCTCCATGGATGCTTCTCTCAAGGTATCCGGGCTTTACATTTTTTTCCACAGGGCTCACGTCCTCGACGTTGTACTCGACCAAATCATCCGGAGAACTGACAAGGGCCGGAGAGATATTACATGGCATCCAGAAAGTCGCTAGGTTATCGGGACTACGCACAGAAATATGGCCATAGGCGTCGATGATGCCGTTGCTGTGCAGAATATGCGAGGCTGTTACGAGGCCCTTGAAGAGATCCTCAAGGCCGACCTTTTCGCGTTCCAGAAAGTAGCCGGCGGACATATCCAAAATAAACGTTGCAGATTGATTCAAGCATGATGGGCGAAAGTTGGAGACGGTTGGATTGATGGTCATTCGGTTCGCTGCTCGATGACGTGCGGCGGTGACTTCCGCGTCACGTGAGAGGATCAGGGAATGATCACTTTTCCTTATCTCACGAGTCAGCCGCCCCACAGATGATTTTGCACTAATACCATTTTAGATTAGACAAAACTTCTAAAACTTCTAAGCTAATTAAAACTTCTAGGGTCTTCTAGGCTAATTAAAAGCTAATTACTAATAACATATAAAATTATCTGCAGAGCGTCTAAGAAGAAATAAAGTAAGTTTATATATATCTTAGTTTACAAATCTATTAAATTATATAATAGCACTACACTAGCATTAGTATCTATTAAAATGTTTAATATAATTAAAAATAAAAGTATTTATTTTTATAATAAGCACATTTTAAGACATATCTAACACTGTTTAAAAAGTAAAGTACATTGTTAAACATGTTTTTAACATGTTATATGTCCTAGCTATTAACTGTCTATCTCTATCCTATTACTTCTATTAACACTACGTGTTATATCCCTTTATAACTGCAGAAGCTAAGGCACATATGCCTTCTTTATTACCTCCTGTAATTAAAACTTTAGTGTAAACAAGTGTAAGTGTGTAGTTATAGTTATTAGTACACCTACGCTTAACCTACTGCATTATATAACCTAGTTAATAAGAAGGGTGTTAGAGATCCTACACCTCTAAAAAACTTCTAGAAACTTTTAGAAACTTCTAGAAACTTTTAAAAACTTCTAAGAACTTCTAGAGACTTCTAAAGACTTTTAAAAACTTCTAAAGTATAGTAAAAAAAAAGGTTAAAAAAAAGGAAGATAGGCGTTTAAAATAGCAAAGAAGTAAGAAGAAGCAAAGACATTAAAATGCTTTAAATGTAATAAGTTAGGGCCCTATTTTTTTAAGCTTTTAGCTTTAGATTAATCTTATTTTATTTATAAAGTTAAAAGATCTTCCTAGCCTTATTTTAGTAGCTAGAGATGTCTGTAATGTTAAATTCTAAAAAGATGTTTTCTACGCGTGTCTTACATAGATCTTTTATAAAGGAAAGATAATAAGCACTAATAATAGTAGCTTATTACTATGTAATAAGCAAGTCTGTACTTTAAAGTAACTAATATTTAATTATAGGGATACTTTTTTAATTACCTAGACTAGTTTTAGTAAGAGCATAATCTTTTATGCCTATTTAGTGTTAACTGCTAAAATTACTATTTAGATTATTTTACTAAATAAGCTTAAAAATAAGCAGCTAGATAACATATAATAACTAAAAAGATCTAAGCTATGCATTATTAATGTGTAGAGTAGGGCTAGTTAGTAGGGACTGTTTACTTAAATTATTAATAAAGAATTTACTTATCTACTTATAAGGCTAAAGTAGGCTTTTAGTAGAGCTTTCTAGAACATTTTAAAGAATCTAGAGTTATAGTCTTAAATTAGATTAGTAGCTATTAATAAATGTTATTTTATATTAGACTAAAAGAAGTTTTAACTTATATTTATAATACTAAGTTAACTATAAGTTATACTTTAAAAGAATGTTGTCTAGTTTACCTGTTCTGCTACATTAGACAGTACTGCAGAGGATGCAGTCTTACGCTACGCTAGTTTCTGTCTACTAGGCTGCTGTATATACTAGACTAAGGTTATCTGCATATTAGTTAATTACTTTAATATTACTATTTTAGTAGTTCTTTTACTATAAGGCAAAGTTAACTTATAGAATAGTCTTTATTTTTTCCTAAAAAAAAGTGTTTTAAGTAGGTGTACTAATTTTAAAGAGATCTTTAAAATAGTTATATTTATTAATAGGCATATATTTATTTAGTTAGCTGTAGTATAGTTTTACTTAATGCTCCTTTATTTAACAGAAGGACTAGAACTCTATAATTAGTATATAACTAATATTAATAATAGTCTATAGTGTGTGTATAATGTAGTAAAGACATTTACTATAAACATATAAGAATATAACTAAAATAAGTGTTATTCTAAGTTTAAAAAGCTAACATTCTATATCTAAATTATAGTAGCTACTACTTTACTAAGTATAAGTATTAATATTTCTAATATTAACTATGTTATATGCTAGAAGTTTTTAATTATAAAGAGCCTTTTAGATCTTTAGTAGTGTGCTAGGCGCAGTAGACGCGCACCTAGTTAATTAAGTACTATGTATATATTCTTACTATATTAGTTATTTAACTTTAAAAGTTTGTATAAACTAGGTGTTTTACTACTTTACTTTAAACAGGATAAATAGCTTTTAAGAAGAAAAATAGTGTAAAATTAGTTACTAGTTAATAAAGTAAAAGTATATAGTTAATTAGCCTAAAGCTTTACACTAAGTAATACTAGTAATGTAAATAGTGTTTGCTTATAAAAGTCTAGCTAAGAAACTACTAAGTTAGACTAGCCTCCTACTAGATATTAAACAAAGTCTAATATATAGGCCTAGGCAAACATAGGCAATTGCTAGATTAATATAGCTAATAGTTTATGTTACTACAAAGGTATTCTGTCTTAACTAGAGGAGTATAATATCCTTTTAAAAGATAAATTTATTATTATACTAAGTTTCTACTATTTAAAGTGCAACATTGCACTTTTTCTGCTAGCTACGCTACTGCTAGAGCCCCTAAGTGTAGTTTTTACTTTAAAAATAGGCACACTTTCTGCCTTTATACTTATTACCCTTAATAAGTAGGCTAGAATCTAGGTAAAGAGACACTATAGTAACTCTACATATTAAGCACCTTTACCTTTATCTATGTATATAAGGACGTGCTTGTAATAGAAGCTGTTGTAATACTATAAAATTAAGTATACTATTAAGGTAAATTTTATAGTTAATAAAATATATAAGTATGTTTTATCTATATCTAGTTAAAAACATTTTAGGACTAATACTAAAGCACTTTATAATATACTTCTAAGTATAGTAGTATCTATAAACATATGTTTAGTTTATTATAAAGAAAAGCTATAACGCTAGTGTGTAAAGTAAGATAAATCTAGTTAAGTCTATACTTTATTATCTGTAAAGAATTTAAGTGTAGATTATGTTACTTAAATCTATTAATAGAATAACGCTCTTGCTAAGGAGGTAGCACTACAACATACACTATAGGCTGCATCTGCATCCTCTAGTGGCTGCGTTGTCCTCTAGCTAGTTGTATTAGACAATACCTGTATAACTGTAAGTGCCTTTACTTTAACTGTACTAGAGATACTACCTCTAAACAACATGTTACATAGTGTTATTTATGTAATTATATTAAGCCTTACTTAAAAAGTTACATATCTATAAAGTCTTATAGATAACTTTTTTTAGTGTGCAGTTTAGGTTCTCTAAGATGTTTAAAAGTAGGCTAATAGTAGGCTAGTAACGCTAACTACTAGCACTAGTTAATCTAGTTAGCTAGAGCCCCTAGAAGACAGGAGTTTGCTAGTAACAGTACGCAATAATGCAAGTTACAGTAGGCAGAATAAGCTATATATACATAAGGCAGCTATAAACACCACACTATTGCAACTCTAGGCAGCATTAGTAGATATAGATAGAAATATATTATGTTACTAAAAAAAAGTCTTTAGTTTCTTACTAGTATCCTAAAGTAAAAAAGTGTAATATGTAACTAATAAAAAAAAAAGCTATTTAATGTGTTATAAATTATATTATTAGCCTAAGCATTTTTTAAGGGCTTTAATTTTTTACTTTATGCCTTAGTTAGCTTAAAAGTTTATAAGAGTTTTAAAGCACTTAAAATATTTAAAATGTTTAGAGTAAAATTATAGTTTATAGTAATCTAATTAGTAAAAGTTAGCTAAAGTTTTAAAGTATTTTATAATTTAAAAAAGTACTATATGTTATAAGGTCTTTATTAGTTTAAAAGTTTACAGAAGTTTTAAAAGTTAGTAAAAGTAAAGATGTAGTAAAGTTACTATAGTAAAAGTATAACACATGTAACCTGCTAGTAACTAATAGATAGTAATATAAATAATACTATATTATAAGTTTAACTTTAACTATAATATTAATATACCTTACTTTTAGTCTTTTTTAAGAGCTTTAGGTTTTATAACTTAAAATAAACATTAAGCTATAGCAGCAGCTGCTACTTTAGGCTATAAAGTAACCTACAGTAGGCGCATTTTCTACTTTTTATAAGCTATTAGTTGCTGTTGCTGTTTTTACAGCAGTTATAGTTAAGAGTATAAGTTACTAACATTAGTATAGCTGCTATTGCTATTGCTATTGCTCTTACTCTTGCCCTTGCCTTTGCCTCCCTCCTACCCTCCTTGTCTGCCTCTGCCTCCCTCCTCCTCCTTCTCTACTACTACTACTACTACTACTACTACCTCCTTCTTCTTCTTTTTCTTCTTCTTCTCTTCTCTTCTTTCTGCTGCCCCCTAATAATAATAATAATAATAATAATAAGGTCTAGCAGCTGTTTAGGGACAACCCTCCCTCTTTAGCTGCTCCCCTTCTCCCTCCTCCTCCCCCTGCTATAGTAGTGCCTGCGCCTGTGCCTAGCTTATAAGGATACTACACCTAAGGTTAACAGGTAAACCCTGTTTACTAGCTGTAGGCTTAGGCTAACTAGCTTACTAGTAAACATTATGTTTACTAGAAAAATAGTAAGTAGTAGTTTACCCTAAAAGCTATAAAGTCTACTTTATAAAAGAAGGTAAACATAGTTTATAGTTATATAGGCTAAATTATAAAGACAAAGTTAGGTAAGCAGTTACTAGGTAATTAGCAGTGCGCTTACTATTAAAAAAAAGGTTAAAAGTGCTAGCATTATTTTAATAATGCTAAGTTATAAGTTAAGCATGCTAGATTAACTTATGCTTATTATTATGCTAACTTTTATAAGAGTAGTTACATGTTCTTAACTTGCTGCAGAAAGGACCTATAGGCAAAACTACCTTCTAGA